AGAAGGCAAGGAAGCGCACGTATATAGCTAGAAAGGGTATTCTATCAGGTGAAGAAGCAGCCGATCGTGCACAACCTGTACAGGAAGGGGCAGCAGAGGAGGCAGCAGAGCCACCGGCCGAGCGGCCACAGCGAGCAAAACCTAGGTGCAGCATGTGCGAATCAACAGAACACAATGCACGTACGTGCCCTAGGCGGCAGGCAGCTAGCTAGTATGTAGCTGCATCAAATATATTTGTTCGTGGTGGAGTAATTCGGAATATTTGGCCTCGGTAGCGTGGTTGGGTGGGCCACTAGCTTGTGCGGGCCACTAGCTTGTGCGGGCCACTAACTTGTGGATTACGTTAGTGGTTGCCCCTAGCTAGTGGTTGCCCCTAGCTAGTGGTTGCCCCCACCAAATTCTCGCAACGCGCAACGCGTTCCTCAACTATTATCACAATGGCTACACCACAACAACAAGAACGCGTCTATCAAGAGGGCAGAATAGCTCTTGCTATTCAAGCCTACAAGGCGGGCCAAGTTAAGAACCTTGGGGCTGCTGCAAAGCTATACGATGTGCCTGCAATAACACTAAGACGACGCGCTATTGGAACTTAACCACAACACGGCCACCACGCATTAAATCGCCTTCTTACTCCAGCACAAGAAGAGGCCCTAAAGCAATGGATTCTATTAATGGATCAACGCGGTATGCCGCCACGAATCAATACTGTACGACAGATGGCTGCGTTATTAGTTGCGCAGCGTGGACCCGCTAAACCTATTGGCAAGAATTGGGTGTCAACCTTTCTTAAGCGCCACAACGACCTACAATCCAAATGGAATTGGAAGTACGACTATCAGCGTGCAAAATGCGAGGATCCTGTGCTAATTCGCGCCTGGTTTAAACACTACCAGGATATTAAGATCCAATATAGGATTCTAGATGAGGATACCTACAATTTTGATGAAACCGGCTTCCAGATAGGTGTAATTGCAACTGCACGGGTTGTTACTGGAACCGACAGGGCCGGCCGGCCTAGGACCATACAGCCAGGCAATCGAGAGTGGGTTACAATCATCGAGTGCATCAATGCATTGGGGTTCGCGATTCCACCGCTCGTTATCTTTGAGGCTGTAATGCACCAAGCTGCTTAGTACAACAGTATTCCACACGATTGGTCGATCGGCGTCAGCGAGAATAGATGGACAACAAATGAAATAGGCCTCACCTGGCTGGCAGAGGTGTTCCACAAGTATACAAAGGATCGCACTGTTGGCACGCATCGGCTGCTAGTGCTAGATAGCCACGGCAGCCACGTTAACCCCGAATTTGATCAATTCTGCATGGATCATCAGATAGTCGTCCTCTGTATGCCTGCGCATTCATTGCATCTACTCCAGCCCCTAGATGTAGGCTGTTTCTCGGCGCTGAAGCAGGCCTACGGACGCGGCGTTGAACAGATGATGGCCGGCGGCGTCAATCACATCGATAAACACGAATTCCTGCCGCTGTATAGGCAGGCCAGGCAGGCAGCACTGCATCAGAACAATATACAGGCAGGATTTGCAGCTACTGGCCTAGTTCCATACAGCCCTGATCGCGTGCTAGCACAGCTGCACGCTGAATATCAGACACCACCACCCCAACGCCCGCCATCAAATGCATCCTGGGCAGCCGAAACGCCACACAATATCATTGAGCTACAGCAGCAGGCAGCCTTGATAAAGCGCTATCTTAAGCGCCGAACGCATAGCCCACCAAGTCCAACAGAACAAGCCCTTGGCCAGCTTGCTAAGGGGTGCGAAATGGCGATGTCAAAGGTTACCCTACTTGCCAACGAAGTTGAGAGGTTACGGACGGAAAATCAGCGCCAGAAAAGGAAGAAGGTACAGAAGCGTACGTATATAGCTAGGGGAGGGGTGCTATTAGCCGCAGAAGGGGCCTCTCGTGCATCTACTGCCCAGGAGGTGGCAGCAGAGGTGGTAGCAGAGGCAGCGGCCGGGCCACGGCAACGAGCACCACCTAAGTGCAGCATGTGCAGTTCACTAGAACACAATGCACGTACGTGCCCTAGACGGCAGGCAACTAGCTAGTAGATAGCTATATACAATACAATTTTTCGTTGTTGTGTAATTCGCGTTTTTGGCTGTGAGAATTTGGTGGGGGCAACCACTAGCTAGGGGCAACCACTAGCTAGTGAACTACGTTAACTTACACCACAATACTTATGTCAGACATGCGGGGTCGTTTTGTCCTAGCTGGATTGGTAATTGCTTCCGACCGGAAGTACCGACCAGGGTGGCAACCTTGCATGAATTTGCGTGCGACAGCAGCCACAAGGCTGATAATAACTTCTCAGCATAGTAGCGAGGTTTTAAGGCTCGGATAAGGCCCTTTTATGAGCATCAGGAGTAATGGGAGCTCGATAGTGGTGCTGTGGCGACGAAATTCAGTTACGCCATGAAAGAAGGCTCTCCGCAAATTAGGCGCGAAGGCAACAACGCGAACGTAATTTTTAGGTAGGAGGTGTTCTGAACGTTCAGGAGTGGCTACAGTACACTATTTATATAGAATTGTGGGAAATCTCAATGTGTGCACAGAGTCTAAGCTGTTTGAAGTCAATGTACCCCTTATATTTTCCGGCACGGTGGGTTTTCCGTAACCCAGGGACGGACGTTACTATAGTTAGTAAAAAAGGATATATAATCTAGCTATAAAGAGTAAACTAATTAGATAGCGCAGGTCAACTTAAGAAGCGGACCGGGGTAGCAGCAAGTAGTAGCCTAGCTAGATAACGCTTAAACGCGTCCGGAGACTTTTATTTAAGTGATAGTTCTGCTCCGTAGCTTAAGAAGAGTAGAATCCGACTGGTATTTGTGTCTATTATGGTAGGATTCTAATGGGTGCGTTTCTTGGGTGTGTGGTGTTTTTTCCTAGGCAGGCTGTTGAAAGAAAGAGAGTAGGCAGTTTGCATACCTTTGTAGCTGATTACTGGCTTTTGTTCGTTGTGTCTCGGGCCTTCTGTGAAGACACAGAGGACGTTTTCTAGGAGACTAGTTATCATCCGAGTCGTTCTTATGTAGAATTAGATATCGTTGATCTCAGCTTACGTAGAGGAATTGAAGAAATATTTGAGAATTGAGAGACAGACGAGATGGCACGGATCGGACCCACTCTTTTTTGGACGGCCAACGTCCATCCCCAGTCTCGACTTCAGCTTTCTCACCCGCCTTCACGAAATACTCTGAACACCGTCCATATGGCATCCACAAAGGAAAACCCGAAGTCTAACAGAAAAGCTCCCCGGGCGATCATCGATACAGGGCGCGTAAAACACCAATAAGCACATTCCATGCTCCGGACATTTGGCCCAGACAAAGAACCTCCCGGAAGACGACGGGTCGAAAATATTCAGCAGGAAACGTTAGCGTAACAACGTTGTTGAGTATGAGAGTCAGGTTGCCGATGGCTTCCTCGGCGGAGTGTGTGGGTTGTCTAATAAGGCTCTTGAATTGGATCGTCAAGTCGGGGATTCTAAATGCTGGCTTAGAGTAACTGGTTAAGCTTCTTCAAAGTCTAATGCTCTTTTAGAGGAGTACAACCAATGTTCTTGTATTAACCTCCATTTAATCCACATTCCAATCCACCGTACAAAGGGTGAGGCTCTCTGGACAATCAAACGGCCACCAAAATCCACGTTATCATTGCGCAGCAACCACACGACGATAATAAAATGTCTGAAAGCTTAAGACTTTACAAAGACGTCTCTGCAAGAACACCTAGCAATTTAGATTTTTTATACACCTTTGTGGTATTGCGATGCACGCGTGGAAAGGTGTCAGTTTGGGGTGATTTTGGTGTTCCTAGCTCGCTTACCCGCTAAAAGATTTGATTATCTAGCGAGTCTCGCCCTTTGTATCTGATCTCTTAGAAGCACAGCAGTAACCGCTTTAGGTAGACTTACGATACTTAGGCTCCACATCCCGCAATTATAACGCTGTGTATCTGTCCGCTTGGATGCCGCTGAAATGCAGGTACCTGATAAATAGACTCATCCCTATTAATCCTGATATTGACGATGAACGCCGAGAAGACTTATCTCAGAAACTGAGGTAATTGACCCTCCTTCATCATTGGATGTATTTCGGGCCTTTAAACTACAGATGCAAATCACTATAACGTGCTCTTGTTTAGAAGGTAATGCGTGGGCTTGCAACAACATGCTAAGAAAGCCAACCGGTGACCGGACTGGCCTACTGCTCGCACTTGTGCGAGCATAGTAGATTCAATCGCAGACAACACAGCAAGGAGGCCGTGGCTTAGACGTAAGCGGGGTAATCTCTCGTGCCATGCCTTTGATGGTTTAATCGAGATCGAGATGACGGCTTGAGCCATCTATCAGAACCTTTTGTTCTAGATTCAAGGGCCAAAGGGATTGGGCTTGTACTATGTCAAAAGTCCTAGCAAATAAGGTACAAAGATGCTTCCACTTAAGACCAGTTAAACATCAACCCGTGAAGGGAACTCGAGGGGATAAAAGAGGAGAAATAGCGGAGTCCAGACCCCTGACCCGCAGCTCAGCCTTGCAGTTATCGGGTGCATTTCAAAAGTTGTAACGGACTTCAGATCAATCGGCAAACCTACGGCTTTGGGGGCCAGACTGCTGCCTCGAGGCAGCAGGAACTTGTTATCGCTGTTCCAAATGTAACGTCCAGATTCGGGGAACCCGCGCGTGCATTTGGCCGCCACAGAAGGCAAAGCACGCGAATGGCAACATACAACCCCATCCCAGAAACTCTGAAGTAGGCTTCTTTTGATGCATGCACGACTTTCTTCTGATAACTTCGGCCGCTTTTTCATGGACATCTGCCTGGACGCCTTAACCACCCCTCGCGTGCTTCGCCTAGAATATTCTACGGTGCCGTGTCTGCATGTTGACGTTTTTCTTTTTAAGCAGTCAGCTCAGCCTGCAGTTTCAGCTCGGCCTGATCGAATCGCCGATCTGTTCTATTAAAGCGTCTCCAAGGCCACTCCAAACTCACTATTTTCAAGATACTGAAAAGGTATCATCATGGCTCAGCCATTGACAGAAAACCCTTCCAGTTTGAATTTTAATCCTCCAGATGACTCCCTCGAACGCGAATGGGACACAGGAATTATCCCTGCACCAGGCACAGGAGGGTTGGAAGTTGCCACGCAAAATGCTCCCTTTCGAATCCTAGTTGCAGGCAAAACAGGTGTTGGGAAATCCACACTAGTTGCCGCAGTGTTCGGGGTCCCGCCTGCTAAAGTAGGTTTCGCTCGATAGAATCGCTCCTTGAAGAGCAGTCTTTGAAACTATACAGATCGGAGCTAGCGACAGCCTGGAGATGGGCACCCCAATCGATCAGATTCAACGAGAATGGCGTTTCGAGGATAACGACAAATTTGTTCTCCACGATACCGGAGGTTTCATGTCAGGCGAGAATGTGGCCATTGACACAGTTTGGAACTTCATCAAAGAACACAGAGATACCACAGATGAACATAAAAGGCTTCATTGCATCTAGTACATGCCCACCATTTGAAGTATATTCATCAACTAACCAATATGCTCCAGGTACTGCATCAGCTGTGCGGATGCGAGGCTAATTCATCCCATCGACAAGCAGTTTCTACAAGAAGCGAGGGCTGGCGGCATCCCGTGCGGATTGTCTTCACCAGATTTGACAAAATGGTCGAAAGACATTTCAAACGCCTTGAGAGGTCAATAGAGATCAAAACCAAGCACGGCCATGGAGTCATCGCCCTTGCCAACGACGCCGCTATCGCAGAGTTCCACGACAGATGGCTGCCTTTAGTACGTGCTGAATTCAGTGGTCAAGGTAGGAAGGGCAACTTTCAGTACGACTATTCTTTATCCGAGGACGTCTTTTTCACCAGAGTTGGAATTCCCGAGGCAGAGTATGCACCTAAATCAGGTAATACCACTTGAATGGAGAATAAAAAGATTTTCTGGCTGACTTCTAGAAGAAAAGTTGGAGGTCGATGATTCTACTGGTGTCAATCTTTTGGCCGAACTTACCATCGAGCACTTAAGTAGAGAAGAGGATCGCACGCGCTTGGCTAAAGCACAACAAGATGTCGGACTTAAAAGGAAGTGTAAGTGCATAAAATGATAAAGCATTCTTCTGACTTTCAACATTGACGTTATCGTTAGACTCTTGTGACCATGCCATGCAATCTTTCTGGCAAGTTCAAACAACTGGAAATCTTCCCATAATTCCATTTGTAGGTGCAGCCGGGGTTTATAACGCCTTTCTCAGTATCCTTGGAGTCATCGATGACTATTGGGGTATAACTGGCACAGCAACCTTCATAAGGACTATCGCCATGCGAGATTTGATGCTTTCAGCTACGCTGGACGTTGACATTTTTGGCCGCATTGGATTTGGATTCTTGAAGTGCTTCGATATCACCGGAACGATACTATATCCTCTGATAGTGAAGATGTTTTTGAAACTATTGGCGGGTACTGTTCTAATCTATGAGAGGCTGTTCTGGAAGCATAGAGAGACAGGCTACTCAATCAAAAAGGAAGAAATGACATCTATTGCGAAGGCTTTCAAGACGAGTGGGGAAAGGCGAGCGATGGATCGTATTATCACGGAAGACTTCCAAAAACGCATGACGTTCTTCAAAACGGAATGTACAGATATCGTGAAGAAAGCAGTTGAGCAAGGGAAGTACAACGGAAACTAGGAATGGCGCTCTTGATTTCTTAGGGGAAATTAAACAGAACGAGAGAAGTGGTTAATAGTTATTCAGGGTCTGATTCGTTCATCTATCTATATTTAGACTATTTCGCCAACGCTCTGATCGCGAATTTCTATCTACTTAAATGGCCACCACGCTCATTCTTCTCTCACACCGTATCGTTTCCTACCACAATTACTGCAAACCGACACCCTCGATAAGAGACGACGAACTCAAAGCCCACCCCTCCCGTCAACTTGCACTGTCTGAATCACGCGATGTCGACACGCCAGAAATGGAAACCACGAGAGCGAAAAACGAGCCTGATATCCTCCGTCCTTCATCTCGGAATTGCTCAACGTTACCAAATTCAAAATGGCGTTTACCGCAGAGGAGCAGCTTATCAATATTGCAGAGGACGATGTTCAGATCCCATTCAACCCTGCCTACTAACATTTAGGGAGGCATTTTCCTACTTCCTCTTGTCAATCCTCTTCATCGCCGTTGTTGTCTATTTCCCCATCTATCCTTTCCAGTTCCAGTGGGATTCACAATCACCTCAACTTCACATTACCGTCGAGGCACTATACCTGCTCATTGCCCGATACCGGACTCTTCTTTCTTTTTGCTGGCTGCTGATTCGTCTCTATTTGGTTAAAATGGGAGAAAAATGCAAGATTCCTGCCTTGGTTTCTCAAGTCTCATGTAGTGCACTTCTGCAGCCCTAAAAAATAAATTTCGTTTTCGTTTTTTTCTTAAATTGTATTAGACGGTCGGTCCATGAAATGATGCCAATCGCCATACCTTGCATGGTTCTGGTATAAATGCATAGATCCTTTCCATCCCCATACAAGTGCGAAGAGCTAGGATGCGCACCCGCTACTGCGACATTCAGTACGGCCCTCTATGTGTGCTTTTGGGTGTTTACCAGGATGCATTGTCGTATTACAGGAGGTGCCCGAATCTTCATGAACGTGGCAGTTATACCCTAGGTCTTCCAAGTCGATGTAGGGGCCAGGAAGAGGAAAAGGAAGGGGACCAATTGATCCCTATGATGAGATGCTGAAAAAGGGAGAGAAGGCGGTGGTTGTGGAGGACATGGTCTGATACGAGCCTACATTCAAGATACCTCCGAGGCGACATGCGTTGCTCTGTACAGCAGCTCAGATTTGGATGGACCAGAATGTTACATCCTATGTGTCAGCCAATCAGTCTTCATCATCACCACCAAAGATGTATACGAAAGAGACAATGGTCGGCAAAAAGAAGAAAGACGAACCTTCTCACTCTCCGCTCCTTCTTAAGCTGCTGCGCCGTCCACATTACTTATATTATCTAGATAGTGGCCAACAAGAGCCTTAGAATTCCTGTATCCAACAAACTTTATTACCTAGCCTAGTAAATAGCCGTTGTCTGCCACTATTTAGTAAGCTTGCGGGAATAGAACCTAAATTTACTGTTAACGTTTGGTGATATAGAGAGCTATGCCTCTAAACACTGTAAAGGTATATAAGGCACGTGGTGAAATAGTGAAGGTTTAAGTAAGTGTTGTATTACTGATTAGTATATAAACTGGTTAAGATAATTGAGTTTTACGGAGCGAGGCAGCGGTCTTAATATACCTCAATCGTTCTTTATTAGAACGTAGTCTTTGTTGTAATAAAGAGTTCTTTGTTAGTACAAAGGAACAAAGGATCTATAAATATATTTGTATCTATGTATATACATAGATAATAGAACAAAGAAATATATCGCTTATTCTTGTTCTAATAAACACTAATGGCCCTAAGCATTCTTATTTTTAATCTCATCTCTAGGTATGCCAAAAGGTCTAGAACCTTTTCTTCTTAGTCTCCTAGCGGAGGCCTAGTGTTAAGAACTTTGCTAATAGTTTTAAAGCTCTTAAACACGTCTGCTAAAAAGAAAATAGATAGAAAAAACAGGATAGAGTTAGGAAAAAGAGAAGTAGAGTGCCTTCTGCAATTTTATAGAGAAGTAGACACCTTTATAGAATCTATATTCTATCTATTTATATCTATCTATCTATCTATCTACTAACTTACCATAGTTATCTAGATTTATAAAAAATATATCTTTAGGGATCTATTCTAGACTACTAGACTAGTAGTAATAGTTTTCTCTATAAAATTAATTTTACTTACTTTCTACCTATTAATTAAGGAATCGTAGTACTTCAACCTATATTAGCTTCCTTCTATAAAAGTTATAGTACTTAGAAAATAGGAATCAAGAAACCTAGATAGATATACTAATAGATAGGGATTAGAAGACTAAGTAGCTCTTTATAAAGGTTAATATACTTATTATTTCCTACTCTTTTAATATTCTCTAATACTTCTCTTGGCTTTAGATATTTTAAATAAGCAATAAGTATAAATCTATATTAGGAAAAATTTCTCTTTCTTAATCTAAATAAGTAAATATATACCTGTTAAAAATTGGTTAATATATAATATCTAGCACTAATTTTATTAGATCTTAGTAAGATATAACATCTTAGCCCCCCGGTCGAGCCACCCAAAATTACCGCCAAAGCTGCTAGTTTTGCACACTTATAACTCCACCACTACTTAATATGAAACTATAAAAATTTATATTTAAGTATTTAAATATATAATAACTCCGCGTACACCCCCCCATCTTGGCGCTTCACCACCTTCTGATTGGCTCGGAGAGCCCGGAGCTTCCTCCGGGCATTCACCTTTACATCTCTCTGCACGTGATGCTATACGCGAGGCCGTACGTGAGCTCGTACGTGAGCTCATATGTAAGCTCGTATGTGAGCTCGTATATAAGCTTGTACGTGAGCTCGTACGTGAGGCTATACATAAGGCTATACGAATCGGCATAGCTATACAGCCTCTCTGTTCTACGGCGCATTCTTTCCAATTCGTGCAGCCGTATATACAGCCGTACGTGAGCTCATACGTAAGGCGACACGAATCGGAAAGAATGCACTGTAAAATAGAGAGGCTGTATAGCCATGCCGATTTGTATAGCCTTACGTACGAGCTCACGTACGGCTAAGTGAATAAGAAAGGCTACACGTGCAAATGCACATGAGAATAGAGCTCCGGACGAAGCTCCGAGCCGCTCCAGCCAATCAGAAGATCAGACGAGAGGGGGGGTGTGCGTGGAGTGATTTAGGGGGTGTGCGCGGAGTGATTAGGGGGTGTGCCAATATCCCTCCCCAGCTATAAAGAGCGAACTAATTAGATAGCGCAGCTTAACTTAAGAAGCGGACCGGGGTAGCAGCAAGTAGTAGCCCAGCTAGACAAATATTATGGGCAGCGGTACCTGCACACCCCCTTTTGGTAAAACCACACCCCCTACTTCGGGTAAAACCACAACCCCCTCTCGTCTGATCTTTTGATTGGCTGGAACGGCTCGGAGCTTCGTCCGGAGCTCTATTATCACGTGCATCCGCACGTGTTGCCTTTCCGATTTGTGTAGCCTCGCCGATTCGTGTAGCCTTACGTACAAGCTCACGTACAAGCTCACGTACGGCTATACGAATCCTTTCCGATTTGTGTAGCCTCGCCGATTCGTGTAGCCTCGCCGATTTGTATAGCCTCACTACGAGCTCACATAGTCTAAGTATAAGTCTAAGTCTAAGTATAGAATAGAAGTTCTATTCTAGAAGTGCCTACGTGCCTACAAGCATGCCAAACCTGTCAAAACCTCACCTTATTACGGCTCCTTTGCATCGAGCCTAGCCCCCTTACATCACCGCCTGCGCCTGCTTAATATCTCGATCAATTTCCGCCTCAATATCCTCATCATATGCCGCAAGCTAACGTAGGAGCTCCTCACCGCTGCAGGGTAGTACACCAGCCGTGGCGGCTGGAGGACCATGGTGAGTGTATTGTGGATGTAGAGGATAAGGATAAGGTTGTGATTGTGCATGGCCGCATTTGAGGGAGCATTTGGAATTAGTGAGTAGATTAAACGAGCGAATTGGAGGCTCCGGAGCCGTAGTCCGAGCCAATAGGAAGGCGGTGAAACGCCAAGAGTATGGGGGGTGTGCTTTTACCGAAGTAGGGGGTGTGCAGGTATCGCTGCCCAATATTATTATGATTCAAATGGATTGTAAGCCTTCCTTTCTTTGAACCTGCTACCTCGCTAGTTACTTAGATAGCGGCAGTATCGAATCGTGGAGCATGATACGAATAAAATTAACGGATCCTTAGAAATCTGCATGACAAGCCCAGCTATTTGTTTAGAAACGCGCTTCGACATAATACTCATCCACGAGCAAGTTTTCGACTTGGTGCCCACGGGTCCAAGGCACTGACTACGTCAGGGCTAGGAGAGAATGCGTTTGAATGGAGAAAACTTGGAGAATAATAGGGTGTGGTCTCCGAGGGCGTCTGAGGGCTATGCGCATCCGAGGAGGGAGCATCAACGAACTCCTGATCAACAAAAGTATCGCTAAGAACACTTCCATCATCCGCAGCTTCTTCAAACTGACTTGAGCGATCACAACACTCGTGATATGCGGGCGGGGCTGCGCCGAAACCGACTACCTTCTCGAATGCTTCTTGCCGAACCTCCTGCAAGGCTTGCCTTGCGTCTTCAAGTGCCCTTGCAGTTTGTCCGAGATTTTGAGCTGCTGTTCTTTCTTTTTCCTTCACCAATGCCTTCAGTTGATCAAGCAAGACCGCTGCCTCATTCAAGTCTTTTCCCGCCTCAGCGACGGAATCAAGAAAGAGTTGCTTTGATGAGATGTCTTCCAGATTCACGACACCCTTTCTGATCGTGTCCGATAGCCTCTTCGCCACCTCTTCGGCCTTCCGGTCCATTGGACGCAGGCTGTCCTTTGTATGTTCTACTAAGGACAAGGCCATCGTGCGGTAACGCTCGTGAGTCTTGATCTCCTCCTCAGCTCCACTAAGTGCAAGGAAGAAGCTCGCATCGACCGCATTCACCGCATGCACAAGAAAATTGCCTGCTCTCTTAAAAGCATTGCCCGTCTGAACCAGTGACCTGACTGCCTTCCGTGCTGCCAGCAAGTCTTTCTTCGTTCTTTCAAGATTTTGCAGCGCCACGTCATATGCGCTCTCCCTCTTATCCTCCTCTGCAAATCCAGGCGTGGGACCAGCGAAAACAGACTCGTAAAGCTCATCTATCTTTCTGTGTGCTTCTCTATGCTCCGCCGCTTGCTGTTCTAGCTTCTTTCGCTCCTGTTCCGCCTCTTGCAGCTTGGCCGCTAGCAACTTTAGCCTTGTCTCGGCTCTTGAAAGCTCTTTCACTGTTTCTGTGTACTCTTTCTCCGCTACATGCGACTTTTCCCGGAACTTCGCGGTCATAGCTGTGATGCGGTAGGTCAAACGGCGGACTATCGAGTCCCGGAATAACTCGTGCCGCCTCAGTGTCTGTAGAGCCTTTTTCTGCAGTGCCTCGAGGGCTACACTGTGGGCAGAAAGCTCGGTCCGGAGAATAGTGATATGGGTGCTCATGTGGCCGAGGGCAGCTGGTGCATCCATGGTCAACATGAGCAAATTGAGAAGAGAAGAGTTGAGGGATGCAGAGGCGGCGATTTTTGATCTGACTGCAGCGATTGCTGGCTCTACTGTACACGACTGAAGTAATGGTGAAACCGGGTCCTGGGATAAAGCATATGGAGGGCTTGTAGGTGCAATGGGCGAAGTGTAGGAAGTCATTGCGAGATCGGGCTGCTTCGATGAGATGAAAAAAAGGTTGAAGTAAAGTAAATGTAACGGAAAGGGAGGGGATGGACAAAGTAATTATCTGTAGTCAATGCAATGGGGTTATATTGCGCCGAAGCTATTAGGAGCTTACTTCGTTGATGATGAAGCTTTGAACTTTCCGAATTAGGGTGATAGGGAATCATCTCAGCCACCGAGTCATGCGAGTGAGCTGAGACACCAAACCAAAGCCATACGCTCAGCCCCACATTGAGGCCGAAATGGCTTTTATAGATTCCAAATTGCCAGCAGATATCCCACAGATAGAGGTTTTTGGCTTTAGAAAGGATGTTGCGATCATCTGTTGGTAGTCCCGTAGTAGGGCAGACGGGTCCAGCCAAAGATCGACATGCCGAGAATCCATTCACGAGATCATTCGATGTAAAGCTGGCCGTGGCATGCTCATTCAATAATACAGCTGTCTCCCTGGCGTTCCTGGTATTTGCTGACATGATTGAAGAAGAGATGGACGAAGCTTGATGGGATGAAGCACCAAGGCACGTGAAGCAGGAAAGTGTCCGTGCGTCGTTATCTAATCGGAAAACGCGAAATGGAGTCCAGGCGCAGCGCGTCTTCCATCAAACTCACTCTCTACTTCTCTTCACGCGTCTCCCCAATACCCATTGCCCTCAACACGCGTAAATCACAATCACAATGCTTTCTACCGCGAGCCCCTGGTCTCACCAAACCTTTTACACGCCTAGCCGGCCCTCGCCACTTTCTTCACTGCCTCCAAATGCTTGCCAGCGCTCGTTCGGCAGACCGGTCATGATGGAACGCTTTGGATCTAACAAAGACATTCCCTTCTCGAAGCGCGCAATCAAGGCGAACCCCGTCGTGCAGACTCGCGATGCCGTGAAGGAACGCCGTCGTGACATGTTCTTCAAGAAGGTCCAGCAAGACCGCGACGACCGGAGATGGGCTTCTCGAGGCGAACAGGTGAGGAGATGCCAGTTCGAGCGCCTCAGCGACACAACATACTGACTGGGAACCCAGTTACTTCGACTGGACTTTGTCGCGGAACAGAAGCGGTGGGAGGCTGAGAAGGCGAAGGAGGCCCCGAATGCTGAACGCGATCTGGATGACTACGTATCCTCCGGATGGAATTCTGGACGACACACGAGCCGCTCCCAGCAGCGACAAGATGCTGACGCTAACGTCGAAAACTACCCCGCGGAAGAGGCAGATCACATCCTGGAGCAAGAAAATCGCGAACTGGACGCTTTGATATCATCACTGAACGAGTCGCATCCTGATCAAGACGACATACCCCAAGGCTTCGGAAGCGACGACGATGACTATGATGCCCTCTTCATGGACCTTTTGGGTTCGCAAGAGAAACAGCAGCAGAATTCAGGATCACAATCATATGAAGACAACGACGCTATGGACATCTCATGAAACTTCACGGACAGTCATTGCATTTCCAGGAGCAGGGAGTTGGGGTTATCGTGATTTCACTTGGACTTATCAGCTTATGGCGATCATGGCGGAGGCTTTCGTCGGGGATTCCCAGGATGCAAGGTCATGCCGGGTCATCTTGAATGTGTACAGAGTGTATATTGTTTATTGCTGCGGACAACCCGCATCTATTTCCCCCAGAGCCTCCTGAGCGGCATTCATGTCGCCTACGAGATCGGGTGGCGGTGACCCAGCGGCTTGCATCTGCAGTCAAATCAGCACGCGCCAGTAATTCTAAAACAGTTCCACTGCCTTACCTTTTGCATCCTCTCAACAATGTATTCTCTATCCGGCGCGTTGGAATCCGAGTACCCGTTCTTTTCAAACCTGGCCACGATTTCCGTGACCAACCTGTGCTGCTCCTCGTACCTGTCGAGGTTCTCCTTTGGTGTTTTCTCCTTATTCTTTGCCATCCAATCCGGGAACTTGTCGTGTAGTTCCTTCATCGGCTCATACAGGATGTCCTTGTTGGTAAGCTGCTCCATCATGCCCATAAGCATCTTTGAAAAGTCGTCATCGTTGCCTTCGCCGCCAAAACCCCCCTTCTCCATCTCTTTCAACATCTGAGCAAAGATGTCATCCGAGTCAGCAGACGCCGCCGCAGCACTCGCCTGGTCGCCTGACTCCTGCATCCGCTCCATAGTCTTCCGTATTGTCTCTTGAAACGACTCCTCGGCTGCTTTGGTAGCCGCCGTTTTATCACCGGAAGTGGATGCGCCAGGCGCACTGCCACTCGCATCTGAGGCTGCCGCGCCGCCTAGATCTTTGACTAAATCTTCAAACTGTTTTTGTAGTTCGGGCGACGTTTCGAGCTCTCCTAGGAGGTCTGCCATGCCGGCTTGTAGCTGCTGCGCGAACTCGTCCTCGTCGGCAACAGCCAGCTCTGGCACAGCGCCGGGTCGCGCAGGGCCTGATACGGCGGGCGCAGGTGGTTTCGCATCTAGTTTTGTCGCGGCAAACTCGTCCAAGACATCTGATTCTCTCGTCAATACGGTTACTCTTAAGCTGCTATGAGCGTGTGGTACCATCCAAATCGTCGAGGTCGTCCTCATCAGGGTCCGGCGCTGGCTCAACAGCAGCTTCCGCTGGCTTTTCGGGCGCCTTGTCGGCCATGCTGCCGTGGAGTGCCTTGCCAATGGTGGCGATGCGGTGGGTAATAAGTACGTGACGGATGGCGCTGGCTGCCAGTGCCAGGCTGCCTCGGTGATGGGCCAGACGTGCCAGACTTGCGGGCCGCATAAACTCGGCGGGGTATTCTACGGCTTGCCGAGCGCACCTGCAAGAGATCGGCGGCGCGGGGCCTGGATTGGGGCGGGCGTGAATTTGTCTTGGCAGGCCTCTTCCACTTCACTTTGTCGCGGGCTGTCGTTCTGCCTGCGTACAGCTCGCCTTACCTCCGCCCCTTACCTCCGAGCCTCCGTCCACCCTCATCTCTCCACGCGGAAGTCGCTGGACCTCGCGCGGCTTCATTCGACCGACCTGGTGGTTCTGGGTCCCTCACATCCAAACTTCTGCGAAGATCTTCACTAGGCATCTGCTCGATTCAGCCTTGTCGCAAACATGTCTCTTTGCCAAAATCGCCTCCAGGAGGAGAGGTATGCGCCCATCTAGGCCTGCATATCACGTCGGAAGCGCTGACAGACCCATAGAAAGCAGTGGCGCCGAGACCATCCCTTCGGCTTCTTTGCGAAGCCCGTCCGCAACCCCCAGGGCGTGCTTGACCTGAAGAAGTGGGAGTGTGGCGTGCCTGGCAAAGACAAGACACTGTGGGAGGGCGGACTGTTCAAGCTCGAAGTCGCCTTCCCTGACGGTTCGTGAAGCCTGCTTTTGAACCCACGGAGCATCCAACAAGTAGAAGATTCGCCGCTAACGAGAACAGAGTACCCCACGAAGCCCCCAAAGTGTGAGTCATTTTCAGTCGCGGATGGGCTCACGAAGCTGACTCGAACAGGCAAATTCGTCCCACCCCTCTTCCATCCCAACGTCTATCCGTCTGGCACCGTTTGCCTCTCCATTCTGAACGAAGAGGAGGGCTGGAAGCCCGCGATCACCATCAAGGAAATCCTGCTTGGAATCCAGTCCCTACTCGATGAACCAAATCCCGATTCTCCCGCACAGGCCGACGCCTTCAACCTCTTCAAAAAGAATCGCGCCGATTATGAGAAAAAGATTCGCAACATCGTCAAGGAGAACCCTGCTCCATAACTGCAACATCGGTAGCTGGATCGGGATTGGCTTTGGTGTTCGTGAACATCTTGGAACGGTAAGAACATTTCGTCATACTTGATCTATGGCGCATTCGAATTGATGGCGTGCACTGGGGAGGCGTTTGGGACTGCCAATTTGGCTTACACATTTCCGGCATGGCTAAGCGAGCATGAGCAACGAGATTCTTGCCTCTAGTCCATATCTCCAAGTGGCGGCAGATTCAGGGATTATGCTGTCATCGGATGCGAAGGGGAGGAGCTCTTTCTTCCAGTCATACTGATGGATAACTCTACCAATGAACTAAACTGGAAGCACACAGCGAGTCCCACGACGTGATGTGGCCTGGTGCATTTTTAAAATTTCGGACATGATGCAGTGGAAAGCTTGCTCTGAAGATGTCTTGGCTGTGGATTTGAATCTCTTGAATAGTGGAATATACCTCTATGGGCCATTCAAGAGGCCAGGCTCTGTGCTAAACTACCTTCGTAACGACACGGTGCTGTTAGTCCTGAATCATCACGAAGGAAGTGGCGCGATAGCGGAACGGTTAGAGAGACCTACGACCGTCTGAATGTCGGCCAGACCTTTTGCAGAGCCTTTTATGCTACTAGTTTAGCACGTCCTTTCCCAATAGATATTGTACAACTCGAATCATCCAGAACTTCCTCTTCAATTTTGATAATCATCCTTGGTTCGATGCGATCCTGATCGCCTTCGCGATACGCCGTTCGCTTCCTAGCTGGCTCGTCGAAATCTAGTAGGGGTAGCCTGATCGGCCGGCCGGCGCGCCTCGTGCACGATAGCCACCTCGGTACCTCGTGATCCGTTAGCAATGGCTCGCAGAATAATATGTCAGGACGATGCTCACCCACCGCCTCTAGGAGGATATGCAGGGGGACCGTAGCCGCCTCCTCGGCCTCCATATGGAGAGCCTCGTCCACCGTAAGGTCCGCCACGGCCTCCTCCTCGTCCACCACCGCCACCACGTCCGCCTCTAGTCAAGCCTGGGAGGTTTGTTCGCTTGGGGACAACCTAGGGCCGTCAGTATTTGATCGCATCCAGACGACGGATGGAGGGGAAGGGACTACCTTTAGATTACGTCCCCGGAACACGCTCTCGTTCATGACTAGGGCTTGAGCAACCAAGCTGGGCTCAGTGAACTCGACATACGCGTACCTGCATACGCTCATTAGCGTTTCGACTCTTTCTGCCAGACTCTTGCCAGGTAGCGAAAAGACGATAGTAACAAGAAACAGGGTACAAGAAGGGCTATTACATCCTCTCGCAAACTCAGATTAGAAAACCCGGCTCTTGGTAGCAACTAACCCTTTAGGATGGCCGGTGAACTTGTCCAGCAGGATAGTGACCCGGTTGATGCTGCCGCAGCTCTGGAAGTGTGCCTGGATCTCCTCCGGCGAGGCGCCGTAGTCGACGTTGCCAACGAAGACGCTGCGGGCGTCTACGTCCTCCTTGTTCTCGCGCAGGTCGTTTGCAGTCTGGTCTAGGCTGTTCTGCATCTCGCGCAGTTTCGCGGCTTCTGCTTCCATCTCCTGCACACGTCGCTTCATCGCGGTGATCTCTTCCTGCGAATCGCCATCAGCACTTGTATCGTTCGAGTGTCGTTGACGCCTGGCGTCGGGGAGGGTGGTTCCATCTACCTCATCGTTTCCTTCGTCATCGCGCACGTCTAGCTCCTCAGCTTCGCGGTGGGGTTCTACGTCGGACATGGCGCACCCCTGTCTTGTTTTTTGCTCTTCAGAGTGAACTGGCGCAGAGCTGGGGTTAGCACTTGGATGTCGCAAGGTGCGAGGCACGGCGTCGAAGCACGCACAGGATGGCTCGAGGCCTATAGAGATGGCTCGGGGTCCGCGCAACGTGAACAGCGCGTGTCGGAATGGAAGTGCAAGCACTGCTTGCGTGGGGGAAATATATTGTGTCGGGGTATGATGAGGCTTAAGGAAGCACGTCGAGGTTGAAGGCGCCACGCGAAAGAGCCAGGAAGCTCCCGTGTGCACGGGCCTCGTAGCCCTGTCAGCTCCCCCGGACTCGTTTCTCTCATCCCATTCACCCTGTACGACTTGGCACACTTGGCACTGACTCTCAGTGATATCTTGGACGAGAATCGAGAATCGGAAAACGAGAGCTGCCAGAAGAACCATGAGTGAAGGACAGCCTCTGCTGCAGACGACGCCGGGGGGCTCGCAGAACTACCATGCCGCAGTCGCCAGAAGCCGCAGCACTTTGAGGCGATTCCTCACGTCAAGAACGGGCCATTACTCCATCCTGCTCCTTGTTTCTCTCGATGTCTCTTGCATCTTCGCAGGTACGAGGCGGCTCCCCGCTCCATGAAGCATTCAAGCAGTAACCCGTTTCGCAAGACTTCATCGTCAACATCTTCACATGCGAAACCCGCGGACCGTCGTCTGGCGCTAGCACTGCTCTTGAGGCTCTGGGGATCATCAGCCTGGTCTTCTCATGCCTGTTCATGGCCGAATTGCTCGCCTCTATCTGGGCATTTGGCCCAAAGTATGACGTTTATTCTTTGAAGCTTGTTTTTTCATCAGTCACTAATTCACGGCCAGGTATTTCAAGTCCAAATTCCACTGCTTTGATGCTTTGATCATCGTTGCAGGTTTTATCGTCGACGTTCTTTTGCGTGGTGTTATCGAAGAAGTCGCATCTCTAGTCGTCATCTTCCGTCTCTGGCGCGTGGTCAAGATCATCGAGGAGCTTAGCGTCGGCGCGCAAGAGGAGATGGAGGGTCTGTATGAGCATGTGGCAGACCTTGAAAAGCAGAACGAAGAGCTGAAAGAGGAGCTCAAGAGGTTCAAGGTTAGAGCCCCAGATGAGTAGATGGTGCCTAACAGCTATGATTGCAGTACTAGGACACAAGTCTGCTTAGGTTATTTCGTCTCGCGTACTTTCAGTAGTTAGGATCGACTGTGATATTGTTCGCGTTTTCACTTTCACGCATTATTCACCTCTTTGGAGCTTGCAGAATTTAAATCACCTAAGGGTATCCGAATCCTTCATTTCAATCATTAGCTAACGCCTTCGCTCAATGCATCATGCTTTTATGCTTTTGTGATGTATGGTACAAAGGGAAGTGTAGTATCATTCGTGTAGCATGCTCATCTATATCAGCTGGCCCGCGACATTGCGGCCCACTTTGTAGAAAGCTTTTGGTCTCGGTAGTCGTCCGTTAACCTATGATAGGATTAGTAACAGCAGAGCAATGGGAACATTGTCTCAACTTACCAGTGTTCCATCTCTGAAAGCAAGCTGGTTTTCGTATACAATTGGGATGAAAGAGGGCGGAAGACCGAGGAGCTTCTTGAGACCGTTACCATCCTCCTGCTCATCTTTCTGGCTTTCGGAGCTATCAGAAAGCTCTCCACTGGGTTGCTTGTCGGAAACCACTTCTGGGCTCGAGCTGCGTGGTTTCTTCGCCAACAATTTCTTCGGTGGCTCTATCTCAACGTGAGGATTCGAGCGATGGGTCCGCGCGAATGCTAGCTTCTTGCCAAATGTCGCCTTCCTAGACGGCCGCTGCTGGATCTCCTTGATCTTACGCGCTCTCTCTTCTGCATCCCAAGATACGTACTCCGGGAAAGCGGCATTGAAGTCCTTCGACACGATTGCTCGCTTTGGAGATATTTTTGTGGTTGGAACGAAGAGCGGTTCAGAACGCGGAGTGCTGTCTGTGGCGATTGACGATGTTAAAGCCGTCCGCATAGTGTCGCGTCCTCTACCAGAAGAGCGCACAGATGGATTTGGCGATATCGGGTCTGACTGAACGGCCATACTTCCCTCATCAGGTTGAGTGACTAGCGGGGCACTAAGCTCCTTAGGATGTTTGTCTGTTGGCACAGGCTGAGCGACTTGGTCCTTCGAAGAAGCGAGATCCTCCTGATGGCCTCCAGAAGCCTGCTCTTGGAGGGTTCGCGATTTGTTTGATGTGCGGTTTCGAGGAGAAGGCTCTGGTAAAGTGCCGATATCTTCGACGTCGCTGCTTGACTCAACCCAGTCCACACCGTGGCGCATTTGATTATCGCCGACTACTGAGTAATCTACCCGAATCTTGCACTTGTCTTCCAGGGAGAGATAGAGCGCCGGAGACACACTGTTAGACTCCCGAGGAGACAGACAGCCTCTTAGATCATCACCAGAAATCTCGTCCATGACCGACTGTCTCCTCCTCATGTACCTGACATTGCGAGGCCACTCTCGGAGGTTTTTGCAGCCAAGGGCACTCGCCTCGTTCTTATCGACATATCGGAGCGTCCTAATTTGACAACGGCCATTGTCCAGCAGCTCAATCCGGTCAATCTTGCCCCAGGCTTCCTTTCCGTCGCCTTTCCCATCGGGATGAGAATATTTCACCTCGCTCTCAGTTGAGTAACATTCGTCTTTGAGATGAACCGTTCGAGCCCGAGAATACACCTCCAAATCGCCGTTTGGAGCCGGGCCTTTGCTCAGTTTGTAGATTCCGCGTGTGACTTGTTGCCAATGAGAGCCTCCTTGCGATGAAGCCAACGGTGAACTGGCTGTCAGTTGGAAGTCGCTTTCTCTCTCGATTTCGAGACTCTCATCTTCGGACCCCGATGGAGATTGGTTCGGAGATGGTATTGAAGCAGCCTCAAAGCAGTCTGCCAGATCTCTCGCATACATTTGTTTGATTTCTCGAGCCGAGAATCGCCATCGCTTCCTATCTCCTCCTTCACTGGAGCCCAAGAAATGTTTATGCTGAGTCAGGACGGGGCCTAGGGTTTTCTTCAAGCGCACCATATTAGCTTTCTTGTGAGAAGGTAGAGTTTTGCAAAACCATTCCGCGATCTCTGCCATTGTTGGCTTTTCTTTAAGCGCAAGGAGTGCGAGGCCATTGATCTCTCGAAGCAAGAGCGAACGGCTGAAGTTCTGCATGGGCGTCGATGGCTTCTGTGATGCAGCTTCAGATCCCTCAGAGGCTTCAGCTTCAGACAGGACAGCGGGTTCCTGGAGCGGGGTTCCGGTTTTCTCTGTTGGAACTTCAGACAACGGAGACAGCGATGAGGTGTGATCTCTCTGGAGTATGCTTTCCACGATAGGTTTCTCTTTCGGTTGAGAAACACTAGGATCGGATTCTTGGTCTACATCCATCGGATCATCCAAGGAGCGATTAGGCGGTTGTGTTGGAATATTCAGCGACAGTAGAGGGGTTGGTCTTGGTGGCGACGTTGGCTGAACCGTGTTCTGCTGGACCACTGTTTCCGGTTCCAAGGCGGCAGATTTGGTAACATCGCGTGCAGCATTTTTTGCAATTTTGCATTTGGTACTGTATTTCTTAGCATCAATAACAACTCAGGGACGTGTTTACTTACCAGATGGGCTTACTGCCGGGAGCACCTGGAATCAAGCCCTTGCAGTGCGTACAGCGAACGGCCTTCGACTTTGATCTTGGAGCGGACTCGAGAGATTTGATGAGAGGTTGTGATTTCCTCATCTTTTCAGGCTTAAGCTGATTACCTTCGGGTTTATGAATATTTCCCTCTGTTGCCCTCTGGACTGTTGGGCTGCCTGCATCTAAGCTCGTGATTGGAGAGTCCATGATTACGCCACCGATACATACACTCGATGGAGAATCGAGTATCATAGATCCGTCGGTGAGCTCTTCCTCTGGATGGCTGGAAGTTTGCTCATGGGTCTTCTGCACTTTAGCAATTGAAATCTCCCTTGACCCCTTTTCACTTCGGTGAATGTACTCAAGCTTTTCTGCTTCAACTCCCGGACTGTCCGCGTCACTCGCCTCGCCGGTTTCAATTGCCCCCAAGTCACCTGTTTTTCGCCAGAGTCGTCGAGGTAGGTGTTGATTGATAAGTGGGTCTTCATCGCTCGCAGTGTATTCAACTTCGCCACGCGGCTTGGCTGAATTATAGCCTTGCATGGCTTGTTCGTGCTCATCAGCCAGCATTTTCTTGAACCACGGCAGATCGTGATTCTTGGCGGCGACCCGGTAAGCATTCCATAAATCTAAAGCTTTGCCAGATCCTGCGCGAGGACCGGCTTCAACTTGCTTCTCGACGTCGTCCATATTCAAGGGCTGAAGATCAGTATTGTGTGTCCAGGCGCTGTTGAGAGGCTCTATTAGCACGAGTACCGTTGAGTATGAGAGATGCGGGTACTTACAATTCATTTGTGCCCAAAAACATGATCGGATATCGCCTGCCTTTGGTGGATCTACCACCGTTCTGGAATTCTTCCCGATACGTGCCGTCAATAGGCTTCGCGCTTACTGGGCGCGTGGTTATTAGGTCCTTTGTGAGCATCTCTTCGTCGCATATGATAGCCGGCCAGGGAGAATGGCCTCGATACTTGACAATCCAACACTGGCCTGGCACCATGTCAAGCTGCAGCACTGGAACAGACTTCCTGCTGCGACCAGCAGGTCTGCCAGAAGCAGTCGCATCGTTGGTGGCGATAGCGCCAGCTGGATCTTTAGGACTGGCATCTGTACTACTAGCTACGGTAGGAGACTTCAAGGCATTGTCTGCGTTCTCGGCCGGATTTAGATCTCGCGGCGCAGGTGTGCCATCGGTCGCGACAACCTCAGCTGGATTTTCAGGATGTACTCCTGCGCTATCGGGTAAAGTTGGTGAATCTGATATGTTATTCGGGTATGGGGCTGAATTAGGATCTTGTGCGTGGCTATCAATCTCAGAGCAGAGACTACTATGCACAGCAGGCGCAGACGTGCCATCCATAGCGACAAAGTCGGCTGGGACTACAATCTCAACTGTGTCTTCGGGGCCATCTGTTGCGGCATTTGGTAGAGCTAGCATTTCTGATGCACTCGTCGGGTCTAGAGTACGGTTGACCTTGACTCTTCCATTTTTCACGCAACGGTAACACCCCCAAGAGGATCTGTCAAAATATCAGTATCTGAGACATCTGCTATGCATGGAAACATACGCTGGCTGGTTCTCATCCGGAGTGGGTCTTTGACAGGACTTGTGAAATCTCCTGGGACAGAAATTGCACGGGACCAATGGGTTGCGTGCGGTCACGTGAGCCCCTTTGCATTCGTGACATCTAAGCTCACGAGGCCTGGACGTAGTCGAGGAGTGTTCAGAGGGGGTAATGATGCTCGAACTGTCATCTTCTAGAGGGGTTCGTGGAACTTGAGTGAGACCAGCCGGTATTGCGCTGCCGTGCGACATGGTTACACTCTTCTCCATGGTCCCCTTTTTTCCCTTATCTACCTGCACATCACCGTCTACATTCTCCCCATTGACTGCAGTACCCAAGTCAAATGCCTTTTGTACAGCTGTAAAGCTACTACTTCCAGGGAGTGTTGAGTTGTCGCTAGTCCCTTCGAGAAGAGGAATTTTTGCCCAAGTAGTGCTTGATTCGAGTTTGTCTGCTCGAGTTTCTGCGACGTCTATTCCGGATGCTTCACTAGAGGTGGTATACTTGGTCATGTCGGCAATAGCAGGCTCCTCAAATCCAGGTGACGAGATTGGAAAATTTGCGCCTTTCTCTGAAGAACTGATCGGTTTAACAGCTTTTCGAACGTCTTCGGACCGTGGCGTGCTTGTCTCAGGCTCCTTCAGAAACGGAATCATCTTGATTGTCATCCCCTTATCTAGGAGCCAGGAACTGCTGTCAAAGATGTACGGTCTGCTGAGATTCCGCTCCAAGTAGCACTTTTCCGCATGTTCGTTTGTAGGGAACTTGACATAGAACCCGTGTTCTTCATCGATTTCGACGTCCGAAACTTTGTAGTCCCTCAGCCATATCGCAATGCCCTTCGCATTGCTCTGGTTAGCATCGAGGTTGTTGAACCTGGCAGAAATGAAAAGGTACGGATGCCTTGGCTTTGATTCCGGAGAGGGAAATTCGAAACTACAATTCCCATAGGGCCGGGCTTCCATGATCATTATGTAGTTGAACAGTAGTTTATAGTCACATTCTTCTACGCAACGCATCATCTCCTCTTCTCCTTCTTTCGAATCTTCAAATATAATGAAGTAGCCCGAGTCATCCGCCTTCACATCTCGCCAATCGTAATCTTTCAAACGTCTCTCTAGATGGGGGATTGTTGCCCCACGCACCGGAACGGATGAACGCGAGATGAAAATGTAAGGTTTCTGGCTGAGGGTTGGAACGACAGGTGTTTTCTCGATAGGAGGGTGTGGTGGTGCTAGCACCCTCGGCCCCGTGGGGACATTTGGCGGGAGGTCGCCAGAGGCCGCGGGAGTGCTAACTGTAGGCGTCCTTGAAAGTTCCTCTGTGGCAAGCGGTAGCGGCGATCGCGCGCTGGGAGCCGAAGGTAGCCTCCGCTTTGGCGTGAGTGGACTACCTGACTGAGAAGCGTGACTGGGCTTCTCTCCATTGGTGGGTGAGATGTTTCGCTTTCGTTTGAGAGTGCTATTCAAGTGTGGAGATTGATGATGCATTGCTGGCATGAGTGAGAGCTCTCGTCCGCTATTGCTGGGTGTGACTTGTCCCCATTGGACTGCAGTTGGGTTTTCTGGCCTGAATGCATTTGCTTTTCTACGATGTGAAGATACCGAAGTTGAGCGGCTCGAGCTAGCATCGCCGCTGAGGTCTAATGAGTAGAGGTTAGTTGTGTTTGCATGGCTGGCGTGGCGACCATTACCAGACGATGTATGTTTGAAGGTCTAACGACTCAGGTTAGCAGAGTCCCAATATCATACTCTGAATGCGAAGGAAAAAGCAAGTGTTCAGATCTTTTCAGTTTTTTATTGAGTCATCAAGTCGCGATCTGGGAGGCTCCATGCTCTCATGCCATTTCTGTGTCGAGTGTCTCGGCTATGCGAGCCGTCGAGATTTCAGTCCTTGAAGCAGAGAAATATTCGCTGTACCCCACTGCCATTGGTGACACCTCGTGGGAAGACCAAAGTGCTACTCCATAGATGGGGCCCTCTTGCGAGGCAAATGTACTCCCAAAGCACCCAACCGCGCCTCCCTACCTCAGGAGGCGCGTACCGAGATCTGGAGAGCCTGCAAAGGAAGCAGAAAGGTCGAAAGCAAACGCAAGCTTCCTCAACGACAGGATACAGCATGGCAAGAGAGTTGCAACCGTCACCAGACCATATGCGATATGACCTTTTACCATTGGTTCATCACGACGGGATAGAGAGAGAGAAGGAACTGGAGTGACTGACATTGGATGCTCTGTGGTGGGCATTGTGAATGCGAACCGGTGAGGTTGGCGGTGGCTCGCCGGAGTGCAGAGCGCGGCGGCGAGGCGAGTCCATGCTAGGGCCCTGCTGGAAAGATCAGTAGAGGGACGCAAGGGGAATGGCAGGGTGATGACGGACCCAACTCACCAGCCCTGGGAGGGGCAGCCAAACCTAAAGAGAAGACAGCAAAATGTGAAGACGGCGAGCTATGTGAACGCTAAATCGCGAGCCGCTAGCGCCCGTCGCGTCGAGCTGAGCACGGGCCAGGCGGGTCTTGCACGGTCGCGTTTGGATTGCGGCAGGACGGGAGAGGAGGGCAGCACGGCAGCTGCGGATATAGGTTGTACTCTGCTCTTCTGAGAGACAAGTGAAATGTCGACTGAGTTGTAGGTAGCTGCGATAGACGCCTCCTCAGGGACATGCAACACCGCCACACCGTCAATGTCGGGTCAAATGAGTCGACACGCGGGGCATAAAAGAAGTGGCACTAGAGTTTCAAGCCTGAGGGGAGCTCTTCACCTTGGTCTATTTGAAAAGTCGTTGAAGCCCTCCAAACACTGGCAGACAGGTGTATGCACACCAGAGGACTTTTTGAGTGTGCCACCTTTCTCCCACCCGCGTGGTCGATTAGGCATGGTGGGGCAATTTATAGCCGACACTCTCGAATAGTCGTCAGGCGAAGGACGTCGCGCGTTGAAAGTGTTGATACTGATACTCTCCTATCACGCTCCTCCGTAGCTAAACCTGCAGATTCTCCACTGCCAAACCTCACACCGTCCCTCCTAGGCCTCCTAGGCGCTCATGGACTTCCTGAAGTCTGCGGTGGCTTCGGCGATCTCGAAAGGGCCACCATTTCCGTACTCCTTCAGCGACAGAGTTGACGTCGACCAGTCCATCTGGACCTTGCACAACGGCACAAAGCGAGTATGGCTGCAGCGTCCTCCCTTCCAACCATATCTAATTCAAATCTGCTAGGAAGACAGCTCCAAATGTAGCATATTCTCCTTCGATGTCACCGCCAACAAGTCTCGACTACCTCTGGCGCGCAATGCCCTCCGAAAGCTACGCACGCTTCGACATCCAGGGGTCGTCAAAGTCCTCGACACCGTTGAGGTGCGTCCTACATCACGACTAGTCCTCGCTGAAGCTCAACATTGCACAGACAGAAACCTACATCTACATCGCGACCGAGCGCCTGACCCCACTAAGCTGGCACACGAGACGGAAAGCCCTGGCAGAGGAGACGATGAAATGGGGCCTGCATAATGTTGCTGTAAGTTGGAGACACACGCGGTAGTTTTGGCGGTTCTAACATGGCGAAACTGCAGAAAACCGTGAAGTTCATCAACACCGATGCGACGTCCGTCCATGGCTGCATCCGCACTTCCTCCATATTCATGAGCGAGAGCGGGGAGTGGAAGCTGACGGGCTTTGATGTACTCAGTTCTATGAAGGATGACGACGCCATAATATATGTGCGTATACACCCCTGAGGAGTCCAGTGCGGTCTGCTAACCTCAGCAGACTTATGGCAGCCTTTTGCCCGACTCCGGACGGTATGCCTCTCCCGAAGTATCAAAATCTGGCTGGGAAGCCATTCGGCAAAATCCTGTTCACGCTGTTGATGCCTACGATTTTGGTATTCTAATATTTGAGGTTTTCACCGGCACCTCCATAGGTAATGAGCAAGTGGGGCAGACAAAAACCGTGCCGCCGAGTATGCATCAGAGCTATAAGCGGTTACTGAATGCGAACCCAAAGGCAAGATTAAGTGTAGGACAGTTTTTGGATCAGGGCAGGAGGCATGGAGGATTCTTCCAGACCCCCTTAATTCAGATTACCGAAGACATTGATAATCTTGGCCTCAAAGCTGATGCTGAACGAGACGAACTTCTGAGGTAAGGGACCCCGATCTTGCTATGTGACCTGTAGCTGATTTGTACCTTTCAGCCAACTAGACGATGTAGCAGATGATTTCCCAGAGGACTTTTTCAAGATGAAGGTTCTCCCAGAACTGCTAAAGTCGGTGGAGTTTGGTGGTGGTGGGCCGAAAGTCTTTGGAGCGATCATGAAGATCAGCTCCAAGCTTTCAGACGAGGAGTACGATACCCAGATTACCCCAGTCATCGTGAGACTCTTCTCTAGCCCCGACCGAGCTATACGGGTTTGCTTGTTAGACAATCTTCCTCTTATGATCGAGCATCTTTCTCAAAAGATTGTCAACGACAAGATCTTCCCTCAAATGGTATGTCACTTATGCCTTTGTATTCCTACATTTTCCGATCATACTAACTCTTAGCTTGAAGGTAACAGGTTTTACGGATGTTGCACCTCTAGTTCGAGAACAGACTGTCAAGGCTGTCCTTACAATAGTACCGAAACTGTCAGATCGAATTATCAACGGCGAGTTGCTTCGATACCTTGCAAAGACGGCAAATGATGAGCAAGCAGGCATTCGAACGAATACCACAATCTGCTTAGGGAAAATCGCACGAAACCTTGGCAACCATGTAAGGACATGCGGAGCGAGAATCTCTTGGAATATGGACTGACTGGACAGACCCGTACGAAAGTGCTTGCTGCAGCTTTCGCGAGATCGTTACGAGACCCTTTCGTACACGCTCGTAACGCAGCCCTGATGGCATTAGCTGCCACTTGTGACTTGTTCAGCGAGGAAGACTGTGCCACAAAGCTTTTACCCGGTATATGTCCATCTCTAGTAGACAAAGAAAAGTACGTGACAGCTTCCGCTCGCCTTTCTCGCCCGCGTGTCCTAACTGCTTAACAGGATCGTCCGAGACCAGGCTAATAAGACATTCGATCTGTACCTCCAACGCATTCGCAAATATGGCCAAAGCCTTCCAGACACCGCTCTTCCGCCGCCCACAGCCGCCGGAGTTGCAACCACAAACACACCACGAATGGGAACGCCCCAGCAAGACACCTCCTGGGCTGGGTGGGCCATTTCTTCATTCACCAAAAACCTTGCTACTGCCAGCGGAGAGATGCAATCCGGAGCCAACGGCAACGGAGTTCCTGCTCCCCAAGAAGGGCCATCGTCTGTGCCGCCTACTACTTCGTCCAAAGCCAACAGAACCCTTGGAACTAGCTCATTACAGCGTTCCCCTCTCATCAAGACCAACAGTAGCTCTGCAAATCCGTTCTCCGCGCCGTCTTCAGATGTTGCTGACAACGAGAACGACATCGAAACGCAAGATTTCAGCGCTGCCTGGGGCGATGAGGATGAGGACGCCGATAAATCCTCGGCGTTTGACCCCTTCGCCGCCAAACCCACTCCAGGTACACCTGCAGTCCACTATGACGATGGCGGGGAGCCTGATTTCGCAGGATGGCTGACGGCACGGTCGGTCGCAAAGAATAAACCAAAGAATCCGCTACCGAAGGGACTGACAAAGACAGCCAAGCTGACCACGTCCCGGCCTATCGTTGCAGGAAGGGCTAACACGACCGGGCACACAGCTACGAAGAAAACCTCCATGGCACCGCCGAAGCCGGTGCCTAAAAAGGTGGAGCAGAAAGCTGAAGTTGAAGACGAAGGGTGGGGTGATGCTTGGGATTGAGGAGGGCTTAAGGATCCTTATAAACTCCTTACATGCCACCCGAGACGGACGACCTCGACAATGACAAGTCTATATGCGCTAAGCTGGCTTCGCATATAATGATGGAAATAATATGAGGATGTATGGAGTCGGACGAATCACTACCTAACGCGCAGCCTCTGGATTGGTCTAATCTGGTCAAGCTTCGAAATTCAGATGTAAGATGCCCAATCCAAGGAGGTAGATTAAGCGCTGGATAGGACCGTCTTCTTGTCTATACCCACTTAATAAGAGAAAAGACCGCGGAATGCATACGTACCCTATGGCTTTTAGAAATCTGAATTAGAGGCTGGCATAGTGGAACTTTGGTTTAGTGGTCACTAATCGTTTACCTGCTAGCTCGGTGGCTCTTTACAATGATGTCGAGCGCGAGCCAAACTGAAGCCCGAATAGTAGTATATCTGTGTCCCTAAACTTGTGACCGGGGCTCCAGCATGAGTGCTGTACGATGTCTCAACATAGATTTCCGTATACTCGTTTACCGCTGCGTGAGAGTCTCAGCGATTTGAAAAACTGAAGTTCGGCATTTCTAACCACTAAACTCGCGAGGCTATCCTAGAAAGCGTCAGCAGGCTGTACGTAGATTGTAAATGTATCTGCTGTCCACAGTTATCATCAGTACGTTGTAGCCCCCCGCAGTGGTATGGAGTCAAGTCACGTGAGACTAACGTTGGGAGGTCATGTTTTGACTAGGCTTACTCCTAGTGAACATAGTTTCGCTATCCCAAAAGCCTTAGAATTATTTAGATTCCAATTTCTGCCCCCATCACCTCCCCCGCTCTCCCCCAGCCAGTAATTTTGCTTCACGGACCTCCGCCTTTGTCAGACCGCATGTGTCTAGGAATTCGACCCAAGCAAGGAGGATCTTCTCGAGACCATCCCGCAAAGCTTCCACGACCTCTTTCACTTCTGGAGCATCCTTCTTCTCATAGTCGATCTTCCCCATAACCAAATCCTTCTTCTGAGCGACACTCATCCCCACATAATCGATGTCCGTCCAATGAACGTTCAGGCTCGTCACAAAAGCATCAATCTGTTTGATCGCTGCTACGAATGCCCTGATGATGTCAGGAACGTCCTTCTGCACCCGCCCATATGTGTCCTCTTTTAGACTACACGCTACAAGCCCAGCCAAGGCAGTGGCGGCATCTGCAATTGGCCCTGCATGGCTAAATGGCGTTCCAGCCACTACGACTGTAACAGTACGGATGAAAGAATGCCTGAATGGGATACCGGCAGGTGAGTGGATGAAGTTGTTGACCAAGTCTGACGCCCTCTCTTTTACGGCCGGGTGGTTGGATGGTGTCATTCCTGACTTGGCCATCAGGCTGCTTCCAAAGTCCAGAAGTTTCACGGCGCGCGGGCTGGATCCGGGCCGGGGAGACTTGGTCTTCACGAGGTCGCTAGCGATCTTTTCGAGACTGCCCCTAGTACCCTTGGGTGGGGTGCGGGTCACGATCTGGTCTTCCTTGAGAGGTTGTGAGATGCGAGGGACGAGATCGACGACTGGCGGTGCTGCGACTGTATCCGGATCGGCTTTGGGCGATTGGACTGCCTCGATACGTTCACCGATCCCCTTTATCTCGGCGAGACATACATTCCGAATCTTGCTCCAAGTCGAATCCTCTTTGTTGTCACGTCCAAGTTCCTGGTAGATCGTCTTGCGGCGGTTGTCGAAGCGGGTTGTGATCAGGACCAGCTCCCAAAAAGCAACATTCTATTACATATTAGCGGAGAAAATCGATAATGATTTCAAGAGACTTACCCGCGGCACTTCCTTCTTGGCCTTTAAGCCGCTCAGGAGACTCCCGTTCGGATCCTTTGAGTCGTCCGTTATTGGCTTTCCATTCTTGAGCGGCTCTTGGCCAACATATGCATCGAATGCCCTGTTGGTAAAGCGCCACAAGTTGACGAGGAAGAAGCCTTGGGTAACGAAACTCCACCAGATAGTGGGGAAATTGACTCCGCCAGGTTTACCAGTCCTCCCAAGGTTGAAAAGATGTCTGGCGACGGAAAAGTACCAATCCCATAGCGTGAGCCGGAGGAAGACGAAGTAGAGAAAGCTGCCCCCGAAAAGGGTAACGACTGTAGTCATCACAGTCACATTCAGCGATACAATCCAGCCACTCTTCAGCTGTGTCGCTGCCGGTACCACAGGACTGGTATTCTGACCTGATGGCCCCTTGCGCACCTTCAGAACTGGAAAGGCAATTCGGTCGTAATCTGCGAAGAGGTGGATTGAGGATTGAGCCACGGCGAGGCAGAGGAATAGGAAACGAAGGTAGATGGGTCGTTCATTGAGGCGGATGCGCTCGTGATACCTAGATCCAGTCAGCTCCTGCTGCTCTTGTTATGAATGCCTCTAAACGTACTTTCCAGCATCTATCCATCCCAACTTCGATTCGGTAGGTTGCGAGTAGATGAAGACCTCGCTGAACCACCACGCCGAGAATATGTAGAAGGCCAGCGTCTGCAGGGTGTGCCATCGGAAGAGGTATTTCGTCAAGGTTTCGTAGGGGACGGTTGTTGTTCGCTCGCCGATATGCATCTGTGACACTCGCAATATGTAGATAGCCAATGCTGATATAAACAGCAGGAGGGTCCGTATTCCGGCAGGGCCTACGGGCAACCATTTCCATACGACTAGAACTGCTTGATTAGCAGGTTGCTTCGCGTGGTCAGAAGAGCAGGCTGCTTACAGCTCCCTTGGCCCATCCACACAGCAATAGAATAGCATGTACCCAGGGTATATAAGCTAGCGCTCGTGAATCTTCGATGTAGCGCAGGCGTTAAGAAGTCGCGATACCGCGGTTTGGTGGGCGCCATGGTCGTAGGGTGGAGGAGCCGCTTGGCGCGCTGGAGTCGAAGTTAGAGGAGGGCGCACTTAGACTAGCATGGCAGGTTGTGAAAGCGACAATTGTAAACACCGTCTCCCTCCGCCTGAGGTAGCCAGTCAAAATACCAGGCCTTTCACAAATTTGGGCTTCGGATTACGGAAAGTGGATTGGAACACTTCAAGCGGCGTCGGAACAGTGCGAAAGAGAGTGACTAGTGAATGGTACAAGGTGAAACAAAGAAAGTGGCGTGAGAAGTGAAGGATTGGAGCTGTTGGACGGTGAGGATGTTCTGGTATTGACGACCTCTCCACAGCAAAAACACCGGCCTTGGCGCGTCGCTGTCGGCTCGTCCAGCCTTGCACCAGCTGAGTGCGCGGACGGGATCACAGGCTGGCGTCTCCCCACGACCAGCTGTCCTGGTGAAACACGCGGGAGTGGCGTCCAATCGCATTGCGGAGATGCCCCCTTGTTTGGCACCCCCGAGATCGTGAAAACACCTCTCGGAGCAGCAGGTAATGGCTCCCAGCCTTTCACCAGTCGCTCGTTCTTCTCTTTAGCGGTGCCTTCCCCCCCTCTCCCTCTCCTCTCCTCCACTCCCCTCGCTCTCCTATACTCTGCGAGAGCCTCCTGCCAGGCTGTATTTCTGTACCCTTGCTTCTCTCGATTCTGGGTCTGCTTCAATGCTTGAATCCAGATCTCTTGTTTCTGTCGGTTGCATTCGGGTCAATTGAGTTCTAAACTTCATATAATGCCTGTTAATCCTTCAGCAATTGGTGTAGCATGCCTGTCATTGCTCCCTCTTGCTTCCGCTTTCTACCCATACACACCTGTATACACTGACACCCCAACTCCTCGGGGTCGCTCACTTCGCCTTGATTCACGAATCGATTCTCAAGATGGCTCCTTCTCCCTCCCAATACACCGCACACCCCTCAGGCGGACGAACACGTACAACATAATCAACAACAACACCCCAAAGCAATCTGATAGCGTAGCAGTGGATCAAGATGGGACAGACTTCTCTTATATGGTAGCTGTCACTTTTGGGACAAGCTCGGAGGAGTACCATCTACTGGTAGATGCAGCATCTTCGAATACTTGGGTAATGAGTAGCGAGTGTGAGACAGATGCTTGCAAAACGCATAGCACATTTGGGAAAGAAGACTCAACATCTTTGACTGTGAGTCTGTTCAATCGAGCGAGGAGCGTTGATGAGTCTCCATCTACTTCCCTTATATTATAATGTTGCATGTTCAACATCTCTTTCTGCACCATGTCATGCCTTATTACAACTTTATACTCAATTATATACATCAACTTCTCTGCGGAAGGAACTCATTTCTCTTTCTTTACGAACTACCAACCCGTATCTAACACTACCTAGGTGTCAGATCAAACATTCAGCATAACATACGGCACCGGCCAGGTCAACGGCACTGTAGCAACTGATGACGTCCACGTTGGAGATCTCAGCGCTTCTCTCACCTTCGGCCTGGGTATCGGAGTTTCAAGCGATTTCACGTCCTACCCTATGGATGGCATTCTTGGCCTCGGACGAGGCGACTCAACTTCCAACGCAATCGAAGCGCCCTCACTCATGGACCTTCTGAGTACGAAATCGCTGATCAAGGCCAAGTTATTTGGTCTGCACCTTTCCCGGACATCAGATGGTGACAATGACGGCGAACTAAACTTTGGTGCGCCTGATACCGAACGCTATAGCGGCGACCTCAACTACATGTCCGTGATTGAAAACGAGGATGGATTCTGGGAGATTCCGTTAGACGATGCTGGCGTGGATGACAAGACCCTTGGGTCGAAAGGCCGGTCTGCAATAATTGACTCTGGCACATCCTGGCTCATGATGCCCGAGGGCGACGCAGTAGCTCTCCATAAACTCATCCCTGGGTACACGCAGAGCGGGGAGACTTTTACGGTACCATGCACGTCGAAACAGGCGGTGCAGCTCACGTTTGGAGGCGTGGTTTACAATGTCTCCACGGCCGATTACATTGGGGGTAAGCTGAGCAATGGGGCTTGTTCAAGCAAAATCATTGGACGGCAGACCTTCGGCCCCCACCAGTGGCTAGTTGGGGATGTTTTCCTCAAGAATGTCTACACTGTCTTCGATCTCGACGATTCCAGAGTCGGCTTTGGTGTCAAGTCGGAAGAAGCAGTAGCAAGCAGCACCGTTTCCTCGTCAGCCTCCGCAACTGGATCGCCTACAGCATCAGGTACGCCATCCAATGCTCCCACGTCCACTGTCGAGGAATTCTCCGGTGCCTCAGCGACCCCTACTTCCCTCAAGACATGTACTGCAGGCTCAACGTCATTCTCAAACTCGGGCTCCGCTAAACTCGCCCCTACAGGCACAACTTTGTTGACTGAGGCTTCTACCCCAACTGGCACTGCTGTAGTGACTGCAGAATCTCAGCAATCCCCGAGCGCAACCGCTTCGCCGACGAACAAAGGAGCAGCCGTTCGAAGTGCGCCGTCAAGCACTCTGCTTTCGGCGCTTTTTATGCTTTTTGCGTCGTTTCTTAGATGATCATGATGGGTTTCTCGTGTTGAGGACTATGTATGATCTTTCTAGTGGGATTATCTACTCCCGCCCTACATAGTGAAGACTTCGGACATCAATTGATGTTCAAGGAGCTAGCAGCATTGATTGAGGGAATCCACGACGGCTACTGCGATATCTTATAGGCCCTTGTGTTTTTTTTAGCTGGAATTCAGCATTGCATGGTGGGGTATAGCATAGCACAGCGTCCCGGAATCTAGCCAAAGTGGATCTCCGTTTATAGATTTGTGCTCTTAGCTCGACTTGAAAAATACAGAGCGACGAGGAACTACAAAAAGAGAACCGATGATGCATATGATCTAATTGCAATTGATGTGAACATGTATAGGAACGAGAGCAATAGAAGGACCGGAATCTGAAGCAGTAGAGATAGTTTGGGTACATTGCTCACGTGATAACGACTGCCTCTGATTGGCTGCCAAAAATCGTGGGGAAAGCAGAAAAAGTTCAATGTCGAAGCACCATCCGAATTCACTCCGCCACGCAAACCACGTCCCTCCCCTTTCTCGGCTGAACTGTGCACAGCCGGTATTACGGCAGCTCGCACAGTCCTTCGGCTCTCTAAATTCCACGCTAAATATGGCCACACTCTCTTTCTCACCGACAACCTCGAATTCCTCGCATACCCTCTCCGCCCAATCTGCGCACCCGCCTCCAATGAACCTTTCCAACCCAGGCCAGCTAGCCTTAATATCGAGCCTATCTACCGCCCCGCACACATTCCTCCAACCGCCCCGCGATTTACATGATGCAGCACTCGCCCTCGCGAAAAGATTTCTTGACCCGCTAGCAGCGGGGGTGAGCGAAACACATGCACAGCGACAAAAAGAGGAGCGGAAGAAGAGGAAGAGAGGCGAGTGGGATCATTCGGATTCCAGGATGCTGAAGATAAAGAAGGTACACTTGGATGGATTTGGGGTGGAGCAGGTTTGGGAGCAGGCGAGACGGGTGCTGGATGCGACCAGAGAGGAGGTGGAGAAAGCGTTGCCAGATGAGGACGATGTTGTTTATATGAATGGGACCTCGGGAATAGAAAATGGCATGAAAACTATTCGGTTTGACGAGGATGGGTTTGAGATGAGTGGGGAGGACGAAGATCTCATGGAAGATGTCGATTCTGATGAAGAGGATGAGGGCGGATCATCTGAGGAGGAGTCTGGAAGTGAGGGATCTGAGGTCGAAGATGTTGAGGAGCTCGAAGACGAGGACATGGGCTCAGACAATGAAGATTTCGATGACGAGATTTCTCAAGACGAAGAACCGGCCGACGAATTTATACCCGACCCTAATGGGCTTAATGATGGATTCTTTTCTATCGACAATTTCAACAAGCAATCGGCCTTCCTGGAACAGCAAGACATAAGAGGGGAGGCGGCCGCAAGTGATGACGAAGAAGTAGACTGGGATGCCAATCCACTGTCTGGAGTCAATGGTGGCTTTGAAGATGCCGGTCTCGAAGGTGAAGCCGGAAACGAAGAGAGCGATGATGATGACGAAGAAGGACCAACTTTCGGTCATGTCGACTTGAATGCACCAGAAGGCGAGAGCGACGACGACGAACCTCTAGAAGATGGCGACCTGGATGACCTTGGAGGTATGACCAGCACCAACAATATCATGTATGCCGACTTCTTCGCTCCGCCTGCCCAAAAAGCAAGCAAAAGCAAAAGGAAAAGTGGACGCCCAAATGCTCACAATTTTCCCGCGGCGTCTGATCCCCAAATGACTGCCCCAGAAGACAACATAGAGCGTACGATGGCTGCCGTTCATCGAGATCTCTTCGAAGACTCAGACGGAGCGGAATCTAATGGTGATCTGTCAGACTTAGATCCCGCAGACCCCAAATCCCGCCGATCAGCTCATCAACGCAGGCAGGCTAAGATTGCAGAAGAGATACGGAAACTCGAAGCAGTTAATGTCGCCAAACGGGATTGGACACTCTCTGGAGAAGTACGAGCCGTCGATCGCCCGATAAACTCTCTTTTGGAAGAGGATCTTGAATTCGAGCGTGCAGGCAAGCCAGTTCCTGTCATCACAGCCGAAGTCAGCGAAGACATCGAGGCACTCATCAAACGACGCATCATTGCCGGCGAATTCGACGAAGTGCGGAGACGACGGCCAGACGATTTGGCTACAGGTTCAGGCGCGAGGAGAGGCAGATTCGAGCTGGACGACTCCAAGTCTGCCAAGGGCCTCGCCGAAATCTACGAGGAGGATCATCTTCGCAAGAACGACCCGAACTTTGTCGACGCCAAAGACGAGAAATTGAAAAAGGAGCACGCGGAGATTGAGACGCTGTGGAGGAGCGTGTCAGGGAAATTGGACACTCTATGTTCGTGGCACTATAAGCCGAAGCCGGCCGCGCCGAGTCTCGAGGTTCGTGTCGACGCTCCGGTAATCCAGATGGAGGATGCTAGGCCGACAACTGGCGGTGAGGCCAACATTAGCATGCTGGCTCCGCAAGAGGTGTACAAGCCTGGTGTCGAAAGGACGAAAGAAGAGGTCGTTACAAAGGGTGGACTGCCGGTTGCCCGCGACGAAATGTCGAGAGAGGAGAAGCAGCAGAGGCGGCGAAGGGAGAAGGAGAGAATCAAGAAGGCTGGAAAGAATGAGGGCGGAAAGGCGAACCAGGAGAGCAAGAAGAGCAAGGAGAAGAAGCAACTTCTTGGAGACTTGAAGAAGGGGAGTGTTAAGGTCATTGGCAAGCGGGGCGAGCTGAGGAATGTTGAGGGTAAGGAGGTGAAGGAGGCAGCGAGGGTTGGTGGTGGAAGCTACAAGCTTTGATATAGCCACTCGTAGTTTGTGTGCTTTCAATACGTCAACAAGCGTTTTGTGCTGAGCCTTTATACCCATCGTGCCACATAGAACCGTACCTTTCTTCTACTTTTCAGGCGTCACCGCAAGCGCTCAAGATATTCGTATTAAGAACATGTCACATTTGACACATTCAAAGGGAGTGTCAATACAAAACAAGTCTCTATCAGTTTGTCCATCTTCGGACGGAGTCACGCATACTTGGCAATAGGGCATTCTTTCACTAACTGGAGTACCTACGCATTTCTAGCTACAAGTCCTAATGTAAGATCTATCAAGGCCCATTAAAAGAGCAAGTGCGGCTTTCATGCGAGCAGGAGCGCTAATAAAAGCACCAATCGAGCAAGTGGACGATAGTATTGATGCATTCCCGTCTGAGCTCGAAGTAGTCTTGGCCAAGGCAAGAACAGCGCGCCAGTAGCCATTGTCGAGTGAGGGCGGGAGCGAGGAGGAGCAGACCGCAACTCAGCAGCAGGCCGAGGCACATCAACAGAAGATGGAAGCCGACAATGAGCTGCAGAAAGCTGAGGAGTAGGCGTTGAGGCTTGAGATGCAGCAGGAAGACTAAGAGATCGAGTCGCTCCACAATGCAAAAGCGCTTGCGCAGAAAAGATGCATCTAGCACCTAGCATCAGCCACTGCGCACTGGACAAATCATGCACAGGAAGACCATCTCTCGGAGAAATTCGCTCGGCTATCATCTTGGTTTACGAAGTTGACGGATGAGATGTTTGGAATGAGGCCTAGCTAGGAAGCAAATCGCACTGCTGGCGCGAAGCTACCCCAAACAGCGTCAACAAGGTGTACACCAAATGGAAGTGCATCCGCTGCCATTGGTTTCTATTAGTACATTGGAGTCCCACAGACAGTGACAGGAAAGTGTACGAATATCTATGGCCAGGCCCTGTATCTTAGTATCAGACCCTCGAGCATCCTAACCACTCCATTTATTTTCACCTATAACTTCCATCACGGTAATGCTAGCATCAAGACGCAAGTTCGGACTAGAAGAAAGTCTTGTAGGATTTCAGACATCGAATAGCATGTCAACAGCCCACAGACGGGAGTTGAAAGGGCGCTACAACAGGGACTACCAGATGGTGACCTTGCTAGGTCTACAGTATAATGCCCACCCAGTATCTCTACAATCAGCCTTTCTTTGATACTCCATCAACTTCATTGCTGGATCTTGGGTCGTTCAACGTTGTGCTGGTTCATCACCAGAGCCAGCACCACTCCTCCGTTGACTCATAGCGCGAATAGCTCGCCCAGTGATTGTCCTCAGAGGTAGCCGCGTCCCAATACTTGCCTTTGTGCCCTAATCCATAATCTCGGACCCTTGGAGCTCATAGAACTTCTTTGCTTCGTCGGCGTTCGACTCCTGAGAGGCATCTTCCTTCGCATCTTCCGTTAGAGACTCCACCTCAGGCTCTTCAACGAGTGAATCTGGCTTAGCTTCTTCCGCTGGCGAATGTACCTTAGCTTCATCCACGGACGGCGGCTCTACCGTCACCTTCTCCGTGTCAAAGCGAATACCAGGTACGTCCTCAGCTGCATGCCTCATATCCAGCAGCTTCTGCTTGTGATCGTTTCTTCCCAGCCAGCTAGCGTACCAAGTCGGTTCGCCGTGCTTAATCCGACATCTTGAATCCCACCGCTTATCCACAGCACCGCACTGGAGCCAATGGTTCTTATCACCATCCTTGACCCTGCTCCGATCCATGCAGTCGAGACACAAGCCATCGAAGTATGCCTCCGTGGCGCGGACGCCGCCAAAGACCACTCCGATCCAATTGATGTTGCAATCGGCGCAGTCGGGCGCGGCAGATTGATGCTTGAATTGGCGTATGCGCTGTGTAATCTCGCAAATAGAGGTGCGGAGGGTGAAGTCCTCCAAGGGGAAGACGTTCAGGTTGACGAGCTCAGACAAGTACTCTGAGATGGTGACTTTCCAGCAATCGCACGAGTGCGGGAGTCGCAGAAGGTTGCGAGCATGAATCCAGAGGCGGGAATGCAGGATTGTCTTGAGGCGGCCACGGGCCTGATTCATAGAGCCTAGTAGGTGTGGATAAATTGAGTTGCAAGAGGCAGAGAGGAAGAAAGAGATCGAAAGCGAGGGTGGGATGAAGGCATGAGGTGGAGTGAGTGATCACGGGCATTACATACCAATGAAGTCTGGGGGTGCGACATTCAGATGCTTGAACCGGAAATGCACCGGCTTCCTCTCTGTTACGGGTCCAGGGCTATTGTAAACAAGCCATTTTGTGACGTCTGCAAATCCCTCGGCGTAGTCAAACACATAGCAAGGCAGCGCAAGTTCGCGGGCGATGTCGGGCTTGAGTGTGTCGACGTGGACGTTGCGGGCATACCAACCAGCGAAGAAATCTTTCAGATAGTCATTGAGATAGAATCCGTAGTGATTGCCGATTTCGATGATATGCCAAAGCTGGGCTCGTGAGATGCCTATAAGGTCCTGCGGAATCCGCCCATGGAATGCTCCAAGCCACACCTCCAGGCCATCAAGCGTGTCTCCGCGGCGATCAAAGTTGACAAGATCCGCCTTGGGCTCCTTGCGCCAGAGTCTGACGAAGTGGTCGGCGCTCCGGAGGAGAACAGCCTTGTTGCACTCGACGGTCGTGATCCGGCTTGCCTCTTGGCCATCTTGCTCGTAGTACTCGGTAATTACGACAGTGACGTCGTGGCGAGCATCTGGGTTGAGGCCATCACCGACGATTGCCATGGGCTGTGTAGGGCCCACCATGGCGTCGATTGATCGAGTAGATGGCGGATGGTGGGTGGATGGGGGATGGACGGATGAGGAAGGACGGATGAGGAAGGAGGGTTGAGGTGAAGAGAGTGAGGTCGAAATAGAAGTCGGCACTACCTATGACGTGACCCCAGCCAACCCACGTGGACAGCTTCCCCCCCAGGCTTCGCTGAACATAGAGCGGCAGCCCTAACACTGTCTGAGGTGGCCCGGAGGGCTATGGCTTTATCAAATTTGTCGTTTTGCCATTTTTGATAACTCACTAGCGGCGTCAGGCAAGCTTAGAGGACGTGTGTATCGAAAGTACATGATTTAAAGAAGAATCACAGACTTGTGGATTGCCACCTTTTGCCCGTTCCTACATCACCTAAGAGCCCATCCCGCGTCTCCTCTCAATCATCATGCCAGCATCAATCCCAACCGGCGGCCCCCGCTCCTGCTCAGCCTCTTCACGGAGGGCAATATATAGAATTGCAGCGACAGCCACACAGAGCATTACGCAGAACACTAGACAGCCCACCAATACCGTGAGGATAGAGCCAACTACATCCCGAACTGCATGGCGGACTCCCAGGGGCGAACAGTACAGGACAACGCATGCAACGATGAGTAGTTTCGTGAGCGCGGGGGCAGCAGCGTTGTATCTGGCGCGGCCATCGTCCCTGGCGTGGCCGCTGTCGTCTCCGTGAGCATCTATGACGGTCTCCATATTGGAAGCGCAGATCTGGGGAGTCGAAACGTAGATGGGTTGTGCGGGAGGTGGAGATGGTAGAGCGGTCGGTGGCCAGAAATCTTAACAGAGCCAACGCATCGGAGCACTTCAAACTACGTCAGAACCTGCTACCACAAAGACCACACGTTGGAAAGAAAAGCCAACTCACCTCTTAACCACTCAAGCAGGTCTGGGCCCAAATCTATCGCACTCCTCAATCGCCATCCCAGCATCAATCCCAACCCACCGCTCCTCATTGTACTATCTCTCATCCACCTCAGCTGTAGCCCGACGTCGAAGACGTCTAATGTGTGCATCGAGCACGGAAACTGTCCACATAATCGACTCGAGAGCTGCCTCAACAGCATTCGCGGTCTCACGGCGAATACCAGCGGGTACACCAGCCCATAAAACGTGGGTGCAGAAGAGGGCGACACATGCGAGTGAGAAAAAGAAGAAGAAGAGTGAAAGGGGGAGATCTATAGAGCCTGTTGGTTGTAGCACAGTGGAAATGTGTGTTGAAAGAACATAAACGACAGTTATGGGAGTGGACCTGAGATGTAGTCGGATGGTAGGAAGCGGCGAAGCCAAAGAACGGGCGGAGCTGCGGCGAGGTGATGCCTTCGGACGTTGCTAGCTTAATGAGAGCTGGCTATAATGGACGTGATGAAGATGATGTGTTGCGTCAAATGTTGTGTTGGATGATTGATAACCCAAAGAGTAGGTAGAAAAACGGTAACGCGTGCCTGCTAGACAGCTACGCTGGCCGCTGTTACCTTACCATGGTGATTGTCGGAGGAAAGAGACTACAGCGTGATAGGACTACGAGCGAGAGAAGCACCAGGATACACATTCAGGTCTGCGAGTGTTCGAAGAAGTTCGTATCACAATTTCTTTTGCTACGAGATGCACATTATGTTTACGAGCATATGCGAATAAAACAGTGAAGTAAGGAACCGCTCATAATGGGTATATTGAAAATGCCCCAAAAAAATAGAATAACAAGAAGCAAAGCTTGAACACAGCTCTTACAAAGAGAACAAATTGACGTAATTCATGTCCCACGTCCCATTACCGACAGTCATCCCCACGAGTGATCAGCACCTACGTCTTCGCGTGGCGGCTGCCTGACAGTATGCCGAGCGTGCTTCAACATCTCAGATGAGGGACAAAGTATGACAGGGTAAGCGCTGATTCCGCGTCTGCCTCCCGTGTCTCCGTCTAGGAGGCCATCTGGGAGACTAGATATCGGCTTGCTGAAAGCTAGGTCGCTTCAAAAACGACTTTCAATGCATGGGGGTATGACGACAACAGTGTAGTCCAGATCGTTTCGAGTTCCACGTGGACTCAGTTGTTCAATCAACGCAACTCGAACACCCTCTCAATCACTCCATCTGAGCCATCTTTCCAAGCATCAACAGCTTCCTCGTGCATCATATCACCGACGTAGCACTCTCCGATGAAGCGATAATAATCGCCCTCGGGACGAAGAACGAAAGGCACCTGTGCGCCAAACAAAATGCAGATGAGATCATCGTTCTGAAGAGTTCCCGGACCAAGACCAAGCTTGCCTTTTTGGGTGTGGAACGGCGTCCGGTAACAGCTGTATCGCCACAGCGCCTCCTTACCACGGTCTGGGTTGCCGTGATCAGAGGCGATTTCGAGAAGGCGAGGGTAGTCATCGGGCCAGTTCTCCTTGACCCAGTCTGGGTCTTGCTCATTGAGGAAAGCGATGAAGTCGCCAATATGCCTATCGTCATCCTCAAGCAACCATCCATGTTCGCACCGGCCCGCAGTTAAGGTGTTTGCAATCATCTCTGCAGTATCGCCTTTAGAAGCGGCAGACTTGACCCAGTCGACGAGCTTGCTCCCGGCGACAATAAGGTCGCAGAATGGGAAGTAAGGGAGGGCGTTTGTCACGACGTCAACCTCAACGCCTTTCAACCTGAGCCAGTTTGGGTTTTCGCAGGGGAGCTGCTCCATGTCCATGGAGGTGGAGGCGTGGAACCCGTTCCCGGAGCCGAAACCCATGAATGGGAAAACGACGATCTTCTGGGACCAGTCCGGTACCCAGGAAGGATATTCGAATTTAAGGTTTCCCTCAGCATTGATGCTGGTGTACTCGTGTGTCACGAAAGACAGCAAGTCGAGGGTGTTGTCCTGGTTGAGGATCTTCTTTGCGACTTCAGTGTAGATTTCGTGAACCGTTTGGGTGTAGTCAGGTTCGAGGAACACATCACCTTTCTCCAGGTTGGTGTATTTGGTAGGGAAACCTAATAGGCCATAGATCTTGTCGCGAGGATCTGAAACGTCAAATGACCGGGCCCAATCGAGCAAATGCAGGAAAGGATGGGTATTGGGGTTCTTGTCCAACTGTTGTCCGCAAATGTAGTGCATAAAGTATGCGTTCTGCATGTTGCGTGATTCAAGCAGTGCGTGTAGCTTTGTGTCCTGCCGAATGTGATCCACAGCTATGCCAACCCATTTCCATTCGATTTCCACATCTCCCCAGATCAGTGTAGCCTCTCTTGCCAGAACAATTTCTTGAATGACCCACATCCGCACGAACCAGTTGTTGAGGAAAAACGACGTCACGCTTCGCCATAGTTGAGACCCCAGATCTGGAGGATATTGCGTATCGGTAGGAGGAGGGTTCTTTCGTATCGATCGGAAGGTGGCAGGTCTCTGGACCCAAGGCTTCATGTGACTCGTGTTGGCAATGGCGCAGACAATGGCAAAGGCATTGTGCCCTTCATCGTAGAAATCGTCGCCGAGCCATACAATAACTCTGGAGGCGCCTTTGTAGATGGCGTGCATTTGGCGAACTTGGTGTCCCCTTTCGCCGGGGTCTTCTTGGTTGATACATCTACACAAAGCGTATCAGGAGTCGATCTCAACATGCCATTGTAACAATACTAGCGGTTGGGGAAATCCATACACAGCATCTACCCAAATCCACCTTGCGACATCAGGCTTCCTGAGCCGCTTCAGCGCTTGGTGGAGATTCCCGGTGACGAAGACCTTTTGCTTGTTGCAAATGACTTCATTTGCGTCGGATCTTGCGCCCCAGACGTACGATAAAGCTTCGTAAGTTTGGTGACCCTCGTGCAGTCGCGTATGCGAGAGGTTGCAGGTAATTATGTCGTCCCCAGATCCAGGCTCCAGCTGGAGAAGGCGGACAGAGTCCTCGGTAGGAAGATCGTCATAAAGCGCAGGTGTGAAGATAGAAAGGCGATTGGATTTGCGCTGTAATTTGCTCTTCTTCTCCGAGGGGAGCGTGTCGGCGTTGACATGGATAGGTCGTGATGCTTGGCCCCGAGGGTTCTTGGTGAGGTCCTTGCCGAAGCAGCAGAGGAATTTGGATGGCATGGCGATTTCCTCTGGTGGTTCGTGCAATAACTGTAAGTAGCAAAAGGTGGTTACGTCCGTATCTTTTATGGCGGAGATTTCATGGCCAGCCGGGCGGGGCGAAGCATGAGAATAGCTGCGAGGTGTGGTTCCCCTCCTGCAACGCCTAGCCCTTTACCTCGTCGATTGGTGGCAGAGAGGCTGGGATAAGGATCTGAGCATGCTTCGAGGCGCGAGGCGCCTCAGGCAGAAGGCTGTGGAGCCAGGCTTGGGGGCCGTTTATATGTAGATTCATTGGCCCGCTCACTCAACCAAGCATTAGCAATACGACTAGGGGGGTGGTCTTGAGACGGGCCGGGGCACGGACGGCAGCTAGGTGAGTGAATGCCTCAGCCACAGTGCACTACATCATGACGCGGCCTGTAATTATTGGCTTCGGGAGCTAAAAACAGTAAATCCTTGATACCGCTCTTGCCTCCCGATTTAGCGCCTTAGTGAAGGTGAAAAGAGCCTCAGGACTGTAAACTTGTCTGGTTCATGGAATACAGTTCAAACGGCGACCTCTCCTAGCCTCTTCTGGGACTTTTCCTCAAGGCTGCAACTTGGACGAGTCATTTGATACATATTGTACTTAAGCTGGTTGCATCAGAGTGTGACGTGTAGTTCAATCGAAGAATGATTCGCATTTAGCTATTCTCCATCATGATATAGTAGGTGCCAGGCACCCAATTAATGGACAAGACTGCTCATTGATGTGGATAAGTCAGTATTGGTCAGTATCGGTCAGATCTTGTCACAGTGCCGTGCTTAGGTAGTACAGATCGTATCTTTGTATTTTTGCAGCATGTTGAATCGCGCTCACTCGCTGCGCGGGTATCCGCTCGTGAACTCCCCAAATAACCCAGCTTTCCTCTTACAAGTCATAAAAACAGAAGCCCTATGATCCAAACACACCCCGACCACAGAAGAAGACGTCTAAACCGCTACGAGGGCTGGACTCGCTCACGAAGAAGGCAACACAACCTGCTCGACGCCCTTGGTGACTTGATCAACCGCACTTTCGCCCGCCGGCAGCTGCTCCGATGCACCCTTTTCAGCCGCCTCCACGCCTCCCACCTTAGCTGCTTCCACGCCTCCCGTCTTGCCTTTCGCCGCCTTCTCCTTCTTAGCCAGCTTCTTTTTATCTTTCTTGACTTTCTTGGCGGCGGCTTTCGCAGCCTGTTCGGCCTTTGCCTTCTTCTGTGCTTCGCCGCCGAAGAGCTCTCGCCATTCCTGTTCCTTTTCGGCCTTGATGACGCTAAAGAGAAGAGCAGCTTGGCCAATCTTGTGGCCAGGCTCGATGCTGCCCACTTCCCAAACATCTGGAATGATGAGCAGATCTTGGTTGAGCATCTTGAGGATGGAAGTAGTTGTTTCGGGCATGTAAGGCTCGACGAGCGATGCGAGGAGGTGGATCTGGTTGAGGGCAAGGCCTATAACTGCTGCGGCCTTGTCTGGCTCTTCGGCTGCAAGCTTGTTGTCGAGCTTGTTGTGCTGGAGTAAAGAGTTGCCGAGACTGCTGACGCGCAACACAGTCGCAAGAGCGGCCCTGATCTTGACTGCTTCGAGTTCTTCATTGTACTGAGCCAACGCGGCATTGACTTCCTTCTTGTAGTTCTCGAAGGCAGGTTCCATGTATTTCGTCCAGTCTGGTACCACTGACTCGTATTTGGCGTTGCAGAATTTGATGACTCGGTTGACAAAGTTTCCAAAGTTCTTGAGAAGCTCGTTGTTGTTTGCGTCAATGAAACCATCCCATTCGAACTCGGAGTCGCTGGTTTCAGGTCTCCTGGCAAGCAGATAGTATCTCCAGACGTCTGGAGGAATGCCGGTCTCTTTAGCATTGGTTCCGAAAACACCAATACCCCTTGATTTGCTGAATTTACCGTGCTCGTAATTCAGATACTCGGTGGTTGACAGCATGTTCAGCTGAGTCCACTTGTCTCCAGTTCCGATCTTGTGATGTCAGTATCCAGTGCTCACAGATTCGGTAGAACGTAGATGCTTACTTGAGAGCCCGGAAAGATGACGGTGTGGAACGGGACATTGTCCTTGCCCATGAATTGGCTACAGGACTGTTAGAATCAAAGGTCGGTGTGTTGACATGGCATAACATACTATAGTTTCACACGCTCCGGATCTCTCCACCATTTCTCCCACTGATCTGTATAGTTGGCTGTAATAGAGACATATCCAATACAGGCATCAAACCACACGTATAGAACCTTGTTTTCGTAACCATCAAGGGGCACTTTGGTGCCCCATTTGAGATCTCGGGTAATACCACGAGGCTGTAGTCCTTCGTTCAGCCATGACCTATGGAGCGAATGGTCAATATGTCAATACTACATATTACTCCGAATCATACTGACTGGGTGATGTGGATTCCATTCGACGACCATAACCCTTTCTGTGAACTCTCCTCGAACCACTTGGTTATCGCTGGCTGGAGTTTGTCGAGTTCAATGAATATATGTGTTGTATCACGAGGCACGGGTGTTGCTCCGTCGAGTTTGCACTTGGGGTTAATGAGCTCTAGAGGATTGAGAAGATTCCTGAGGTCCCCCTTAGCGCTACTCGAAAGCGACTGATTGAGGCTACTTACCCGCACTTGTCACACTGATCTCCTCTGGCATCGGGATATGCACATGGTGTGCCATCGTCCAGCAGTTTGGGGCTTTCTTCGTGTTAGTATACCCACAAGGACGGAGGACTTCCCAATTACAGGCTTACCATGTGCCCTCGACGAAGCGATCCGCCAAGAAGCTGTTGTGTGTCTCACAGTATGGCTGCAAGGTAGTCTCCTCTTTCAAGTACCCATTCTTATGTAGTTTCAGAAACATGTCCTGGGCGATGTCCGTCTGCTGCTGTGTCGGTGTCCTACCAAAGTGGTCAAAGGAGATGTTGAACCATTCGTAGACTTCGGAGTGTATTTTGTAGTATTTGTCGCAAAGCTCCTGGGGAGTGACACCTTCTTCCAAGGCCTTCGTTTCAGTAGCAGTACCATACTCGTCCGTCCCGCAGATGTAGAGGGTTTGGTAGCCTCGAGCTCGGCAGAAGCGAGCGAAGACATCGGCTGAGAGGACTGAGCCTACAACGTTGCCTGGGAATCGGAATTAATTTCTGTCTATTTCTCAAGCTGGAGAGAAAGCTCTTTGACTGGCTATGACAGTTCTGGCGCTTTTCAAGCCCAGGTAGACTCCCAATGAATATGACAAGGCTCATCGTTGGTGGGGTGTTGCGGGGCACTGCAAACATCACGAAAGTCGAAAACTCACCGAGATGGGGAACATTGTTGACGTATGGAAGAGCGGATGTAATGAGAATGTTCTTCTTGCCGTCCTCGGGGAGGACAATTTTCTTTGCGCCCGCCATGATGTGATGTGAAGAGGTCGGAGTCATGGTCGTGTGTGAGTCCCGTAAGGCCAAAAGTCCGACGCGGAACTTATCACCACGTGACCGTCTTATCGGGGTTTCATTTTTGATAAAAGACCGAGACGGAGACGCACAGACGCACAGACTGTAATCATTACTATACAAATGTGCTCGCTCTGGCTTGCAAAGCGAAGTTCCATCAGCTTCCCAGGCCTCTCATACGGTGCGTGACAGAGATCCAAAATGGAAGACGACCCATTTGGCGACGTCCTCGACCTCGAGGAAACCTACTACCAGGAGGGCTACGCACTCGGTGTAGAAGACGGTTCGCGAGCGGGACGCATAGAAGGCCGGCTCTTCGGTCTTGAGAAAGGATTCGAAAAGTTTGCTGCCATGGGTTTACTGCATGGGAAGGCATCTGTCTGGAGCTCTCGAATTCCAGCAACGAAAAAGCAGCCTGAAAAAGGCCTCGTGGCACCCAAGGAGTTGGCGGAACCCTTAAGTCATTCAGCGGCAGAAGGCCAATCATCATCTGAGCAAGCTAATGCTGTTCAAAATGGACTACCGCCTCTCCCAGAGAATCCCCGCCTAGCTAAACACATCACTACTCTACATGTCCTCACGGAACTTCCCACATTTTCGACAGCCAACACCGAAGACGCTGTCGCGGATTTTGATGACCGGTTCAGACGTGCTGGAGCAAAGGTGAAAGTGATCGACCGAATCATAGGCGAGGGTGACGCCGACACTACGGTTGAAGCCGAAGTGATCGGTTTCCAGGCTGTGTCGGGTTCGAGTACCGAAAGGAAAGAGAGAGGACATGGTGTGAAGCTCTCCCAAGCGGAGAGACCTACAGACAACATGGAAGATTTCGGGGGACGAAAGGGGATGTAGCAAAGATCCACGATTATATCACAAAGGCGAAGGAAGCAAGAGATAGGAATAGTCGATGAAGTCCCCAGTTTCTATCCAGTTTCTATACAGATCCAAAAGAGCGGCTATAGGCCCAAAGCACCGGTGTTCTGACCAAAGGAAGAGTAATCATAAGAAGTGGATATCAAAATCCTTGACTCCAAACAACAACACCAAGAAACGCCCTCGCACTCCTATTACAAGACAGGATATTTGGCACCAAAAGATCACATCATCATACTTCGCCGCCTCCCAGCTGCTCTCCCCTCTCTGCCGCTAACACCCGCGCTCTCATCCCCCGACGCGACCCCTGAAGATGTCGTGTTCGATGAACGCTTCATGGTGCTGCTGCTCTTCCTCTCGTCCACACTTTTGCCAGCAAGATTGGATGAGCTAGAGCTCCTTGACGTACTGGGCTGCTTCAATATTGATGGTAAAGTCCCGGATGCGGGCACCGACGAATGTCTTCTGCTCGTCTTGGTTTGCTTTGCGAGGTCGATGCGTGAACGCCCGGTCGTCGGTGCATCGGTAGGGGATGAGTCCGTAAAATCGTAGATGGCAAGGCCGTCTTTATCCTTCGCCATATCCTTTTCTTGCGGATGCTCTTGTGACCTATCTATTCGCTCCGGGCCCCTGTCTGCCTCCGCGATTTGTACCGACTTCCTCCTCGAGTTTGCGGTCGCGGAGACTAACTTCGAAATCGCGTGTGCTGTTGCCGAAGGATATTGAGTTGGAGGCACCAGGTCATTGCCACCTTGCTGTCCGGCCTGAGCCATCTGCCGCCCTGCCTTCTTACTCAAAGGGCTATCTTTCTCCCCAACCTCGTCTCGTTCCGCTTCATTAGGCTTCTGTAGACGTTTCCACGCAGAGTCCGAACCTTCCTCCTTTTCTCGCTTGACTACTACGTCCCGCAGCTTACTCCTGTCACTGGTCGCCGGCTCAGCGCTCATTGAACGACGGTCTTCTGGTTTTGGTCCAACAGCATCGGCAAGCTCTTTTGTCGGCCGCCGCATCTTACTAATCAAATTGGGTTCGGCGTAGTTGACTTGAGGTCGTGCACGACGGGCGGCACGTCCAGCCAGGCCATTGGCATCATTTGAAGTGCCAGACGGATTAAGGTCAGCCGGTGGTGGGGTATCTCTCGTCTCTGGACGCTGTGTGGATGGATTCGTTGGTGGTGAGAACATATTGTCCGTTGCAGGGGTTTTTGGTGGGAGAAATTCGACGGGTTCTTCAACAGGCTCTGTCTGGATCGGGGCAACTTCGACGGGCTCAAATCTCGGCCGCCTATTAGGGAGTCGTTGACTACGAGAGGAGGGCTTCGACGGCTTCTTCGCGTCAGGCTTTTCGGAAGGCGTCGGTTTTGGTTTCTTGGGTGAGAGAATAGGGTCCGTGTTCACAGGTTCTAATGGACTCGATTAGCATGGACGGGTGGAGGACACTGGGACATTTGAACGTACTGCTACCCAGTATCTTCCTCTCAGGCGCGCTCAGTGGATGAGAATCATTGCTGGGGTCCATCTCAGTGTCCTTGTCAGATACGCCTGAAGTCCCTCTGCGAGTGTATTGGAACGAGTCTGGCGTTGTTTCCGCTACTTCATGGGCATCGTCCTCCTCTCTTACACTAAGTTTCCTCTTAGCTCCAACTTTGAGGCCCCCATTCTTCTCATTAGACGATGCTCCCTCTTCGCCTCCCTCTGGAGATGATTGATATACGGACATGCGACGGATAGTGAGCTTCGGATTGCTCTCCCGGCGCTTTCGACGAGTTTCAAGCATGACGTTCTGGCCGGGATTAAGATCGTCAGAGCCATTGTCGACCATGTGATGGCTTGCCGATGGTCGAGGGTCGAATTGAATAGGCTCTTCGGTATCGAAGCGAGCAACTGGTGGTGGTCCAATGTCCGGAGACTGGGAGTCTGGATCTTCTAGCATTCCACGTAACTGATCCGCACTACATCGATTAGCCTCTTCCAAATCTCTCAAATAAGTATGGAAGCATACCTCATAGTCTTTCGCGGATAGTGTTTGTCCTCCGTGATTGTGGGCAGCTTCCCATCATCGCCTTCGAATTGTCTAAATCCAGCCCCGCTCCGCCAATTCCTTTCATCCGGGCTTCTCCTCGTTGCTGCGGTCTGTGATTTGCACCGTCTCTGGCGCTCTGGATTCTGTATCTGGCCCAGCTCGGCCACCAGTGTACCAAGCTCGTGTATCTTGGCCTCCAACTTGTCTCTGACGGCATATATGTTCTCCGCCGAAGGGCCGTCGGACTGATTATCAAGTGCTGTCTGTAGGTTGATAACCTGTTCACGTAGCGAGAGGTTTTCGGCGAGGAGACGGGAGCCTTCATTCTCGAGGTTGCGGATGCGCACGGATTGGGTAGAGTTGGTTCTGGTAACTGTCAGCGTGAAATACCTAATAAACACCGAGTCTATATGCAATACTAACTTAGCTAGCTCTCTGTTCTGCCTCAAAAATCTCCGCTTCACTATAGTGATATTAGCAGTGTCTTCTTGTTCCCGTGTTGTCGTCAACTTACGAGCATCCACGGTCTCAGTACTTTGTGGTGCCTCGTTCAGGCGCGCCATATGCGCCGGGTAGGTATGGGAATAAATATGATGCTGCGCGTTGTGTCAAGCTGTCCGGTACGGGGATTTGAGACATAGAGGGGCGTGGCTGCCGTGATTGAGGTGGTCGGTGGTAGAAAGGGTGGTTTGGATGATGAGGGCCACTGTTTGTTGACAGGCGGCGATCGGAGCAACCAAAAAAAGAGCTGCCCTGTGCGCGAACACGTGAATTGGCCGAGTCGCGTCAACCCACCAAGACTCCACGATACTACGACGATTTCTTGAACCACTTATCACCGCAGCAATCGGAGCGCTCTTACATTCTTCGTCCTGCTCGTGAGATTGAACCTCAATATCCTCCAAGATGTCCTACGGCCGCCCCATCCCATCCCACCTCCGCAACCCCTCGCTCTCCAACCCGCAGTCCTCCACCGGCCAAAGCCCCGTTCTCCTTGCGCGCATAAACGAGAAGAAGGCGGAACTGGCCAATCTGAAAGATCTGCAAGCACTGAGTGCTGGCCTAGCAGACCAGATGCAGATGCTGGAAGACAAGTTGGCGACCTTATCAGACGGAACTGAAGGTAGACATCGCGCTTCTTCCACTGAGGCATGCCCGGGCTAACCAAGCGCTTATAGCTATTGCGGCTGTACTTTCGAACTGGCATAACGTGCTCAGGGCGATCAACATGGCATCAAGTGAGTGTATATGTAAACTCAGCATCTTTAACTGAACTAACTTGTTCGCAGTGAAAATCCCCAAACCCAAAGATGGCGAAGACGAAGCTTCTGAAAGTAAGCCCCAGACGGATGTGCCACTTCCGCAGACCCTCGTTCGCATTCCCACCGAGCAAGCTGCGCTGCTTCCACAATCAGCCTCTGGAAGTATCGTCGATTGAGCCCCATGGTTCCATCGCAAGCATACCAGCATACCAACCCACGAGACAAGCCGACGCGATGGGATGGTCATCAGCCAGGATAAACGCCACTCGTTCCCTCAAACTTGAAAGTAAGGCGGAACAATCCTCCCAGAGTCGTCCGTGCTTTAGACTACTTAGAAGGCTATGCTTTGGCACTTCAAGGAGCTGATTCAAGCTACAAATCGGCGATGGCGACGGAGAAAGCCAGTATAAGCGGCCAAACAACTTTCATGCGTATTTGAGAATAGAAGGGCGCTGCGAAAGTACCGAATCTTAGCTATCTACAGCTAAAAAAGACTAGCAGGAGAGCATCCCGGAAGCAAAGCCGAGTGCCAATTTCAGCCAACAGCCAAACCTACGTTTCCCTCCGATACATTTTGATACTAGATACCCTTGAAAGTGCTCGAGCCCAATAGCATCATTGAAAATCCAGCCGTGGGCAGCAAATACCAGCCAAGCCTTCCCTAAGCGCAAGCGTCCGGTCTTTCAATCTGCCTATTATATCAATGAGAGTACAGACTATTTTACTGAAGCAAGGACGTGCCATCTAGAAGCATTTGAGAAATATGTTGATTTCGTATGACTGGGTCGTTACATACACCGCTTACTACTCAGGCCACGCTCACGCTAATCACCAGACGGTCCCACGAATAGAGCACTAGATCACCCCCCTTCGATATCTCCATCTCGTAGCTCTACGTTAACAACGTTTGTTCTTTTGTGCGGTTCCTTTATCCTCTATCGGACTGCGAGATCTTCGAAGTACGGAGAGCGGAGATTCTTGTGGTCGACGTCGCCAACGCGACATCGAATCTCGTTCGATTTCATTCAATCCGTCCTAGCGGCTTCCCCAGATCTCTCCCATTCGCAATACTTGACTCAAAATGCCAGTATCTGGGGAAATGTCTCATTCCCCCGCAGTCCACTATCCCCCTTTTGTTACCTATATCCCTATCTTACCTCCTAGTCGACAGCAAGTATTCAACTTATTGCTCTAGGATATGACAGACATGGCCTGGCCGGCTATGAGGTCTTCCGTATGCAACAAGATAATGGCCGCCAGGATGGTAAACATTTTCCGACAAGAGCTTGAAAAATGTAAGAATATAGATACTTCTTGACAGCCCTTTGGCTAGTCCATTCTTTCTGTAAAATTCCCAAGAACCTTGATCTGCGGTGCATCTTGAAATACTCATTCATCATGGCTCCTCTACCAGGCATGCGGAAACAGCGCATAAATGCCTTCCAGGTACTAATACTATGCTTTGTCGGGCTCGGCTCGATGACTTATGGATACACTGCTTCAATTATTGGAACCACTCTGGGTACGGGCTCCACCAGACCCCTCAATCCGTCACTAACACTTTTGGTCAGGTCAACCATCCTTCATTGAATACTTTGAGCTAGACACAAGAGAGGACGGGACTGATCTCATCTCTACAACCAACGGGCTCTTCCAGACTGGGGGAGTCATTGGCACCCTTCTTCTTCCTCTAGTCTCCGACAAGTATGGCAGAAAATGGGGCATTGCAGTTGTAAGTGAGATGCATATCTTGAAACGAAATGCATACACTTACGTCCATTAGAGCGCCATCTTAGCTGTAGTTTCAGGAGCATTTCTGGCAGGTAGCACTAATATTGCGGAATTCATTGTCTTTCGATTTATAGCTGGAGCTGCTGCTTTCATGAGTTTGGCGGCTGTTCCTGTAAGTCTCCTACTATGACGTCTATATTTGCTTTTACTAACCTCTGAGCAGATATGGATGAATGTAAGAACCCTCGATATCTTGACCTATTACGAGGACGTTACTCATACGATTATAAGGAAGTCGCCCCCGTCAAAATGCGAGCAGGTCTTGTTGATATCCATGCCGTCCTTCTCATCTTCGGATATACCGCCCAAGGATGGGTAGGATTTGGGTTTTATTTCTGGAAACAGGGTTTGTCTTCCACCATGCAGATGCTCTTGACGCCCTCAGCTATCCTCCTCGTTATTTCAGAACAATCTCACTGACGAGCATATAGGTGGCATCAACACATGGAGGCCCCCTCTGGCACTCCAATGTGCCTGGCCCCTACTGCTACTCTGTGGTCTCTGTACGTAAGATCCTCATACACATACCAGAGTCCTCTAGTGTCGTTGTTCTTGGAACTGTGTTGAAACACGACACAAGTCGGGTTTAAGCACCCAGTTCAGTCGCTTTAAACACCGACTCAAGCCAGAATGGTGTCTTAAACTTGATTTGAGTGGTACTGAAGGACAACTAACACCAGAGGACCTAGTATCTGTCTTAAATCCTCCTTCTTTATGAAAACCCGCTAACATGTGTATTGCAACCTTAAGACTGGATCCCAGAAAGCCCACGTTGGCTCATGATCATGGATCGCGAAGAAGAAGCCCGAGTGATCCTCTACAGACTCCACGCCGACCCAAGCGATCCCGACAACGAATTCGCGCGGTCAGAATACTACCAAATTAAGAAACAGATTGCTATCGACCGTACGCTGGGTAGCTCGTGGAAGGTCATGTTCACGAAGCCGTCATATCGGAAACGAACTTTCCTGGCCATGGGTCTCACGTTTTTCATCCAGTGCTCTGGTGTTCTCGTTATCAACAGTAAACAACGCCCTCTACGAGTAGACTTTATAAATCTAAACTTGCAACAGACTACGGCCCAACCCTCTACAAAATCCTTGGCTTCAGCCCCGTGAAGCAGCTCCTCTATCCCGCTGGTTGGCTGACCTGCGCCCTAGGCTTGAACGCAGTCGCCATTTTCGTTGTCGACCGCTTCCCTCGAAACAAGTACATTGGAGTCGGCATTCTCAGCTGCATGGCCGCTTTAATCGTCGAAGCCGCGCTGGTCGCGAATTTCGTACCCTCGAATAACAAGAACGCCCTTCAGGCTGCCGTGGCTATGTTCTTCATCTTCCAAATGCCTTACAGTCTTGCGCTTGATGGGCAGGTGTCCAGAACATCAATCTTGTGTGTGCCTTGGGCTAATCAGTACACAGCACGCAGTTCTCCTACCTAGGCGAGATCTTTCCAACCCACCTCCGCGCCAAAGGCGTTTCCCTCGGCGTCGCTATGATTTCGCTCACCAATATTGTCTGGTTGCAAGCCGCGCCGACCGCCTTTATGTAACTATACCCTTTCCCCCTCTGTCTACCCCTCAATCCGCACCCAACTTACAAAGGACCCGACAGTACCATCGGCTGGAGATTCTACCTCGTTTTCATCATCCCAGGCACGATCGGCGGTCTGATCATCTTCTTCTTTTTCCCGGACACCAAAGGCCTGCCATTGGAAGAGGTCGCGGCGCTATTTGGAGACGAGGATGAGATCGCGGTGTATCAGCGTGAGATCGATATTCACGGGAACGAAATTGTGGATCGGCATGGGGACTTGAAGGAGAAGGAGCAGGTGGGGTATTTAGAGGATGTGAATACTGGGGAGGTGGAGGGGGGAAGGGTGTAGGTCTGATGATGGGCATTTTCCGCTTCCTCCCTACAGCTTATACTCCTGATGGGGACTCACCTTTGCCACAAAATGTACCAATTGGGCCAAAACGCTAAATCACTGTCCCCTCTTCCTAGCACGCTTTAAGTGGAAAATGTAAAAATTGGACTGATAGCTTAGCTTGTAGACCTAAGTTATGTTCTAGGTCTTCGGTCTAAGAGGTAATCTTAAATCGAAAGCGTCCTCCCTTTATATTACGCTCTTGAAATATCCTGTCCTACTGAGACTAAAAGCGTGATTTAAGGCACACGCTGTGTCCCTATGTTCTTATTCTAAGACATGATGTTGGGCTGAAATCGTCCTCTTATGAGGCGCTTTTAGCAAAGATGTAATATTTAGACCACAGCTGTAGATTAAGTACGCCCCTTGTTTTCCTAAGCCTATACCCTGTTCTAGCTATTTTATTTACATTTCTCCCATTACTTCCATTACTCCCAAGGGTATTTGCGAGCCCAGTTCCCTCCGCGTCCGTCAAGTTCTTTCCCGTGGCACCGCGTCCCGCTCAAAAGCGCATGGAAAACCACGCCTTGCTCCCGGTTCCCTTGTCATCAAATCTTCAAACTAGTATCTCCCAGCACCGTCTTCATCCAATCTTTTCGTAACCTTGTGCATAGTTAAATGGGTGTACGGTGTCTAGACGCTTCCATCCGTCTTCTGTACGGCAACGGGGATGCTTATATATGGCGAAACCTGGATCGTGTGTTCGTCTACTGGTTTGTTGACGTGGGTAGAGGTTATGCTTGGTACGTTTTGGTATCGTTTGGTATCGATGAACAGAAATCTGCTTTGTCCGTGCGTGGGTCCCAAAAGAGAGAAGTTGCGAATACTACCTAGAGAAGAGAAAGACAAGCAGATTAGCAATCACATAGTCCTCATTTGGCTACAAAAAGCGCCCGCCTTTCATAGCTGGCCCAAACCGTCGTACCCAACAATTGAATTGAGCACTACGAATACACCCCACCCACCGGGCCCCGCATCATTACAGCAACCCAGCACCGCATCGCAACGCCCGCAACCGTCCTCGCAGGTACGCGGGCACCGCTCAAGAAAGAATATCACAATAAAGGATTCCCCCCCAGAACCCCAACCCTTTCCCCAAACCGGCCCCCTTTGACCCCAGATCCCCCAGCAACTATGCGAACAAAAGAAAATAGTAATGCCCCGGCCCCCATAAATCCGGGCCGGCCGTTCTAACTCATAAAGCACCTTTCGCTCTTCTAAGAAGTCCTGTAGTTCCCTGATTCGATTCCCTGTGGGCGACGTGTATGTTGCTGCACTAGCACACGTGCTCTCTTTTGCTTTTTCTCGATAACGCCGGATTTAATGCATGCATTCGGTTCGTGATTGTAGTTTTTTGTTTCCTAGATAGTTCCGCTTTGCGGTGGTCCGTAGTCGGCTGAGGCGGCTGTCTGTTATTGATAGTAGAGCCACAGCAGCCCGGCGCCAACCAGCGCGACTAGCGTGAACTCCATCAAAGATAATCAATTCTGGCGGCACACGACGGTCAGCGGCAGACTGCGCAGCTCCGGGGACGCGGCGGGCGTGTCTGCGCTTGGGAGACGCCATTTGTGCTGGCGGGCCGACCAGAGGACGGTGCGCTCGTCGAAGATTTCGATGAAGCATTCGTCGAGGATGCGGGCTTTGGGGTCTGCGTAGGTGTGGTATTCGTCGAAGATGGCTTCCATTTGCTCGCCTTGGCATTTGCGAAAGCAGCCGGTTACACAGCCAGTGCGATGCTGAGAGAGTGTTAGTCTTGAAGTCCAGTTTGCGCTTGTTGGAGGAGCGAAGAGCTTCATGTACCTTTCCCTTGTTGCAGTGAACCAGAATCGGATGGTTGCGCCTGTCCAAGAGAATTGAGAGTGCTGCCGTCATCTGGCACTGGGGCACACGTATAGTCTCCTTGTTCGCGGGGATATGGACATGGAAATGTTGTATTCCATTCGCGTCCATGAAGTCCACGTTGGCGTCCGGGATCTTCTCTGGAACCAAGGTCCTGGAAAAGATATTAGACGCACTCTTTTCAGATAGTGCATAGGTCCTTACAATATGCTCTTCAGCCCCAGCGTCTCCAGAAACTCGAAATTTTCGGGCAACGGATAGCTGCTGCGATAGATGCTTCCCGGGACCACTGCGCCGAAGTTGGCTGGTGGGAGTAGTGACCGGAGGCGATCGGGACACTTGTTCTCAACACGAGGCACGCGAGGTACTTCGATAGCGACTACCGGGAGTTCCGCGATTGCTATAAGTAATAGTAAGTCAGAGTTGCTCACAATGTAGGGTGACGTATTGGGGGCGAGGCTTACGCTCTTCGCAAGGCAGCTTGACGGCGCCCACTGGGACATCTTCGTGCGGCTTGCATGCGACATGAGATAGGCATTTGGCGCACCCTGCTCCAGATGCGGCGTGTATGATACTGCGATAATCTGTGAGGGCTTTGGGAGCCTCGCCATCGGCAGCCTCCGGGGCTGTAGGGATAGACATGACAGCGAAGTTCTCTAACAGGTGCGCCGGGGGGCCTTCGAAAATGCCCAGCGTTCTTGACAGTGTATGGGGTATGACTAGAACGGTGTAAAGAGGGTATCAGGGACGGGCGGGCGAGGACGACGGGTTGTGAGTGTCGCGCGTGCTTCGACACGAGGCCGAAGCGGTCCGGGGGCGGAGCAGGAGGGCCTGAGAACGAGGATGGTGAGTTAGAGGTGTTTGTCCATGGTGTATGGGGCGAGGTGATGGATGATTCGTGCTCTGGATTTCTCTGGAAAGGTGAATGACTTACGGGTCAGGTCTGGGCTAGCACGGGCATCTTGACGAAGAAGCGAGGCTTTGTGGGTTAAAGAGCTTCATCGTGTGGTATGAAAGTGGCGTGTGAAGGCGGGTGGAGGAGCGGAGGGAAAGGTGGTGTTGTGGAGAGGATATGGCGGAGGGAGGAAAGCGTGGGCTGGTTGTTGTCTAAGCGCGGTCCCAAGATCCGTGGGCGGTGTTAGTGAAGAGGGTTAGCCATGGCGTTCCATTATTCACTATCAAAAAGCCGGAGCACGGAGAAACGTTGATGAGACGTGCCTGCGTCGCGACTTGCCAGCGAGGCCAGCCTTGCTGCCGAACTGTGGCTCGAAGCGAAACTGCGTCACCGGGCAGCCTCACACGACGTGTGCTGCCAGTGATTGGTGTTGGGCAGCTAGGGAGCCACAGTTTGCCCAGATGAACCAGCGGACGGGCCCAGTGGAGTGACCTCAACACCCACGGACCCGATTTCTTCCATCACGACAGGAAAAACTCGTTGAGGAAAAACTCGTTGGCGAGTCCCGAAGCGGCATTCCGTTAGCACCGAATTATTCGCGACTACTTGAGGGAGTGCTGTAGTCTGGCCAGTCTTGGCACCCGAAAGTCCAGCCGCTGCACAAGTGAAGGAAACCGCAAGGGAAGCTACAAGTGTATCACGGTGTGCTAATTCTGCACTGCCGTGCAATCTGCCTAGTAACATACATCTAGTGCACTTCAACGCCTTGAGATGATACCGAATAGACGGACGGCTAGAAATGGTGAAGATATTCCCCGCATATCCCCTGTTCCAAGGTCCTCAAAGACACCGCCGTCCTAGGGTCTTCTGTTATTGCAATCATTGCAACTAAATTAACAACTGCTAGCTATATGCTACTGTTCGATCCATTTCAGGCAAGAACCTCGAATTCTCACACCACGACGGTGAATGATGGACGGGATGTCGTGTCGCAATCATGTGAAACCGGCCTCGGCTGCCCCCACATCGGGCCTAGCCGAAGATCTCCCGCAAGCCCGTGACCTCAAATCTTCCCCAGCTTCACTCCACCCCATATCCTACATCTACAGCGCCATCTCCCCCATTCAAAACCAATCGTCTCGGGATCATAGCATACGAAACCTCAATTCCCCTACAATCAATACAAAAATGACCCCCACACCCCGCCGATCGCGGCGTTCACATCCAAACCTCACCCACCTCTCTCTTGCACCCCTCTCCTCGAAATACCCCCTCGACGCCTCCACCCCGCCATCTCCCACCTCCCCAACCGCCCAAACACCCTCCTACATCGCCAATCGCTCCGCCCCCACCACCCCCGGCATCCTCTCCCTCTCCCAATCCCGCAGCACCTCCGCATCCCGCTCACGCCGCCGCCCCAAAACCCCAACCGCCGCCTACGCCTACGACGGCTACTTCCCCGCCGCGACTACCGAAAACCCCCAACACGCCATCGGCGAGATCCCCAAAGCAAAGAGCACCAGCGTGCTCGGCCCCGGCCTCTCCACCTCAAACCTCAACCTCACTACATCTACATCAAGTGTCGCGATCGCAGGCGAAGGCAAAAAGCGCCACCACCTCCGCACCCGCACGGGCGACTTCCGCCTCCCGACCCCCTTGCACCGTCACCACACGACCCACGAGGCCGCCGACGAGTGGCTGCACCGCGCGGGCCTGGCGATCGCGGGCGAGACGCGCGAGAGCAAGGGCCAGAGCTGGCTGATCCGCCGCGCCAGCTCGACGAGTCTGGTGCGGCAGAGCGATGGGTGGGACGAGCATCCGAGCCATGAGCACGAGGCGGGACCGCAGCTCATGAAGCTGATCTCGGGCGAGCATTTTGAGTTTAGTGAGGGGGGATGGGCGGGGAGCCCAAGGGTCCTGTCGCGGTTTGGGAGCCGTGTAGGGAGCAGGATACAGAGTGCGAGGGGGAGTCGGAGGGGGTCGAGGGTGTGGGGGAGTAAGGGGGAACTGGCTGGGATGACGCATGCACAGGAGGATGGTGGGGAGGAGGGGTATTTTGCCGAGGAGGTGGTGGAGGCGGATTTTGTGGGGAGTGATGAGGAGAGTGTGGGAGATGAGGAGGAGGTGGCGAGGCTGGCGAGCGAGAGGGGATTTGGGCTGGGTGGGTGGATGGATCGGTTGGTTGGGTGGACGCTGTTCAGTGTTGAGGAAGATGGAGAAAGTAGTGATGAGGAGGGAGAGGAGGAGGAGGCACTGACGAGGGAAGACGTGTTGTTGAAGAAGGAAGTGGAGGCGAAGAGGAAGAAGATGGAGCGGGAAGCGATCATTGCGGCTTCGGCGGCGGGATCAAAAGAGAAAGAAATTGAAGAGGAAAAAGATGTCCCAATACCGGAGCCTGTGCCGGCGGAAGGTGAGGGTGGGTGGCAGGATGCTGCATGGCTTCTGAGCGTTGCATCAAAGGTCCTTCTGTGAGCGTCTTTAACCGAAATTATCATAATCTATCCAATTAAACTCTTTGACGTCTATCTTTTACCCATTACTTTTGCTCTCCCAGCGAAGAGTTATCTTTCTAGACACCACACTATAACGTCTCCCCTTCTCCTAGAGTCGTCGTGAAAGTGTGTGTTGAACCCCCTCCAGCATTCAGTATATCTCGTCCCCTGGAGCACCTCCGTCGTCGTCTCTTCCAATTGCTCGAAGAAAACCAAGTATTGAGGCCAGGCTCTGAGGCCTCTATTTGTGCTTACAAAAGCATTTCCCTCATCCGCACCCTCGCTGATGCTATCAGCACTCACTGTCCGCAAATCAGCCATATGCTTGTTAATCCAACCGGAAGGCCCCGGCTCGATGTAAAACTGGTCAGCCTCATCCAGGTACGCCCCTCGCTCGCTCAGAGGAACATCGATCGGCGGCTCGCACGTCAGCGCCCAGGCGTGGATGCCCGGATGCACCAAATGGCTCCGCCACGGCGTACTGTGGCATGGCATTAGGAAGCCCACGTCGAACGGCTCGAGCTGCTGTGCCTCGTACTGGTGCCGCAGGTACGACATAACGTCAATGACCCCGCGCTGGTGCACTTGAGAGACATAGCCCGCAATGATGAGGTTGAGAGAGAGGAGGACCGCGAGGATGGCCTTGCGGGAGGCAGTGAGCGAGTTTGAGAAGGCGCACAATGGGCCCGCGGCCAGAACGTGAAGGAAGGGCAGCACAGGGTACAAGAACCGCACTTCCTTGTGAGATATCAGGCTCATGACAACGGCCACCGTGATACTGGTGCATGCAAGGCGCCCTAAAACGGTGCGAGTGAAGGCATCCCGGGCGTCTCGAGGCGCGGCAAAAGCCGTTGGCTTCGGGAGGTTTTGCCAAATTCCCACGGCCGCAAACGGCAGTGCAGTAGTGAGCAAAAGCGGGATCCCCTCGGTCAGGTAGTAATCAGGGCGGTTTCTCCCGTAGAAGACAGCCAGCGATTGTGCAATGTTGAAGTACAGGAACCGGACCGGCGGGAGCGTCCAGAAGCCGTAGAAAAGCCTATCTGAGAGCACGGATAATACGAGTATAGCGGATCTGAAACAAAAGGCGAATGTCAGCTAATCCAATCAGTCGGCAGAGTTGCTGAAGGAGCCGTCTGCAGTCGCTGCTGAGTATTGGGGCCCACTTACCCGCATGCCAGGACTTCTCGGACCAAGACAAACCGCCCGCGAGTCGTAGCTCGCCACAGGGTCGGGACGGCGAGGCAGAGCCAGATGAGGGCATTTGTGGGCCTGAGGATACACGCAACAGCAGCTAAAAGTAGCGACAGTCTTAGCCTGTGATAATGAGTGTGGGGAATCAGCTTCTCGGCACTACGGAATCGTGAAGAATCTTCGCGTACTTGGATAAAGCGCCGACGGCGTTGCTCGCAGGATGCCCGTGGTTGCGAATGTCCTTATCTTTCAACGTGCTGTTGCTGGAAAGGTCAGCCCATCGCCAAGGCCAGTAGTATACGGCAATCGACGTGATGGTCGTCTCGAGGCAATTGGACAGAGTGCGGGGCGCGCAGAACCACTGCCAAGGACTGAAGACCGATAAGGCAAGCTACCGAAGCAAACGGACAGATCAGCTCAGCCGTGCAGAATGAAGCGACGTAATTTTGCAGCGGGAACGTACAGTGACCCATGCCGTGCGAGAGCTTCGGCCATAAATCTTCTGGGCCAGCCTCCACGTGTAACAGTCGAGCAGCGCAGCAATGACAGCCTGCACGACCTTGGGTGCGGCGACAAGCAGCTCGGCTCGCAGGCGTGGAGAGGCCTGGCACAGATTGGCAAGCGTTGCCGCGAATTGATAGACGGCCGCAAATAGCGCTGGGTGCAGCGACGAGCGTAGTTGGGCGCGCCATTCCTGCAGACATCGTGAGATTGCAGCCTAGACGGCCAATTGGCATGTGAGGGCGAAGACAGGATGGAAGCAAGAAGAAGACTCTGTATACCCATGTTATCCAGGCACCGGCATGCTGTCCAAATGCGAGCTGCCAGGCCGGCTCTAGGGACTGGAAGTACTCGTCCGGCTGGAAGAAGGTGCGGAGGGTTAGTGCGCTGACGATGCGGAGGGCCAGCAGCAGCAGCAGCACGTTTGGCGTGGGCAGAGATTTCTCTCCAGTCGCGGGCCTCGTCGTGGCCGTCGCTCGGTGGCCGCCTCCAGCGCCGGGTGCGCTGCGGGCAGGCATTGGCAGTCAAATCAGGGCGTGAAGAAAAGCTGGCGGCCAGAAGCGTGTTGCTGCGAGCAATGTGGAACAGCTCAGGACGTCTGGAACGCTCGGGTTGCAGGCTGGCAGAGGTCAAGTCGATGAAGAAGCGTCAAGCGAGGGCGCTCGGCCTGGGATACGCTGCACGCGGCCATATTCATCGAGATGCCGCCAGCCACAAGCGCTCCGTCAGGCACCGTTACTGGAGCGCCGTCCGTGCAGCGAAAAATTGCCTATCGTGAAGTCCCGCTCGGGCCTAGCGCCAAAGGGCGTGGTGTTGCGAATGGCGCCAAGGCAATACGGCGACGGCCTCCCCAGATGTGACTGATCACATCGCCGTCGCAGCCCCGGCCCCGTCTCACCACTCTCGCGCGTCATTTATTGTTCGACCCCGCTGGTTCGAGTGCCGCCGCGCTGCGTGTGGCGGCGCTGTCCCATTCGCGCTGCGCATCGGCCGATCCGCGGAGAAGATGTGAAGAAGCGTGTCCCATTCACTTGGATCAGCAGACTGTGACATGACAGCAGCCGTGAGCCCATTGCCGGGCTAGCTAGCAGCGGCTGCCGTCTCGGCGTGCGACGGGCGCTGGGCGGTGGCGCTGGGATGGATGGTTCGCCGTGCTTTTGCGGGAACCAACAAGCAAAACGCGGAAAATCTGGGGAAAGCGGCTGATCCAGGATGAGGGGTGGCAGCCTCCCTCCGAGCGCCATGGTGAGAGTCTCGGATCAACCACCGCCGCCGGGCAGACGTCGATGCGCACAGCGCGGCTGGCAAAGGGCAGGCCTTGACTGGCCTGCTGCAGCTGGCGGGCTTTCTGGGAGCGCTGCATAAGTGCAGCACCAGCGCCGCTGCTGGCCCCGGACGACGAAACCTTCTGGTGCGTCCTGCGGGTGCGGGTGCCAGGAGTGCCAGGGCGCGAGCAGTCGTCCTGCGCTGCGCCCGAAGTCCGCATCTGATATCAAATGGCGTTGAGTGTTGAAGCCGATCGCTGGGCGTTGAGCCCTGGTTGAACTCACCACCAGCCCTGCCGCAGCGCTGGGGCAGCGTGCAGGCGTGTGCAGCGAATTGCAAGGCATCGTCAGTGCGGGCGATGGGTCCCCAGCATGCCCAGACGACGCCCTCTCCGCTCGCGGTTTAGGGCCGGTTCGTGAGACTGCGCGGCTTGCACGCTTCCATGCGCCTCGCTGCTGCGTGGGCGGCGACCCATCGCCATATTGACGTCTCGCTCGACCCATTTTGCTCGGTCCGCCCAGCCTGCCAACCGTGGACGCGCTTCTTTCATCCTTTGTCTGCGCCCTCTAGCGTATTCGTTACCTTTTATTGCCAGTCGCCAGAAAAGGCCCGCTGTAGCGCCATCTGCGCTCGCGCCTCGCTCAGCCTACCTCGTCCCGCCGTCGTCACAAAGCCAGGGCGCCGACGTGAGGCCATCGTCATAAATTTCCTCCTTGTGCCATTGCCAGGTAAATCGCTGCTGTGGCCCCTCTTCGCCTGCCACCACACAAGCATCCTGACTGATCTGCTTGCTGCGAGCCCGTAGTGTCGAAAGTGGTCGTCCAAGGTCGTCCAAGGTCCATATCGCCCTCGAGAGTCACCACACCACCAGCTCCGATACTCTACCACCCCAAGTGCCACACCCCGCCACTGCCCGCGTCCCCATATTAGAAGCCTTCGCAGATCCTAGGCAATTACGTCTGCCCGCAATTGTCGCCGTTTGCGAAGCCTGTCTCCTCCCAGTCGCGACTACACAGGATGACACGGCCTCCACACACTGTCTCCGTGGTCTACGCCTAGCAACACTCGAACTCTGCGCAATAATATGGTGAAACTGCACGGCTAGGACTTTTGGCGAACTGGCGCGAGCTACCGCCTGAACCATGAGCTCCTCCGAACACAACGACCCCGCGGTCATGGGCGACTCAAGCGTAGATGTAATGGCTACGGCAATACACAGTGAAGGCGAGCCCGGGCGAATGTCTCCCGCGTCCGCAGCCTCTTATGAGTCTTGTCTGGAGAGCGCTGGAGAAGAAGTGGAAACACCTCACGCCGACGTGCTGGACCCCGCGGTGAACGATGAAGCGGCGGAATCCACCGAGTCAAGGGTACATCCAGGCGACGAGTCCGACAGCACCCCACGATCTGAGGTCCCGTCTGGAGTGGATGGCTGGGACCACAATGCCAATCCAGATCAGACTGGACATTCGGAAACAGGCTATTTTGCTCCACAGCCGTTGCGATACTTCTCCAACAAACTCCCGCCCACAACGTCATCTACGGAGCCGTCACCGATGCCGAGTCTTAATGCTTCGACGACATCTGTCGATTGCGTTAACGTTGAGACTACCACCAATGCGGCTGCCGCTCTAGAACATCACGATCGACCCTCTGTCCTCAGAGATGTCTCCACCTCCTCAACAGCCAGCACGTCTACTGTGAGGCCACCTTCGACGGAACCCAGTCGCCGATTCACCACACCTCCAAAGCCTCACAAGGATGGCCCAAGCTATCCCAACCAGGCTTATGCCGCCCTACAAACACAACACTACCCACCACCCTATTCGCCGCAGATACTGCGCACACGAAGCTCTCATGCGGCACACATCTCGCCTTTCTCGAAGATCGCAACCTTCAGCCTTGGTAACGAGGAGCGTAGCATGCTAGACACAGGCTCTAGGACAGTAGGGAATTCCCCTGCGAGTAGCCCAGGGCTTTTTAGCCCAGCCACACCCTCGTCCTCATATCCACACGACGACCACGGCTCTTATCCTAGTCCGTACCTCCACTATACCCATCGACAGGCTCCCAAAGAAACTCACGTTGCTGATGTTGACGTGGATCCCGTTTCTGGACGCAAGATAATCAACGCCTACGAGGTCATTGATGAGCTCGGTCGTGGAGTCCACGGCAAGGTCAAACTTGGTCGTAATCTCGAGACCGGCGTTTTCGTAGCTATCAAAATCGTCGACCGATACTCGAAACGTCGTCGACTTGGAAAGAATACCAACCACGAAGACAAAATCAAGAAAGAGATTGCCATCCTCAAGAAGGCTCGCCACCCAAACATCGTTAGTCTACTCGAAGTGATTGACGACCCGAGTCGGAAGAAGGTGTACATCGTCTTAGAGCACGTGGAGCTTGGTGAGATAAAATGGCGGACGGATGCAGCAAAAGAGATTGCACAGGTAGAGTTCCGAAAATTTCAGAGGGAGAAGCATGGCATTTTCGATAACGACGCTGCCGTGCATGAAGACGACACCATCATAAACACGGCTCATCGCCGACTTGAGAGGCGTGAGAGGCAAAGGTTAAAAGAGTTGCACGAACGTCGTATGTTGCAGGAGCCGCAACTCCAGAGTTGGAGTTTTGAGCATGGCGGTGACTCGGATGAAGAGACGTCAGATAACGAAAGCAGGTCAAGATCAACAGAGAACCGTGCGGTGGAACTTTCCGGTGGTTATAATGGTGGCGATGAGTGCCGAACCGAACAGCATCAACAAGGTAACACCCTCACTACTTCTCGATCACAGACCCCTATCGCCGGGTCCCATCATATTACTCAACACGGGGATCTCACAGGCCTCGAAGGGACTATGTACGGAGCATATGAACCTGAAATATTCCGCGGACGCACCCCGAGTGTCGCTGGCAGTCTCTCCTCTCATTACACCGACCCGGACGATATGAGCGACATAGATGAGCATTTCCGATATGTACCTCTCATGACCTTGGAGGGTACTCGAGAAGCATTCAGGGACACCGTGCTTGGGTTAGAGTATCTCCACTACCAAGGCGTCATCCATCGAGATATCAAGCCCGCAAATCTCCTCTTAACCAAGGAGCATCGCGTCAAGATCTCGGATTTCGGTGTGTCCTTCCTCGGCAAACAGTCACCCGACGAAAGCGATGACATGTCGGAGTCGGAAGCACACGACGCCGACGAAGCTATCGAACTGGCGAAAACCGTTGGTACCCCGGCGTTCTACGCTCCAGAGCTGTGTCGGACGGATGTCGACGCAGAGACTCCTCCTGTGACTGGCAAGATCGACGTGTGGGCTTTGGGTGTGACTCTGTACTGTCTCGTCTTTGGCCGAGTACCCTTCCACGAACAGAACACGTTCGCACTAATGCGCGCTATCACCGAGGAGGACGTCTATATCCCACGCTATCGGTTGAAGGCTGTTGCCGAAAAGTCCAGTTCAAGACCTAGTTCGCATGGTCCCTCGTATCACTCCATCAGCAGCAACAAACGAGCACCTCATGACCTTGAGTACGAGGAGGTTAATGACGATCTTCACGATCTCATCAAGAGACTGCTTATCAAAGATCCTCGTAAGCGCATCACCCTAAAGGAGATTAAACATCACCCATGGCTTCTCCAAGGCATTGACAACAAGGTTGCTTGGGTCGAGGAGACGGATCCAAAAAGACAAACGAAAGGCAGGAAGATTGAAGTATCCAAGGATGAAGTTGCTCAAGCCGTCATGCCAATCAAATTTATGGATCGAGTACAGTCTGTTTTTAAGAAGACGATAGGTGCAATGACAGGGCTTGGCACCCGGGCTGGATCGAGAAGACGAGCGCAAAGTTCCGCCACCAATCCCGAGGCCACGGGCCAGTTATCTACAGCTTCGTCAAGCAGCACAATTAGTCAAGATGGTCGCAGGCCTAGTCTCGCGATGAACGAGTCGATTTATGCTGCCTTGAGGAGCTCCAGAGAGCCCGACCACCCTCTTTCGCATAGCGTCACAGTGAGTCCAGAGGCGAAGGAACATGCCCCATATTTCGACGGTTCGCGTTCAAGACCGGAGTCGCCAATCAGCTATAGTGAAAATCTCGAGAACCCAAGTCCTCTTGCAAGCTCTTCAAGGCCACACCATCTTGAGCGTGCTCAATCGACCATGTCGACGACAGCTTCGGTGAGAACGATCAGGCAATCGGACATGCTCAACACGTCTGGTGCTGCTTCACCACCTCTTCTGCCAGCTCTTCCAGGTACACCACTTGCGTTGGATGGCCTAGGAGGATCTAATTTGGGAGGGATATTTGGAGGCCTGCCCCGTCGGGTTATAACAAGTGTTAGAAGCCGGGACAGAAACTCAGGCCATCGCCAGAGCCATAGCCGAGCAAAATCGATCGACCGGCTGGTTGACGCTGATGACGATGCTCACGGAGGGCCGACACTTGCTTTAAGTAACACACTCGCCGCGGGGCACGTCGACCCTCCTGCCGTTCTCAAAGACCATTCTCCAATCCACGCCGCTACGCGCCTCTTTCCTGATCCCATAGAACGTACATCATCACGCCAGTCTTCAATTTCGTCGACATCATCTAGGCTCAATTCGGTATACACTATCGAAGAAAGAACCTCAGCCCAGAGCCCCGGCAGCTATCCATTTCCTTCACTCCAGCGGAACACTTCGGACGACCGGTTCAATCGTGCAAAGGAGGAGCTCACACGAAGACGGATTTTTGAGGATAGCCAGCATCGGGAGCGACCATCGTCTGGAACTTATTCACGGCCAGTCAGCGCTCTGAGCCAAATTGCTTGTCCCCCAAGCCCGGATGACGAGGTTTTCTTCGAAAGACAAAGACTTGACGACATGTTCAACCGACAACATCCAAGTCAAGGCTCGTCCATGGAGACTAGTCCAGTTGGCTATAGTGGCAGCGTCAACACGGTACAGTCCGCGGCTTTGACATCGAGTTCCTCCGAGGATCACTTTACGTCCATGTCGCAATCCACTTCAAACCCCTCGATACCGTCTGTCATCTCAGCAACGTCGTCCGTAGCACTTGATGACGGGTTTACCTTGGACCTTGCCAAGAAGCAAGGCGTAAAAACGGGTCTCGATCCTAATGTCGCCATCGCCGACGACTATGCTGGATATGATGGCGAGTAAGTAAAGCCCTTTCAGTGGTGTAGAATGGGCCTAGTAATACCAGCGCCCCTGTCAATGAATTATGCTAATTACATACCGTCCTTTGAAGTCATGCTGTAGAGATTGGCGACGAAGAAGACGATTCCGACGAAGATGACTTCATAGTCATGAACAAGAAAAGTGGAGTTAGAAGAAGTGACTCTATTGCCAACGGTGTGCTTGCGCGCTCTTCAGAACGAAGGCTATCCTTCTCATCACGCAGGAGATCCAATCGCAGCGGCAGCAATGGCACCGTGAAGAAGGTCCGACCTCTTGAAACGACCGATGATGATCGCCATCAATCACCCGAAACAACCTCCGAAATTCGATGATCTCAGATACCCATCATATGCAACGAACTCTGCTATAATCCTCCCACCTCGCTATGTATTTACGATCACGATCATCGCACACGTTTCAGATTCGCAGCGTTGCTGTTCCCTGTTCGACACCACGGCCAACTACCGTCGGCCTTATCTGCTCTAACGAATCCTACCTGCAGGCCACGGGCCCTCCCAAAGCCATGTACAAATCAACTCATTTATGATATCCAAATCCTCTAGCACGGCGTCGAACGGCCTCTCTATGTGTTTGTGGCTAGGCCACTTGGCGAAAAATGCGAGTTGCACCCACACACAATCGGGAATATCATCATACACGCGGGCGTAGAAACAGGTTGCTTCGTTTGTCTAATGCCTCTTTCCTTTCTTCGACCCCACTTCACAGTCTTGTATACTTTTGTCGTGTGTGCGTATTCGCTTCTTCTTGGGTTCCTTTGGGCGAAAAGGAAAATTATAGAGATTCTTTTTGTGGCTGGCACGGCACTCCCCTCCCCTCCTCTTTATTCTTATTATTCTTCTTTCTTCCTTTCTGAACGAACACACGCTGTATACACCCTTCTTCATTATATTATGCTTGGCGAAACTTCTTTGCGAGCATATATGGCGTGGTGTGGCAGGTCTCTGGTAAAATGTGGATGTGATGTGCATGGCTATTTAAAACGACCTTGGGCGGCTTTACTTACTTCTGTGTTGCTGGGCATATCCATAGTTATTATCTTCACTGCGTTTATCCGTTAGTGTATTCGATCATACCTGAGATGTCTTTGAGAAACAACTTTGGGCAATATTGACTGCATTTTGTGGAGTGGATGGGTTGATAATGGGATACCATGACGCTTGGGAAATGAGTGGACGCGAGATACTGTGAGGGATACGCTCGCTCGCTACTGCTAGGACGATCTAGGTGGTAGACGGCCGTACCAATTTTGTAGTAGGATCTAGTCAATAGAACAACACCTACCACAAACCATAACGCCGCTATCCAACACTTGAGCGTGCGGCTTCGAGCGAGGAACCCCGAACAAGATGCCATTGTTTCCCATCCCTCGACACCACGACTCAACGCCGGCCTCACATCGACGCTTCTCGTCGGCCTCCGTGGTGTTGGCGCCGTCGCTTTCGTCGTAAAAAGGGACCTACGATGCGTCCACGCTGCGTCTATACCGCGTCTAGCGAGAAAAAAATCATGCGGTTGGATCTGTAGCTTCTTCCAATATTTCGTCGCATTGCGTCCCATGAAGGGTGCCGCAACTGGTAGGGTCGTGGTCACTGAGCGTCACCGTCTATCCAGCGCCTAGGCTGGTCGCCTCATATATTAACCAGAAATTCAGCAGCTGTCGCCTCTTCCAATCTCGTGTGGGTAGTATATAAGCTGTCTACGCCTACACCAAGCTCCGCGTGACCCACCTCACTAGCCTAGTGATCTACATCCTCCCCCCCTCAACGTGGTATAGCTGCCAAAGCTGAACGCGATGAATGCGAGAAGCGAGAAGAAGAGCCAATCACCGATAAAACGGTCTCGCATTATTTTTCCTGGGGAAGTGCCCTCGCTCTTCTCGCGTTGGTGGGGGAGAGATGGCGCGACTGTAGATAAATGTGAGTATGGACGCTGATTCTGGGAGGGAGGTGTAAGAGCGCGATGGTGAGGCTGATTTGGGGTGGAACGAGAGGAGAGGGATGAGTAAATGAGTAGGTGGATCTGTTTGAGGTGTTGAGCGTATATGTACTGACTGATGGAAGGTGTTTGCTAGGGGATTGCATACAAATATTTGGAAGCTTGAGAATTCGTTCCGCTATTATATCGTTCTGACGCCTTACCTCCGTTTTGGTCGTCTCCAACTGCCCCAGTACTCAGAAGCACAACTTGAACGAAAGTGTTCGACGGAACTCCCATAATGATGGTAACGACAGCATCTGGCTCTATGCCCCTCCACTGCCCTAGCAATCGTAGTCACAATCCTCTACCTCGTCCCCACCTCTGTCCTCTCCTACCAAATCATCCACAAATACCACAGCTAGTCCTTCCTCTGCGTCGTCGTCGGAAGCTTTCTCAAAGTCGGGGGCTACATCGCGCGCGCCGTGAGCACGAAGCAAGTCACAGATGTCGTTCGTAGCTGTCTACTTTTCTCACCCCAAAGAAACACAGACAACTATTAGTGTAGTAGACATTATAATGAAAGCTTACCGAAGTGCTAGCTCCCCAGCGCCCCAACGCCGCCTCCTCAACCCTCATAATCCTCAACCACATTTTCGTCGACGCAGGAAACTACCTCTTCATCGGCCGCCTAATCCGAGTCGTCCTCCCTACCTATAACACAACTATTACTTTCATCTTCTCAGCTCAGCGCATCTTCGGCTCTGCGCACGGCATATAACCCGCATCTTCATGGGCTGCGACATTTTTTTCTAGCATGGTTTAAGTCTCGGGCTCCGGCATCGCGACGTGGGGCAATTGTACTAGGAATAGCGCGAAGGCAGGCACGAATGTGCTGATGGTGGGATTGAGCACACAAGTGGGTGTGTTAGTGTGGTTCCTTGCGATTGTGTGGCGGCTCTCGGTGCTAACGAAGTGAGGGAGATTGGTGGAAGAGGGGGCGCCGGAAGGGTGGCGGAAGGTGTTGTGGGCCAATATCGCGAGCAGTGCGTTGATTCGGTGGGTCTTGCTCAGGATTCGGGTACACATTCAGGTAGCAATGATGGACTGAGAGGCCAAACTGGTTGCTTGGATATGTCCGCTGTATTTATCGGGTCGTCGAGTTTGCGCTTGGGATTGATGGGCACCCGTTTGCGCACGAGTGGTTATTCTATGTGTTTGAGCAGCTGCCGATGTTGCTGGCCATCTCAGTCTTTTGCGTCTATCATTCGGCAAAGTACTTAGGGAGGAAGGGGGGGTTGCAGAAGCAGTTGAGCAAGAAGTTGAAGTTGGCTTGCTGCCAGGTTAGCAAACAATAAGGATAATCTAAGGAATTCGCAATGCAGGTCGTGGATATAGCTTTCATTGAAGCGACAGACTAGGTGATCTGGAGGGTTTTGTGGCAAAGGAAGCTAGGACAAGAAGGTGAAGTAATCATTTTTATTCAGTAGATTCCTGGAGTATCAGGAATGTTCAGTCTCAATAGACTTGAAACGATTGTTCATTGGATAATCGGATATGCAAGATACAGATACGCCGTTTAATCGTCCAGGGGTATAGTCATCAAAACGAAAGTGCAGCCGAGCGCCTGGTTTCGTCAATATGTAGCACTGATGCACGTTGGCTGAACACAATATACCTGATAGTTATCTCACAAGTTGCCGTTAGTGAATTCCTGTAAGCTACTATTGAAAGCTGGATCGTAAAACTCCAATTGCCGCTTTTTGAGAGCTCCGTGAAACCTATGAAATGGATACGTAGAGATGCTTCTGCACCACTCGACGTGAGGCCTATAGCTCGCTGGCAGGCTCCGGTAGATGTTGATGATCCATGTCATGAAGGCTGAAGGCGCATTTACTCCTTGGAATCCCAACCGCTCGAACATCAGTATGGGAGTCAGAATGGCCTGGATGGCAATCCAATGTGCCAGAAGTATCTGTGCAACGCAGTTGTTCGGGTCGATGAAGGATTGGAACTCTTCATGCGTCCAAGTCGATGGAATGTTGTAGGTCATTACAAATGTTGAGTAAGCTACCTCCACATTCAGTGACCGTTGGCTGAGAACGTAATAGAGGGTCTTACCTGCAACTGGATCATTGTAGGCGTATTGGACCGTCTGAACCATCGTAGAATAGAAAGCTCTCTCCCAATCGGCAAGAACCAGCGTTTCTATCATCCCTAAAGATTCAGCAGCTCTATCAAGATGATCAGGAGATATCGCACAGTAGGCGGAGTTAGCTAGTCGGTTCTGCATCGTTGCAAGATGGCCCTCCGGGCTGAAGGCGTGGAATGCCGAATCAGCGTCCATCAGCTGGTCCTTTCCGGCAATGAGATTGCATCCGCGGACCATGGTCAGAAACTCGTAGAGGCCATCCTGGAGATGACTTGACTGGAAGGCCAAAGCCAATGCGGCTGCCATCCGGGCGTCGCTCTCGCTTCTGGTTTTGGCAGGATGCGATAGAGCATCGTTCAAGGACTTCATTGCGAGGATGCGGTGCAATAGCGCTTCTTCCGCAACATTGGCACTGGAAACAGCGTCTAGATGGGAGGCAGAAAGAGCGAGAATGGAGTGAATGAGGAACTCATACTGCAATGATCAGCTGCAGTCTTGTAAAGTAAAATGATATGCCACGTACGTTATGTGCAAAGCTAGGGATCACCGTGATCCAGATTTTATCCGCTCCAACGGGAAGATGTGGATATGCAGTGACGAGGAAGTGATGGAAAAGCCTGAATAAAATAAACATGGGTTCTATACAGTATAACTACCTAACAATCGTCAAAGTTACCTCATGTCGGACATGGTGAAGTTGCCGGGCGTGTTCCTCAAGGTAACTGCATCTTTGGGCGCGGGCGGCTGGTTGAGTCGCTGTGCTGCTTGAATGATGTTTGCTGGATATTCGCAGTTCAGGCCTGCTTTGTTGCAATGATTGCACTCTGGGTACTTCTCATTGCACTTGATACGACGCCGCTTGCAGTTGAAGCACCCGCGCCTCGATTTGGTATGTCCTTTCCGTGGAATGGGCCTGGTCGCAATAGGAGAAGAGACTGAGTCACTGCCAGACGGCTCCTTGCAAAGAGTTTTGTCCGAGCTAGAGTCGCTGGACACGCTGGGGGTAGCTCTGGAGCTATTCATGACGGGCAGGCTGCCCATAGGAGTATTGGCACTGTTCTATCGTATAGCGGGCAAAGAACAAAATGAGTCATTCGCGAGGGTTGTACGTGGACATGTTAGGGTTTCCTGTCCGGTCGATTTTGTAGTTAACTTAGTGGTAGAAGTACGAGAATGGTGGCTTAGACTAGGGTCGCTGGGTGTCGCGTCCACCTGCGTCGACGGCTGGGATAGCAGCTGGGCGTTAGGTGGGCGCACCCGTTAGGCTGACTCAAAGCCAGGCCAGATGCTGCACGAGAAATGATGAAGGTGGACGCGAGGCCGTCACGTCTCGGCGTGCCCGTGGACCAATAGAGGATGGTGCTTTTCCTTTGTTCTCTACGACACCTTCACCGGCCACCGACGCCAAGACGACACGGAGAGAAGGTAGCCAGATGGTCGCAAGCTTAATCTCTCAGGGACTGCTATAAACAGTAACGCCATCACGATGCAGCCGCCAATCGGATCTTGGTGTGAGTGTGAAATATGCAGGTAAATGCAAGTGGCGACCAACAGCATTATAGAGAAGCAGCGGGAGCCCGATTCTATGACCCATTTCCCATTACATTGCCTAGTTCGTACAGTCCTGCCGACCCTTCGTAATGGTCACCGCGCCCTGCACGTCTTCAGCCTTCCAGGCAGTCATCTGTTTTAAGAAGTGATCGCCGTCAATCTTGCAGCTGCCACGCTCGAGCCCTTGCTTTCATTGGCTTGTCGGCCCCATCCGAATCAATCCCAGGGTTTACCCTCTGCCGAACACCACGAGTCCACCGAGCGTTTCACGGGTAGCCTCCCGAGTAGCCTCCCGAGTATCCCGGGTATGAATAGTCAGGGCCACCTCCGTTGCTGTACTGGGCCAACGGGACTCCGGCCTCATCGTTCTTCAGATCAGTTGCCAGACCCTTGACAATTTGCTTAGTCTGTGTGTCTGCAGCACGGGGTCCGTCGATTGTTTCTAAGATCGAGAATATTAGCCGTGATTCGTTTAAATCTAATTGCGGCACATGAAGGAATAGATTTAGACTGGAAACGTGATGCGACCTGTCTCAAGAAAAAAAACTACTTACGGTAGAAGGCACTAATCAAAGGAAAGACGGAGGAAGCGAGCAGTGTTAGCGACATCAGCTGCGCAAAAGAGTAGTCGTTGTTTTTTGAGCTGAGGTACCACGCATCAATCTCTTGGTCAGTCCGCAGTTTGTTGTTGAAGTATGTCGCTGCGCCTGCAACAACGAGATTGGCAAAGGTGATGCCACAACGGAAGAAGAACCCGATCCTTCCCTCCAAGAACGCCGAGTAGGAGTCGACAGCTAGGAAAATCAGACCGATGACGAATGAGACAGTCATGGGTATCAGGAGACCCCAGAACTGTGTCGTAGACCCACTGCCACTTAGTTGGGGTAGCAGTGCCGTAGATATGTTATGAGTCTCGAAGTACCCACTGTTCAACATGCTGTCGTCCCCAGTAATATAGCATGAGATCGGCATAATTGCAGCTGAGCTAGCGGTCATTGGGAATCCTTTGACATCACGACTCTTATACAACAGCCAGGTAAAGCAAAAGGTAAGGAGGATTCCGGCCAGCCGTAGAGCCCCGAGCCAGCCATTCTTGCTGAACCATTTCGGTATGTTTGTTATGGCGAAGGTGTGAGTGATCATAGCCATCAAGAGCATATAACAGACTATGTTGTAGTGGTATACAGAGAGATCACAGCTTTGCAGGAGGGTTGCGAAGGCAAGCGCAATCCCAGCCGTGAGAGCTGCGTCACTGAAAGTGTGGAGTATGGTGTCAATGCTGTGGATGATCCGCTTGTATTTCTTGTGGCTGATTGAGCATTAGCACCCGTCGTCGAATTATGTCCACTGAACTTACTCTCGTCTTGTTTGGGACTGTGGTTGATAACGGGCATGGAAGATGAGGTATGAATAGTCCATCAATAGCAAAAATGCAGCCACCAAGGCAAGGAAAGACGTAATTTGAAAGGCACGGATGACCTGACCAACGTTTAGCGTAAATTGAGAGAATAAGAGCCACTTGGGGAGATTCATGCACCCGTAGCTAGTGATTTCTTGGAATTGTTCCCAGTGAAGTACATATCTTGAGTGTAGCCGTGCGATTCAGGCTCCAATGTGTCGAAATAGAAAAATTTGCGAGTATAATGAGCGCCTTTTGCTTATGACCTTACATTTGTTCCAGTGATGTCGACATTGGGCACCAACTTCTGATTATCGTCGAGATGGGTAGCATTTGCATAGAGCGCAAAGTCGCAAGGGGTAGTCCGGTTAGGGCAATGGCCCTTAAGACCCGCTAGAAGACCTTTCGCCATTTGGAACGGTGTCTTCGGCAAACGGAAGCGCCCGCACTATCGAGAACAATCGAAGGAAGAAATTGACGAGAGCTTAACAAGAAGATAATGCGGAGGGAGGAGTAGGTGTAGTATTGAAGTGTCTAGTTGGTCACATTCACGACTACAAATACAAGATGATTTGGGGCGAAAGTCAACACAGCTTCAGCCTCAGGGGAAAGCGCAGCGGTTCAACATCCTTAAGACAAATCCCCCACCCTTCCGCTTTCCCTGTTCTAGACGTGTTCCAGAGGCTAAGGCGAGGCTGAAAAGATCAGATCCAAGGATCTAGTGTATTGTTACCTCCTCAGCGCCTTAATTTTGAGCGGATATCGACTATCCCTGCAAGAAGAGATGAAAAGGCACGGAGATGCCCACTGGGCCTCGGCTGGGAATAGCCCAACTGACCGGCCGTGCAGGTCGCGCAACTTTTTAAGTACCACCAACCCACTCAATCGACTCCCGATGGTTGGTTTTTAGGCTGGTGCATCTCGAAAAGTTGGGGCTAAAAGTGGTGGCGTCTGCTGGATCCTAGCTATGGAAGGGAACTTGGGCCTATCCAAGACACAAGCCCTGTGAGTGTGCCGATATCGTAGCAAAACGGGCTGTTTAGGCTAGGGCGTGGCATCTCCATCTTGACCGGTCAATCGTGTGTGCTGGCGATCACTGGTTATCCTTGTTGGGCCTCTTTTCCGGTATTCACGAGCCTATCTAGGTTTTGGGGGGGACCGCCGTCGCGGAAAACGGCAATCCCAGAATCCTCCGATCAACGCCCAGCCGGTAATGGACATTCGATGGGTCATCGACTAGACTTCGCAGAAAACCTGTTTCGTGCCAGCATCGAAAGGAGTCGTGATGGAAGATGCGCGGTTGGTGCCGGAGGATGTTGAACGCCGTATTTTATGCCAAGATGCCAAGAGAAGTGTAAGATTCCCCCCTGCATTCGGCCCCCAAAGATAGCCACTCTCGTTTTATTCCCGTATTTCAAGATTGCTTAAACTTCCAAGCCTCTTTCCATTCAGCCCCCATACATCCGTCCTCAGTTGTCTACTCCGTTGCTGTGCGTCTTGCACACATTGACATCTCCTGCGACATGCCTATGCTGGAGGTTTGCAGGCTGCGGCTGAAAGACGGGGTGTCAGCCTCTGATGACGCGTTACTCAAAACTCTGTCTACAGTCCGCTCGGTTTTGAAAACTAATTCAAGGTTCTACAACTGCATCGAAGACCCATCCCTCGTCTACATCCTGGGAATATGGCCAACTCTGGAAGCCCACAAAGCCTTCCTCGCATCGCCAGAGAAGGAGAAGGTCCTTGGCTCACAGGAGGATCAGCTTGATTTCCAGTGGATACTTCACATGGAGCTTGACGACATATCATCGTTGCCTCTGGACGCACCCGTCATGGCGATAGCGAGGTTGTTCCTAAAAGGAGGCCAGCACATCGAGGAGTACGATCGGATAGTGAACAAACATCGAGCAACCCTTGCGGACGCAACAGAGCCATACAACGTGGTCGAGGGCTGGAGGAACGACTCAGAGCCTGGGAAACGAGAAGCACTCATGTTCACTGGTTGGGCGAGCATGGAGGCACATAAGGCATTTACGGCGAAGATGAGAGAGGATGAGGATTATGCAAGCGTGCGTAACAACTACGAAGGCATGGAGGTTCGACATGCACGAGACATGGAACGAATCGCCAAAACCTCGCAGGAGTAGGCTTTGGCCTGGCCAATTCGACTCTACGTAGCCATCTCAGATCTTTCCGGCAATCGAACCAATCTATTCCCATTTTCGACGGCATCTTAGGGTGCACGATTGCTGACGTTGTTCGCCTATAACCAACCCCAGGCACTCTCAAACAAGGCAATGCATTTATCATACGATCTGTCAAAGAATAAGAGCTATTGCAAAGAATTATCTTTGTATAAAATAGACTGCCCAGGGCTTCATGATCACGGCTTGATGTTGTTCGTCGCCGAGTGCTAGCAAGTAGGTACCTCGCAGGATCAGAGCGGAACACCGGCAGTCCACAGTTTATATTGACCATTCCCGGACAGTACCCTTGCAGGAAGATCCCGAGTTACTGTCACCTTGAGCAGGCTCATTTTCAACATTGATACGACTTAGTGTCAACCCCGCAGTTACGTTGCATCGTACCAAAGTACTCGCTACCATGCATCTACGGATCTCAAGCCGCTTTCCTCGCCTCTTAATACTTCGAACACCACCTTGATCTCTTCTGCAGCAAGCAAATTTGTTGCTCGTACTTCAGCATGCTCAACACACGGTCTACGACAGTTGCTGTCTTTCTACTTGTTGTCCATACCTGCACAACTTCTGCCAATGAACATGCCAAGCATGAAGCCGACTTCGATCCTCTCAAATATGTCAATCAATTGATCGGTTCTACCAATGACGGAAACGTATTCGCGGGTGCCACATTGCCCTATGGAATGGCTAAGGCTGTCGCCGACGTTAACGGGCAAAACACAGGAGGATTCGCGTTCGACGGTAGCAATGTCACTGGTTTCTCGAGGTATGGGATTTCTGTTCTATCCGATGTTGTTTTTGGGTTTGACGCTCAACAAGCCTGCACGACTCCGGCACTGGGGGCAATCCATCACTGGGCAACTTTCCTCTATTTCCACAACACTGCCCAGAAAATGAATTGAACAACTGCAATTACCTAATCACTGCCCGCGCTACTCCCTATCTCAACGAATCAATTGAGGCCAGCCCAGGCTATTTCGCATTGACATTGGAGAACGGTATCCACGCAGAAATGACAGCGGCGCAACACTCTGCGTTGTACCACTTTGTCTTTCCCGCAGAGGAATCGAGAAATGGATCAGCGCTAAATCCTCTCATCATGCTCGACCTGACGGACCTGTGGGCGAGTCGACAGAACGCATCGATCAGTATAGATGAAACGACCGGAAGAATGAAAGGGAATGGCACTTTCCTTCCCAGTTTTGGCGCTGGGTATTATGTTGCACATTTCTGCGTTGACTTCGCTGGAGCATCGATCCTCGACTCGGGAGTGTGGGTCAATAATCGAGCCGACACTGAGCCCAAGGAGTTGTTCGTCACGAGAGGCTTCAATCTGTTTTACCTCCAAGCTGGTGGATTCGTGAGATTCAAAGGACCAATTGAGGGTAACTTGACCGCAAGGGTTGGAGTGAGCTTCATTAGCGCAGATCAAGCATGTCAAAATGCGGAGAAAGAAATACCTGGCCCAGACTACGATTTTGAAGGTATGAAGAGCAAGGCTGAGGATGCATGGAGAGAAAAGCTCTCGCCTATCGCGATTGAAGCCGGAGGTGTGAATGAGACGATGCAAACAAATTTCTACAGCGGAATGTACAGGACGATGATCTCGCCGCAGGACTATACCGGGGAAAATCCAAATTGGGAAACATCAGAACCGTACTTTGACTCCTTTTACTGGTAAGCTTTTCAGAGCAACTCCGAAACCATGCCCTTTCATGCACTGCTAACGTATTTCCAACTAGTATTTGGGATGCTTTTAGGGTACAACACCCCTTTTTAACTATTGTTGACCCCGTCGCGCAATCAAAAATGGTCCGCAGTCTCCTCTCAACGTACCAGCATGAAGGTTGGCTCCCGGATTGCCGCATGAGCTTATGCAAAGGCTGGACGCAAGGCGGGTCAAACGCCGACGTCGTCATCGCGGATGCCTACATCAAGAATCTCACTGGCATCGACTGGAATCTCGCCTACGACGCAGTTGTCAACGACGCCGAGAACGAGCCCCTCGAGTGGTCCTACGAAGGCCGCGGCGGGTTGAAGAGCTGGAAGCGCTACAATTACATCCCCTATCTCGATTTCGACTACCTTGGGTTTGGGACGAACTCAAGAAGTATTTCTAGGACTCTCGAATATTCGTATAACGACTACTGCATCTCCACGCTAGGTAAGGGCCTCGGGAAAGATGAATACGCCAAATACCTCTCCCGAGCAGAGAACTGGCAAAACCTTTTCAAAGCCGACCAGAAATCTCTCATCAACGGCACAGACACTGGTTTCACAGGCTTCTTCCAACCAAAATATCAGAACGGCACCTGGGGCTACCAAGACCCAATCGCCTGCAGCCCCCTCACAGACTTCTGCTCCCTAACCTCCAACCCCTCCGAGACCTTCGAGTCCTCCGTATGGGAATACCTATTGTAACTCCCCTCCCTTCCCCTATCCCACATCCTCCACCGACTAACTCCATCAACCCCAGCTACGTCCCCCACGACATGCCCACTCTAATCACCCTCCTCGGCGGCCCCGCCTCCTTCATCGCCCGCCTCGACTACTTCCACACCTCCGGCCTCGCCGACATCGGCAACGAGCCCGTCTTCCTCACAATCTTCCAGTACCACTACGCCGGCCGCCCGGGCCTCTCGGCGCAGCGCGCGCACTCCTACGTCCCCGCGCGCTTCTCGCCCACGCCCGGCGGCCTGCCCGGCAACGACGACTCGGGCGCCATGGGCGCCTTCACCGTCTTCGTCATGCTCGGGCTGTTCCCGAACCCGGGGCAGGACGTGTATTTCATCATCCCGCCGTTCTTCGAGAGCGTGAGCGTGACGAGTCCGCAGACGAATAAGACCGCTACTATTAGGAATGTTAACTTTGATAGGGGGAGTTATGAGAATATTTATGTGCAGAGCGCGACGCTGAATGGGGAGGTGTGGACGAAGAGCTGGGTGACGCATGGTTTTTTTACGGAGGGGTGGACGCTGGAGTTGGTGCTGGGGCCGGAGGAGAGTGACTGGGGGACGAGGGCGGAGGATTTGCCGCCGAGTGTTGGAAAAGGAGGAATAGGGTATTTGTGAGATGGGCGTTGTCTTTTTTCGAAGTGCTGATTAGACGGAGAGCGTGGCGGATGTAGTGTGGTAGGAACGTGAACGCTTCTGGGGAGATATGGAGCAAGAGAATATAGACACAGCGAGCATATTGCATAATGGTCCAGGGAGAAACTTGTTTCAACATGATTATTGGAAGACTTGAAATCGGTCAGCTCGATGGCTCCTAGCTAGCTACACGCCCTACCACACGGTCTTACCGTTCCCCTAATATTTACACTCTCCACAATTCTAATCCCTCAATCTATTCGTCCCCCGGTCTACCTCCAACTTCCTTGCTTGCCTCTCCACATACCACACTAACGACCCACTCTCTCCCTCAAAAGACTACAAGAAATTAACACCGCCTTATCGCCAGCTAATACACCCTGAGTATGTACCGTCGTCGCATCCAAGAAAATGGGAATGGACTAAACAATCCCGAGAGCCACCGAAAACTAAGCCATCGCCGATCCCGTCTATAAAAAGTCTGCTGGTTTTTTTTCAAAATCGTCCCTCGTTCGTGTGCTTAGTGCCATTACTGAAATGAAACACGTCTCACAAAGAAAAGCTTATGCTGAATCTCAAGAGCTTTTCGCGCGCCAGCTCGATCCAGCAAGTCGAGCGCTGAGCCTAGGATGGCCTCGACAGATTCATCTGGGGCTTCAAGCTCTCCATGAGGTCGTCTCGGGTGCCGACGACCTCCTTGGGCATGCGCGAGACGCGATATGCGCCGGCTCGGATGCTGTTGAGCTGGACCTGCGACATGGCAGAGCGGGTGGAGCGGATGGAGCCTGCGTCGGAGCCGGAGCCGTTGTCGCGGAACTTGGGCGGAGGGGCGAAGTCGAGGGCGGTGAAGGTGCTGGACTTGCGGAGGGCGTGACTATGGGAGGTTAGCTTATGGCCTAGAACAGGAGTGCATTCAACAGTGACTTACGGGCTAGGCATAGCGGGAAGGTCGTCGAAAGCGCCCACCAGTGGCGTATGAGCCCGCACTGCAGGGCTATACGGTCTCTGCACACCGAGAGGACTGTCAGGTCGTCGACCGGCCTGGCGATCTCTGTACGAGACAGGAGGAGCAAAGTCGAGAGGGTTGAAGATGGCCGAATCTTCCGTGAGCTTGGCAGGCGTTGGTAGCGAGGTGAGAGCCGGAGGGGGTGGCAGAGGGGCTCTCCGGGGAGCAGCCACGCGTCCGCTCATGGAGGAGTTGCCGCGAGGAGGCGGCATGAAGCGACCGGTAGAACCGCTGGAGGCTCGGCCACGGCCAGTCTGGCCCTGGAAGCGCGGAGGAGCGCGAGGAGGCGGTGTCATGGCACGACGGCCAACGGGCTGAGCATATGGTGCTTGAGCCATGACGAAGTTACCAGTCTCAGGGTCGAAGATGGTTCCGTCCGCAAGGTACTCTGGGTTGTAGTCCTCATAGTAGCCTACAGGGTCCGGCTTGGAATCATCGAAGTACTCCTTGTAGAAAGAACGGATACGATTGGCACGTGTTTCGGGGTTATCGGCTGGGTCATCCGGGGGAAGAGGGCGAAGGCTCATAGACAATCGACGAGGGTCATAACCCAGATCATCAACTCCCAGGCCGAAGGCGTTGTTGTACGATTCTTCTTGCTGGACTGGCATTGGAGCATCGAGTGATCTGCGGCCAGCAGCGTTGGCCCCATCATAGCTCTGTTCACGAGAAGGAGGTGTAACTTTGAATCCATCACCGTAGTCGCTCGTGTCACTGATGCGGTTCATGTTGTTGGCGTTGGATATGACAACAGCCTCTTGCGATTGGACTCGTGGTGGTGGTCGAGGGTTCTCTGGAAGGAGCTTGGTTGGAGGTGAAATTGGCCTTGGGGCATGGATCTGGGGAATAGTGGGCTCGGGAGGCGATTGAGCTTGCCCGGGGGCCTCAACAGTCGAACCATCTCGGCTGTGGATGAAAGAACCAAGATAATTGTTGCTCGCCCTCATAACATTGGCGTTGTTGTCAAAGTAGGAGTCGCGGCCAGCATCGGCAGGGGTGGGTGCAAGCCCGCCGTTCGATGCAGGCACACGTGGCGGCGATCGATCCTGGGGATTTGAGGGAGATCCAGCCGGTTGTGCAGTCGCAGCGGGAAACTGGATGTGAGGTGGTGGCTGCTCGCTGAGTGGAGATCCTCCTGCCTTCGAGTCTCCTCGGGGTGGGACAGACTGCGACATGCGCTGGGCGTTCCTCAAAAGACTTCCATTCATCCTGTCGGTACCCCCACTTGATCCCGTGTACGTTGAAGAGTTGTCGTGGGGATAGCCACGCAGGCTGCTCCCATTTCTCATGCTGGCACTGTCCTTTATGAAGGTGACAGGGCGATAGGGGTCATGTGGATCGTCCATGGAGCGCGCCATAGAGTTGACTGACTCTCGCGAGTTGTGCAAGCCCGCTGGAAGTATGTAGGGATTTCCCACTCCTAGGTCCATTGACAAGCCCTTATTACCTCGAAGTGTCTTTTCAGTGTCGGTGATGGTCATTTCCGGGATCCCCTTTCCTTTCTTACTTGCTTTTCCCGTCGCCTCCAGGCCAAAGTCGAGAGATTTGTGTGGGTCATCTCTATCCTCCTGCTTGAGTTTCTTGTTATGGCGGCGGTGGAGAAATAGGAGGACTACAATGGCCAAGAATACAGGAATTCTGCGAAAGATCAGTACGGATACTACACATGAGGTGGAGTCGGCCTACATAACGGCACACACAACAGGAACAAGGTAGTCGGGAGTCGGCTTCTCGCATTCGTTGGCGGACCCAGTGCATTTTTCACGGGGCAGCAGAGCGCGAGTTATCGAGTGAAAGGTCCGGCTCGGGATGTCCATGTTTGGCTCAGCAGGAGAAGGGCCTCGAGGCAGCAAGTCGGCGGATGCTACTGCTGCGTCTCTCCTCGCATGGTGGAGATGGTTGTGAGAATGGTGTTGATGCATCTTGGCGGTCTTTACAGGGTGTTCATTCGGCCGCGACGGCGATTCTTCCAACGAGTCGGCGATTGGCGCCCAGTGGAACAGCGATGACGGCAGGAACTCGACTAAATGGATGCACGGCGGTCGTGTCGACAGTATTTGGTTTAGATATTAACAGCGTAAGGTCGTAAGGCAATCGGTCATAGCCGGCTGGTCCTGGACGGAGGCTGAAGGAGTGACGAAAGGCAAAAAGCAGCAGCACCAAGAATCCGAAGCCTGAAAAGAATGACGTGGGTAAGAGGAGGCGGGGAAGTGCTGCGAGATTAGTGAGTGCCCACGAGGGTGGTGGTGTTGAGAGAGCGGCGTGGTGAAGAGGAGAAGGGATTGACCGCTCGGGGCTGGGGAGGATGGGCGCGGAGCTTGCACGCAACGGGACAGCTTGTCGACGGGCGGCGGTGATTGGGCGGGATCAGGAGGGCAGCTTGCGTCGCACCAGCAGAAATGGCGGAGAGCGACAGGGGCAAGAAATGAAGCCCAGATGGAGCCCGGCACAGGCCGCATTCCACGCCGTGCGCCGCCGTCATGCTTCACCAAAACACCGCTCCAGGTGCCAGTGTCTGCTGGAATGACAGCAGAATCTCTGACGCCGCTCAGGGGACCTCCGTTGCAGCCATCGACGGCGGGGGCGACGGGCGACGGGCGACGGGCGACGGGCGACGAGCGGCACACGACGAGGGCATCTTCAGCCGCGTCGTGGTTCCTGAGTGGTTTGTTGGCAGCCTCGCAAATTGCATGCGCTCAAGATAGACTCTGGCGCCGCCGCTATCGCAAAAGCAGTGAAGCGCCAGGTACGCCTTTTGCGCGCTCGAATCAGCAGCCGGTGCCCCTGTTCGTCGCCAGGAACCACAACCCCACGGCTGACCCAGCCAGCCGCGAGCCGCTGAGATTGCGTGCAGAACGACCTGCCCCAAAGAGAAACACCACGCTCCTACACCACGCTCCTCCACCACCCCGCCGCGATGGGGATGCGTTCAAAGCCCCTCCAGCGCGAGGCTCAACTTTCGAGCACTTCCCGCCATCTCCGGCGTCTGGAACGCGTCCTCGACGTCTGATCTGGAACACGTGTGCGCCTGGCCTTCTCCCGGCCTTCGGTGCCACAGGGTTTGGAAACATAGGACGAAGGACCCTCACAATTTCCTGACTGTCCCCTCCTCCTCGCTAGCACCTCCATGCCCATGATCGTGGTGATTTTCGTCAGTCTCGAGGGCTGCGCAATCCCATTCCAATTACAATCCTAGCGCCCCTGCACGAAACAAGATGCGTTCTCGATAATAATAGAGCCGTTATACACAAGGCGTGAATCCAGATCTTGGTGTCAACACTGTCCAACGTCATCCCTCCATCTCCCTAGTCGCAACCTCCTTTCCACCGCGTCGGCGTTCTTCCACGTTACCGTTGCACCGTCCCGAGTACGAAATTGCGGGCACCAGGGACAGCCCTCCGAGATTCCGGGTTCGGATCGACCGCCTTGGCTGAGACGGTCTCGTGTGCGGCGCGTGCTTCTGAAAGCGAGGCTGATGCTCGAGTCGTGTGGCTGACATATTCCCTTCCATACGGAGAACCGGCATCAGCACTTCGCCGTTGACACGGAGTTACGAAGTAACGAAGACCAGATGACAGACACCCCATGCTATCCTACATAATAATGATTGCATCTGCGAATGGGACGGCCATAGGGCTTTGGCACCTCAGGCCTGACCCGGGAAGGTATCGATATCAACTCCAACTTAGTCCAGAGAGCTGACATCCTATGCGTCTTGTCGCTCGCGATGTAGATCTGTTGTTTCTATTCTGACGCAGTTAGTTTGGTAACTCTTTCCATTAAATGGGTGCAATTTGTCCACAGGTTGTCTCACCATGTTGTCCTATGCATTATTCCACCGACCTAAATCTGTCCCTTTACCTACGGCGCCTTGCACCAAGACGTCGTGCAAGGAGCTGGCACATTGGGATAGAAGCCGTACAAGAGGCGACGTTAGTAGCGAGCACGTGACTACAGCATCAGGTGACCTACGTTCATCGCCTAGTTCGGGTGAATTCTCCGAGGTAAATCCGCTCCGCATCGTGGAAAAACCAACCGTGCGGTTAGATTTGTAACATCTTCCAACAAAACGGCGGAATGCGTTCATGAGATGCCTCGGCAGTCAACTGATACCTGCTTTCTATCAAAATTAGTTGCTCGTTCGAGTGGGAAGACGAAACTATAACAGGTATAGTTAGCCGATGTCCACTTTGCGTCTGACAACATGTTCACGCGGTTAGATTTGGAATTCCTTTTAGCAAAACCACCTGCGCCTAAACGTGGTACATACTTCGCCTTGGCAGGTCATCCTACCAATCTATCAAATCATCGAAGTTCACTACTGTGGTTGGCTCTCTAACTCGTCTGGACGCTCACGTGACGCTGTCCAACGTCGTTCACCGCCCAGCGAGAATCACCCGCCACCGAGAATTGGTGGTAATTGGGGGGCCAAGCCGCTAGTCTAAATTCTTCTAAACGTGACCAAATCTGCTCGCGATTCTCGGTGGTAACGGGATTCTCGGATGGGGAGTGTTATTGATGATGGGTTTATGCAGTTGACGATTGATTCTTCCAATCAAAGAACTCAACTCATCCAGGAAATATTATCCAATCTAGGAATAATTTCTGATTGGCTCAATTACACTCAAATAACCCATTAAGTCGAAGTTCTGATTACTGCCCTTTTCGGTCAATTTTCTCGTTGGCCAGTTACTAGTTATGGTCAGCAGGGATGAGTAATGGCACCAATGGGACGGCGGCGGAAAATCAACGATGAGTGAGCAACTACATCTCTAGTTTTTACCGAGCAGTAATCATCTACCCTCTCCCACGCACCAATCCAGGCATTCCAAATACCTAGCGCATTATAGTATGCTTACGAGGGTGAGAAAGCAAACTGGATGCTCTCCTAGCCAGATATTAATTTGGCAGCATCAGAGACCGGAAAATATATAAACGAAGGCCAAGGAGTATGTACAGTATCTAACAATCTCTGTCGTCAGTCCATCATGCCTCTGTCAATTCCAACAATGCTTCCCATTATACTTTCTTCTCTCCTCTCCCTCCCCCTTCTCACAACCGCAATCCCACACCCCAACCCCCAATCACCTAACTGCATTCCCCTCACCCTCTCCATCTCCCTCACCGCCCCCTCCTACCCCCTGCTCCTCCCCGCGATTAAAAATGGTTATGATGCAACCTCTCTCCTCCTCGCCTTCACAGGCCGCGACGCCTCCTCCGACCCCTCTGCCCTCCTTGGGCCCCCAACTAACATCACCGTTCCTCTCTCAATCAGCGCACTGTACTGCACACCCACGACCCACTATAACCCCCAAAAAGCCCCGAAATTGCAACTTCTCACCCACGGCCTCGGCTTCGACAAAACCTACTGGAACTTCGGCGCACCGAAAACGACGTACAACTACATCGCTGCTGCGACTGCCGCAGGGTACGCCACCTTCTCCTATGACCGAATCGGCACCGGCCTCTCCAGCGTCGAAGACCCCTACAATGTCGTGCAAACCCCTGTCGAACTCGCGCTCCTCACCCACTTCACCGAGCAGCTCAAAGCCGGCACGCTCTCGCATCTGATCCCCAAGCCCTCGAAACTCGTCCACGTCGGCCACAGTTTCGGCTCGATCCTCTCCAACGCGCTCATCGCCACCCGGCCCGAGCTCTCCGACGGCGTCGTCCTCACCGGCTTCTCGCACAACACCACCTTCGAGATCCTATTCCAGATCAGCACGGGCTTCCACCTCGCGTCCGAGAACCAGCCCGCGCGCTTCGGCAAGCGCTCCTCGGGCTACCTGACCTGGGGCGACAAGTATGCGAACCAGTACAGCTTCCTCAAGTACCCCAACTTCGAGCCCGCAGTGCTAGAGGATGCGGAGGCGAACAAGTTCCCGTTCACGGTAGGCGAGTTCATCACGTTTGGCAAGGTTCCGTATGCGGCGCCCGAGTTTAAGAAGCCGATTTTGGTACGTCCTCTATCTTCCCCCCCCCCAAATTTGCTTTCTTTCGAAATTGAATTTTTCCTGCGATGTCGGTGGTATGGGGCTAATAGAAGCGTAGATGATCGATGGTGATTCTGACCTCATCTTCTGCGGCGCAGACTGTACGGGGATTCTGGATGGACCCTACTCGGTTTCGCCGCAGCTGTTCGCGAACGCGGAGCCGTTGGCGTTTTACTTGCAGCCGGATACTGGACATGGCATGAATCTGCACGGGAATGCGACGGGGTGGTTTGCGGTTGTGAACGATTTCCTGGATAAGCATGTGTAAAGGAGGAGAATGCCGAGGTGAATCGAGAGGGTAAGCGATTAATTGATGGAGGGTAGAGGCGGCAGACGCATGTTGGGGCGAAAAAAGATGGTGGATTAAAAGAGGGCTGGGCGTTGGTACACGAGGGGGGAGGCTTTACGTGGAAAAGTGGATCTTAGCCCGAAAGCGTGGTAATATAGTAGAGGCTTTCACTAGCGTTAATACAACTTATACTAGAAGTGTAAACACACGGCGTAGATGCGTGACCCACGCTCCGATTCGAAATGTTATTTATTAGACCGAAAGCGTGCTGAGGAAAGATGGCAAAAGGTATAGAGAGCGGGAGCTGAAAGCACGTCTCTATAAGTACTGATAGCTGCTTAGAGCCTGTCCGTCCTTATTTTGGAGATTTTGTGTAAGAAGGTGAGGGCGAGAGGTCATTTCACAGCTAATGCTCGCGTGTTCGGGTTGGGTTTGAGATGATGCGTTAAGAGTTAGAATTGAATTTTCTTCTCCGTTGAGCAATACTTTAGTGTATGAGTCTGGCCTGGCTTGGCTATCTTGCTCCAGTAGTGAATGAAGATCAAGAAACCAACCCATAATATGGACCCAATTCTTATTTTTGAATGTCAAAGGACACTCCGCGTGTAGTGGCTTTGTAGTACCGGTCGTAGAAAGTCAGTTTTACCTTGTCGCTACCTACTGAGCGCCCAAAGAAAGTGAACGTGTGGACGTCATTTAGTACGGGCTTATCCGCACTTTTTTCTAATGGCCCCTTAAAATCTTTGCGAGCAACGACGGAGTAGTCTAGCAAGAACACGTTCTGTGATTCACGAATAATTAGCAACGCTTGAGCATTTCTACTAGGAGCATCGGCTTACACCGTCGGAGTATGACCAATCCAGATATGAAACGTTTTGAGTCTATGTTTGAGTTAGTCTGCAACGTCGTTAACTGTGCGCAGTACATAGCATAGACTTACTTGGACCGAATAGGTAACTCTTGTCTTCTCCTTCAACGCAAATGGAGTCCATTTGAAATTCTTGTCGTCTGGATCTGCCAAAGCATTCCCAACAGCCATCGCGGCAAGGTTTGGCCTTGGGCTCTCTCCGAACCTGGAGATCACGGTAGCCAAGTCTCGAAGGTCGTCAATCGACATTCTCTCATCGTTTGACTGAAGATAAAGCGACTGTCGACCATAGACGATAATGACCCGTCTCTCACCGGCAACGATGCCGCTGACTACATGATCACTGTTGAGGTCACCCTCCGTAATGAACTCGTCTCCCGTGCCATAATTAAACTTCGAACTGCGTGCTCCCGTGGCATCTTTGGGAGTGGGGAAAGTGCGCCAGGAAAGTTTGACATGATGGGTCTGACCTCCGAAGATGGCGACAGTCAGCCCCCAAGTAATGAGACCAATTCGAGTGGGGTCTTTATCCATGCTGCCAGCTCCAGGCCACACTTGGGGCTTGTCCACTGCCATGATCATGATGTTCCGGAATTTCTGGGCGAGCATCCAATCTGCAAAGCCGAGTGTATCAAAAGCGAAATCGGCCTCCGGAAGACCCTTGAAGTCCCGGAGAAGTTTATCTTCCGTGGGCAAAGTGTTGGTGTCGGTAGGGTCAATTCCAGGACGGAGCAAATCGGGGAATTCTCCAAGGATACCGTGGTGAGAGTCAGTGACTTTGTAGCCGGTCGCAGTGTCGCAGTCGCCTGTAATTTTCTTCTCAGTATCCAAACACTTTCCAGCGCTGTTGTACACCTCTCCCGGAGGCGGGTGCACAGTGTCAACTGCTCCTTTTATATAGCCAGCTAGATTGACGTGACCAGTTACTGGCCCGGCGCAGGCGTCATATATGCGAATTTCGTTATTGTTGCGGCTCTTGTAGCCCAAGAAGACATGGCTGACAAAATGCGATCGCTTCACTGACGTCTGCTCCATGATGAGATCTGGCGATAGGAGATTTTTGCAAGAGGGATGGTTTCCGATCGTAAACGGGTTGTTGCAGTTGCCACCGCTGGCGTAGCCGACCAAAGGAGTAGCCTTCAAGAAACCAAAAGGTGCCATCCAGTACGCTGTCAAGTTGTTGAATTCATCCGCGGTCTGAAAGCCAAGGCTGATACACAATCCAAGAATTCCGGTTTGGTCAAAGCAATTTACGGTAGGTCGTCTCTTTCCGGTGAGCGCGTATCCCCGCAACTTAAAAGCTTGCTTGGTTTTTTCAGTTGCAGTGCCGTTGAACACTGTCTAAATCATGAGATATTTGCTGAGAAGGAATGCCGATCCAGCGCCTTTAGTGAAGGCGGGTTGACCATCGACTCTATTGTAGAGATAGCCACTATCGAAGACACGTTTTGCCACGGCGACGTCGTAGGGAAGAGAAGAGTCGTCTCCCTTGCCATTTCTCGGTCCGAGCGCAAATCGTAGCAAGTTGATGTCGATACCCTCGTAGGCAAGGAACTTGATGGGACGACTACCAGTAAAGTAGGATTCCATTTCAGCGGTGAAAAACATAAGCGATTCGGTTCCTAGCAGAACCTGAACTTCCAAAGTGCCCACGCACGCCCATGGATGATCGTCGGGTCTCCCAGGGACAATGCCGGCCTTGAGGTCAATACCCTCTACCATAAAGTTACTGGAGACGCTAACGTAGCCGTTAGAATCGACATGAAGGTTTCGAGGATTGCCGTAGAGAGAGAATTCTGGATTGGTTGCCGGGAAATCAATGGTAATGCCGTCCCTACGGCGAAGCGAAGTCTTCACCGTGAAAGGATATGCGTATTGCCACCCGTCTTGAGGGTCGAGGCTAGCCTTCTTCATGAATATGGAGAGCTCATCGCGAGTTCCTTCCCAATAGCCCTGGATATGGAACTTATGGATCGGGCCGCTAGTGATGTTGTACGTATAGGGAATAGCACCCTTCGTGGGTTGCCAAATTGTAGGACACCAGCCGGTGAACTCGGGAGAAACGCCACGGTCGTCGAGAATCGGAATGAGAGGGTATGAAAGTTGTTGAAGATGAGTGACAATGTATTTCGGCATTTTGGAAGGTACTTAGATTGAGTTCAAACCTAAGAGAAAGCAAAAGCGACACGACGTGACGCATACTAGAAATCAAGATGGATGCTGCTACTTATCTACCCAGAACTTCGCTGCACAGACCAAAAGCACGCCCTCGTAGTCTAGAGCGTGTTAAGAGACCCACTTTGACGCATCAATAGATCAAGAGTTATCGAAAGGCATTAGCGAGTGAGAGGAGAGCTGAATGTCAGGATGTATAGGCGCCGACTAAGGCGAGGGAGAGCTGGAGAACATGTCTAGAAGCGCCTCTAGATCTACCAACCAATCAAGTTCAATTGTGATGCAAGGTCAACGAGCGGACTGCAGTTCGAGCACATAGAGCTACGCATGTGCATGCACAGGTTGATGCTGAACTGGCTTCGATGCGAGGATGAGTTGGACGATGCGAGAGGTAGGGACTTTTATCGACGCGATACCCTAGTCAGCGTCGGTATTACGGGAGCTAATAGGTATTTACGAATGTAAAGGCAAAAAAATTGTGCTCAAGATGCGGGCGTGCATGTCCCGAGGCGATCCTCGGCTGCACCTACATTTATACTTTCAAGTTGCGCCAACTAGAGGGGGAGGCCGAGTGCGTTTTGAAACCGTCAAAAATCCTACGCAGCTATAGGTAGATACAAAACAACTTAACATCTAATCCAGAGCCTTAGAAACCTATGGCGAGCACATATAAAAGCGTGATTATATATAGTATATGTATATGCGAAAACGTAAAGCTTTGTATGAACTACCTCTCGCGAAAACGCCCGTGCAAATGCGACAAAATGCAACATAAAGGTCATCTTAGAAAAAAGTGCCTGTACGAATATCTAGAGCAGAATCTACAATACTGAACCTACCGCCGCCATTACCGAGACTACGAGCGCGAGCAGAGCGGCTGAGGGTGCCGAAAGCGACCTCACGCCAAATGAAGACGTGGTACCGCAGCACTTACCATTGTAGGTGACATTGTTGGCTTCGGCGGCGACTTCGAAGACGGAGCCGTTGAAGGGGCCAACATTGTAGTAGTCGACAAGGAGAAAATTGGGTGGGCGGCCGTGGTCAGCTATTCGTGTGGATTAGTAACAAATCAAAGGTTCTCGATACATTATGAAAGAGGCGAACTCACCAGTACACTCTCTTGTCATATTGCCTAAGCTCCCCTCACCTGTTAACCCATTGGTGACATTCATTGCCACCGAGTTCGGAATCAAAAGACTCGACGACCCGGCAATAGAGACCGCGACGTTCAGGTTGTGATTGGCCATATAAAGCCAGCTGTTGGTGTTGTTCTCGCTCAAGTTCTCCGGTCGCTGAACCGTGCAAGGGAAGGCAGGATCTGTGGGCGAATATGGCGTTTCCCACATGCTCTGGAACTCCCAGAGGATCCACGGCGCCGCATCGTAATCGAAGTTGTAATCGATGAAGAAAACGACGCGCTTCTGCGAGAGGATCATCTCGGATAGCGTAGGCCAGTCGTCGAGCGTCATCGAGTTCTTCGGCGGCTGATAGACATAAGGCATCAGGCCTGCCTTCGTGATGGGATCGACGAAGTTGGCAGACGTAACGAGGGGGTTGCCGTTGTCGTCTTTCAGTGTATAGTCACCGTTGCCTAGGAGAATAGTGATGACATCGTAGGGGTGGGAGCGAACCCAAGCTGCGACTTCTATTAGGTAGTTCTCAACGGTGCCGGCATTGAGGAGGTCGCAGGATGTGTGGCAGTAATAGAGGGTGCCATTGACGATATGCGTTTGGCCCTGGACTGATTTTGATGCGTGTTAGCAGATGTTAGACAGCTTCGTCCTATAGATGGGCAGATACATACGCATTCGAATGCCATCATTCAATTGAGTAGTTACTCCCAAGGCTTGATTGCTCGCAGCGTTGTTCTTCACATCGAACGGCGAGTTATGAGCGGTGACTTCCGTTATATTTGAGTACTTCCGTGTGCAGAATTCAGGATAGCCGTTGCAAGGCTGTGTGTTTGTAGGCAATACTGATGAGGTCGTGCTTGTTGCTGTGCTGTTCCCGCTCTTCGTCGATGCGGAATAGCCTCCGACTAGCAAGATGACCGAGTTGCTAGTGGACCGAGAAGAAGATGCACTCGTGTTCGACGCTGCCATACTGCTCGATACACCGGACATAGACCCACTCGTGGAAAATGCTTGAGTAGTGAAGTCAGACACGAACGCTGCTATAGAGCCTGTTGGGGCAGCATCTGCTCCTGTAATTCTTGTTCCGGAGAGTGTGACGATCGATTGTGAGGAGGACGTGGCTACAGCGAGCCCGCTGAGCCCGCTGAGCCATAGAAGTCGCAACAACATGTCGGATGGTACGTGCAATCCGTGTCGGCGGTTATAGGTATCGGGGGTTGAGATCCTTCCTTAGCATGAGAGAGCTTCTGGAGGTGAGGAAACCTAGAAAGTTTGCTTAGTTTAAGACGTTCAAACATCCACTAGAACAGAATAGATTCAGAATTCAACACTGACTGTATGAGTATATGAATGCAATAACAATGCTCCTAGCGAGGCCTTGAAGAAAGAGGCTCAGCGTCAGCAATGGAACAACTGAGGTTCGACTGCGGCACACAGCACACACAACGCGCAACGAGGACAAGGGGCTCGAATGATGTGCCTCAGGGGGAGGGAGCGATGTGTGGGAGAAAAGACGACAGTTGCCGCAGTTTTACAAGCACACGGCGCCTCTTGCAGCGAAAAAAGACGGCCGATCGCCAGCGTTTGAGCCGCGTAGACACATGCAGCTGCGTGACATCACCATAAGGTTGGTCGCTTAGCAAAATTAAGCCCTGGTCATACCCGGCAGATCCGAGCACACGGGCTCGCTAGAAGATATATTTACTTCATGGATCCGTTTTTTGAGCTTGCCGGGATGAGGCCTTTCAAATTGCGTCCAATGTCACTTCTGTGGCCAGTCTTCCACGACGTAGATTCGCCAACTCTGATAGCCACAAATACAGCGCCGCTTGGGGTGGCTGGTGATCGGTGCCTTGTTACTACGCATTCCAAAGCCACGCCGAGTTCCGTCAATAATGTTGGCATTTTTGCGTCGTGGACTTTGCCTTTTCATCGACGCACTCCCGATAATGGCAGACGGGTGTTGATGGACTAGTTCTACTAGAGCTATATCAATTATGAGTACCTTCACATCATGGCATATCATAGGACATATGATGCTGTGATGATTGTATCTGGGAAAGATTTCCCTGTGTATATGGAATTACTAAGAAGACCATGAAAGGCATGACCTACTGGAAAGTTAGGCCATGCATAGAAGCTTATTTTGGCGTCACTTAGTAAGTGCCACCTGGTATACCCCCATATTGACTCTTGACTCCGTTGACGCCGTCCTCCAAAAAACTCCAGGAATTCAGATCATCCACTACAGTCCGAGATGTAGCTATGCCCGAGAACAATCCCGGATGTTTGAGGTGGACTAGGTGAGATCGACTGTCTCAACACCGTCTTCTTCAATGACGGTCCGATATCTCTTTCGTGGACGTTCTTCAACAACAACCAAGTCATCGTCGCCTTCGAAAGACCCCGATCGGTTCTCGGTGCGCTCCCGCTTGATCTTTTCCCGCTCGATCTTCTCCCGCTTGACCTTGTGCGCGGAAATAGCGTCGCGTTCCTGGGAAGAGATCAGTCTATTATTCAAGTAAAACGTAACACACGGGGCACACTCTTACTCGCTGTCTCTTCACCAGCTCCCTCAACTCTTCCGGGGTCAAGTCTTCGACTGGTCTATCTTCCAGAGCAACTGGACTAGCGCTGCGCGGAATGATATGAAGTGCCTTCAAGGCATCTGTGCTACTGCGTAAGCAGCAGCTCTACCAAAGTGTGCATTCCTTCTTACCTCTAGACCGGTATCGAAAGTTGAAGGTTGCGAAAGGTGACTTCACCGTATCGACATACTCGCCAATGACCTCTCTGAAAGCAGGTACCGTCTGGGGTGTTGCGAGTCTATGTACAAATTTAGCGTGAAGGAAATGGGAATGACTGTGTGCCGTACGTTGCTTGATGCGAGATTGCTCTACCCTTAAGCACTTTCTCAGGAATCGTCCCAAGGTGCGACGGCTGTGTGAAGGGACTCTTTTCGATGGGAGCAACATCACCACCATAGTGCATCCGTTGGAAAGTGACGGAAATTTCACCGACTTGATTGAGGGCATCCTTGACGCCCTGTCCTACGGCGTTGAGGTCTCCATCGTCTGGAAGAGATCGTCAAAATGAGAGCAAACGTTGATTAGGTCAGGTGCGTTACCAATTGTCAAGTTTGAGAAGCGAAATGTTTGAAGATAGTACTCGCCAGCTTTACAGCTGCGCCTTCCTCGGAGGGTCGCCTGTTTGAACAGCCCGGTACGCTTTTCGAAAACCATTCCGTCCTGGTATGTGCCATCCAAATAAACACGGCAGGTGTAGGAGTACTGGCGATGCTCTTGTGGGAGTTCAAGCCCAAAAATGACTCTGACTTCGAAGGTGGCATTAGAAGTCGCTTCAATATACTTTATGACACTTTTCGGCTTTTCTTCTTCACCGTCCTCATCATCGTACTCCTGGAGAGGCTGTCCGTTGACGACTATCTCAACCTTTAGCCCTAGCAAATCGTCGAGGATCGCCATAGTCGAGGTTGAGGCCCGATAACCTGGCCTCGTGGTGTGGAAAGTTAGTGTGATTGCGAAGGAAGATATGCGGAATGCGTGGCTACATAGAAGGCGCAGAAGGTGAAAGAGTCCCCACCCCTTAGGTGAGAGGTGCGGTGAAGGTGCGAGAAGGGTAAAGTCGAGGTCGCGGACTTCGCTCAAACGCTAGGACGCCATATCACGTGATGTGGCTTGGCACCACTTATCTACCTACCTAGTATAGAGGTGAATGAGGTATCACTTTTGCAGGAAAGTACTCTGCGGATGATTCTCTTGCAGACGCACTGGGTTTACAAATTCCCTATCTATCTAAACGTTGCCCTCTTAGAGTTGCCAATGCTTTAAGTTATAGAGATTACCCTCTCAATACTCCAAGGTTCAGCATACAGTAGCTTCTCGATGAAGTCTGAAGACGCTCTCTTGCTATCGTTTGACTTGCTCCCCACTCATCTAATCTTCTGCACAATATGTGAGGTCCTAGACAGTGTGTAATAGAGCAGCTTCGAACGCCTATGATCACCTAGTCCTGCCACACTTTAGGACGCTCCAGCATAGTATGAGAAGTTCAGAAGATATCTAGAAGTAGCAGGACATTAAGGTGCCGAAGCTTCGTTGAGTCTGCAATAGAGCGCCACGCCATAGACCTGCGAATGCTGTCCTACCGCTCAGGATGCTTCAATACATGTCCAAAATCCTAATGACATGCGAGGATATCGTTAACAGCCACTCCAGAGGGTGCTATCGAATGGTTCAGAAGGGTCACATACATCGACAAACTTTCGCTACTGTACGTACATTAGTCAGGTAAGTTCACCTCAAGAATACCCATTTAATCAGTGAGAGTGATATTATGTAGGTCATCGTTTCGTACTGAGAAGGTGCCCTAGAACGGGACCACAAACGCTAGGAGGGACTAGGGACAAATGTAGAAACTCGCCGCCACCGCCAATTACCCTCAGTCAAGAACACGCTCTGCTGCCCCCACCCATCCAACATGCCGATGCAATGAAATTGAAAATGAGAGGATGGATTGCAGCCGTGGAAACGCCAAAAAGCCCTCAAGATGCCGTCTATTCCCAGAACTACTCCGGCCCGACCATGCAAAGGAAAGTAGCATTCGTACTGTCGTGAAGTCGCGCCTGTATCTCGCAGAGACCAATTATTGAGTGTACTAGAAGAGTAGGTGATGGTCAGTCGCTTTCCAGGTCTCGGGTATCTCTTCGTTCAGCCGTTCACCAGTGTCCGACTCGTACCGGTGCGCCTAGGCCATAAGTGCCGCTCAAAAGTTGCTGTCGAACGGACATGGGGTCCGATGCTCCTCCAGTGCTAGGGTTGGGTGTGTCCGTGCCCAACCATTGCAGGCTGCCCCGGAGCTCACCGATCGCTTCCTGCATCCTGCCACCCGAGATTTGGTTGTGCTTGGACAGCTTCTGATCCCATCCTCCATACTGCAGCTGGATTCCTCCTGCTCGCTTCGCAGCTTCTCGGATAACGGATGCCCAGGCCTTCGCCATCTCTTCGTATGCTTCTTGCTTGTGTCGGTTGTGCTGGAAGGTGTCCCAGTCAGGGAGGCGGTGGATGATTTCGGTGGCGCCATCAAGGAAAGCTAGAGACGTGGCGGCCTGAGACTCGTTTGGAGGGAGGAAGTTTGGCGTGAAGTCCTTTAATGCATCAAGGAGATCGACAAGAGCCTGTCGGACTCTGTTGTAGGCGTAGTCCGAGGATGCACGGCCACCATAGGGGTACGACGCCTGGAACGCCGACTCATAGTTTTGTAGGACCTCTAGTGTCGAGGAGACGCTCGGTCTAGGCGCGATGGAGACGATCTCTGATCCTAGGTCTGGACGGCGTTCACATATCGATCGGAGGATGCTCCTCATGTCTTCAGCACCGAGGGTCTCTAGAAGGCGGGGAAGGGCTAGAGGCCTCCCTGTAACGTTGGTTCGCATGCGCTTCGAGGACGGGCGTGATAGATTCCGTGTGGGCATCGCAGGAGAGTTCGTGGGAGATGCAGACATGCGGTCATCGTTGTCGCCGCTGGCGTCGTCGTCCGCCTTTCGTTTGCGGCTGGACATGGCTGTGGATGGAGATAGGACTGCAGACAGAAGGCTGGTCAGCGGAAAACCACCAAGAAGTCGACGAGAAGACGACGTACCAGAGCGAGATGGTGAGAAGCGGTTGGGAAGCAAGTGGGGAGCGGCAATGTGTTGGCTGGCAATGACACTATTCATGACTGAGACACCCGCCGAGACCGCCGAGAAGCAGAAGCTGCGAGAAGATGAATTTGCCTGCTGCCCCAGGGAATAAGGAGACGGGTTCGAGGTGAGAGGCGAGGCGGTGGTGCTTTGTTAGGGAGACGAGAGGTGGAACACACGACGATGCCGTGGAGACCAAATCTCGGCCCGCCCTAATTCGGCAGCTGGACCCTCGCCCGCCAAGCGAATCGACTTCACAGCACGTGAGTGATGACCATTCACGGGAACGTCACAGATAGTTTGTTCAAGCGCTCACGACGGTGAATGCTATTTTGATTTCGTAAAGCAGCTAATATTGTACAATCCAGTGCATTCCAGCAGGCATCATGCAACAGGCCGCCCTACCAATCTCTGTGATGGGCCATGCTCGAGTCGGAAATATACCCGAAGAGCCAACGCCTTCAGTGGTACTACCTCCAAGAGCAACAGTGCCATCACGGTACGATATACTAAGAGAAGCCATACTCCATTAGCCCCATGAGCTGAATGCTGCTCACAAGTAGAGGGACTGCGCCGCCACAAGATCCCTCTTCACCATTCCTAATGAGTCCACAAACTTCTGCTCGAGCTCCTCGCTACCCATGACCTTCGCAGCTTGGCCCATCTGCTGCAGAAGCTCTTCCAGCCGTCTGAACAGCCGGATCAGGTTTCCTTCGTAGACGTCCGTCAATTTGCTAGATCATTGTCAGCCCGGCCCAGTGTGTTATTATGGGTTTCATCTTACCAGATCTCCAAGAACGAGGCCCCTTTCGACCAAGCAAAAACGACCTCCATGAGCTCAGGCTTGAAACTATCAAGATACTCCTTTTCAACAAGTTCGACCTTGCTCTCTTGCGAGACTTTAGCAACCCGCCTAGCTTCTGCTTGGATCTCTCTGAACGGCTTTGCTAGCTCTTCTCTAAGTGCTGGGCTCTCTTTCGATTTTTCCTCAAAGATGAAAACGCTCAGGACGGCTGCACACTGCTGAGGGGTGAGTTCGTTGAAGAACCGGTTAAACAGCAGCTCGCTGAGTACGAGTGTGTCACCAGTGCTTATCTCACAAGCCACTCGTGCCTTTAATTGTACAACATCGGTCTCGTTGATGAAGCCAAGCCGACGAAGCACGCGCGTCCGACACTTGAGCTCTTCAAGCTGCATGATCGACAGCGCCTTGGTGATCCCCTTTTTCTGGTCCTTGATCCTGTCCGAGAGTGTTACTTTGTCTTTGTACTGCTGGTAGAGCTCCGTGAGCCTTGGTGAGTTGTAAAGCGGGTTGGAAAGAAGCCTGGATTCGAGTACTTCGATTTTCTAAACAAGTTAGCGACAGAGTGCCAGTATAGAAGCATTGCCACTTACCCTGAGAAGCTTCTTGAACGAATCATCCGTTATGCCCATGTTCTCGATGGGATCTAAGATAGCAATACCATCTGGAAATCTCTTCTTGACCTCCTCCAAAGACTTTCGCACCGAGTTCCTCTGTTCCGAGTTTCTCAGATCTTTGGGCAAGAACAGTCTTATGTGGCCGATCGACTCAATGCAGGACAAGACCACTGGGACGACCTCCAATTTTCCTTTGGTGCCCGGAGCAGGCGGACGAATGCCAGGCGGAAGGTCATCTAAAAAGTGCGGAGCAAAGTTGGTGTCATCGGCAACTAGCAGCAGCACGTCCAGTATGTACTGTTGTTGGGGAGTGAGCTCTTTATCCTCGTCCTTCTTGCCAAGTTTTCGTGGCAAGAACTGAACCACAGCGCCCCATCCGAAATCCACATCCTTCTCCTTTATTCGTACGAGACGGCCGGCCTGCAGAAATTGCAGGCAGTAGTTTGGATGGTTGACGACATCACGCATGTTTTGGGTATACGTGTTCAGTTGCTGTCGTAAGGTGTAGTAATCCTTAATGGCAGCCTCGTCTGGGATCTCCATGTTGGCTTTTTGGATCTCGAGTTCTTGAAGGTCTATCATTTTGGGATTAGCAATGAGACAGTCGAATATCTGAAGGGAAATCTACCTCTCTCCAACCCAGCAACACTAGCAGTATTCTGAAATTGCATGAAACATCGTTCGAGCATAAACTCTGGGGAGATCCCTTCGACTCTCATGAGGTTCAAGATCATGTTGTAACCCAAGTGGAACGCAGAGTTGAGGTTGTCTTGCTCTCCTCGAACGATCTCCTTCGCAACAGCAGGATCCATCTTCTCGTTGATCATCATTATGACGATACCTCTATCGTCCAGACCTCTTCGGCCTGCACGCCCGGACATTTGAATGAATTCCGAGGGAGTAACCCAGCGCTGTTCCTTACCATCGAACTTGCGTACATCGGTGAACACCACGGTCTTAGCTGGCATGTTCAGACCGATCGAGAAAGTTTCCGTAGCAAATAGAACCTTGATTAAACCCTCCTGGAAAAGGATTTCGATGGTTTCTTTCAATATTGGTAGCAACCCGGAGTGGTGAACCCCAATACCTCGTCGCAGCAAGGGGAGCATGTGCTGAATCTGTGGCAAGGTCTTGTCTTCCTCCGAGAGTGAATCAATGGCGCTGTTGAACACCTTCGCAACCATTTCCTTCTCTGTATCATCATTGAATGCCAGTTGCGCGAGCTGGATCGCCAGGGCCTCACATTCTCTCTTACTGAAGCTGAATACAATTACGGGATTGTAGTTCTTCTTCATGATCATCTTGATGATCTTGTAGATGTCCGAGGGGCCTTTTGTTCCACCTTTATTTAGCTTCTTATCCTTCCCCTTGCCCTTCCTCTTCGCCATCGCGCCTGCGGGATCGTCGCCTTGCTTAGCTGCGATTGACGACATAGCCTGTTGGAAATTTGCCTCCCGGAACGTGCCCTTCTCGTCCACGACCAAGTGTATTCCATCTGCGCCTGCTGGAAAGAAGTAGTGTTGTAGAGGCGTGGGTCTAAAATCGGTATAGACAACGTGACACGGTTGGCTGTGAGTTTTGGTGATCCATTCGGCAAATTGCATGGCGTTGGGTATCGTAGCGGAAAGAAAGACGTAGCGGACTTTATCGGGGAGCAAGATGATGGTCTCTTCCCACACAACTCCACGAACTGTTCTATTTAGCATCAAGCCTCACGGAGCGGAAATTTGGACTTTTACTTTTTTCGCGAAGATAGTGAACCTCGTCAAATATTACCCAGGCAACCTCGCGCATAATTTCAGATCCTCTATACAGCATGGAGCGAAGAATCTAGTCCAGTGTTAATTTCAGTCCTTCAACGCGACGCGACAAAACAAACCTCTGTGGTCATAACTAGACATGTTGCCGTCGGGTTGATGGTTACGTCCCCTGTCATCAATCCAACGTCTCCAAACTCGGCCGTAAATTCTCGGTACTTTTGGTTGCTCAATGCTTTGATGGGACTTGTGTAAATGACCCTCTGATTGTTCTTCAAGCACTGCGCTATAGCGTATTCTGCGACAACCGTTTTGCCAGCACTAGTATGCGCGGAGACGAGAACGCTCTCGTTCCTCTCAATCGAGGAGATTGAGACCTGCTGAAACGGATCCAGAGTGAAAGGCCATGTCCTCGCTGGCTTCTCTGGCGGTTTATGCGCCGAAATGGGCACGTAGTCGTAGTCTGGAGGTAGCGCAACCTGATGTCTCACTTGATGAGAAACAACCACAGCAGCGCCATCTTTCTGGGCCTGGAGTCCTGCGGATGCGGCGATTTCCCTCGACTGCTCGGTTTCGAAGGCGTCTGTCACTACTGGCTCGGCTTCTAGCTTCTGTCGTTTTTGTATTTGCGGATGCCCGTTCCCGTTGCTGTCCCCTGGCGCGTCTGGCGCATCCGCCAGAATCTCATCCTCGGGGGAGGGTTGTTTGACGTCGCCGTTCGCCTGGCGCTTTTTGCTCTTCTTCGCGGGCTCCAACTCGACGGGGCCGGGGCCGTCGAAGACGTTGAACAAGTCGTCCATGGCTGCGGGAAGACGGTTAGCTTACTCCCAAGAAGTTAGCATGTGCGACTTGCGGGTGAGTGAAAGCAGCGTGGCTTCGAGTGTGTTTGAGTAATTGACCAAGCTCATCAAAAATCGAGAAGAGGTGCACGTCCTTTGCGGATGATGCGGAGTTTGCCGGCCAAGTTAGCGTGCCTGCCCTAACTGACAGGGCTGGATGTCACCTCACCCGACGAGCGCCTCCAACCACCACGCTCCTTGACATCTCGACTCTCCACTCTCCCCAATTGCTCCTCAGCTATCCGCAATCGTATGCTCTACCGCCCTAGGTCTGTTGCCAGCTAATCGGTGTAGATGCTTGCCCGCGCTGCCTTCCGTGCGTCCACCACGACGTCGCTCGTCTCCCGCCGCGGCTTCCAGTCGACCCGCGCCCGTCTGGACAGCCCGTACCACTACCCGGAGGGACCTCGAAGCAATCTGCCATTCAACCCATTGACCAAGTGGTTTGCACTGAGATTCTGGGGGTTCTGTGGTATGTCACGGGCACATCGCGAAGCACAAGCACCGCTAATCAGGGCACAGCTGTTGGATTCGCGGCGCCATTCCTTGTCGCTGGTGAGCCCCATTGCTGCCCATATTTGGCAGTCATAGCACAAACTAACCATACTACCGAACCGCAGTCTGGCAGACAAAGAAGAACAAGCCTTAGAGAGCATCTAATGCAATGGAATAGGTCGGGAGAGGCATTATCACGGGTAGACGGAGAGGACATATCAGCGAACCGTGGGCTACACCACATTGTAGCAATTGTACAAAGAACCCAGTGTGAAGATACGCCCTCAGTGAAACCACCTTTAATATCTGTGCTCCAATCGTGATGCCTTCAATTTTGATGACGCCGCGGGAGCTCTTCTTGGGTCGGCCTTGGCTCGGCAAAGAAGCTTCAACTGCACCTTGACAGCTTTAGGAAATTTTCGACCCCATCCATAAATTTTCAGCACTTTCAACTAGACACTCATTCCTAGAAGCAACAAATCGTCTGTTGCCTCGAGAGCGAATTCCGCAATGCGCAACCTAAGGAATGCCGGACGGTTACTAGTTCGGTTTCCCGACAATCCTCTTCCACTTGCTGCTACTGCGTGGGATACCACTAAGGACTCACTGATATGCGCCTTTGGGCCGTCTGAGTCGAGTGCCGTAATCGAGCTCAAACGCCTGCGTCAAGATGCAGCTTCTGGCGAAGACCCTATGATACCCATCTCATCTTGGAACGCTCCATGTCCTTTGCCAAGTCTTCTTTGCGACTCAATATTGGATCTCCATTATTTCTCAGGTTCTTCAACAACATGTCTTATCCTAGCCGGAGGAGATATAATACTCGTTCGGGAGCAATCGCTCCCTGGAGAAGTCACCATAGAAATCGTAGGCTCAGTAGACGCAGGCATATCTGCAGCTGCGTGGTCGCCCGATGAGGAGATTGTGGCCATCACCACACACGCCAACACCCTTCTCTACATGACCCGAGAGTTCGAAAGCCTCACAAGCATTACTTTGAGCAGAGAAGATCTGAAAGAATCACGTCATGTCTCCGTTGGCTGGGGTAAAGCTGAAACGCAGTTCAAAGGCAAAAGAGCCAAAGCGTTACGGGACCCTACAATGCCAGAGCATGTCGACGATGGAGTGCTTAGCCCACATGATGACCGCTCGGCAACCATCAGCTGGAGAGGCGACGGTGCATATGTTGCTATAAATACTGTTGAAGACGAGAAGCGAAGATTGATTCGAGTCTACTCCCGAGGAGGTCTACTTGATAGCGTCAGCGAGCCTGTGGATGGGCTCGAAGGGGCTCTTAGTTGGCGACCGTCGGGAAATATCATCGCCGGAGTGCAACGGCTAAAAGACGGTCTTGACGTCGTATTGTTCGAGAGGAACGGCCTTCGTCACGGTCAATTCAGTCTACGACTATCCTCTGAAGAGTTTGACCTTCTTACCATACCTTTGACTCTAAGTTGGAACAGCGACTCGAGCGTCCTCGCTGTTGGGTATTCGAACAAAGTCCAGCTTTGGACCATGGGGAACTATCACTACTACCTGAAGCAGGAGCTAGAGTTTCCGAAAACAGAGTCCAAATGCGCTGCTATCAATAGTTGGCATCCTGAGAGACCTCTTCGCATTTCTGTAGCAACATTTGGTAAGCTAAGGGCATGTCCCATCCAAGTTCACTGGCTGACAACAGAGCAGATGCAGTTCAAATGCTAGAGTATGTTCTCACGGCGGCCAGCGGCCCCACAGTGGCTCCAAACGACTTTGGCCTTCTATGTGTGATTGATGGAGGTATGAAACCCAGCCTTTCCTTGTCAGTTTTCATACTAACGATTCAAATCACAGCATCTTTGAAGCTCACTCCCATGAGACTCACAAACATCCCTCCACCAATGTCCCTCCATCAGATCAATCTGCCAGAAATTGCGCTAGATGCTGCTGTATCTGCAGCCAATTCGCGAATTGCCATTCTCACAAGAGAGGGGGTATATGTATTTGCGCTTGACATCCACAAGAAACCAGTTCCTGAACCCACCCTAGTTTGGCGCTGTGCTAGTCCACCGAATCACTACCCACGCCAAATAGCTTTCGTTTCAGATACTGATATCTTCTTGATCACTGACCAATGGAACGGATCCGCAAGTACTCTATGGAAATGTGAAGAGCAAGGCGTCACCTCTTATGGGGGCGTGTCAGGGATGAGAAGCAGTTCGAATATCACTTCCAGCCTGGATAGAACAGGTCTATTCGTCCAGACTTCGAATGGTGCTATATCAAGTATTGCTACCAAACAGTCAGCCCCTGAGGTTGAAGACCTCTGCCTTGCTTCCGTTGCCAAATTCCCATCGCCGGTATCGCTGGTACAAGTCGTAGTTCATGCGGATGAGGTAAGTAGAGCAAATTCCACCTGTCTATCTGTACTAACAAAGGCAGAATATTTGTTTCGGCCTAACTACGAGCGGAGTTTTGTATGCCAATGGCCGCCTTCTCGCTAGGAACTGCACCTCGTTTCTGGTCACGTCTGCCCATTTGATATTCACAACTACTCAACACTACATAAAATTCGTTCACATTGCAAAAGATGAAGGTCAGACACTAGTTGATAACTCGAAATTTCACGCTGACATTCTTAGATCTTGAGATTCCCCCGGACGAGCCTGAGGTTGACGAAAGGTGCAGAACTATCGAACGCGGGGCACGACTGGTTTCCGTCATGCCGTCTATTTACGCAGTTGTCCTACAAATGCCGCGAGGTAACTTGGAGACTATTTATCCTCGAGCTCTCGTGCTAGCTGGGATCCGCAAAAGCATCGACAGATTGAATTATAAACGAGCGTTCCTAGCATGCCGCAATCAGCGCGTGGATATGAACATCATACACGACCATGCGCCCGAGCAATTCATGGCGAACATAGGCACGTTTGTAGACCAGATTCAGAATGTCGAGCACATTGATCTCTTCCTTTCCCAGCTCCGGTTTGTGGAACTATGAGAATGGATATAGACTACAGCTAACAAACGCAGAGATGAAGATGTGTCGCAAACTATGTACAAAAATACTGCAAAGGATCTATCATCCTCTACTAATGGTGTAATTCCGAACGGAACCGTTAAGACCGTGTCTATTGGGAAATCATCCAAGCTGAACCGAGTGTGCGATGCTTTCTTGAAAGCATTCCAAGCATGCGGGCAGAAATATTTGCAAAGCATCATCACAGCACACGTATGCAAGAACCCGCCCGACCTCGATGCGGGCTTGTCCATGATAGGGGAGCTTCAAGGTAAGTTTGTATAGGTTGCTTTTCAGGGCAGTTGTCCAAGGAATTTGATGCACTAATCCAAGGCTACAGCTCAGCAAGATCCTTTCACAGAGAGAATAGCAGAACATATCTGCTTCCTAGCCGACGTTAATCAACTCTATGACAACGCTCTTGGGCTCTACAATCTCGAATTGGCTCTTCTAATCGCTCAACAGTCGCAAAAGGTGAGCGGGCATACGACAGTATCAGCCAACGCGGTACCTGACATATTTCTAGGATCCTCGGGAGTACCTCCCACATCTCCAGTCCCTCCACGAACTATCGATTTTGCGCCGCAAGTTCCAGATCGATAATCAACTAGCACGATACGGCAAAGCATTAGGACATCTTTATGATCTCCAAGCATTTGAAGAGCTAAACGCATACGTTGAGAAACACTGCCTTTACACTGTAGCCCTTGAGTTATTCAAGTACCAGCCGGGACATTACAATGAGATAATGGGGCTCTACGCCGACTACCTCAACAATAACAACCAGTACGAACTAGCTGCGCATGGTATCTACGACCCTCCCAAATGGCGAACCTAGCTAATGGATTACAGCTTACGAGTCCCTCGATAATTACGCAGCAGCCAGCGATGCCTGGCGATCGGCAAACCTATGGGAGGAGAGCCTCTCCAGTGCCCTGAAGGCAGGCACGCCCGACACGGACTTCACATCTCTTGCAACGACACTCGCAGAAGGGCTCAGCGAGACCAGAGACTTCTTCGCTGCAGCAACGATTCATCTCGAATTCCTCTCCGACGTCGAGACGGCAGCACGCATGTTCTGCAAAGGCTACTACTTCTCGCGCGCCATCCTCGTCGTCGAACAGAAACGGCAACCCGCGCTAATCGAGGGCGTGATTGATCCAGGCTTAGTGGAGAGCTCGGCGACTATGACGGAACTTTTAGCAGATTGCAAAGGGCAGCTTGGAGCACAGGTTCCGCGACTGCGAGTGCTGCGGGTGAAGAAGGCAGAGGATCCGCGTAAGCTCTTCGTTTCCATTTATTCATTCAGCATTGCGTTTCATAGCTGACTTTACTAATACACAAAAGTCGCTTTCTTCGATGGTGCCGAACACCCAGACATCCCCGACAATATCTCCCTCGCTCCCACCGACGCCTCCACATCGGCCGGAACCTTCATGACCCGCTACACCAACCGCACCGGCACAATCAATACCACCACTACCCGCAAAACCTCTAAGAACCGCCGACGCGAAGAACGGAAGCGCGCGAGGGGTAAGAAGGGCAGTGTTTACGAGGAAGAATACCTCGTCAACTCCATCCGCCGACTGGTGGAGCGGATCAACACCATTAATGAGGAGGTGCAGAGATTAGTGAAGGGGTTGGTGAGACGGAAGATGCGGGAGCGAGCAGCAACGGTTGCACAGGCGATGGAGGATGTGGTTGGGCTGTGTAAAGAGTCTGTAGATGAGGTATTCCAAGTTGAAAAGAAGGCAGCAGCGGAGGTAAGCGTCGGTGCGGAAGGCTCTGATAGGCCGGTTGGGGCGGATGGGGTGTTGTGGGACAGTATGGAGGAGGCGGCTAGGAATAAGGAACCGCCCGTGGTCAAGGATTTTGAAAGGCTGTCTCTGATATAGCGGGCGACTACTATGTAGGAAGGAAGGAAAGAAGAACATTCTAAGTAGAAGCCTAAAATCGAATGAATGTGAATATTAATCCTGTACGTCGTTCCGGTTGTACGTCGGATGTGGATTGACGAACAGCCACGCGGTGATTTCCCCGAAGCGAAACTTGATCTTCATTGGAGGAGGGGATAAAAGGGAAGAAGTAGGTCATAGCTTCTTCTTCGTTTTGATATGTTTAAGCCGGAAGTCCATCGTATGGAACTTGATAACTGAAGAAGGCTGTTGCTCTTTTCTAGTGGTTACCCCTCATGAGTGAACTGTAGCACGATTAATGACCGCGCGTAATTCAATCTAGGAGGAGAATCAATCATTGAGCGAATTGCAATAGCTAGTGAATGTATCCTGGATGCAAATCAATCATCTGATGCGGGTTAGCAACGTGGCACCTCTAGGCAAGGGAAACTCGTGCATGTAATTGGGTCGTTTTAGACGACATCACCATTAAAGAATTGAAATACAAGACACTCACCTCTATCATTCAACAATGAACAATATAGAAATCAAAGCCCGTCTCGTGCCCGAGGTCTCAAGCTTCCCGATTGCCCTCGGCTACGTCGTCTAAGCAACACAGTAGATCGTCAACAAACGCGCCCGTGCTCGATCAACAGCCCCAGCATCTGGGAAATCTCCGAATCACAACCTCACTCCCCCAAACCACACACATCCACCATCCGCGCCCACTGTCCCGCCGCACCACGCGTAACTAATCAACAACTACACTAACATATCTACTCGAATACCACCAACACACCCCGCGCGCAGCACCACCATCTCAATCTACGCGTCCGCGACCAAGTATGCGCCAGACGCGCTCTGCACTGCGCGCCGAAGCCATCCACGTCGACGACAGCAGCGCAGCTGCCGTGCCACTGCCCTTCACGCCTTTCAAGGAGCGTGCGCCACTGGGAGAGATTGCGGGGAATACTGCCGTTATTGAGGTAGAGAAGGGGGAGGAGATGGCGCAAGGGAAGAAAGCGAAGGCCGCCAAGGGCGGACGGAAGGGGAAGAAGGGCAAGAAGGCTGAAGAGGAGATCGAGGTGGAGCAGCAGCAGGCTGTGGTGCTGGAGGATGAGAGACAGGCGGCTGGTAGTCCGGCGAGTGATGGCGCTGTGGAGGAGCTCGCGAAGGAGGGCAATGGAGGTGAGTTTGTGTGGCGTGTGGTTGGGATTGCTGGAATGGAAGTTGACTGCTGTACAGATGTTGTTCAAGTGCCTATGCTCGAGGAGCGCCCAGTTTCTCCACCGCGCGCGGTACGCATGACGAGGCGGCAGTTGGCGAAGGCGGAGGAGGAATTGTCCAAGTTACAGCACCAGACGCCGCCAATAGAAGAGCCTGTTGAAGAGAAGGTCGAGCAGGAACTCGAGGAGACATCAGCTCCGGGAATAGAGAATGTTGAGCTTGAAGCAGAGCTTGTGGAGCCCGAAGCACAGGTTGTGGAGCCTGAGGAAGCTGCTCCAATCCAGCAAGAGGTTTCACAATCAAGCCCAGCCCAAGAAGAAGCACCAGAGCCTACAGTGGAGGTCGTCGGATCACCCGCGCCTGAGGTAATAATCACGCCAGACCTTTCAGAGCTAAAAGTCCTCATGTCTGAGAAGCCATCCGAGGAGGAAGTGCCTAGCATACGCAGCTCGTCAAGGTCGCCTGGCAGGTCACCGATCCGCCTAGAGGATTCGATCGAGGCTCTTGACGCGCTCGACGATGCCATTGAGCAAGTTGCCAAAGCGTTCCCCCACTTGGATGCGTTGGAATCGGGCGAGAAGTCCCCTACGAAGAAGCCAACGACGAGGGCTACCCCCAAGGCGCGGACAGCAACAGCCAAGCCACTGACCACCAAAGCACCCGTCACAAACAGAGTATCACGAAATCCAACGGTTCCCAAATCGCTCAAGGAAGGCCCAACGACTTCTACAGCCACCAAGACACGACCACTCTCAACGGCGAGACCGTCCCTCGCCCGTTCTGCTAGCGTACGAAATGCCTCGAAAGCCAATGAACCGAAGCCAAAGGCTGCTTCTGGCGAAGTCACGGGCTATCTAGCATCCAAGCGTCGTCCCATCAGCGTCTCCTTCCCAACCCCTCCGCCGCCACCAAAGTCGACAAAACCACCAACTAAGTCAACCTTCCAGCTCCCCGGGGAAGCCGTAGCCGCTAGGCTCAAGGCCCAACGCGAGGAACGCCAGAAGAGGGAAGAAGAAGAGGCTGCCAAGAAACCCACCTTCAAAGCTCGTCCCGCCCCTGTCCGCAAAGCCCCAGCATTAGTCAAGCAGACAGCAGCCAGCAAAGCGCGGGAAAGCCTGATGCAAGGCGGTAGCACCGAAGAGAAGGAGAACGACCCCACAAACGCCATCTCACTGAAACGCACAAGCTCCACCACCACCGCGACAAGCGCGAAGCGTCAGAGCACCCTCATAACCAACACCAAAAGCCAGTCGAGCCTGCTCAGCGGTACCCATACACCCACAAACCCAGCCGAGAAGCGTGAGCGTCCTGCGTTCAACCTCTCCACAGCGAACACTGCCGTAAAGCGCGTCAGTAGCATCGGGGGCCCGACTATCCCCCCCCTCCACAAGCCCGCCATGACGCCTGCGGATGTCGCGACGCAGCGTCTCAAGGGCCGCGAAGTCTTCAACCGCGACAAGATGGAGAACCAGGAGCGGGAGCGAATCAGGCGCGAGAAGGAAGACGCGGCCAAGCGGGCGCGCGCAGAGGCGGCGGAGCGCGGCAGAATCGCATCGCGAGAGTGGGCCGAGAAGCAGAAGATGCGGAAGGCTGGCTTGCCGGCCGCGAACGGAGGCATCAAGACTGCTGCGGCGGGAGCAGGCATGGAACAGACGGCTACCTCGTGAGGGAAAGGCGCTGGGCTGGATTGCAGGTATGAGGTGTCTCTGAGATGAGATATCTCTCCTCCCCCAAGCCGAGGTTTTCCTTCTATGGTACCTGTTGGTCCTCTTCTTCCTTTTGTCTGATACTTTCTCTCTCTCTCTCATCGGCCTATGGCCTATCTTGCATCCAAATCGGCGTCCACGGCGCAGACATGGTCCGGGGGGGACATTACCTTGGAAACCACCAAATTCTGCGTTGGGCGCGTTGGATGTCCTCGGCGTCGACGACGCACACGCTCGCTTTGAGCTATGTCCAGATTTCCTAAAAGAGCAAGGGCTGCTGCTCTACTACTGTGTTGGTTATTGATTTGGTGTGTGAAGCCCGAGTATCAGGGTTATTGCTTGAGAATTGAGGCTTTGAAACACTTGGGGGAGTTGTCTGTTGTGGGCAGTTGAGTAACTATAGGTAGCGAATACAGTGATATTCAGCTTAATTGAATGAGTTCTTCTGATGCGTAAGCCCTAGGTCACTTCGGGTCTTTTTCTTGAGGACGACGAAGGTAGTTCCCTCGTTTTCTGCTCACTCTTGCAGCAGCGTATATGTCTTAAAAGACAGGCTAAGAGCGTTTGCATGGAAACGTTTCCGCGAAAGCGTTAGTTACCTAAATAAAACGAACTCTTATGAAAGTATTACCACACCTAAACCTCCATCCGCGAGAGCCTACACCAAATTACTCGGGGGGCAGGTGGGCCAAAGGCGACGCTGTACCCACTCGCCATCCTCTCCCAAACCCACACCCCTATCTCTACCACTCACCACATCGTTCTACCTACGCGGAACTCTATCTACCAAAAGCGCCTCCTACGTCTTACACCTACCAGTCCGCAGACCACTACCTCACCAAGCTGGGAACAACACCCGAAATCTTGGGAAATGCCTCACACGACGTCAGCCCTCCCCCCCCGCCCTCCCTTCGGAACAACATCAAAATCTCACCCGGCCTATCCCAGCCCCCAACACGACCACGCCGCTGGCTAGTGTATTGGATTCGCCATCGCGATAGCGCAAGCCGCGCGATCGAAAGAGCAGTCTGGAGCTAGAGATCTGGAGAGAATCGGGAACTAGAGAATCGATGATGGGAGAGATGTGAGCTAGAGAGGAGCGATGTAGACTAGACAAGCGATAAAGCTGGAGCTAGGATGGCGCTAAGCGGAGTTGTCTCCATGGGCTCCAAAAAGCGGGCCTGTTTTGCGCGGAACGGAATTGTGGAGATCTAGACCACGGATTTGGAATCGGGGTCGGACCGAGGAGGTTTTTTTGAGCCGGGGGTTCTTTGCTCGTAGTAGAGGTATTTGTTTGGTTTGAGAGAGGCTGGAAGGGGGGTGGAGTTGATTGGTGGATATGGTACGGGTGGAGAAGAGACGAGGTTTCTTGCCGGGCGGTGGGTATGTCTTACGTTGGATGATGGGGAAGTCTAGATTCTGCGTTAGACTCTGCATGGGGATTCTAGTTTCTCGGATGCCGCGAACAAACGTGATAGGGAGTATGATGTTGTGATGGGATTCACAATTTCCGTTTCATGTCTTTAGGGAAACTCCCATGAGGAGTCGAGAATAAGACACTTCTGACCGCTATTATCGACAATTAGAAATAATTATAAAAAGAGGTCTTTCAAAGAGCAAACCCCATGCTGTTAGTTGTGGCATTGGGTGAAGTATGGAGTGATGAGACAATCCATCGTACGATCCAGTCCTTATACAAGCATCCCCTTTATATAGGGAAGCGGTGAGAAACGAATGAATTAGCTTTGCACAAGAACTGTTATTTCATCAACAATAGCTGCAGCAGTGAAACTACCGTCTTCAAGTCGCAGTTTAACACTCTCTTGGATATCGTAGCGGTGAGGAAAGATTAGAGTTCACTCCACATGAAAGCATCTACCTTGCCATCGGTGAAACAACCCATCCCACAGTCACCAGACTTCAGTACGATACGGAGAACATAGGGAGACGGCTATCGTAGCGGTGAGAAAACCATCTTAGACCAAGTGGGTGATAAAAGGAGGTTTAAGGTCCGTGGCGTGACGGTGGCTGTATGTCTTGCACCACCCCGCATGTCTTGGGAACGGGTTAGAGAGTTCCTGCATAATGATAAGGACAGCGTGGTGGTGAGGACGCTAGGAGCACTCCTCTCTTTCGGGAATGGTACTAATACCCAGCCTTCTCTCGTCAGGAGCTACGCTGCAATTACGCAATACGAGAAGTATTGTATACAACTCGGGTATTTAAGAAGTCACGCGGCGGAGAGAGTGACACTAAAGTCACAAGACGCCACTTCCCCACACTGTGGTGCAACGGCTCGGTTTCGTGATGTGACTGAGCTGCCTGTCTCGGGTGGGTGCTGGCGGCGAGGGATTCGTGACATGACACGGTTCCAGTTACCGTCGAGACCGATGGCGGTGGCTGGTGGCTGGAGAGAGAGGAGAAATTGGGGTCAGGTGCAACCTTGCAATAATGAGTCGTTGAATATGCAGGTGTGGGATCTCGTCACTTGTGTTTTGCTTCTCGTAAGAGCTTCCGAGGGCCGTTGTCCATGAGCTTTTCTTCCCAGGGTACGCAGCACATGCTTGTGCACTTCTCGCACACAGAGAGCGGCGTCAAACGGAGAATATCCAGGAATCTACTCTGTCGTGAGATTTGAGGCAATCCCAACAACACCCCAGGCCCTGGGCGTTTGGAGATTCCAGGGAACAACCCTGAGCTTCCGCGAAATGCGGGGTCCGAGGCCGCTCGCTCCCGTGGTGAGGCACACGCAACGAGGCCGATCAATCACGGCGCGGCGTCTGAGGAGAGGAGAGAAGGCTGGGGAGCTCCGGCGACATCCTTTGATGGTCGCGATGCACGCGCGTCTTTTGAGATGGATGCAGCATTGCACTTGCAGGAAGCAGTGAAACAGTGAAACAGTGAAACAGTGAAACAGTGAAACAGTGAAACAGTGAAACAGAGAGAGAACAAACAGACCCACCGTGATAGAGCGCGAAAGCCGTGCAGGCTATGTCCACGAACAATCGGCAATACACTAAGGCCGAAGCGCGTTCCAAGGTTCACGATGACGAAAGAGCAGCCGACGACGGTGGCTGGCGAAAGGATCGTCTTGGGCCCGGCTATCACGGTACTTGTTGTTGTCGCCGTCTCCACAGGTGCCCGCTATCTGGTTATCGGGCAGGTCGCAGGCCTAGTGCCATCACTCGCAGTAGCACTCCCAGGTCGCTGACGATGACTGGCAAAGACGACGCCAACGAAGCTTCGAGAAATGCGCGCTGGTTGGCGGAAACGAATCCGAGGATAGAGCGCGGAATGAGGCCATTTCGTCCGTCGGGCCATCAGCTAGTCTGTCCCCTTTGTTCGTCTCGCGGAGATGCAGGAAGAGCTGCAAATGCAAGCCCCTCTGCGCGACATCGATAGAGGCCTCAAAGCAGCAGGAGGACAGTCGCGGGCGGGTCTAGAGCGCGATGGCGACACTGCGACACGAGCTCTGCGGCCGTGCTGGTTGGACGGCTGGGGAGACCGAAAAGGGGCTTGCTTTTTCCACTCACTCACTCAGTCACTCCCGCACGCCATGCCAGGAAGTGGTCCCTGCTGCTGCACAAACTCGGAGTTTGGCGCTCGCTAGCGACTGTCGGCGGGCCGCGCTGCGGGGAAAGAGCGATTTGGGTGGGTAGACTGTGGTCTGCTTCTGTGTTGGTGTGGGTGCGAAGTGTGGAGCTGATTCCGACCGTCGGACGACCCTGATGCCTCTCTGTAAGCTGCTGACATGGTCGGGCTTTGCTCAAACGCCCGCCTGCCCATCGTGACTTCAGCTCAGCCTTTGCGCTGTCTCGTCAGCGGCAGAGTTTTCAGCGTCTGTGCTGTCTGTGCTGGCTGATACCCGCGCCCACGCACTGACTGTGGAGCCGCTCGATCGAAGAGCGTCCAGATGGCATCCAAGCGAGCCGATGCTGCTCTTCCGACACGGCAAAGCTTTGCAGAAAAAGCAACGCGGCATGCCGGCAGCGACCGCAAAAGCAAAAAGCAAAGACACTTTGAAAAACTCACCCGCTTCGGCGTGCCTGACACCTGACAATTCTCGAACCGTCTGCGTGAGAAAAGTTAAAAAGCGCCACGCAGTTCATTGACCAGAGAGACGCTGTCACGGCAGCCGCCGTGCCTGGGCTGTGGAACTGGCTAACGGCGTGATCGGTGACTGGGCTTTGACGCCTTAGCTTGTCGTCATAGACAGCTGTCGTGAACGGTGCGAAGGGCTATCCATGGTGCAAGTACCCGACCGCCTCAGGGAATAGCGCGTGAGCTGTGGACTATGGTACTGGATGTCAAACGCGGTTTGGCGAGCAGACGGCTCTACGTTTTAGACGGAGGTTATGGCGGAATGATGGAGAAAAGTTAGGTGCTTGTGAAGAAGACATGTGGAGAAAGTTAGGTGACTGCGAAGACGACATTGGAGAAGGACTGAGTGATTGTGAATAGCCTGTCTTAGACATGACTTGGGTTGTATTGCTGCCATCCGAGCTGGGCCCGTGATGGACTGCCTCTATTTGTTTGAGAGGCAGAGCTACATACTAGATCAGATGCTGCACCGCTGCTAGCCCGCAAATATCGCGCTGCGCGTACGAGGATGAGAAGAGTTGGGACGCCAGAGACCGGCGTCCATGATGATGCGGAGAGATATGCCATGCCCCCGTGCCTGGTCGATTCCCCAACACAGGCTACTCAGCCCACAAAATGACACAGTCGTGTAACTCCAAATATCGACCAACTATTCCGGTCGTTTCCAGAGACATTCACGAGGTCCAGTGTTACACCGTAGCGTAACCGAACTCGAACAAAGGAAACAAAATCCATGCTTTTTGAGCATCGCACCAGTAAGAAAGACGCAGGACAGAGTAAAAAATGGTACAAGGCGGAGGCCCAAAGCGACCCTCGGCCTATCATGCAATACAACGAGTACTTCGACAGACGCCGCGTCCCGGCTGATAAACAGGCGCCGGGACAATGCTGCAGGGAAAAGCAGGTGACGCTATACAAATGCCGACAAAAGTGGTATCCCACCGTGCGAGAAAACTCCAGTGGCCCAGTGCTCCGTAATGATTCCCGTAGAGTTCGTAACGTGGGAGGCGGGGCGTGGTGACATGACACGCCCTCCCAGGAGGAGCCCCTTAGTGATGGGTTTGCCGCCGTTTGCGGTCACGAGTCTGGTCGAAGGCGCTCACGTAGCCTTTCAGCTCGTGGGCGGCCTGGGCAGAGAGGCCCTGCGTGGGCTGCGTGGAGGTGATGGAAGAAAGCGAAGACCGAGACGATGAGGGTGATAAGCTTCGCTTTGGTGGTGACGCCGAGGCGTAGCCAGTGGACGCCGGGGTGTGGAAGTAGGAGCTTAGGGTGGTGGAGGTGGAGTAGTAGCTGGGACTAGTTGGGGCCGAATCGAGCCTCGTAGAGGTGGATTTGTACGCCGCAAAATTGACTGCGGGCGGGAGATAGAAGCCAGCACTCGACGATGCGTACGAAGCAGCGGACGAGGAGAAGTTCATGGGCGTCTGGGGCTCTGATGTGCCCGCCTTCTCGAGGTCGGCGAGGCGGCAGGCCTGCGAGCAGTATGCACCCTCGGCGATTTGGCGGTCGCAGGAGAGGCAGAAGTCGTGGGACCAGTCGAGTTCGGTCGTCATGGTGAAGAGTGAGCGGGAGTGGTGCAAATGCTGGAAATGGTGCAAATGGTGGAAGATGTCGAGCAAAGTTGGATGACTCGAGGGCGGCAGCTATATCGGGCCGGCAGCAATGGTCACCTGTTGATGAGGTGAGAGAGAGCGACACACGACGAGGTGTGGGATGGACGCGGAGGGCTCGGAAGGGCAGTGCAGCGAGCAACGGCGAGACGTAGTGGAGAAGACGGTGGGAGTGAATGTCGGGTGGTGAGGGCAGCCTGGACCTCTTGTATCAGGCACACCTTGGCACTGCAGCGAATCAAGGCGCGGCAGGGCGCATCTGCAGGCCTAGCAGCGCTGGGACGCTTCCGAGCGATGGCATCCCACGCGCAAGGACCATGCCGTCTGGACAAGGGCCCGACCTGAACAGGTTGCGGCGGTTACGAAAAATGAGTTGTGCTGCACGCTAGCCTTCGAGGAGTCGCTGATCGCTGAACGCCCCAGCCTCGATTCGCCGCCCGCTGAAATTTGGCTGCCGGCTGGTGGCCTCTCGATTTTGCTCGACGGGAGCCCGTCGGCGGCGATTCGCCCAGCGCCAGCATATTCCTCTCGGGACACCTCTGCGCTGGCTTCGGCTCGGGCTGCGGCCAGAGAACCAGCCGGCCACCGCGTCCACAGCGTCGCCAGAGAGCGTGCAGGCCGAGCGCAGTGGGGCATGGGCTCATCACGGTGCGTGAAGTGCTGCTCCGGCTCTTGTGACACCACGTCGCGCCCCAGTTTTTGGATGCAGCGCGTGAGGCCGCCAGAGACACCCACGGCCACGCTCATCGGTGGGCCGACTCCAGCTGCGTGCCTCCACTCTGGGCCGCTTGAGGTCCCCTGATGCGTTACAAAGGTATGAAGAATTCGAAACCGACGGCTTTGACGAGCCTGATAGCTCTGCGGGCGACCTCGGACGCAGCCAGCAAGACTGCCACCTTATGTTCAACCGAGCCGTTCGTGTGTTAAGGTCCCGACGGTCCGTACCTTCAATCCATCCTGCCGCGAGCAGCGGCTGCCAAGCGCAATGCCCATGGATCCCAGGGTGTCTTGTCTATCTCAGCACTGAAACCCCTAGCGTGTCTTCTAGTCCTCGCTGCCTATCCGAGGCAGAATACATCTATTGCAAGATGCAGTCTCAAATCCACGTCAATCCAAGTCAGGTTCCAAGTTCCCAGCCACAGCCTCATGGAAGTATCATGAGCATCATGAGCATCTCTAGCGCGATCATCGCGTTCGGCCCTCGCCTGAAGCCATATGGCCTCGATCCGGCTGTCTCACAATCTCTACCACGAGAACGCAATCTGGCGTGCAGCGCTGCTCCCGCTATCAAACCTGTTTTGCTAGGGGCTGCAGGGCGGCAAGCTATTCGTGGACGCCGTCACTGGGCCTGTGTCTTCCCGTGCAGCTTGCCCGTTGAGGCCAAGCAGCCTCGTCTCAGCAATGATTGCCCTCCCGGGTCACGATCGCAAACTGGTGAGGGTGTGCGCCGTCACACAGCATGGCCTTGGTCTTGCTGAGCGAAGCATTACCGGCCTTGGACGCAGGGGCGCCGTCTTACGTTCAGCCCTGTATGCTGAGAGGCCGCCGCCAGATTTGCCCCAGGAATGCGCCTGATCAGGCGGATGATGGACAGAGGAGCGAGGAATGGATTATCAACTCCCCGTTGCGCGGTTGCTGCGGCGAAAATGCCATCTGATCTGGCCGGGCACCCGCAGCGTAAGACGTTATCTGGTGCGACCATCGCGCCCCTCGAGTCGTCCCGCTAGGTCACAATCAGTCTGTCCTGCTTCAGAGTTCACGCGAAGCTCACGCCAGGGCAATTTGGAGCTGGTGGCCGCGTCGAGTCGCACCGGCCGCGCTCGATCTTGCAGCTAGCCATATCGCCGCCATACCGCGGTCCCGACGGTGCTGCCGACGCTGCAATTGACGTTGGCGGCGCCCTGGCCCCAATTTCCTGTTGCGCTGCTATCAGGATATTCCTGGCTGCCCTGGCCCCCGTCAATCCTCATTCATGGCGTCGGTTCGCCCCAACAGTGTGTGCCGGCGACGTCAGCCAGCCTACGCCCTAGCCGTGCCAGTTGCTCTCACCAATCACCCGAAAAGAACGACCCAGAACAGGGGCACAACATCAGGGTTGCTGTGCGCAGGACCCTGGCCGGCTCCCAGTTCAGCAGTCTGGCCTGGATTGCTCAGCGGTTGGACGTGAGACGGAAGGGGGTCGACGAACAGGCGTTCACCGACCGTTCGCTCACCGTTCGGCTGCAGTCACCAGACGTCAACGCGTTCGCGGGCCTCTTTCTGTCACGTCCTGCGGCGAAAATGGGATGGCGAAGTTACAGCATCTTCGCCTTCGTGCTGCACGCCGCGCCTCTTTCGCCCCAGAGTGTGGAGAAGTTGGCCTGCAAGGCCCAAGTCGTGCAGGCACAGGCCCTGCAGCTGCATCCAGCCAAGCGCACTGCTGTTGACTTGCATATGCTCTCACCTGCTATTCGCCATGGCCGCGGGGATGGCACAGACGGCCGCTGTCAACCCCCACGCCGCCAGAGCCCATGAAGGCGCCCAGCCTGTTTTCCCCAAGCGTTCATGGGGACTATCGCAGATCGCCACAGCAGCGTCAGCGCAGAGCGAGATTATCAGGACAGCGAGAGAGCAAACCCCAGAAACTGTTATCGTCGAGATTCGACCCTACCAGTGTTTGGCCTGGCGCCGCCTGCCCGAGGCTGCCGAAGCACTGTCGTTAATATCGCTCTATCCGCGCGTTCCTCCACTCTCGTCCTCCCGTGCCGTCTCCTCTATCGTGGCCCCTCTTCTGCTGGACCCTCTCTGGCCTCTCCTGGACACCCCTCTTGGCGCTCCTGGGCAGGCTGCCACTCTGGTTGCTCGCCCTTTCGCCGCAGCTGAGAGCAGCGCGCCAATAAGCCATCGGCAGCCCCGGTGCCCGCATGCTTGCAGGACCGCGGGATGCTTTTGGCGGCTGGCGTGAGGGTGTGTTGCGTGCTTCGTCCCTCGTGCGCCGTGGGCTTTCCCCACAAAAAACGCAACCGACGGCTTGCGGCAGCGAGAAGTGATAGCGTGCCCGGACAGATCCGCGCCCGATCACCACGATCGGCCTCAACTTTCACTGTCGCTCTCCTTTTCGGGACTTTGGAATCGGTCAATCGCGCCCGTTCTCGTTACACCAGCAGCGCTGGAGAGGGGCCAATGCTGAAGGTGTTGTGGCGGATTCCAGGCCCAGCTCCAAGCACGCACCCGTATACCTCTCCAGGCTGACATTGCTTCTGCGCAGTTCGCGAGTTTGCGCCGAGCTGCCTGCTGTGCGAACCAACACGCCACCCTGTCGCAACAGGCGCTTCGAGATTGCCTGCTGTATGTCAAAGTAGCCTCGTCTCGGCGTGCGTGGGAGCTGCATCGTGCGTGCGGCGAAGCTGGTACCGATGCAATATCGCAAGTCGAGAGAGGGATCTGAGCATTCCCGGAACGACGTCGCGGCTGCGCTAATTCTGCATCCAGATCCCCGCCGTCGTCAGAATATGGTTGACGCAATACACTCTGCATGAGCAATTTGCGTTGCTGGGGCAGGCAATCTTGCAGATGGAGGAGCAGTGCATGTGTATTGACTGTTTTCTCCTCCGTCCCCAGCATCCGTGGCCGCGCCGAAATGACCTTGAGCAGCATCCCGAGCGTCAACGTGAAGCATGCACTCCAATCCCGCTGCAAGGTTGATACAGTGCTAACCCGTGATTAGACTCGAAACGCACGCCTCCAGTTGCCTCCCGAGCGGTGCCTCGCATAAAGGCACAACCTCAGGCAACGACTGCGGGGAATCGTTGTAGACCTCCACGCAATAGGCAGCAGTCGTACCAAAACGTGGATAATCTGTACTACCTCATCCCTGGGGACAAAGTCGTGCTCACCCGAAGCCGACAAGCTCGAGGTCGTGTCGCTCAGAGAGGGAGCGCATCGCATCGCATTGCATTCTCACTGCCATAATGGTGCGAGAGCACGCAAGGACTTCGTCCATCACTGGATGGCCACAAAGGGTCCGTCCACAGCAGCAACAGCAGGAGCACGCCACGAGTGGTTGACACGGCGTGTTCTACGGCCAGCATTGTCCATGTGAAATGGCGAAATGGCCCGAAGAATTCGTACTGTACATGTACGTCCTGCACTGACTGCACTGCGCTGAGGCATTTTCATCAATCAGCAAACTCTTCTGTGCCTTTCCAAGCGACAGCATGGACCTGGAGGCACACATGCACGAGCACTAATCCAACCCTCCTGCGTCCCCGTTCTGATCGATTGCCTTTCTGCCTTTCCGGTGCCTGCGCGCCTTGCTCCACACCTGTAACTACCTTCATCGCCTCAAAATTCCAATGTTCCTGAAATGACTAAACCTATAGGCACACAAAATCCACTCACGTTGCACCACCTCCATAGGCCCTATTATCTTTCTGCCTCTCCCACAGACACAGCTCGCACAAGCACAGAAGCTCCACGCTTTCGCTGCCTCCAGCCGCCGTCAAACCAACCTTCTCACGCCACACACACGCCCATGCCGCGGCGTTTCAGGCTCCCACCGCCCCATCCGAATCCCGTGCTTCAGTGTGTTGCGCCGCCGCGCAGCCAACAAGATCTTGACAGCTGGCCCGGGAGATCTAGCGGCGGCCGTTCGGAGGCAGCACCGACCCAATTGCGACTCTCATGTCATGAATCTGAGACGGGGGCCTTTGTCAACCAGGCGCCAAGCGCACTGACAATTGCGAATCTGTTGGGACGCTGGGACTTTGGGCGTCGGGAATTCAGAGAGTAGGATGTAAGGGACGTCCTTGCAAGAGCGCCCTGGTATATCGCTCATTAAGCACGTGATAGTGGGAAGGCATGCGCTGATCTCCCGTGGTCGGAGCATGGGGTGGGCGTTTCGCCTTTTCTCGCCTGAGGTTTTTGCCTGTTGCCTCGGGCGTTTGGGTTGTGGGCGACGATGCCGACATCGGATACGTTAGGTGGTTTTGTTACGTTATAGACGGGGTGGATTGGGCTTGGCGATGGGTGGTCGGTTAGGAGAGTGGAGCTTGATGCGTGCAGTCATAGCTGAGCGACGTTGAATCATCATGGCGTGAGAGAGCTGTGCCTGACTGACTAATCGTACGATGGATACGTGCGTGGAAGTTGACATTGCGCGTACATGCTTGAGAGCGAGTTTGAATGACTTCTTTGTGTACCTAGGTGAGTTCCAATGCGAGTCATGTAAAAGTCTTTGGTGTTGACGAAGTCCAGTGGTTAGGAGGGTGGTTATGGGACGGGGAGTGATTGGGTGATGTGGGCGACGTTGAAGTATTTGCACGTGGCATAGTTACTTTTGACGACTGTCACCCACGTTTTCGTAGAAGCATATTGTGAAACAGCCGTAGTATTGCAAAGATAGTGATCGTAAGACAGACTTGAGGTGAGAATAGCGCTATGGGAGATCTTCCGCGCCGATCCGCACAACTTCGAGATCTTCGTGCGAAAATACTCTAGACTCAACCACAGACGTCACGCATCGTGAACAGCTTAGGGACTTCCTCAAGCTTCCTATAATCTAGATTTTGATGCTCCTATTGACTTCGAAAACAGCTTTCTTCTTTCTTCAAGTCTCTCATCTACTCTCTTATCGTAAATCAAGAGCGGTGAAGACGCCACGCCCGCCTCACTAATTACATCTTCTCTCTATCCTCTCTAAAGCCTCACTCTACATCCTACAATCCTTTACACCAACACTTCAATTCCCCAAATACCATACACCCCACCATATACCCCTCTCTCAAAATGTCCCCCAACTACACCCCCGACCTCCACCTCGCCCTCCACACCGTCCACCGCGCCACCCTCCTCACCAAATCCATCCTCCGCTTCCTCAACAACTCCGTCGCCGCCGAAACAAAAGCCGACGCCTCCCCCGTTACCATCGCCGACTTCGCCGCCCAATGCCTCATCATCACCGCTATCCGTGCCGTGCATCCCTCGGACAGCTTCGTCGGCGAAGAGAGCGCGGCCGCGCTGCGCTCGAACCTCGCCCTACGCGAAGCAGTATGGGCTCTCGTCTCATCCGCGTCGAGTGAGGCTTTGACGGGGCTGGGTGAGGATGACCCAGTGGGGGAGTTGGCGGTCCCGCAGACGATGGAAGAGATGCTTGATGTTATCGATGTGGGCGTTGGCGAGCAGACGGCTAGGGGGCGGGTGTGGGTGCTTGATCCAGTGGATGGCACGGCGACGTTCATGAAGGGGCAGCAGTATGTGGTTGCGCTGGCACTGTTGGAGGATGGGGTGCAGAAGGTGGGTGTGCTGGCGGCGCCGAATCTGCTGTGGGATGCTAGTGCGGGAGCTGGGGAGCAGAAGATCCATGAAGATTTGGTGGATGAGGAAGGGTGGGGTGTTGTGTTGAGTGCGGTTGAAGGGGAGGGGGCGTGGGTGCGGCGGATTGAGGAGGAGGGGTTTGGAGAGGCGGTTAGGATTGGGGTGGGTGCCAAGGAGAAGGAGTTGAAGGAGTTGGATTTTGTGGAGGTAGCGCCTGGCTCCACGACTTTGTCGCAGGAGAGCCATCGAAGGGTTGCAGAGGGTTTGGGGGCGAAGTGGCCTGGCACGCAGCTGTGGAGCCAGCAGATGAAGTACGTGGCGCTGTCCCTGGGGGCAGTGGATGTGATGCTTAGAATACCGAAGACGAAAGACCGTTTCACGCAGGTTTGGGACCATGCTGGGGGGCAGCTCATCTTTCAGGAAGCGGGAGGCAAGATTCGGGATTTGAATGGTGGGACTATTGACTTGGCGCAAGGGAGGAAGATTCAGGGTGAGAGGAACTTTGGAATGATTGCTACGAGGCCGGGATATTGGGAGAAGATAAGTGAAGCCATGAAAGAAGCGGTGGCGGACTCGGGCTTCTAGGTATAGCGAGAGGGGTTAATGTGCTGACATCTTCCCAATACTTGTTTATTTGACTTTGATAGCAAGGATCGAGCGGACTGGCTTCCGACATCTCCTCATATCTCTTTATGACACCCTAGATACATGAGCCAATATACGAGCTATGTTAATAACATGCCAAAATCGAGTCTAAATCGCGCGGACTAGCTCCCGTTTATACATCTTGCATCCTCAAGATCAGCCCTAACCCTAATGCCCGATTTAAAGCGTCCGCCAATAACACACCCAAATTGACTCCAAATCGCACGGACTGGCTCCCGTTTATACATCTTGCATCTTCCAGACCAACCCTAATTCTCAAGCCTGATATAGGGCGCCAGCCAATAGCATGCCGAAATCGAGTCTAAATCGCACGGACTGGCTCCCATTTATACATCTTGCAACACTCACATCAACCTAATATTCATAGCTTGATTTAAGACGTCAGCCAATAACATACCTAAATCAAGTCTAAATTGCACGGACTGGCCCCCGTTCATACTTCACACCGTATCAAATTTAGCCCGTATTTTGTGATCTAATCACGAGCTGCGTCAATAACATGCCAAAAACAACGGCAATTCGCACGGACTGGCTCCCGTTCATGCTGCTCGGGACATGGAAACCAGCCTATTTCCTCTAACCTGATTCAGGAGTCCATCCCAATAACATGCTAACATGAAGTGCAAATTACACTCACCGGTTCATGTTTATACTTCTCGACGATCTGTAATGTCAACCTATTTATATGGTGTCCTGAGTTTTGCTTGTTCTAAGTCGTCCATAGTCCGCACTTTGGCCAGTCAATAGCTTGATCGTGGGCACTCCTTTGGCCATCTTCCACGCAAATGTGAGAGGGGGTTGGTGATGAGTAGGGTACGGGAGTGGCACGCTATGCTGAGAACGAATACCATTCGCAACCATGCTCTTGCTCAAAGCTCTGATGATTTGTCCTACGCTTTCGGCAGAACAAGTGCCGTTCGTGGGGGCGCTTTGGGCTACCTTCCTGGAGTTTGAAGGCGCGGGAACTAGCTCGAGTCGTTCAGTAACACAACATGGACATGTATCTCGACCAGAAATGGGTATCAAAGACCTTGGATACGTGTGTTCCCCATAATCTTTCTGTGACCAATCTTTGATTACTGGATATCAGCTTATTTTTGCTTGCTATGATACACCACCGCCGTTTTTCCGGAAGGATAGCTTCTCCACAACCACGTTCTCCGCCCCCTTGTCGTCTTTCTTGAGTTGGTATACGTATATCACTAGGACATCGCCTTGGACCTATCAAAGTGTCAGCACTTATTTCCGCTTCCCAATCCCTTCCTCTCGTGACACCTACATCCATCAACACAAAGCTCGGCGTTGGCTCCTCCTCCTCAGGCCACCACCCCGTCGTCATCGCGCCCGTCGCACTCCCTGGATTCACAAAGAACTTCCCTTCCATCTCGTATGCCTCAAACTTGTGCGTTCCACCCCATAGTAGGATATCGACGTCCATCTGCCGCGCGGCGATCAGTAAGCTGTCGCCGTCGCCGGGGGGGATTATGGTGTGGCCATGGGTGAAGCCGATGCGCAGCGAGCCGTGGGTGACGACTTTGGAGAGGGCGAGATTGGGCGCTTCGACGTCGAAGTCGCCTTTCACGATCTGGAGGTCGGGTGCTATGCCGCGCAGGAACTCGTAGGTGTCTTTGTCGGTGAGGTTGCCCAGGCAGAGGATTTGGCCTATTTTGCCGGGAGCGAGGAGTTTTTTGAACTAGGGGGGTTGTATGAGCATCCGTATATATGTGCGTCCTCGGGCAGAGGTAGAGAGAAGGTAGGTGGTACCTTTGTAGGAATGTCCTAGCATCACGGTGAGCATTTGAGGGGCGGGCGTTCAGGGCTGGCAGGACTCACAGCAGCTCTGTCTGGAATAAACAAGTCTCCAAGACAGAGGACCAGTCTCGAGGTCATGGCGATGTTTCTGTTCTCCCGCAGCGCACCGTGACCAACCCCGCGAAATGAATTGGCTGTCGAAGTGTGGTGGAGGTGGAGCACGAGCTGCCCGTGAAGCTTGGGCTGTGGCTGCGGCTTCTTGGCAGGCAACGTCACTGCATGTATTCACTGCTTTCTTTTGCGGCTCAAGAGATGCATGGAACCTCCACGTCTAGGCCCCATATCGAGTAAGCAGCCGCCCTTGAGCAGACGCCGTTGCGCAGACGCCGTTAACGGCGCCGGCCGACGTCCCTCCAGAGAGAAAAAGAAGAAGAGTCAAATCTGCCCGTGAGCCACTGAGAACGGCAATGTTTCGCGACATTCTCCTATACAAGACACGCAGCACGCGCATCGTGACTTGAAAACATCGACGCCCCCATCCTCACGAACAAAAAGCAGCGGCTACACGTGCATTTCATTGCCAACACACGCGCTCCTGGCCCTTCTCTCCGAAACCGGCACCCTGGCGTCCCCCCGCAGCCGACTGCTTGCTCGACTGCAGGTGTGCCCCTCCCTCAAAGTGGCTTCCCCTCGCTCCCGCCTGAGTCTGATCGCCAGACACCTCGACTCCAAGCCCTTTGAGCTCAACACGCCCTTCTCGACTGAGCGCTCCGCTGTCCCTGAAGACGCATCTGGCTACCCTTCAAACCGTCCAACGCCTCCACCACCGCCGCCCACCATGTCTTCTCAACCCCCGCATGCCGCATTGCTCATCCCAGGTCCCATTGAGTTCGATGACGCGGTTCTCCAGTCTATGAGCCACTACAGGTACGCAGACACACCTTCAATAGCCCCCAATGCCTCCGCTGATGTCAGCCCAGCGAGTCTCATGTCGGCGCACCCTTCGTGAATACCTTCGGCGAAGTCCTCTCGATGCTGCGGAAGCTCTTCCAAACCACCGACGCAGCATCCCAACCAATCGTGCTTTCCGGCTCTGGAACCCTAGGATGGGACCAGGTTGCGGCCAACCTCACGGAGCCGGGCGACGAGGCCCTCGTGCTGCACACCGGCTACTTTGCGGACTCGTTCGCCGACTGCTTTGAGACATATGGCGTGAAAGCTACACAACTGAAGGCCCCAATTGGCGACAGGCCGCAGTTGGACGAGGTGGAGAAAGCGCTGAAGGAGACGAAGTACAAAGTCCTGACCGTCACACACGTCGACACCTCCACCGGCGTGCTGAGCGAGCTCAAAGCGCTCTCAGAGCTCGTGCACAAAGTCAGCCCCGAGACGCTCGTCGTCGTGGATGGCGTGTGCAGTGTTGGCTGCGAAGAGATCCGGTTCGACGACTGGGGCCTCGACGTGGTGCTCACTGCGAGCCAGAAAGCCATTGGGTGCCCGGCTGGTCTGAGTATCCTGATGGTCTCTGGCCGTGCAATTGAGGTGTTTAAGGCGAGGAAGACGCGGCCGACGTCGTATTTTGGGTCGTGGAAAAATTGGCTGCCAAGTAAATCCCATCCCCTGATACCATCTCTTATATCCAGAATCATACTAACATATTTATGATAGTCATGCAAAACTACGAAGCCAAGAAACCCAGCTACTTCGCCACCCCCTCGCCACAACTCATCCACGCGCTACACACCTCCCTCTCACAGATCCTCTCCCGGCCGCTAGAACAGCGCTTCTCGGACCACAAAGCCGCGTCCCAAAAGATTAAGAAGGCGATCGGCGACCTCGGCCTCAAGCAACTCGCTCCTAAGCCCGAGAACCAGGCCAACGGTATGACCGCCATCTACCTCCCCGAGGGCATCGCGCCGCCCCAGGTCCTCCCGAGCTTGTTGAAGAAGGGCGTTATCTTTGCGGGTGGACTGCATAAGGAGATTGCGACGAAGTATATTCGGTTCGGGCATATGGGCGTCAGCGTGACGGATCCGAAGAGGGATGATATTGATAGGGCGCTGAAGGCGCTGAAGGAGGGGTTGACCGAGGTGGGGTATAAGGCTTAAACATGGATGATAAAGATTGGTGAGAGGTAGGTAGGTCTGGCTGTTTGGATGAACTGTACTCTACTGCACAGGATCTCGGCGCTCTTGAGGGCCATACAAAAAAGGGTTAGGGAATCTTGCATCTTCATAGACGCATATAGACTGAGAATGCCAGCCAGTGTCGTTACGGATTACAAAATGCAGCTCTTGGTCAAAAACGTGATATGTGTCCGGGTATGTACTCTCTTTTCAACTTTCTGTAGAAGACATACTCTCCCTGTATTAGTCTCCGATTCCAATATCTACTGCAAGAGGCATATACATTCCCCAAGTCTGTATGAGAAGTGAAAGCCTCGTCGGTGAATGGTTGCAGAATTTGGGATATTACCTTTCTCAATAACCTCTTCGCTCATCCGCTGTTGAAATCATAATCATCTTAAACTCCCCTCGCCTTTCATCTCGGAGATCACTGACTATAGACTGTGAGCGAGTTGATCCGCCAATAAGCTTCAGCAAAAGCCGCCGGGTTATTAATCACCCAATCCGCGCACGTCGCCGCTTTGCTAGAGCTACACTACATTCAGCCAAAACGCTTGTCTCCAAGACGCTTCCGGGACAACTCACCAACTCGGCGTACTCGCCCACACATTCCCGGCCCAGTCCCCACAGAACGTGAGATCGAAGACGATTTGGTGGTTGGCGAAGTGGCTGTCGATCGGACAGTCGCCGGCGAAGTTGGCTTGAGGTACACCCCATTGCGCGGGGTTGGGGGAGTTGGAAAGGATATCGGGGGGCGTGGTGCTATGGGTGAAGAACCAGATTTTGATGGCTTGGGAGGTCCTGGGGGTTAGGTGTTAGATGGGGTTATGGAAGGGCATGAGCAGGTTTGCGGACGGCTGTGGAGCGTAGATACAATTTTGAGAATATGAAAGGGATGGGAAGGGGGGGTGTTATGAACAACCTGGGGTTTACTGGGCTATCTTGGACGGTAGAAGCTAAGGATAGCATGATGAAATGATTTGAACGCGTGGCGGAAGACTGGACACACTTATGGCGAGGTAGCTGTATAGGAGAGGTTTTGCATACCATTCCATCACGTACAACCCACCGCCCGCAGTGTTGAAATCATCACCGTACGAGCCCGCGGTATTGCTAGAGACGCCACAGCCTGAATTTGAGGCCTGGCCCGGTGCTTTGGCCCAGCAGTTGGTGGTTAAGACGGTGCCGCTTTCGCCGGTGCCGGTAATGGTGCAGCCCTGCGTCGTGTGGAGGGCCATGCTGTTGCGGGACTGGGTGTTGACGCCTGTGGAAGTTGAGATTGATAATGGGGCTCAAGGAAGTAGGGGGGGTAGGGGTACCTTCTAGGATGTCTGTTTTCGTAATTAGAAGGGTGGTTTTGGCAAGGAGGGGGACGTACCGATTTCACCATCTTGTGGCCAATTGTTGGGACCGAGTGTCCAGAAGGCTGGCCATATTCCTGTATTTTCGGTTTCGTTAGTAAACCAGCTTGTTGATTACATCGGGGCAGATGGGTGGTATACACACCGCAGATGCTTCCGGGCATGTGCGCAAGATCCAGAATGAACAAGCCATGCGTGTACTGGATCTTGCTCTGGATACGGATGCTGCTTCGGCCCTGAGGCGTCACATTGATGTGGTCGACGCCGATGTAGACGCTTGAGGCTGTGGTCGAGATTATGCCCTGAGATTGGGCTGTAGACTGGTCTAGATATCTGCGCAAAATAATTGAGTAAGTGTATTCGAACTCACTACGATACAGCCCAGTAGCTAAATGAATTTTTCGTGAGTGGGACCTCGGGACTCACTTGACGTTGCCATTCGTAGGATCAGCGGCCTTGATGATATCAGCCAGCTACTGTCGAAAAGATTGAAACACTCGAGCATACCGTCCAAAAGTTGAACATGGAAAAGAAATTCGAAGGAGAGTAATTATCCTTGAGCGTGTAAGCACCCAGAACGCGCTGTCTTGCGCCTAAGAGAGCTGCGAAGAGGATGCTGGAGCGCATACTGTGGATGATGGTGAAGGAAGGAACGATCTTGATTGGCGTTGTGAAGTGAGAGGGAATCGGGGGAGATATAGTCCAGCGGCCACAACGAGTAGGTAAGTTGGCCACATGATCGTGGTTAATTTCTACTGTCGAATGCTGGATTCACCTTATCGCAGGCTGTAGGTTGAGGTGGGCGACATACATCATCCATAGTGGCATTAACCGGCTAGTGGTGGATAGAATAAAGATTGAGTAGGAAATGTTAGACTCGGGGGAGATGAAGAATTCATCTTGATAGCTCTGACCTGTCTCTGTTCATATGATCTGGAGATACATGGTTCTTGGGGAGGCTTTATCAAGGCTACACTCTGAGGATATAGTTGCATGAATTATGAGATTTTTCTTGATACGACTTTTCTATTCGAAGAACTCATTGCAGCGATTATAGCAGGGATATGAAAAGTGCAAAGATCGGCCTGGTAGTCCTCGACATCATGGTGTTCCAGTAAGGTGTTGAGTATATATCAAAGTCGGTATGACGTTGATATTACCAGCGCCAGGAGTACTCCACAACTGGGGCTACGGGCATGTTCCTGAAGGATAAGCGAACTTTATTTGACATAGTACAACGCAGGGCGCACAACACCTGGCCTCAAGCTCGTAAATGTACATGAAACGCCTTCTCGATGAGGTTCAAATATGAGAATAAGACAATCTCAGCCACATTATTGAGATAGAGTCCTCGCAGATTATGTTTTTACCGGCTCGTCTGGGCTAAGAGTAGCGGAGAGTCGAGTGTAGTATTCGCCCAGGAGTCCAGCAGAGATAGCGCCACCAGTGATCCAGCAACCATTCACGAACCACCACCAGCAATTGGTCACGTCTTTGAACTTAACTCTCCAAATCATGGTTCCTAGAGTGGCAACAGCGCCGCCACACGAGCCTACGAGGAAGACAGGTCCCATACCAAGCGCGGTGCCCGCTGCTCCAAGGAGACCGACTTGAACAGCTGCAAGCGTGGTCAACACGGTCTTGGTATCCTTATCATGCCTGAGAGCAATGCTTTTGATACCGGCTTTCGCGTCGTCTTTGATATCCATGTGTGCGTATATCATGTCATAGAGGACGGTCCAGGCAACGTTACTTGAATATAGACAGGCCGCGGCGATTAGAGCTGACTGGTTTGCAAGGAGATCTACACTGAGAGCTGGAAACCCCAACATCGCGCCCCATGAGAACGTAAGACCGAGAACGAATTGAGGGTAGTGGGTGACTCGCTTGGCCAAGGGGTACGTCGCAACAAACGCAAGCGATGGTGTGGCATACCAAAATACTTCAGTCGGAAACTGCAGTAGTACAGCAAGGCCAGTGAGTAGCTGGGCACCTGTGAAGACGATGGCCGCTTCCGGAGTAATAGCTCTTCTGGCGATAGGACGCAGTCGAGTACGCGCCACCTGCGGGTCCAAGTTGCGATCCCAGAGATCATTGATGGTACATCCTGCTCCCCGCATGACGACGGCACCCGTGAGGAAAAGAGCAGAGGTGCCTAGGACGGATAGAGGAGAAGCTATGGGAACAGCGACGCTTGCCGCCATGAGAGTGCTGAAAAGACATGGGAAGAAAAGGTAGTAGGTTCCGGCAGGCTTGTCTAGCCGAATCAACTCCGCGTAAGGGGTGACTGACTTGGGAAGATGCGAAAGCAAGCCGCTCTGAGGGGGGACGTATTCTGGGAGCAAAGGAGAGTCGACGATGGGGCGCTGTGTCGCCGAGGAAACCGTTGAGCGTCGGCACTCTCGAGTCCAAACAAATCCATTGATCGGATGTGCCTTATGTCGGGGAATTGAGGCTAGAGAGCGGTTTACGCCTTTACAAGGGGAATGAATGGTACGTTTCTGACGAATGGCGGGGAAGTCAGATGAGGAGCCCCATTGTGAAATATATGAGGACAACTGTGACGGTCGGCGGAGGAAGCCTTTGCAACCGTGGGGTATTCGGTGCCCTGATACAGAGCGAACGTGTCTGAAGGGGGATGTCGATGCCATGGTAATACCGGGTATCTGATAGACTCGCGTGTTTTGTCCAGCTAATGCACAACTGGCAGGAAGTTTACCACTCCCACCTCTGAGACGGATGCTCTGGGCTGTTTGCCACTAATAACTTGAGTATTATAATGGAGATCGCAGCTGTGCCAATGATGCAATCTCGCAGCTAAATTTTGATGAAGGGTAGTACAGCTTGGTGACTGCGGGAACGCGAAAGGAAATTCGATGGTCATGGATGGGTAAAGATGAAACGAGAAACTGCTATTAGACAAACATACTTCAACCAGTGATGGAGTTGGGTCATTTGTATCTGCAGAGATGCATAGAAGCTTGAGAGGCTGGTTGTTCCAGCACGTGATGGGTCGGTGCTCGATCTCCACTCGCTTTGGACCTCACTTCTACGTGGGACTCTACACTTTCGTCGCGTCCTCGACTCCACGCCCACTGCCTACACCTCGAGCAATTCTCACCACGGTCGCGCTACCACTGTTGTTTAATGTGTCTAGCCTCAGCCGACTCCTCACTACGCGCCTTGCCGACTCCTGCGATGCGACGGCTATAACCCTCCCCTCTGCACGCCCGCCGTTCGCGCCGATACACCCGACACGATGCCTGCCCGAAGGCCCAAGGCCTCGTTTGAGCCTATCCCACCTGACTTCGATCTCCGCACCTTTGTCGAAAATGCGGATAACTTCCAATATGTCGACCGCATTTCATACGAGATGATCTCTCAGCAGGGCATTGAGAAGTTCGAGAAATTAGTTCTTCTTCACGTCATCATTGGCGGCAAGCCGCTTGTCATCGATGGATTTGATGAGGTATTGGATCCCTGGACTTTCACTCCCCAGTGGCTTAGGGACAATTGCGGGGATAAAGGTACGTCTACAACCTGCGACCTGTACTTCATTGAACCTCACTTACCAGTCTTGCAGTGGAGAACGCACGCAATTTGACCACCAAGGAGAACATCCCCCTCACCATCAAACATTACTTGAAGAACATGGGTCGCCTGACAGACCAATACTTTGACGGCCCTGAAAACTATCGTGATAAGAATCGCCAACGAATCTATCTCAAGGACATCGACTGTCCGCCAGTTTGGGAAGACAAACTTAAGGAGCATATTCCTTCATTTCTCAACTACCTAAACGAAAGCACTGGTGAAGTTGACGGGCCAGGAGCAGTGGATGAGCCGATCCCAAAGACCACCCGAATCCGTAAGGGCCGTGGAATAGCGCGCGCTGGAGACCTGATGAGCAGTCTTCCCCCAGAGATGAGGGCAGAAAATCTGATGTGCTACATCGGACATGAGGGTACTTACACACCCGCACATCGCGAGATGTGTGCCTCTCTGGGTCAAAACATTATGGTCGAAGCTTCTGAGACTATGGGAGAAGGCGGAAAACCCGAGCAGCGCGGTTCCTCGATTTGGTTCATGACGGAATCGAAAGACCGCCAAGTTGTTTCGGAATTTTGGCTATCTATCTTGGGCCACGACATCGAAGTGGAAAATCACTTCGCCCAGCTTATTGCTTGGAAGCGCGCGCTTTTTACCACTTATGTGGTCGAACAACGCCCGGGAGACTTGATCTTGATTCCACCTCTAGCCCCCCATCAAGTCTGGAATCGGGGTACACGAACTATGAAAGTCGCGTGGAATCGGACGACCGTGGAGACCTTGCAAATGGCCCTTATTGAAGCTTTGCCCAACGCCCGTCTGGTCTGTCGTGATGAACAGTACAAAAACAAGGCCATTGTGTATTACACTCTCCTAAAGTACTCCGGACTGCTCAAAACAGCTCGCGCTCAAGTGGAACTGGGTGGTGAACAAGCGGAGGCATTGCAGACAAGTCACAAAGTTCGTCAAGTACAAAAGGACTTCAAAAGACTGCTGGATCTCTACAAGTTGATTTTGCTCTCTGAGATGTTTGGGCCAGATACCCGGGAACACCCCGAGTTCATTCCATTCGACAGTAATGTCACATGCGCCTACTGTAGAGGCAACATTTTCAACCGGTTTCTAACATGCAAATCGTGTGTCAACGGTCTCGGTACTGAAAACGAGGAGCCATACGATGTCTGTATGGAATGTTATGCTATGGGCCGTTCCTGCGCTTGCCAGTCGAACCTGACATGGGTTGAACAATGGAAATGCAAAGACCTGCTGCACAAATACGAAGAGTGGAGGGCACAGGTTGTCGAGATTGACGGAGGCGTGAATGAGAAGTCTCCATTACCACTCCCAGAAGAGCGGCGATATCTCGGAAAAAGGACGCTGGCCCAGGTCTGTCAGGGACAGCTCAAGGCCCGGCCATGGGTGGACGTAAAGCAACCGAAACCCGCTGACGATGAAGACTCTGGCGATGAGATTCAGGTGAACGAAGATGGGATAGTGAAAAAAATGGTCAAAAAGAAGTCCAAGCAATGGTTGGCTTCACACAAGTCCTGCCATGTCTGCCTCCAGAGGCATCCAAAGTGGAAGATGGCGATGTGTACGAATTGTGACTATGGCTTTTGCTACGGCGCCCTCTTCAGGGCACACGACCTGATGCCATTGGCAGTAATGTCAGATCCGAATTGGAAATGTCCACACTGTCGCCGTGTTTGTAACACCGGAGCCTGCCGTCGAGATGCTCGGCAACATCCTTACGAGCCAAAGATGACCCTTCTAGGACACGACACGAAGAAAGTTGCTGATGTCAGAAGCGTAGAATGTCTCGTGGATTTCAGTGTCTCCAACCAAAATTGGCTTCGTGACGACGTGGGGTCGCCTTTGGAGACCTCACGACTTCTTAATCGGCGCGCGGAAGCTGAGCGAGAAAAGCAGAATGATCCGACACTGGATGAGGGCTACTACGACCAGACCGACTCCCATCGTATGAACCGATATGGGATAGAGTACTCGCCCGTTGAGGAATCGTATCAAGGTTCCCAGAGACTCAATGCTGGTCTCATCGATCCGTCTTTGGGCGGAGAGGATGGTACTGGGCCGTCACCCTGTTCACAGAACAGAGCCGCACACTTTGATCATGACAGCAACTTCGTGGAGCCTTCAGCTCTTTACCACGAGGGTTATCAGCCAGTTGACGTTATGGATGATGACGGCGGGCCTTCTCTACTCTACCACCCAGACCTAGGCGGAGAGATCCCGAGGAACAGCTTATCTAAGAAGAGAGGTAGAGATTACGAGGGCGACGAGCAGGTCAAGGTAGTGGGTGCTAAACCAAAAAAACCAAAGAGGGACAGCTCGGGTGTACAGCCCTCTTCGCAGCCCAAGAGTGGGGCGACGAAGCAATTCCAAAAAGAGCAAGAGAAACGAAAGCTGGAGGATGCTCGCAAAGCTGGACGATTTATCATGGTCGTTGCGGCCATGAAAGGTAAATCTAGGGTCGTGAAACTCTCTATCAGTGGTGATAGGTTGGCTCTTTTCCAGGCAGAACAAGCAGCGAAGCAAACGGCGGCGACCACTTCTGGTGCTGATGGTGCTGTTAGGGAGAGTAGAGCAATCATCCAGTCGGACATTCTTCCACCGCCTCAGAAAGTGAACAAGGAAACGGCGAAAAAACCCAACGCATTTAGATACCGCGTTGAAGACGATGCCGACTTCAATTCCAGGAGTCGTAAGAGGGTTTCAAACGGAGTTGACGGTCCGCCTAAGCCGAAGTTACGTCCCTGCTACGAGGAGATTACGGTAGATTCGGAAGAAGAGGAAGATTTCCACGAACTTACTGGCAATGTCAATGGCAACAACCATTCACGGAGGGTTTCCTCTTGGCTGGCTCGTAAGGATCAGGAAGACGGCGATATGCCAACTGAACTGCCCGAGAACTTCAAGGACGGAAACGTGAACCCTCATCGCCGAACTGAGCGTAGGAAGACTATGCCAAATTCCAAAGCAGGTGCCCAGATTCGACCACCTGGCGCCCGTCCTGTCCGAGCTAGTACGGGTCAAATTTCAGATGAGGACGGTGTCTATGAAGAGGACGATACCCCTACCGGACCGACTCCTTCAGCGTCACCGTTACGTCTAGCAGAGTCCGCTGCGGCAGTGTTAGAGGCACAAAGGAAAGCAGACGAGAAAAAGGAGGCCGAAGAGAACATGAGGGCGAAAATGTCGGCTGCCGAATGGGCAATGGATGACGACGACGACCAGCATTCGGATGATGGCTCCTTGGATGCATACATCGATACCATTGCTGGTGCTAAGGTGTTTCCACCGAAATCTGTGTCACCGCCACCATCGGAAGTCACTGTGCCGAAAGCCGTCGCTGCCAAGTCCAGCAATTCGATCCTGTCAAGACCGGGAATGGCTGGTCGAAAGATTAAGATTGTGTCCGCAGCTTCTCGTCAACAACAAAGCAGCACCCCGAAATCTAATACGCCGGCTAAAAGAATCGCTTCTATCTCGACAACGAATGGAAACCGCAATTCTAGTGGACCCACGGAAGTACAGCTGTCAGAGTCTTCAGAAAGCGACGACGATAGCGGTGGCGAGATACCGGCAGTCGCACCTGCGCCAAAGGCGAAGGTTAGACGGCCTTCTCTTGGGAAACCTTCACTTGGCGCCTCAGGATTCACGCCAGTCAATAATCCGTCGCTGAAGCGTGGCCGGGGGCGACCGCCTAAGCAGAAGTAGGCTTGCATGGTCAACGCCAAAATCACTCTAGTTGGTAGCTTCAGATCTCTGCTTAGCTCGACACTAGCTGGTCTCTTGAGGGGGGGGTCTATGATTTGTTCTTACTGTAGGCGCATTGTAACCGGGCAGCGATTTGGGATGGAGAGCGACGGTGTATGGGCTTGCAGGTTTTGGTTTTCTTGATGGTTTTCCTGGGGGCGATGTTGGCTGATTCAATGACGAGGTCATCAAAAACTTGCTGACTGGATGTCCCGCAACAGATTCATAAGTTAAAGCGAGACACTAATTGGCTCGCTTGTTGTCTTGGCACGCTACTTACTCAAAATCTCCGACCGGCCGCTCTAGCCTTCTCGCCTGCATGCCACCCATCCTCATCGAACATCGCAACCCCATCCATCGATCATCTAAACAACGAGCGGCTCGTACGATCAGCCTGAGAAAATGCAGCGCACGGACTCACAGAAGGGTGGCGGAGGCCGTAGCAGGGCCGGCTCGAAGTCCAATCGAGACCCCGACAAGGAATTTCCGGAAGCCATGAGTCCAAAGGTGCAGGCACATAGACCGGATCTGAAGCAAGGAACTGCTTTCTACTTGGTCGTATGCGGCGCAACGAGTGAAACCGACAGCTGGATGTGGTCTGATTTTATGGCCTACACTGTACTGTTACGCGGATGCGGCATCAATGGCACTTTCCTCAACTGCCTGGACCTCGACAAGATCTTTGGATTTCTCTCACACGACAACCATAAGGATATTCGCTTCGGGCAGGTTCAGGGTACAGATGAGCCTCTACTCAAGTACACTAGACTTCGATATACCACTGAACCGAGATGGTGGGAGCAGGTCGATCCGGACGACCTCATGATGAGAGTGTGGGGATGGGTTGTGGATGTGATGAAAAGAGCAGTGCCTGGAGATGCAGTCAACATCATCGTCGAGGCCCATGGAAACGAGCTGTATGGAGCCAAGTTAGGAACCAAGTACCTGAGCAAACATCAGGCGGGAACACTATGCAACAAATTTCAGAAAGGGGTTCAGGTCAACTTCATTGTTGGCGCCTGCCATTCTGGCATCTTCACCGATATCGTTCGCTCCCAAGGACAGGAGCCAAGATACATCTCAAGTTCGACATCAGCCAAGGGGCTCGCCATGTCCTTTCCCAGGTCTGTCAGTAACCGAGTTCGGAACATGAAGTTCGCACAAGCATGGGTGCAGTCATTGGCTCGAGTCACCTTACCGGGACTCCCGGACCTTCCACGGCAACCCTCACGAAGCCTTGCGGAGCATGAGAATTTCTTGCGCCAAATGACATACAGGTCTGTCTCCGGGTCGATGGATGATTATCAGTCGTACATAGCGCCGAACGACTTGACACAACTTGTTGAGGAGATGGTCTTCAGGGAGAAAATCGATTTTCTCTACGATCCTGCTGTGACCTCGAGTCGGAGACGTATCGAGGTTCCCGCTCTCGACGAAACGATCATGAGATATTTTTTAACACCCACTGAAACTTCAAAAACTCCACATCCGCAAAACTCAAATCCTCAAGGACTCGTAGCCGAACTGAAAGCTATCGTGGTAGCGGAGAAGGCTTTCTGCAACCCTGACACTCACCTCGCTGCCGAAGACATTGGCGTACTAGAAGGTTGGTACTACAAGACTGAGTCTCCAAGGTACTATGGCGAAATCTTGAAAGTGCTCTACTACCGAGGATGACTTCAGGTTGCAGTCCTTGATGTCTTCCACACCCTTGTGAGTAGGGGTCTACTCCTGTCAACCGCTATTCAGCAGCCGGTGGATCTTGTAAGAGCCTCGAATGAAGCGAGGGACGCAGGAATGCTTCTTGGTTGCCTTGAAGGATTCCAAGACGCTGACGGAACTCCTTGCCCTTACCACTTGTCTCTTAGCGACATCTTAATATGGTTTGCAATCATCATACTGCGTGGCTACAACTCCGCCCCGGGCATTGTCATGGAGACTATTCTCGATACTAAATTTCTTGGAGGCCTTAACCGAGACAGAATCAGCGAATATCGGGAAATCAGCGACAACTTGGTGGCATGGCGCCACGACCCTAACCATTGTGTCGCTCCACCGGGTCGCACCGCTGGCTTTGGCTTTTGGCTGCCACATAACGCGGACTTGAACAGCCCTGAAATGGTTACGGATGCTCTGTTGGCTGGACAAAAGCGCTTCAACAGAATAGAGCGCTGCTTCCGTGACTGGTTTGGGGTACCGGAAAATATCCTACAGCTGGAACAAGAGCAAGAGAGGTACTTCGAACGACACCCTGAACGCGCTCCTGGATCGGAGTTACGAGACATAAGATGGTGGCCCGCTCCCGAGGCCGACGAGGCGGCCGACGAGGCGTTTGCGGGATGTGGTTGGAGGCCATTTTCACATTCCAAGGAGTAAGGTCGAGCTTGATTGCACGGTGGAGTTGAATGGACAAGCTTGCAGAGTTGCTGCTGTTACAATTGACTTGATCAAGAACTGTGTGCAGAATTGGAGAACTTAGCTTAAACAAACAACACATCCTAATCCTCATCTACCGCAGTATACTGGTACAATAATCCCCTTCGTGAACGAGTCCTCCGACATTTGCGAACCCACGATTTCACGTGAGACCGCGTCCAAGCGTGTTCATTGGCCAACGCCATCCATCTCCAACCTCACCTCTCACCAAGCCCTCCACAATTCTACTCCAACCCACCGCCATGACCCTCCTTACTCCCTCCGCAATCACCCTCTTCGCCTTCCATAACGCCCTAACGCGCTACCCCGCCACGGTTCCCTCTAAACTCCACGATCTCGACACAGCCCGTTTCACGACCCTCCCCGCCACCGTCGCGAAACGGAGAGAAGAGAGTGGCGGAGATGCTTGGCTAGAGAAACGGGAAGTGCTCCAGTTGGTAGAGTGGAAACTGTACGCGCCTGATCTCTCCCACCATCTCAATCTCATCGCCTACACTCTACGGGTTTCTGATTCGAGAACACCCCCGGCGTGATGCCTAACCTTTAGAATATGCGAAGACTCAATGTACTGACGGGAAGTGGTATGACACTAGAAAACATGGCACATTCCGCCCCACGCTCCTAAAGCTCGTCGACGGCAACCCCGCAGAGAAAATCGTGGAGAGCACGCGCAAAGCCTTCGCAGCCCTCTCCCCAACGCCTACCCCCGCGTCTATCGCCGCCGCACTCCCCCTCCTCACGCCCCTCTCCGGCATCGGCCCCGCGACCGCCTCCCTCCTGTTATCAGTGGCGGCGCCAGATAGCGCGCCATTCTTCTCCGATGAGGTGTTTCGGTGGGTGATGTGGGAGGAAGCGGAGGTGAAGGGGAAGGGAATGGGGTGGGAGCGGAAGATTGGGTATACGGTTAAGGAATACCGGGCGGTGGTTGAGGGGGTGGGGAGGGTTATGGAGAGGCTGGGGGTTGGCGCGGGGGAGGTGGAGAGGGTTGCGTGGGTTTTGGGACGGGAGGGTGGGGATTTGGGAGTGGGGAAGGGGGGTGGAGTAGGGGCGGAAGTTGAGGGGAAAGATGAGGGGGAGGGGGAGAGAGAGAAGTTGAAGAATGGGAAGGGCGTAAAGGGAGACCGAAAGGGGAAGATTGAGAAGAAGACGGTGAAAGGGGGTAGGAAGGCTGTGAACGAAGCTGTGAAGGGCGAGGAGCCTCGGCGGAGTAAGCGGAAGCCTGTAGCTCAGGACCCGCTGGAGGAGTCGAAAGTTACAAAAAGGTATGCCATCACCAAGTCAATCGGGTTCGATTTGCAAGCTCACGCATCACAGGAGGGTGAAGTAGTGAATTATAAGACCCAATTAAGTCCCGATATTCCACTGAATATCAGCGCTCAAAATCTCAGGTAGCGATCCCAAAGTGCCCTAGGGTATCAGTGATAGAAGGACATCCATCCATACGCCGGGTTCAAACGACTGCTCCATACCGCACGATGCCCACTTCCACACAGATAACCAATGACTACCCCGATTCCCATTCCACGCCCTTTGCTATTCATCCGTGTGGAGCTCCATTTCCAACCCTGCCGTAGCTCCATCGCCATGATATAATGTGCCCCTTGCGCCTTTCCTAACAATTTACTCTCAAACTGCAATTTCCTTGCCCTTTCCTTTCACATCCTCGGTCAACGTCACTGTAGACGGTTCTTCGTCTTCTCCATCACTCCCCTCGCCCTGCTTCCATTCCGAGCTGCGCCGACTCAGCCTGCCAGGTCCAGTCTGGTTGGTGGGGCTAGCCAGAGGGCTGGCTGGGGTAGTAGCGTTCGCGCCTATGCTCCCCGTAATACTCTCCGTCCTGCCATGGCCCAGAAGCCCACTGCGAACGCTAGCGCCGTCTACTCCCTGTTTGTTAGCGTAGTAGCTGTTGCGTTCGCTGAGTGGTGCGGCTGCAACGACTCCAGAGGAGGAGTACACACTTGCGCGTTCCGCACTAGCCAGGCCACCGACGCTCGGTCGGCCCTGTGGGCTGTATATGTTGGAGTTGTCGACGTTTGACGACAACACGCTGAGCGGGAGCGATTCGCGGCTCCCTCCCCATACAGAGGATGGCGCCAAAGCGCGCACGGAGGCGTCGGTGTCGACGGAGTGCCTGCGGCGACGCTTGGACGACGATGCTAGGGTAAGGATGGAAGCGTTGTCCGTGAGGATGTTGTTCGCCGTTGCGGCTTGGTAAGTGTTCGGGTTGGACGAGGGTGCTAGGTGCGAGGGAATCGCGGATGCAGGCGGAGATATGGGGTACTGGTGTGAGAAATGTACAGGGGGGCCATTTGCAGATCCTGCTGCCTGCGTGCCCTGGCCATGGTGCTGGTGCGCAAGGAGGTTGGACGGAGCCGTCGATTGAATGGTTGTGAGAGTGGTTGTTAGAGAGCGTTCAGAGTGGTTTGGAGAAGAAAAAGTGCTGTTCCCACCCCCTGCTGTGTTCGTTGTACCTGATTTCGACTGGCCTGTCTCCGAGTGTACCGTGTCGTTATTTGTGGCGACAGTCGGTGCGGTAGATTTGTTGCTTGTAGCAAAAGCACGGTTGTGGCTAGTGTCTTCTAGTGATGTGTAGCTACCGTTGGTATTCGAGGTTGAGGTCGGGTTGGAAAAGGAGAGGTGTCCATTGTTGCTACGGAAGTGGCCTGACTCGGGGTATGGGTTATTATTCTTCGCGGCAGCCTTCTTGCTCTTCGATTGTGACGCGGATTGATTTTTCTTGCCAGTGCCATTAGGGGCGTCTGAGGAAGAAGAGTTCTTGAGGTTCGCGAGGCGCTTCATCCAAGCCGCGAACGGCCGTCTGCGGGTGTGGCGGTCTTTCGCCATGAGATGTTAGCAAGCAGCAAAGCAAAAGAAGCTAGAGTGCTGAAGCATTATAGCCGGATGAGAGCGGGTGGCTTTTAGCAAGAAGCAACGAAAGCAATCGCTAAATTGGACGACAAAGCATACCATGCGGAGGCGCGGCAGGCTCAGCAGTCGCCATACCGATTGTTCACTACAAGTCTGATACTGTAGTAGGGAAGCCTGCTGGCAGTCTTCGAATGGCGGGCGGTCGACGTCGTGTAAGCTCGGCGGCAGATTCACAGGTGTCGACGAGCTCCACGTGGAATTTATTGGCGATGACGAGGCTGCGCAGGAGCCAGGCGCGCCAGACGTGACTGGCAGCACGGTATGAAGCGCGTAAGGAAGTGAGTATGTTTGGAGGTTGACAGCCCGTAAGAATGGCGAGGCTGCGAAGGAAGCTGGGTGTGTATATGGCTGGAGAGGGCGGCGCTCGTGGAGTTGAGGCTGTCTTGTCTCGAACGCATCGGGCCGCCCTGCGCCACCAGCTTTCTCAGGAACGGCCGTGCAGGAGCTTCCATCCCACCGACGGCCGAAAGAATGCCCAACCTCCAGAATATCTCAGGACCAGGACTCGTCCCCAGCTACTTCACCGTCTGAGCATGGCCGGATGCGGCTTCCTTCTCGCCAGAAAACGTGAGGATAGCCACTTCTCTCTGCATGCATCAGCATGGACCGCCACAATCAACAACCCACCGCATGCCTGAGCTCCGGACCTCGAATGGCTGCAGCATGGACACCAGCAAAGATGCCATGAGAAACCGTTCCCAAGGAGCTATTCTCCCTCTGCCCGCCGACGTCATTGCCCAGATCAAGTCATCTACTGCCATCACGTCCCTGACCGGCGTGGTTGTAGAGCTCTTTAAGAATGCCTTGGATGCTGGAGCTACTAAGCTAGAGGCCACTGTCGACTTCGGCCGTGGGGGGTGTACTGTAGAGGATAATGGCCTTGGTATAGCTCCCGAGGAGTTCAGGGACGGTGGCGGTTTGGGTAGGATGTATTGTATGTTTTCCCAACCTTGCGTGGTATATAAACTCACCCAAGAAGATACTTCAAGATACAACTCCGGAGATGCTACCTTCGGCCGAAATGGATCCTTATTTGCTTCTCTCGCTGCCATGTCCCTCTTGACGATCACCTCCCACCACCATGAGCATCGCTCCCATAATACTATGACACTTCACCACTGCAAGCCCATCGCAAGGCAAATACCCGCGCCATCGCACCACGATATCACCTGGCGTGACCACGGCACTCGAGTGACAGTTCGCGATCTGTTCGGAAACATGCCTGTTCGAGTAAAGCAGAGAGTCCAAGTGCTTGAGGAGAGATCAGAACACGACCGGCTCTGGGAGGCCTTAAAAAGGGATGTGACTGGGCTCCTCCTTGGGTGGCAAGGAGAGTGTTCTATCAGAATTAGGGATGCAGACACAATACGGAATTTCACACTGAACGGACCGTCGCTAGCATCATTGGGGTCTCTTACCAAGCAAAAACCCACGGGCGAGAAGAGGATTGCTCCAGAGCTGCAGTACATGCTCAATATGCTGACGCAAGCCTCATACATTCCACGAGAAGACTGGAAATTATGGGTGCCAGCATCGGCTTCCACTTCCCAAGTCAGCATTAAAGGGGCAATCTCCCTTGAGCCAGCGCCGAGCAAACGAGTGCAATTCCTTTCTCTTGGGATTCGATCGTTATCCGCAGAGTCTGGACACAACGAGCTGTACGATGAAATCAACCGCCTCTTCAGCCTTTCCAGCTTTGGTGCAGTTGAAGATGCCTCTGACGTCGACGATCATGAGAAAGAGCGCAGGAAGCACGACAAGCGATTCAAGAGCGATGGCATCACGAACCGCCAGTTGAGAGGCGCACGCAAAGGGACCGATAAATGGCCAATGTTTTCACTACGGGTCTGTCTGAAGGAGCCATCTACTGCTTCTATGCCCGAGAGTTTGCTTCTAGAAAGTGAAAGCAAATTGCGGTCGATCATTGAAGTCTTACGCGCTATGTTGACTCAATGGCTCTCGGTTCATCACTTTAGGCCACGCAAACAGCGGACGGCTTTCGACAAGCCTTTGAGTGAGTCTCTCTCCCCGCCTGACGAGAAGACCCCGCCCAGAGCGATACACAGCTTCTTCGACGGCAGCAAAACTGAAACAGACGTTGTGCGGGTGGCGACACCAGACGTGACCAACAAAAAGCGAAAGAGGTCAACGCCATCCACTATAGGATCTGTCACTAAATCCAAATCCGAAGCTGGGACACAGCGCCAATACCAACCTTTTACGGAATGGAGCAGAATCAAAAGCGGCAAAAGCGGGTTCTATGACACGCTCTGGAACACTGGAAAAGTTGTCAGGAAGAATGAGTCTCAGGACCAGGAGAATCAAGTGTCTATCATGCCATTCTCACCCTTCAGCGTTGAGCCCATCTTACAAGGATCTCTCGGCGACTTGAGCCTTTCGATAGACCTATCCAGCGTTGACTCAACTGCAGTTATGGAAGATCAATCTCCCACTAATCCCAACCCACATGAGAACGAACCTGAACACGAATCATCTCACCTTGACGAGACTATTACGTGGACAAATCCGTCAACGAAACAAACCTTCCTGATCAATGCTAGAACTGGGTGCGTCGTTCCCAAGGAATCTCAGCGACCACAAACCGAATCATCTTTGTTTTCGACACCTACAATTTTAGCCGATTACAATAGGCCACTTCGCCTGCGCCAAAGAAAGAGACCAGCAACAACAGATGAAAGCTCTAATCCATGGTTGAACGGACTTCTCAATGAGTGGGACAACCCTGTCTTCAAGCAAGCGGAATTGAGCATACCACAAGTATCGCTAAACGGTACAATTGTCGAAGCCATTGAGGATAGCCATTTCAAACATGATTGCGGCCATGTCGATATGAACAAAGCCTTTAAAGAAGCATCGCTCTCTAGATCGAGTAAACTTTCAAAGGCCGCTCTTCAGTATGCAACAGTCATTGCGCAGGTGGATAAGAAGTTCATCCTTGTCAAGACGAAGGGCGATTCTGACGACAATAATGGCACAGTTTTGGTACTTATCGATCAACACGCGGCAGACGAACGTATTCGCGTCGAAGCCCTACTCTCCGACCTCTGCATGCCAATTCCTGAATCGGCAAACCGCGTACCCTTCCGCTCGAATCTAGGCCACAAGTCCCGGGTGGACTTTACGGTGCTGAGCAGCCCACTCCGCTTCTCCCTTTCATCCCACGAGAGCCAGATATTCCGCACTCATGCGCCAACGTTCGCCGCCTGGGGCATCCTATACAACCTCACTTTCCCCACACAGTCTTCAGCCAAGCCTCCAGCGGAAATGCTACCATCAACACTCACAATCATCACCTTACCCCCGGCCATCGCTGAACGCTGCCAGTCCGACCCAAAACTCCTCATCAATCTCCTCCGCTCCGAAGTCTACAAACTCGACGAAGCTCCAGCCCGTCTTCCCCCCAAACCAACGGACACTGAGCCTACGAAAACCCATCACTGGCTTCGCTCCATCGGCTCTTGTCCCTTGGGCTTATTGGATCTCGTGAACTCAAGAGCATGTCGTAGCGCGATCATGTTCAATGATGAGCTGAGTGTAGATGAGTGCAGGGAATTGGTAAGGAAGCTTAGTACGTGTGCGTTCCCGTTCCAGTGCGCGCATGGGCGGCCGTCTATGGTGCCATTGGTGGAGATTGGGACGGGGGACGAGAGTGCCGGGTTCGGGGCTGGGGCTTTTGGGGACGCGTTGGGAGGAATGCGAGGTGATACTGGGTCGAAGGAGAAGAGTTTTGTGGATGCGTTTAGAGCGTGGAAAGAGAAGGAGCGGGGTGGGGGTGGTTCTTAGCGGTATCTACCAGTACATACGATTTTTAGACCCTTCTGCTGGAGTAAGCTCTTCTTGTGATCCTACAAGATTCAGCACTATTCTTGATAGACATATGCTATCCTCCTACGAAGCGGATAAAGATGTTACCAATTGACTCCTTCATCCTTTGTGGAGGACAAGGCATGATACTTCGGGTCACGTGCATTTCTCGCTTATGGCACTCGCTTAAGGGAAGAAAGAAAAATGGCCCGGTGAAAATATACACGGTGCTCCACACCTCGCTTAACCCTTGTCGAGCCAAGACTTTCCTTTCCAAGTCATCACGTGCTGATGTCTCTTTCAATTCCTCATCCACAGAACTTCGAGTCCGCATCAAAACATGACGGGTGGGCCGGTGCATAACGTATGGATTTTTTATTCCTTAATACGTCCGCAACTCGCTCTACAACGCGCTGAAGCCTGAGCCGGAAATGGTGGCTAACCCGCAATTATTCAAGTCAGTGTATGAGCCTATTGCTTCTACTTAGACGATTCTACTCTACCTTTTAGCAGAAATATGCACAGTTCCATAGGAGCATATATCAGTTGGAAGAATATCTTGGTCCATATCTTTGAATCGATTAAGTAAGTTTCGGCTCTACTTTTTCCTGCTAGCAGAGATTGCCTGCTAGCAGCATGCAGTATCTCGATCTGTGATCATTTGTCTTTGCTTGAAGGAGGTTTGGCGGACCTTTTCATTTTCTTTTCCTCTGATTATTTCCCTCTTGTTGCAGGTAGGGAGCTTTTTCTACTTTTTTTTTTTGCCATGCCATCACATCCTTCGATCTTCGACTTTATGTCCACGTCTGCACGAGGTTTAGTGCTCTTTTTCCTCGAAACAGCCTGAGATTCGGCGTGCTCCAGATCTTTTCCTTTCCCTGTTAGTGAACCAATTTTCTTTCTACTCTTCTTGGTCAGGGCGTCTGATTTTGCTGTCGCAATGTCGTCAGTGACTCCGGCTTCGCCATCTCTTTCGATCTTGAACCTAGCCCCCTCCCAGGCTACCCAGGCTGCAGCCTGTAGGAAGCAATCCGCGAGATCGTCAAACTTCCTGGGATTCCCGCTGATCGGAATCTTCATCTTTGGCTTCTTTGCCCTCGACACAGGCGAGCACAGCGTCAACCTCGTCTGCTCCGCCTCTTCCGAAAATGAGAACATGAGCGGGATGATCGACTCCATTCTTTGTTTTTCCGACTTGCTACCGCCGGACGATTGAGACGAGAACTCCGAGCCTGACAGCCATGATTGCACAAGCTTGATCTTCTGGAGCTTCTTGACTTTCCCTCGCGCCAACACACTAGTCTCTTCCATACCGATCACCTCGCCTTCTGCGCCGAGTACTGCTTTACTCCTCACTCTAGGTACCTTCTCAGGATCCACCCAGAATGCTCCTACGCGTGCCGGACTAACATCGAACACGGACGGGAATTCCTTCTTCGTTGATTTTGGATGAGAGGCTGTTTGGCGCAGGCTTTCGAGTATAGCCCACAGCATACCCTCTAGCATATTGACCCGCACAGTCCACTCTTGGATTGCGGCACCACCGCCAGAGCGGTACCTCTGCCGCTCGATGAGAATTATATCCGGCTCATACGGCAGCAGAATGCGAGTGAGAAGAGCGTATGCAGTAGCAGCCAAGTTGCGGGGATGGAAAGGATCATCTGGAGCATCTTCGCCATCCGAGTCTCTCGGTACGGGATCCGAACTTTTCTTTGCGGTTTCCCATGCGACGTCTATGCGGCGCCAAGCGATGGTGCTCATGTGGCCTTTCGGGGTTTCTTTCCTGATCGTAGGTTTGACCTCTAGCCTGACATCTGCGACGCAGAAGGCGAGATTTTTAATGCCCATGTCGACACTGAGAATCCTGGTCCTTCCTTTTCTCTTTGTTAATGAGTTGGGGGTGCCTTCTAAAGCTAGAAAATCAATCATATTATCCGTGGCGATGGGCAGGCGAGGCGTTTTGAGGTCCTGGGCCAGCCGTGCTTGGAGCACCGGTCTCGTACCACTCGCCGGGCTACCAATACGCGCGAGGAGTGCTTTTAGCTCCGCTATCGTGACCTTTTTGGCGGACATATTGGAGAACTAAGAGGAGTGATGTATGTAGCATGTGCCGAGAGTATCTTTCGAGTTCCCGACTTTCATCTTAGACTGTGTTGATCCATAGGGGAGAGTGCAGAATCCCGTGATAATGTCGCATAAGCGCGTTTGAATGCTCATGAACATTTATAGCCAAAGTAGAGAGACGGTAGATGTTCACGACGCGTGGTGATGTTGGAAACGGTAATTTGGAAATGAGAAAGATTTAGGAATGATGCGATAGACACAGGTAGCGAGTAGAGAAGGTTTGATTAGATATGATCCACATTTGCACTGCCATGATGCTAAAGAGTGGATGTATTGATGGAGACAAGAAGGGACATGGTTTAGCGTGGCCTCGAGACGCGTTCTGAACTATCACGTGATGGTGGTCCCACTCACTGATAGAGGCCTCGGGATACCACCCTTGCCAGCTTGCCGCCACAACTCTTCAAGAAGGTACATTTTGGTTTCATCACACTCGAATCCTTCAAATCACAGGCATAGAGCCTATCCATGAAATCTTACTCAGTACACATAGCACCACTCACACAGGATCGGTTAAGGATCGGCTACACAGATCCGTCGTTGATCCGCTACAAATGCGGAGTTGTGTAAGCAGAATGCGGAGCTCAAGTACTACCACAGTACAGTAGGAAGTAAGGCGTCCGTCAGCACACATTCACAAGCACATATATAGGTTTAACGCCTTGCTTCCATATCACACAACCATTTCATCATTTCATTCTGCACTTCTCGATCGAAATGGACATTCCAACCGGCCCTGGCATCCTCGTTTCTCGATTCAAGCTTCGCGACTCTTTTGAAATCTCTCAAGAATTGCTAGAGAAGTGGTACGACGAAGTTCACATCCCCGACGTCCTCGCAACCGGCGGCGTCAAGTCTGCTTGGAGGTGGAAGGCGGTGGATCCCGAGTATGGAAGCCAGAACATTGTCTTGTACAAGCTTCCAGATCTAGCATTCGTAAATGGTCCCAAATTTCAGGCTGTCAAGTCGACCAGTGACCTGCTGCCTGGAGGCAGGTCGATGCTAGACTTCACGGCGTTTGAGATGAGGTTCTATTCGATGGTACAGTTGTTCCAGACGGAACAGCAACCAGAAGGTTTGTCAAGCCTTACGTTTATCTTCTCCACCTGATTGGCACTCCCTTTTTCGCGATTTTGGACCTGAAGAATCCTGTCTCATGGGTAGCAGATGCAACGTCAACAATCATATGGGCGGCTATGGAACCCGCTGCAGGCGGAGCCGCTGACTTGGACTCGTGGTATCGTGATGAGCACAACCAGCAAATGTCAAAGGAACCCGGATGGAAGCGAACGACGCGGTTCCGGATTGTTGGTCAGTTATATGACTTCACACCTGCGAATGACGCGCCAAGCTTCCTGACCATTCATGAATTCGGAGATGGACACAAGATTGGGAAGAAAGTGGTGCCATTGGACCCAATAACGGAGTGGACCAAGAAGGTGATGGGTTCTGCGAAGACGACTGATGCAGCAGTTTACCACAAGGTGAAGAGTTTCGGAAAAGCAGCAGAATAGACTAGGGTACGCGCTGAATTGCTCAGAATGATATCATGCATTGAAGCCTTCGTATCCACTTGCACTGTCTCAAGATGGAAACGCGCACCCCATGTTCGACGAAAAGTGTGGACGACTGACGGAACGGACATCCACCAATTATAACTGAGGCCGGCCCCTCGAAGCCTCTGTCGAAGCTTCGTCACGATACGTGCAGTGCCCAGAAGGGGCTAGATGATTCCACTGCCAAGGCAAGGCTGTTCCTGACGCTGCCGAAGAGCTCCGCAACAATGACGTGTTTTAGTGGTGCGACCTCTAGCTCAAAACAACTGCCATGCTCTTTCTCGAGAGCTCTCACTTGCTACATAAGTCCTGGAATCAACCCTGATAGTTAACATTCCTTGCAACTAAAGTTCTCACGAACCCACCCAATTGCACTCCAAGATGTCTTCCGAATCACTCGCAGCTTTCCGCAAGAATGCCAGCACAGACCTGCGGAAGCTCTCTGAAGAGCACCTGCAACATGAGTACGACCCTCTACTCACGAGACCTTATTGGAGGAACGAATCTAACAATCTTGCAGCCTCCAACAATCCGACCGCGACACCCTCGAAAGTGCAGCCAAGAAAGTCTCCACCCACGCGACGATTGGGTCTGCGATAGGCATCGGATTGGGCCTATTCCTCGCCATCAGAATCCGCACAGCGCGCAAGACGATGTTCCAGGCTTTCCGCGCGACGGAGAAACCAAAAGCGGTGCAGTTTGCGGACGGAAGGACAGGTGCTTACCCTCAATTCCAACCCCCGCCAAATTCATGGTTTCAGCATGTACTTACTGTTGTTTTCTTTGCAGAGGCAATCCCTGACCTAACACCCCTCCTACAACCTACTACCTTCGGCGACATCGCGACCTACACTTTCTTCTCCGCTGGCGGACTGTTCCTTGGCGGCGAGACTGGATTCCTGACGGGCTCAGCGTCAGCTGCGAGGATGATCACGTCGGATCCGGAGTCGAAGAAGAGGATTGAGAGCGCGTTTCGGAAATATAGGATCGATGTGTTGAAGAAGGAGATCGACCAGCTGCAGGCGCAGGATAAGGGCAGTGATTCTGGCTGGAGAATATTCAACCAGGGTGAAAATTAGAGGTTGGGCTATGGTATTGTAATTGTGAGCGCTGTTTAATGATTAGGCGATATTGAATGTGAGCATGAAGTTGATGGCCTTGTTTTCAAGAGTGCATAGGATCTGGGGGATGCTGGATGACAACGCAATGTCACGCCGCTCTATCACGCGGCAGTTTAATTGCAGGATACCCATCCTTTGAATACCTTTCAATGATAAGTCGTCTAATCTGAAGGACAGGTTCGTTACATTGTAATGAGTATGCGAAGAAAACCGAAGTAGACCTAAAACTAAGTGCTACTATGGTCTAGCCTGGGGGAAACGCCTGAGAATCACGAAATCAACGATACAAGTCTATAGCCTCATTGAACAGTCTTCTCACAGCGTGTCTTTGACGACTCTCACGATACTGTCCGCCATACCTGCAAACCCCTGCCTTTGGGATGAAACGTTCTCACGGATCTACAGTGTGAAAGCTAATTGCCATTTACTACTCGCAAAGTAATGCGATCACACTCCGGGTGTCTCTCCTTCAGAAGACCTCCCGTCCGCACCTATGGTACTGTTTGTATACTTCGCAGCCCAGGCGTCGACTTCCTTCTGCATAGATTCCCTCGCATACGTGGGATCGTTCCACAGTGAGGAAAGTTACAAAACACTGCAAAAGCATGATGACCCGAGAGGAGTGAGTGGGCTAGTGTGATAGTACGTACAAGGGGCTGCTACGTGGATAGTCGATGGGAAGGGGCCGAGACTCCATTACTTATAGATAGTCTATCATCCTGTTCACACTTGCTATGATCTAAGGTTAGTGGAATCTGATCAGATGGGCGTTTTTCGAGACACTGTTGTATACCCAAGCGTGCAGGAGGAGAACATTAATGATCTCAAGATCGTTAGTGCCATCTTGAGGCGAGGATATGTAATCAATTTGAAATGGAGAGTACGAAGGGACATGCTGAGACAAAGCTAGCAAGCTGGGAGTGAATAACGCTCTTTGACGACGCTTCAACCTATTTCGTGACTTCTAAAGCTTGCATCAGAGAAACCTCACACTGACAGTCCGCCTACTTGCCGCTGTTTGTTGAGGTTGATCTAGTGACTCGGCGTGCGAAGCGCATCGCGCGTTCCCAAAGCGGAAAGGTCGTTAACGCGTGAGTTCTTCCCCTCGACGTCAACCCTCCACCCACGATACTTACAATCAATTCACCAAGTCGCGTGGGCCTGATTATTGAAGAGGCAATCAAGAGCTTCTTTGAGTACACATTCATGGGCGCTTCTCTTTGCTAGAGGCCGACGTGGAGGTTGGCACCTTGTAGAGGCTTGGGACGCCATAAATAGGCGGTATCATTTCTCAAACGCAGACGGTTTCTTTCCGTCTCCTTTTCCATGATGGCGGGCAAGAAACAATTCCGGCCCGACATTGACTTCACTCTGCGTCGCGTCTTCAAAAAACACTCATTTCGGTCAGTTTGCTCTTAGTTCTCAATGCATCTGCCTTTTCCTAAACGTCGCATTGAAGGGCTCTCCAACGAGAAGTCATAAACGCTGCTCTCGGCGGCGAAGATGTCTTCCTCCAAGCGGCAACTTCGTTTGGTAAAAGCTTATGCTTCCAACTGCCTGCTGTCGTTGATCATGGCAGTATGTCCTCCACTCTATTTCAGCCAGAACTATACTCTAAAACCTAAATTTCGCAGTAACGATCGTCATATCTCCTCTCCTCGCTCTGATGGTACGTTTCACAGTTTGCAGTACTGAAGAGTCTTCATATCTCACACCACCCAGAATAACCAAGTCGCCGCCATGCGCGCCGCAGGCATCAAAGTCGCCACAATCAACAGCACAACGCCCCATTCCGACAAGGCCGCCATCATGGACGACCTCCAATGCGGGCACCCTCTTACTCGCCTTCTTTACGTAACCCCTGAGTTCTGCCAACTCGACCACTTCCGCAAGATCCTCCGCGTCATCTACACGCAGTGCGAGCTCGCCCGCATCGCCATCGACGAAGCCCACTGCATCAGCGAATGGGGCCATGACTTCCGCCCCTCCTTCCAGGCCCTCTCATTTTTTAAACGCGAGTTCCCCGATGTCCCCATGATATGCACAACCGCTACTGCTACTGCACGCGTGCGAGAAGACATCATCACCACGCTCAAGCTCGACCCGGCCAAACTCAAGATCTTCACGATGACCACGAGCCGCCCGAATTTGCACTATGAGGTTAGGTTCAAGTCGGACGAGGAAGACCACTACCCGGACTTTCTTGCCTGGCTCCGCGCAGCTCACACCCGGCGTGCCGCAAACACCCCCAGGGGAACACAGCTCGCGGCGCTGAACCTGCGCGCTGACAACGTCCCAGGTATTATATACACCCTCTTCCGCAAGGACTGCGAATCCCTCGCCGCGCGGCTTCGCGCAGACGGCATTGGTGCGAAGCCATACCACGCTGGCCTCCCCCACACTGATCGCGCAGACCATTTAGCGGGCTGGGTCGCCAACCGTGAAGGCTACGACGTTATCGTTGCCACCACTGCGTTTGGTATGGGCATCGACAAAGAAAACGTCCGCTTTGTCGTGCACTGGCAGATCCCCAAGTCCTTCGAAGGCTTTTACCAAGAAGCCGGACGAGCTGGACGGGACGGGAAAGCCTCTGTCTGCATCCTGTATTACGGCCGCGAGGACCGCGATCGAGCCGCGAACATGATGGCGCGGGAAAACGCGAAACATCATCATGCGGGCGCGGCGCAGCAGGCGCAGATAATGAGTCGGGCGAAGAGCTTGCAGGCGCTGATTGCGTACTGTGAGAGCACAACGGGGTGCAGGCACGCGGCGATCTCGAGGTATTTTGCGGATACGAACAAACCGAAGTGTGAGTGGGCGTGTGATTGGTGTAAGGATGCGGTGGCGTTGGTGAAGAGGAAGGAGAGGGGGTTGGCGAGTGAGGAGTGGTGCTCCACGCAGAGGGAGGCGGGGGCGTATGTAGTGGATGACTATGATTGAGGGGAGTGGTACATGAAAGGAGTTTAAGCGTTCAGTGGGTGTCTTTGGGCTATATGGTATAATGATACTTTAAAAAGGCACTGCTCACGTCTTCGAGGCTTGAAAAGGAGTAGCTATAACACAATCATGGGTTGAAATACTCTACAGCAGATCTTTGTATATATCTACTTATTGCAAGATAGCACGACCTGCCACAACACCAGATCCATGGATATCATGTATATGTGAAACTTTGTTCACATTTTTTAATTTCTTTCTTCCTCGATAGCCATCGTGAGGTCGTAAGATGCCGTAAGAATGCTAGATCATAAGCCCGTCTACTTAACGATAAGCATCGCACTAGGAACCAGACCCGCCTCTTTCAACGTCTGCCCGAAGTCGGTCCTGTCAAACACCTTCTTGGGGAATGTCTGAGTGAATGTCTGAACCTCGGGTATGCTCTCAGAAAGCGCATGTGCGACCTCGAACAGCGTCGTCTCCACGGGGAAGCTCTTCGTGACCCGTCCCCCAGGAGTCTGCAGCGCCAGCCTCGTCTCAGTATACGCACTTGCGGGCTTCGACGTCGTAGGACCCGAAGTCGTGGCATACGTAGGCTCAACCGCCGCCGGTGGAGCCTGGCCCGCCCTGGCCGCCTTCTCGAGCTCTGCCTTCCGTCTCCGCTCCGCCTTGTCCGCCTCGATCTTCTCCAGCGCGCGCTTGCGGGCGTCAATCTCTAGCTGCTTCTCGCGCTTCTTGGCCTGGGCCTCCTTGAGGCGCTCCTTCTTCTCCAGCGCCTCCTTGGCCTCGTGCGACTCCTTGGTGTTCTTCAGGCGGATCTTCTCGTTGTTCTTACGGTCGATCTTGTCTTGCTCCGCGAGCAGGGCCTTCTTCTCGATCATTTTGGCGCGCAGTTCTTCGAGCTTGGCCTTCTTCTCTTCTTCGGTGAGGGGCTTGATTTCTTCGGTTGATTCGGAGAAGTTCTCGTGGTTTCTATTTGAATGGAGAGTTAGTGAACAGCTTTGATTGTTATGCTGGTGATGGTCATACGTCTTGGTCGCGTGGAACTCGGCTTGAGCTGCGCTCCGGAACCGCTTCCCACAGTCGTCGCAGACCAAGCTCTGGGCCGTTTCGCCCGGCTTGAGAGCTTCAGGTTCTGCGGAAGCCTCTTCCTCTTCTTTTATTTGCTCTATGGTCTTCTCTTGGTTCTTGTCCAGCCAGTCGATGGCGCCTTGTACTGCTTCGGAGTTAGTAGATTCAGGCAGAGGCGGGGCAGTGAACGTACGGCCGCCGGTCTTCTTGACGGCGATTTGGGCTCGCTCCTTGTCGAAGCCCATATCGAGAAGCTGTTCCAGGTCTGTGGCCATTTTGAGGTTTTGTAGAGGTAGTTGCGAGGTAGGGGTTGGTTTGTGAGAGCGAGATGTGGCGTGTAGCTGCGCGAACCTTAAGTAGTACCAGAGTTGGTAGCGGGGTGTATTAGTGATTCAGCAATAATCAGAGCGCAAGGTTGAAGTTTGGTAGTTAGGCAGTCATTAATCGCATTTCCACGGTAAGGCTACCGCCAGCAGCCTACCGATCTGGTGAAGGACCGTTCGTGATGACGGTGTTTGTTGAAAGTGCTTTCTAGACTTCCCTAGCACGGCCGTTCTCAAGGTGACGACAACCGAGCCGCCTCCAACAAACCGCATCACCACCGCGTCGACTCCCCATATTGCTTCCTGTGCTCGAGGATCGCCCGCTTGCTCTAGTTTTCACCTCCCACCTCCTGTACCACAAGCCACCTATTGCGCCGATCAACAACTCCACCTCATCCTCGTCGCGCTGCGCCCCCTCATATCGACAATTAACAATCAACACACGCACCCCCGACGCCGCCAACATGTCTGTCGAGTTGGACCCGGTCGAGCTGGGCTTCAAGCGTACGTCTTCCATGTCCCAATTCAATACTCGTGCATTCACTGATCTCGTCTAGGTCCCTTTACCCAGGAGGTCTCCCAGACCCTGCGTCTCAAGAACCCCCATAGCGATCCGGTGGCCTTCAAGGTGAGCGATAAACACCTCGTCCCAATCCCACACATATCCCACAGCTTCACCGATAACTGACGCTCTGCAGGTCAAAACCACTGCGCCGAAGCAGTACGCGCCCTTCGCGCCCCCATCCTACCCCACACGAGCTGACCACGTTGCTGTAGATATTGCGTTCGACCCAACTCTGGTCGCATCGAGCCCGGCAAAGATGTCGAGGTTCAAGGTAGGGAAATGCCTCATATCACTGTGGGGGTTGCCGGGCCGCTGACGTGCATGTCTAGTCCTACTGCAGGCCATGAAGGAGGACCCCGCTCCTGATGCGAAGTGCCGGGACAAGTTCTTGGTGCAGTCAGTCGCTGTGACTGCTGACAAGGAGTTTCACAATATCGCATCCATCGTATGCTACCACCACCTCGAGAACTGAACACTGTTTACTTACCTTGCGCCTCCCAGTGGTCTCATATCGAGCAGACCTCGAAGTCGTCTATTCAGGAGAAGAAGATCCGAGTCATATTTCTCCCTGCCGATGGATCCACGGCTACCCCCGCCAAAGTGAATGGCGTAAAGCACGAGGATGAATCAACCCTTCAGTCTCCCTCTCCCGAGGCCGTCACCCCACTGCGATCGAACGCCACCCCCGTGGGATCCATATCCCGCCCAGCAGACCGACCCGCAGACAATAGCCACCTAGGTGACGCAGTTGCATCTGCACATAACCCCGCTACTTCCGGCGAGCGATCGACCGTTGGCGCCGCAGTCGCTGCAGTCACCAGCGCCGTCCCAACTTCGACTGCCGAGCTCCAGGCACAGCTCACGGATGCTAAGGCTCAGATCCTGAAGCTGAAGCAGCAGGTCGAGCAGCACGGCCTGAGACAGCGAAAGGGCGAAGCCGTTGCCCAGGATTCGACGACCAGGGTTGCATCCGGCACGACTGGTCTGGGGGTGCAGCAGGCACCTGCAAGTGGCGTCCCAGTCCAGATCGCGGCTGCTCTGTGCCTCATTAGCTTTCTCCTCGCATATTTCTTGTTCTGATTCCCCGCAATGTGCAAGCATCTCCCACCTGCCAAGACCGTTGGAATTGCGCAAGTAGCGGCCCCGGATTTGCCGCTTGAAGAAGCGTGTGGGATGTCGGCTGATGGAGATCATGCCACGGGAAAAGCGAGCTGAGGATGGAACGGGGACAGAAGGTACGGTTCTTTTGTTTCTTTTTCTGGTTTCTGCGGCGTGATAATCGTGGGGAATGCTTTTGGAGCCGGCGAGCGTTGTATGCACTGCGTTTTGGCCTATAGCGACTATGGCAAGCACTCGGGGCAAAGGAGCTGTGGAGCTAGGTAATGAGGCAGCACGAAGATCACTCTGGGGGCGACACCTGTATCAACAGTTCATACAATCGAATTGATGCGTCACGAGAACGTCCATCACGTACATTTCTTTTCATGGCCACGGGCGCTGTAAATTGCCGCTTCGTGGGGGGTGGCTCACGACTGAAGCCGTGGTGGCTCACGATGATGCGGGGAAGATGCAGCACCCCTCACGCAAATCCCACGATCCCACACTATCCCACCCGCAAGTGCTATGTATGTATCACGGGCGCGGTCACGATGGGTTCGATATGAAGCCCGGCACCCTGGACGCAGATGCAGCAGGGACAGGCATTCCAGTCGCGGCGTATTCTAAGTGGGGCGTTTGGCCGATTACCGCTGGTGGCCGCGAAGGCCGTTTGACTCAGGCCATGGACAAAAAAATGTCGCCCTCGCCCAGTACTTAAACACCACAACCACCGCCTCATTGTGCTCCAGCACACATTCCCCCGATTCCTCTCACTAGCCGCCATCATGTGTGGCATTTTTGCCTGCCATTGGTACGTCACACCACCCGGCGCAGCGCTCTGCAATGCCCCTCGACTGCCCCTCGTCCGCGCCCTGATAAGTTACTAACACTCCACCAGTCATCCCGATGTGCAGAAGTTCAAGTCTACCGCGTTGAAGATGGGCAAGGCGTGAGTTCCTTCTTGACGATCGTAGTGAACCGCTGCTAACCGTGCTGCAGCGTCCGACATCGGGGCCCTGACTGGAGTGAGCAAGCATATCCTGAGTAGCATTCGAGCAATTGACTGAAGCGTCACAGGTGGAAACTGGATAGCAAACAACACCAGTAACATCTCCTCAGCCCTCGCGTCTTTAGACGGTATGCTAATTAGAATGCAGTCCTCGTCCACGAGCGTCTCAGCATCGTCGGTGTTGGTATGCGCCTCAACTTCCTAAACTATATGACTCCACGCTCATATCTGCCCAGATTCCGGTGCACAGCCTCTAGTCAACGACGACGAGACGGTATCGCTCGCTGTCAATGGCGAAATCTACAACCACCGAATCCTCCGCAAGGGCCTCAAGACCCCCTACAACTTCAAGACACATTCGGATTGCGAAGTCATAATCCCATTGGTACGAGAAGAGAATACAGGCGAGACAGGTTGTTGCTGATATGTGTGGTAGTATCTTGAACATGATATCGACGCGCCGAAATACCTGGATGGCATGTTCGCCTGGGTCCTGCACGACAAGACTCAAGATAGGGTGATTGCGGCCCGAGATCCTATTGGAATCACCTCGTTCTACATGGGCAGATCTAGCACGACCCCTGGAGCAGTTTACTTTGCCTCCGAGCTCAAGTGCCTACACCCCGTGTGTGACGATATCATCTCCTTCCCCCCTGGACACGTATACGACTCGAAGACGGACAAGTTGACGAGGTATTACACGCCGAAATGGTTGGTCGAGCCGAGCCACGTTCCAACAGCTCCAGTGGACTACAAGCTTTTGAGGACAACATTCGAGAAATCGGTACGGAAGCGATTGATGGCGGAAGTGCCGTATGGAGTTCTCCTCTCTGGCGGTCTCGACTCCAGCTTGGTTGCCTCGATTGCTCAACGTGAGACGCTTCGATTAAACGCACTTGCGACGAAGCGATCTACGAGCACCAACGGTACCAACGGCGAGTTGGATGGCCACGCTGCTGGACATCTGGTGGGTATTGACGATGGCGATGAGCTAGCTACTGTCCAGGTCCTCCCTCAGCTTCACTCGTTCTCTATCGGGCTCCCCAACGCGCCGGACGCGATTGCTGCTAAGGAGGTTGCGGACTTCCTGGGCACAAAACACCACACCTTCACGTTCACTATCGAAGACGGACTCAATGCTCTTTCGGACGTCATCTACCATCTCGAATCGTTCGATGTCACTACCGTTCGAGCATCCACCCCGATGTTCCTCCTTAGCCGGAAAATCAAGGCTCTAGGCGTGAAGATGGTACTTAGCGGCGAAGGCAGCGACGAAATCTTCGGCGGCTACCTCTACTTTGTAAACGCGCCAGACAAGAAAGCGTTCCACGAGGAGAATGTAAGGAGAATCAAGAACCTTCACCTGGCGGATTGCCTCCGAGCCAACAAATCTACCATCGCCTGGGGCGTGGAAGCTCGCGTGCCGTTCTTAGACAAAGCCTTCCTAGATGTGGCGATGAACATCGATCCCGAAGACAAGCTCATCAAGAAAGACCAAGGCCGCATCGAGAAGTACATTCTCCGAAAAGCCTTCGACACCACCGACGAGCCCGAGACGCAGCCGTATCTTCCTGATAAAATCCTATGGAGACAGAAGGAGCAGTTCAGTGACGGGGTCGGGTATGGGTGGATTGATGCGCTGAAGGACAACGCTGAGCTGCAGGTCACGGATGAGATGATGAAGAACCCGAAAAAGGAGTGGGGTGATGATATCCCAGATAGCAAGGAAGCGTGCGTACAACCTGGACGTCTTGGCATGGAGTATGGCTAACTGTGAACAGGTACTGGTACCGAACAATGTTCGACGAGCACTTCCCTGCCTACTGCGCCAAGACGGTCATGCGCTGGACCCCGACCTGGTCGGACCAGACAGATCCTAGCGGACGGTAACGATTCCCTTACCCCCCTCCTATTGAAACACACACTAACAACCGAACAGTGCAATCGCCTTCCACGAGTCAGCCTACGAAACGAAGAAATGAGATTCTCATAGCATTCACGTCATCGACTTTCGCTAGCGGGACTATTTACGGTTCTCAATCTGTGTTCATCAGTGTGCTTGGTTGTCCTACAGGCGAATATCAAACTGCGATAGATTGGATATGGAAGGTGTTCAATTTGGTGGATACTCTTATGATCGATCCATAGCACCTGTGTACATATAAAGTACGATGTACTTTTGATGACTTGTCGGGTCTTAATCTTGACTTGTGTGAGCTTTTGTGACGATTAAGGGTGCGCCAGGTGCTTCATCTGCGTTTCAGGCGTTTTGTGGCGCAGGACGACAAGATTGTTTCCTGTCGAGGAGGTGTTTGCGTCGAGCTTGATTTGAACCCTCTTTGGGGTTACGAGATTCATGACACGCTAAATTAGACCGTCGAAGTGGGGTTGATTTGGGTGTGGTGAGATGTATGAAGTGGAGCCAGTCCGTGCGATTTGGACATGATTCCGGCATACTATTGGCGTGGCCTGTACATCAGCTCTGGGAAACGAGGCCGAGAGACTGATAGACTGGAGTCAGCCCGTGCGCTTTTAACTCTGTTTTGGTGGGCGAAGTTCGTAATACTATGAATCGGATCGTTGGAAATGGGCTGGAAAGCGATAGCGAAACTGACAATTATTGAAAAAGTTATGACTACGCGGAGGGCACGCTGCGTTTATACGCATGAGTAGATTTTGATACAATGACCTACACTGACATACAAGTACTAATACATCCCCCCCAAAATGCCCCATCTACCCAAAAACACCAATCTAATGCACACTCTCTCGTCTATTGGCTTGTGTAAACTCAGTCTCGTTATAACCCAACCGTATTCAGCGCCCTCATCTTCCACCCCTCGAAGCTATTCAACTTCGGCCTCACGTCCAAGTAGAAATTTAATCCCTTACCCTCGTTCTCAACTTTGCCCGCGTAGAAATCAATCACATACTCAACCTTCTTCCCGCACCGGTCTACAACCCAGTCATGCCGATCGAAGGGGGCTTGGTAGCCCATCCACGTATTAATCCGCGCTCTCGGTGTGAGCGCGGAGGAGAGGCCGCTGAAGGACTCAAGTCTCGGACCACCGCATCTAAATATCATCAGCTCTGAACCCCAGAAACTGCTGTAGTTTATACGACGTATGAGAGTAGGGTACTCACGCATCAGCGCCCCGCCCCTTTTCCCAGTTCTTGATTTCACCCCATGCCCTCTCGTTCACGGCATTGTGGATTGGCACTATTGACTTCATGTCCGTGGCTTCGGGATCGAAGTTCTTCCGCTTCATAGCGTTGAAGAACATTTGCTCGGACGGGTATATCCAGTTCCCGCTCCTTTTATCCGCGCCTGTTTCTTGCTCATTATTCGCGGGCTTAGTTGCAGCGTGCTCCGGTAGTGCGCGCGGGATGGTGGAGACCTCGCGGTCGGTGCCCAGGCGCGACCAGATGCGGGAGGCATATGATGATTGTGACTGCGAGGGGGATTGGTCGATTTCGGAAGAGTCGCAGCTCTGGGCTACGAGGGGGGATGGAGATGGTGAGGGCGCTATGGCAGGTGCATGCGGGTGTGGAGCTTGTTGGCCGGCTTTTTTTGCCTGTGCGAGCCAGGCTTCTCGCGTGGTATGGTCGACGGGGCAGGCAGTGGGCGCCGCCTCAGTTTCGTTTGCCATGGTCGTGGTTCAATGGTGTATCGTGAGTCGTGAGGTTCAGATTGAAGTTGAAGTTTTGGACAGGGATGTCGTGATCATTCATTAAGGAATGAGCGCTAGGACGAGTGCGGGAAGGCTCCCGTGCAAGGGTCCTCTCGTTCCTGAGGCGGTGAAAGAGTGAATTGAAACGACCCCCCGCCTCTTCTTCTCTGCCTACTCAGACTTCTCCCCGTGGTTGCCAATTGCTCTCCCGCGCCGTTTCAGGGGAGTCAGTAATTGGCTTGAAACAGTGTCTATCTCCTGCAAGTCGGACTCCGCGTCACCAATTTCCTCGTTCGAGAAATACTATTCTACTACTCGTTCCGCCGTTGATCTTCTCTTTGCTCAATTCTACTTTCTCCAGACAACAGCAACCGCAACAATGGCAGACAACAAAGTATACCGCGCGAGCACCACGGCTCCAGTCAACATTGCCGTGATCAAGTACGCTTCGAACCTCCTCTGCCCCACCACTGCCCCTCGATTCTAACAAACACCAGATACTGGGGCAAACGCGACCCAAAGCTCAACCTCCCCACCAACTCCTCCCTCTCTGTTACCCTCTCCCAATCCGACCTCCGCACCCACACCACCGCCTCCTGCTCCCCCTCCTACCCAACCTCCGACTCCCTCCTCCTCAACGGCTCCCCCCAAGACGTCTCCGGCGCCCGCACCCAAGCCTGCTTCCGCGAACTGCGCACCCTCCGCCAAGCCCTCGAAGCCTCCAAACCCTCCCTTCCTAAACTCTCCACCTACCCGCTCAAAATCGTCTCCGAGAACAACTTCCCCACGGCCGCGGGCCTCGCCAGCTCCGCCGCCGGCTTCGCCGCCCTCGTCCGCGCCATCGCCGACCTCTACGAGCTCCCCGCGACGCCCACCGAGCTGAGCAAGATCGCGCGCCAGGGCAGCGGCTCCGCGTGCCGCAGCCTGTTCGGCGGCTACGTCGGGTGGGACAAAGGCACCGCGGCCGACGGGTCCGACAGCGTCGCGTACGAAGTCGCGCCCGCAGCGCACTGGCCGGCCATGCGCGCCGTCATCCTTGTTGTCTCTGCGGCGAAGAAGGGCGTGTCCAGCACGACGGGCATGCAGACGACCGTCGCCACCTCGTCCTTGTTCCCAGCGCGCGCGAACGAGACGGTCCCCCGCAGGATGAAAGAGATGGAAACGGCGGTGAAGGCGAAGGACTTCGAGACGTTTGCGCGGGTTACGATGAAGGATAGCAACTCGTTCCATGCGACGTGCTTGGATACCGAGCCGCCGATCTTCTATCTGAATGATGTGTCGCGTGCGGCGATCAAGGTTGTGGAGGAGGTGAATAAGGAGGCGGGGAAGACGGTTGCGGCGTATACGTTTGATGCGGGGCCGAATGCGGTGATTTACTACCTGGAGGAGAGTGAGAAGGAGGTTGCGGGCTTGTTCAAGGCGATGCTTGGGGAGAAGGAGGGGTGGGAGGGTGCTAGGGGGAGCAAGGTGGAGGCGAATAAGAGCGCGTTGGAGGTGGTGGAGAAGGAGGCTGGTGTTGCTGTTGCTGGGTTGAAGGAGGGTGTGGCGAGGGTGATATTGACGGGTGTGGGCGAGGGGCCGCTCAAGACGGAGGAGACTCTGATCGACGAGAAGGGGGAGCCTGTGAACACTGTCACGAACGGCTCGTGAGGAGGTGATGGCGCTTTCGGGCTGTTTCAACATGAGCGTTGCTGCATGATACAGGGGACGTTGGCTAGCTGCCGCTTTCTGAGAAAGCTTGTCAGGCATTTGCGAATACCCGTAAATAAGAAAACACTTCAAGGACCTCACGAATCGCATAGAACCAAACGTGCAGATGATTGACACAACGCGTGGTGTCTCTGGTTCTCTCAATTGCATTCACTCCCCCTTCGTCTCCTCGCAGACGCTGCGCAAACCCTTAGAAAACGCCTCCCCTCCCCCCCCCCCCCCCCCCCCCACGCCTCGAATCCCCACTCACAATGAAGGGTCATGAGCCGCTATAATAGAAAACCAACCCACAGAACGTATGTAACCAGAAGTCTCTCGATCTGAATGAGAAGAAAAAATGATGGCTTCCCCACTTTCTCTATCAACAAACCCTATTAATTATGAACGTTGTACCCCAGCTCTCTCAGCCTTCTACAGCTTTTCATGTCGTACTTCCGCGCCTCGGCCAGCTTCGCCTCGTCGGGGAAAAACCACCCTTGCGCGTCCTGCACCATGCGATCCCGCGTGTCCTTTTCCCGATCGCATATTATGTTCAGTTGGTGCACAAACTTGATCTCGGCGGTCTTGTCGAGCTCCCGCCATTTCTTCGTGCTGTAGTCGGAGACCTCCTCGGGGTTTACCCAGTAGGGGACTTTCATGCGGTAGGATGTGCGGGCGTAGGTTTGAGGCGGGGTAGCGGCGTCGAAGCGTACTGAGGGGCCTTGGGGCGGGGTGCCGCCGGAGAAGAGAGAGGAGAGCAGGGGGATGATGAAGAGGACGAGGAGGGGGAGGAGGGCGGAGAGGGCGGAGGAGACGGTGGGAGCGGGTTCGGAGCCGGGGCTGGAGGGGTGTTAGTCATGAGAGATGTGGAGATATGAGGGATACGTACGGTTGTGCAGTCGCGGGACGTCGTCGGGGTCGTCCGCCGCCGAATTGATGGACACGGATGCCGGGGCCGCCGTTGAGGTTGAAGACGAAGCCGGGGCCTGTGTCGAAGAGTCCGCCGCCTGGGAGGTAATGTTAGCAAAAGCCTATATAATTGAATAGTCTCAAATCGAAGGACAATAGTTAAGAAGTTGGTGCTGAAGTCCTAAAATTAATCTGGATTACGGCAGATGTTATGACGGCAGATGTTATGCTCCTTCAAGCAGCAGTACTTGGGGTAGTCGTCTCCTTTCCAGCTTACCAAAAGAATTGGTAGTGTAGCGGGCAGGATATCTCTTCGAAGCAGCGGTGAGATTGGTAATAATGGAGATTCTTACCAAATGGTCCTCCAAAGCCTCCTCCACCACCACCGAAGCCTCCGCCAAAGAATTGCCGGAACATCTCCTCTGGCGATATCTCTTCTTCCCACATTGGCCCCTGCCGGCTTGCACCTCCGCTCTGCGATCGCGAGAAATTGCTAAACGGCGACGCGCCCGCATTCGATGCGCCCGCAAACCGATTATCAGGGTCCCCGCCAAACTTATCGAATTTCGCCTTCTTATCCGGATCGGACAGGACTTGGAAAGCTCTCGAGACCACTGTATCAAACAATCAGCACAACCATCCCAAAACAGCCCTCCCAAATAACTCTTCCACCTCCGCCTTCACCTCTATTTCTCTCGCTAATCACACTCAAGAAAGTCGGCTATACGCACACTTGAACGCCTCATCCGCCCCCTCATACCCATTCTTATCTGGATGCGTGAGCAAGCTCAGCTTCCGATACGCCTTCTTAATCTCCCCCTCTGACACCGTCGTCTTGACCTCCTCCAAGCCTAGGATCTCGTAGAACGCCGTCGGCGAGCACCGCTTTATCCGTATCACTGCCGTCTTCTGCTCAACTGTGAATGCACGTCCGGAGCTGCCGTCATGATGCGCGCGGTGTTTGGCGTCGCCGGAGCCGCTGTCGGCGCCGCTGGCTCTAGCGGACATGGTGGTGGTGGGTGCTGCCCGGCGGGCGCGGTTAGGGGTGGTAGAAGCAGCGGTGTGAGGTTGGTGGGTTGGGGGATTGTAGCGAGCGGTGATTTAAGGGCGGAGGGGCACCGCGGCGGTGATGATATAGAGGTGTTGTTGTCGGGGGTGTGTGTCTGTATGTATCGAGAAGAGTGGACGTTGCGGTTTGGAGAGAGGGAGTCCGTGCGTTATTTGTCCGCTGCCGTCATCGCGAGTTGCTCGTTCACCAACTTCGATTCCCAATTCAAACACTGAATACCGCAGATATGGCAGACAAACCCTCCGAAGAGAAGGTGAAAGCTAGCACGATCCATACTCTACAAGCATGGGGCGGTGAGTTTCCAATCTCTGTGTTCGAGGTGTATATCTATGCGTGAAGCTCATGCATTCACCCAGAAAACCCGCTCCCACCAACCCTCCTAGCGACCCTTATTACCGCACAGCATATGCGCCCGTTCCAAGCGCTGCCAATGATGTTCACGCCTGTCTTGCTCGCGGCGAGCTATGCGAATGTGAGCGGGTATAAGATTGATGCGGCGGGGATTACTGGCGCGTGGAGTGGCTTGTATCTGCTGTTGGCGAGCCGGAGGAAACAGGTACGTCTGGCATATTTTCACTTGTATTGTATTGTGGTTATAAAAGGCAACGTTATTATCATACTAGTAGTCTAAGTCTATGCTAAATACTCGACTTCACAGAGACTCGTGCAAAAGTTTGGGGCTCGGGGAATAGTTCGAGGGGCGACATTAGGTCTTTGCGTTGCCAACGTAGTAGGATGTGGAGTCACATATGGGTTTGGCCGGAGAAGGAAAGAAGAAGAGTCGCGGTGATACCAGAGGAAAATTATGAGCTATATGAGTACGATGGCGGTCTCGGAAGGCCTTGGAGTATCAGTGTATAATATGGAATCTCCTAGAGGGATTGTAACAACTATATTTTCTTCATGCCGGCATGGCGGTCTATCGGTAATCCATCCCTATAGATCGCTGGAGTTACGACCCGGAATTGAACTCATGCTGCACAGTGATCATGCCAATACCTTCTAGGTCTGTCTATATGCGGCCACCATAACCAAACGACCGCTTCAGGTCTCACCGAAGACCACTTAAATATAAATCAGCATCCCAAACGCCCCTGTATGCAGCCATCCTGATAAGAGAGAGGAGCTCCTCTCAGCTCCTTCAATCAGCCCGATGTATCCATCGGCTCTCCCCCATCTACCTTCTCAGAGAGAGCAGACTCCCGGGCAGCCTTCGCCTCGGCTCGCTTCTGAGTCTTCCAGGCATTTATCTGCGCCTTTAGTTCCTCGTTCGGAATTACGTCCTCGATCTTCAATGGAGAACGATTGAAGGGGTCGTTCGGATCACTCAGCAAGTGACTCTGGATAGTGCTGCGGTCGATCGTGACTTTGCTCGTTGGCAATATCACTGGGTCTTCCATCAGCGACGCGAGCAACGGATCTGTATATTCGTCGGGAACCTCGCCAAAATCGAGTTCCTCTTGATCTTCTGCTTCTTTGGTGTTCTGGATGACGGTTGCTAGGTGCTCCCACTCTTTCAGTTGCTCGGCAGATTTCAGTGCGTGTTTTTGCATGATTGAGAGCGCATTGGTGAAGATCTGAGGTCTGTACGACCTTCCATCGCGAGCAACGGCCTTCTGGAAATTCTCCTTCTTTTGGAGATTAAGATAGACGTCCGCAATTTCAGATAGCATGTTCTTGGGATCCCAGCCGTACTCCACGCCATTCTCGACCTTGAGGTTCGAGCTTTTCGGTCCTACCAAGGCATCCAGGTTGTAGTCGAGCATGTCTGCCAGTCGCTGGACTATCTCGGACTTCGTAAAGGAGTCACTGAGCGCCTCGGTAAAAAGCTTCAGCATGGAAACAGTTTCGTTGGTTAACTGCATGTAGCTTTTAGCCTTGCTTTGTGCACTTGCAAGAGCTTCTTCCTTTTCTTGTCGAACAGTCTCTTCCATAGAATCTCGAGCCTTGAGTTCTTTATGGAGATCGTGAATCTGCTTGAAAGCGGTAAACGATTCATCCAGGACAAATGTCACGTCGTTAAGCAGAAGATTGACAAAGCGGACGAAGAAGTCGAGATTGACCCTATCATATATTAGCTGCGATCTTGCTATGCTAGTCTCAGGATAACTGACCTTGCCTCTGTAGCCAAGTTGTCGCGGTAGATCGTGTTCGGCCAGACGCACTTTATGACCTGGAAAATTTCGTAGCGAATATTGAACTTATCAAAGAACTGGGTGTGTGCTCCAGTGCTTTCGCATTCAATGTAGAACTTCATCAAGGCATGCAGTAGATGATCGGTCGCGAAGTCGGAACCATATAGTACATCTCCAAGCACACCTTTGGCCCGTCCGCGCACAGGCCAAACACCATGGAACAGGATGGTAATCAATCCAGACTTCAGATATGGATTTTTTATGTATTCCGAGCTCCGGAGGAATGTGATGCAGACCTTTACTAACTCATCGCACTGAGTTGATGTGATGATGTGGGGTATGTTGCGTGTGATAAATTTGAAGTTATCGACCACATCCTCTAGAAAGTACTCGGGCAAGCACTTGAAGACTTCTGGTTGATTTGCGTTGAGCGGAAGCGATAACGCTTTCTTGGGGAAATTCGAGCCTGGGGATACCATCCGCAGCAGCCACACAATGACATATCGCATGAACTGCATGGATCGAGATTGAGCGAGTTCATCAAAGAGAACTCCTTGTGTTGCCAGAATGGTGCATTGGCCCTTTTCCAAAGCAGTCTTCAATTTCTTCACATGGGCTTCGTACAGTGCAAGCTGTGTTGGATTCTAAAGAGATTCATCAGTCTAGGTCACCTCCTATGGGTTGTGGAAATACCTGTGAAAACTTGTGCCGCTCTAGCTCAAACTTTTCTAGTTGTTTCTCCATCCATTTGACGTCTTTCTGGAGCTGGCCAAGTTTGGTGTTGACGGCCTCGGTCCCGTAATGGTGAGCAGCGACTGTCAGAAAGAAAATTTCTGTAATGAAGTTGTTGGTTCCAGTTGCAACATTACTATAGAATTCATCCGACTCATGCTGATCAGCGTTGATCTTAGTTTCATCTTCGATTAAAACACGAGGTTTTCTTCGAAGATAATCCACGTCAATACGATCGATCTTTGAGAATGTGGCGTCCATGAAAGGTTCGCAGAGGCGGTCTAATATCACTGTGATATTGACCATAAACCCATCAGAAGACACAGTCTTCTGGTCAACCTGTATGGCTCTACGCTTGTGGTTCTCGTTAACGATCAAAGCAAGCCAGTCGAGGATCTTTTCCCGAGACTCTTTTGTCTTGATGAAGCAGTTTGCAATATCGAGCAACTCATCTTGGTGGGCTGCGAGGGTCATGCGCAGCGCGTTTTGTGAATTGGCAACGTAAGCCTTATCTCGTGTTTGGGAGCCGGTGAAATAGTTGAGAGCAACTTCGGCTTGCATCGGAGAGAGTCTGAAGAATGGACCTAACAAGGTGCTGGTTTCGATTGCCTCTGGGGGTAAATCTGGAGGGAGAAACATTGGGGACTCCGTCATCGCCACGAGAAGCGGCTGATAGCGTACGAAGTTACGCATAGCCTACGACCTGTAAGTGACGACCAGCAGTGTCGATGTCTGAGACTTACAAGCATATATGGCTTCGTGTTGTCATTCATGGATAGCTTGGCGAGCTGTTGACTGAGAGCCTCCATTGCTGCAACTAGTGCCTCTTTGACACTCTCGTCCTCGTCGAACCTGGAGACAGCTTCGTTGAGGAAATCGTGGCAGATACCGCGATCATTTTCAGCGTCTACAAGAAGATGCTGTGCTAGAACATTTTCTGAGGGTGGTTCTTGTCCAAACATCTCCTCCGGCATGGTGGCCGCAAAGATGCAATAACTGAAGCATATTCGCCGAGCTTCCTTGAGAACCTTGAATCGAGGGTCCTCTTTGTTACCTCCTCGCATGCCGCGATATAATTTAGAAACCCGCTTCCAGCATCCTAGTAGATAATCAAGGGGCTTTCCGTCTGGTAGACTGGATGCTGCCTCGACTATAGCCTGGTCCAGCACGTCGGTTCTAAGTTGTACCTGCCCACCGTCCTCTTCCTCCAAATCCTTCCTGACGCTATTAACATATAACAAGCGGTGGCCGTGGAGGTCCTTCGTGGTGCTGGGATCCAATGTAAGCCGGAATATGCTGCTCAACGTCCTATCCTCCCATACGCCAGGCTGCGGGGGTGGGTTGGGGCGTGTATCTGACGTTCCATCACCCATTTGTGGTGGAGAAGCCTTCCTCTTGATGTTGATGCGAGGTTTCGAGTCTGGTTTTATGCCGAGTTGGGAGAATGGGTTGCTCGGAGCCGGCGACTGCTCTGGTGGCGGGGCAGCAGCGCTTTCGTCGAGCTTCGGGGTGGAAGGAGTATTTGGGGAGTTCTCTTGCAGAGGAGTAGTACTAGAGCTTCCACTAGCTGCGGGCGGTCCACCGAGCTTCGCCAGGCGCTTCATGCGGATCTAAGTTGTGTTAGTCGCACATCGCTGGTGAGTTTATACGAGTAGCCCACCTTATCCGCGTCGGACATGGAGTCGCCCATGTTGAAGGATGGGGGATAAAGAGAGCGCTACTGTGGTCGGGAGAAGCGCAGAGAGAGGTGAGGATGGCGATAAAAGCGAATGAGGTTGGTGGTTGGCAGGCTGCGAGCTGATGTGGACTTGGGGAGAGGTCGCGATGATGCACAGCAGGAGCAAGGTTAGGCGAGCGGTTGGAAATAAATGGTCCAAATGTTCCCCACCAAATAGTGCGCGGAGACTTGAGCGTTGGGACGGAGGCAGAACATACACTACATGAAGCTGCATAGGCTCGGATGCCTTTGTAATTCTCTTGGAACCTTCGACGGGATTCCGCGGTTTGTTGCCGCCGACGATTTCCACATTGCTATTCAGCGCAGTCATAAGCGGCATCTAGTTTCATCTGATACCGGACCAGGCACTCTGTCCTCTGTCACACTATATCTCGCCATCGAAGGGACATATTGAGATGTTCCAAGTAAATCTTAGAGAAACTATATATTTCACTATCTAGGTTGCACCGTCCAATCAGAACACCTAGCTCGAATGCTGCTTTAATAATGCAACAGCAAGTCCCCGCGATAGGCCCATGAATTCATAGTATACCGTTGGATGTGAACTCTTTTTACAGTATTTGCAGAAAGCACGTGCCCCTCCCTGGAGAAAGCTGCGAAGCACATAGCTTCTAGATCTTGTCCTAGTATTCATCTATTCCTCTCAAACGTGTAATACGTTTCTCGTCTGGCCATGTCCATTTCACTACTGTCGGACTCCAAGTCTACTCATTACTAGCATCTTTGAGGTGGGACGCTCGGATATCTGCACGTGAGCGCCAGGTCATGATAGTGATCCTTCATGATGGGACGCACAGAGGCCTTTATGCACGAATGGAGTCTGGCTGAGCCGTGGCTGATGCCAAGCCAATGGGGTCTGCGAGAAACGTCGAGCCGCCCGGCTGAGTGAGACTTTCGAGTGTGAACGAACATGTGAGACGAGAGTGACGGAGGCTTTGTTGCAGAAAGTACAGCGGTCGGTTGCTCCATGACTGAACCGTCCAATGCGCCACAGTCCATAGATTTGCTATCAATTCGTCTGCCTGAAACACACAAAGACTTGGAGGTCTGCAGAGAGGGCCATCAGAGCTGAACTCTGATCATCTAGCAGCCTGGCTGCATCGGAGCGGCAGTCTGAATGGACCGCAGCAAGATCTTGGGGGCCCTAATTGGCAAGAAAACGCCTCGAACCGCAGGATATCAGGCCAGGCTGCTGCTTGAGTTTTCTGACCCCAAATGTCGGGAGGTCTTGCAGCGGAGAGTCGTTGATGCTGCGGCGGATGGAGCGGGTGACGCTTGGCGCTAGTGTTGCTGTGAAGGAGAGAGCAGGCAGCTCACAGGAGCTCCAGGAGGTCACAGGAGGCTGACGGTGAATACTGGTAAGCAGGAGACTCGCATATCAAATCGAGGAGCCGGTGGAGAGACGCATCGAGCGGAAAGCGGTGCGCACCGGGTGGCAGAGGCTTTATCAGTTGCGTGGAGGCCAGCCTTGGAAGCTTGTTCGACCAGCATAAACAGCAGCTCTCCAGTTCCCTCTCCGGCGCAGCAGCATCCCCCTTTCAGCATTCTGTTTTCTGCCCGCCCGTAGCATCACTTAGCTACCGTACTTCGTACCAGCCGCCCCGTGCCACGCCTCTCCTTACGCCACTAACCACTCGCTCGCTGTCGCAAAGACAAACACAGCCGCAAGGTCAGTGCGTCCCTGCCTGTGCTCAAGGCACTCCTCCACACCAAACGAACCTACTTCAACGACTCCCTTCCCATCACCACCGTCTCTCACCCATCTCCACCGCTCACTCTCGCACTGCTCGCTTCATCCAACTCACGCTCGCAGCACATCTCACCATGACTTCCGAGATCCGACGAAAGCTCGTCATTGTCGGCGACGGCGCCTGCGGCAAGACCTGCCTGCTCATGTAAGTTCACCACCTCCACGGCGCTGGCCGCCGCTGCTTTGCCATCGGGGAGCATTGTACTAACTGCTATCTGCTGCCAGTGTCTTTTCCAAGGGCACCTTCCCCGAGGTCAGTTTCCTCGACACCATCCCCAGCCCGAGCTGCGTCAGCCTCCAGCCTACTAGCCCAGCGTGGCTATCATACCCTTCTTCGCTCGCCCCATCACCCTGACCGACACTGACAATATGGCGTGTATAGGTGTACGTCCCCACTGTTTTCGAGAACTACGTCGCCGATGTCGAGGTCGACGGTAAACACGTAGAGCTGGCTCTCTGGGATACCGCAGGCCAGGAAGACTACGACCGTCTCCGACCGCTATCTTACCCTGACTCCCACGTCATCCTCGTCTGCTTTGCCATCGACTCCCCAGACTCGCTCGACAACGTCCAGGAGAAGGTAACATTCCCCATCTCAGCTCACGTGCTGATTGTGCTTGCTAACAAACAATGCTATCATAGTGGATCTCCGAAGTCCTCCATTTCTGCCACAGCCTCCCCATCATCCTCGTTGGCTGCAAGAAGGATCTACGGTACGACCCGAAGACGATTGAGGAGCTCCACAAGACCTCGCAGAAGCCCGTCACAACTGAGCAGGTTCGTCACCTTATCTCCAGCATCAACCCCGAACTACAATCACTAACACAGATCAGGCTGAGGAAGTCGCCAAGAAGATCCAGGCCATGAAGTACCTCGAGTGCTCGGCCAAGACGAACGAGGGTGTCCGGGAGGTCTTCGAGCACGCCACCCGCGCGGCTCTAATGAACAAGCAGGGCGGGCGTCATGGAAAGAGCAAGAAGCCGAAGTGCGTGGTGTTGTAGGCGGTGTTTGCTTACTTTCCGGCCGCCTTGGGTGGTGCATCACCTCAGCATCCAACCCAGCCATTGCCTGTGGCGGTCAATGCTCGTTTTGCGGTGGTCTCCTGGGTGGGAAGTTCTTTGTGGTACTGATGGGTGACTTTTGGTAGTGGATCGTTGTCTGGTTCTGCGAGTTAGAACTTTCTTTACGGCAACCAACGAGGCGTTCACAAATGTGGGTCGTTTGAACATGGCACATTTTGGGGTAGCTCGTGGCCAAGTCTATTCTCATCCCGAGAGAGAAACGAAATCAGTTCATCAGGACAACAACGGAATGAAGTGGCGGGAAGAGAAAGCACAACTGTCTGGATTCATTTCACGCTCGATACTCCCATTCGGCCTCCTCCACCCCGTCGTCGGAATCCCCATGATCATGAGCAGATAATTCGGCACGGCTAGCTTTTTTCTTCTCCAGCTACTTTCCTATTCTTGTCTTGGGAAATGTTCGAGCATGCAGAACAAAGCAACACTCCCCCTCCCCTCCCACGATCTAGTTTTCCAATTGTTTTCCTTTACCCACTTACACACCCCCCCAAATGCCCCAACCGCTGTCTTTGTTGTTGTTGTTGATTTACTCTTTCATGGCCTTGCGTTATTCTACGTGCGCATTCCTCAAGGTGTAATACTCTTATCTACTATTTGTGTTTTTGTTTTTGCGTGTGTCCTGTCCGTAGGAAAGAAGTCGAATTGAGCGAGTCAAGTATGTCATGTCATGGCTTGTGAAGATCGTTCGGTGAAACTCTGAAAGGGCTGTTGTACGAAATTTGATTTTGGATTGTTGATAGTGTTGCGTGCTTCGTGCTTTGCTTGATGAAGTGGTGATAAGTTCTGATTGTTGCGATGTGTGATGTGTTGTTGATGTGGTGAGGCCGAGCTCGTATTGATCCTAGTCCGGCGAAGGCGCCGGTGTTGCATGTGCTAATAGTGGGTACCTATAGGTGGCACAAGATTCTTTACATTTTAGTGGCTAATGATAATGCGATGAGGGCTGCAGAGATGAGTCCGTGGGGCCTGGTGGTCATCCTTGGGTGTAGGCATGCCCAGGTGGGTTAAAGGTAGCGTCTACCCACTAATACTGGTTACATGCGTGTACTCTAAGCTGTAAAAGCTTCGCAATTACTTCTACTCGCATGTGGGCGAATCTTCGTTTACTCACTTGACTTCAGCTTAGTCACGCATATACCATACTCAACGATAGTCCACGTGCATATCCAATATCATTGTATGGAGTATAGACGGATGTCCTAATAAAAGAAGGGTTGCAATCCTTCGTCGCCAACTAGACTCCCGTAGATTTATCATACCCCCAGTAGCCCCAGTAGCCCCAGCACCGTTTCCACAAAGGCCTTACAGGTCCCAAAGCTCTTGAGCGCCTTATGCGAGGGTACTATTTCGTACGCCAGCTTCACGCGCTCACCGAACCCCAACTTGCGTGTCTAGTTCGCCACCAAGAACTGGCAGCAATCCCGTAGCAAAACGCCCGCAGCCACGAGAAGCATAATTACCCACGCGACGGTGCTCACACGCTCTCTTCTACGGTGCATCTCTGCCTTCCTGATGTCTAGTATAGCATCGAATACCTGGCTCACACGAACGCCGTCGGAGTGGCCGGCGGTCACGATCCTGCTCGTGCTGGCAACCATGCCATTTTCAGGGTCGCCAAGGACGTAGATTTTCGATACGGGGGGGACTATGGCGTATGCGTCGCGCCATGAGCCAGTGGTTTGGTCGATGGGGAGCTTTCTCGGTTTCAGAGAGAAGGGCGTAAGGAGGGTGAGTTGCGGTGTTTGGTGCGCAGCTAGGGACCAGCAATGTGATCCTTTTCCCTTTTGCGGCAAGAAGTACGAAACGAGCCATGTCGGTGGGGTTCTCCGTAGGAGCGGATGAACGTGCTCGTGGCGGTAGAAGCATGTTTTACATAGGTCGACCGCGAATGGGGGGAACAGCTGGGTAGCGAGCTGGATAGCGGGTCGGGGAGACAGGATACTGAGTGGGATAACTAGTAGGACTAGTGGGTATGAGCTGGGGTCAAAACACTCTTCTGGTGCAATGCTGCGAACTGTAAGCTGGGTCTGGGTCTCTAGTCGCGGTAGCCACCGTGTCCACACGGCGTGCTGGATGATGGGGGAGGTGTTGATGGTTTCGGCCCAGAACTTGCTGACGCGCCTGTAGCATAGGAGGTAGGGCGCTCCGGCTTGTGAGATGATGTTTTCGAGGAGGTCGGGACAGTGCAGAACGCGGTATGTGGATGATTCTATGTCGGCGCAGAGGGAAGAGTCAAGTCCCTTGGATTCGGAGACGTATAGATAGAGCAGGAGGCCAAGTGCACAACAAAACGAAGATCAAGAGTGCTCGGTCCGTGGCGGTTAGCGGTTGAGTTTTGAGACAAGAGAAAACAATGTGCGGCGCAGAAATAGACGCAGCTCCACTGGGTTGGAAATGGGCCTGGTTAATATTTTGGGTCGACCGTGGTACGCCGCGAGCTGGAAAAAGAAGTTCGAGTTGCTCACCCCCACATGAAAAGTCAAAAGTGAAAGTTCAATGCCACTAAAATTAGTAGATAAAGATAAAATGGCTATGTGCAAGAATCCGAATAACTTTTGCGCTCTCCTGGGGTTGAAAACATTCGCAAACTCCAGAACTCCAAAGCTAAGGACGCATTAACAAAGCTTCTCACACAATCTTACCCTTATTGACAACGAAAGACTCCAATGCCGCTGGTAGCAGTCAGTCTTCGATTCTCAAAACTGTCGTTGGAGGTAACTTACAGATCATAGTCCATAGCCTGTTCTCGCCCTCCCTGAACACCACTGACCTAGGCCCATAAAAGACCTCATCGTTGACCTCCTCCTGATGCCTAGGGAGACAGTGCATGAACTGCCAGTCCTCTTTCGCCCCAGCCCTCTGCGCTAACTCGTTTGTGACCTGGTATCCCGCAAACGCCCTCAGGCGCTCCTTAGCCTCAGCCTCTTGTCCCATAGAGATCCACGTATCAGTCACAATGATATCTGCATCACGGATAGCCTCTTCCGGCACTGTTGTCTCCGTAAGCGTGCCAGGTCGTGGTGCAGTAGCAGCCTGCGATTGTATGATTTCCTTCATGTGCTTCGGGATAGAGTAGGCGGGCGGCGTAGCCACTGCCATGGTTATGCCCAGCTTCATGGCACCGATGCACATGTCGTAGAGCACATTGTTCGAATCGCCGACCCAGGCAATCTTGAGTCCTTCTAGTCCAAGAGTAGGTCCCGAAGTTGCAGTTCGCGTTTCAGTGATAGTGAGCAGGTCTGCGAGGTGCTGGAGGGGGTGGTAGTCATTGCAGAGGGCGTTGATGACGGGGACGGTGGAATGCTTTGCGAGGTCTGCGACTTCGGAGTGGGGACCAACACGGGCGACTATGGCGGACGTCATGCTAGATATAATAAGGGCGGTATCCATGACTGATTCATTGACCTGTGTTCGGGTGTTCAGTTAAAACATGTATGACAAGGAATACCTCAACAGTTAGACGCTCCGGGGCTTCTTACGCCTAATTGAATATCTTCTTTGCCCAAGAACATGGGATGTCCCCCCATAGTAGCCACTGCAGCCTCCGTCGACACCCTCGTCCGAGTACTGCGCTTGTTGAAGGTCATGGCTACAGTCTTTCCCGCCAAAGCCCCCAGCAGGTTGTTCGGTATGGAGCCGGATTTGATAGCTTGTTTGTGTTTGTGGGCATTTCGGACGAGAGAAGTGAGTTCCTGAGGCGTAAGGTCGGCTATCGAGAGGAAATGTCGAGGCGCGAAGGGTGAGGTTGGTGGGCTGGCGGGGGAAGAGCAAGCCCGGACTGGAGCTTTTGTCCAGCTTCGAAGAGCTTTGGGGGCTGGTCGGAGCGGAGGCATTGTGGTATGGGCGTCTTGAGACCAATTCGAGCTCTAGTAGCTACAATTGAGGGTGTCGTGGTCCTTTTGGGGAGAAGGGTCAGTCGCGTTCTGGCCGGGAGCTGTAAAATTTAGGGCGCATGCGTCACATCAGAATCTGGAGAAGGCAAGGTGATTGGATCGCCAACTGCACGGCCTTGATTGGCTATCGCGCCCGCATCGTCAGGCCAAGGGGCCTTCATGGTGGAGTTGCATGTGCAGTCCGCATCACATGGAGAGCGAATCACCAGGGCGATTAGGGAGGCGTGTGGGCAGAAACACTGCAGGGTCGATTCTGCATGGCGCTGCATCGGCCGCAGCCGTCTGAAACAACAATGAGCTGGCGCGACGGCAGCACGGCCTCGTTCCTGGGAGTGGCTGAGGTCTTGGCTTGGCTTGGCTTGGCTGCTCTGTCCTTGTCGTCACCAAGCCGCCCGGCCTTCTGGCATCTTGCCCTATCCTGCACGCAACCACTCCACCTATACCCACGACACGTTCTTACCACGTTCTTCTAGACAGATGATGTTGTAACTCTTTCCACGAAGCACATCTCCGATCATCATGGCCGAAGCTTCAAACGATGCGTGGAGTGCCATGCCCACGCCCTCATCACGACCAGCCTCCCAACAGTCGAAGAAATCCTCACCATCCTCACCATCACAACCTTCTAGCAGGTCTACGGAGGAAACACCACTATTGGCACGAAACGAGAGTGATGATGATGAAGATACCCCGCCCCACGACCACCCGACCGGCGCAGCAACAGCCCTCTTGCGATCACTGACCGGCCGGTCTGGCTCCAAACCATCCGCCAAGGGCAAGCGAAGATGGCCCAGTATCGTCGCTCTATTTTTATTATGCTTGGTCGTCATTATCATCATGCTGGTCGGCTTCTTCGCCCCCGCAGCGGTCGAGGAGTATGCCACGCAGGCCGTGGACTTCAAGCCCACCAAGCTCTCCCTGGACTCATTGACGAAGACTGGAGTCAGAGTACAAGTTGAGGGCGACTTTAAGTTGGACGCTTCCAAAGTTAAGAAGAAGTCGACCCGGGATATCGGGAAGTTTGGGACATGGATCGCGAAAGAGGTTGAAAGCGGACCATCCGACGTCGAGGTGTACCTTCCAGAGTACGGAAATATCCTAGTCGGGACTGCGAGGATACCCGGGATCAAGGTCAACATTCGAAATGGACATACCACTCATGTCTCTTTCTTCGCGAACTTGGTACCTGGTTCTTTTGATGGAATCCGCAATATCGCCAATGACTGGATGGAGGGTCGTCTGGGCCAACTGCGAGTAAAAGGCAAGGCTAGAGTGCCCTTGAAGTCTGGCATCTTCCATTTGGGTGACCAGATCATTGAAGAATCGATGCTCTTTGAAGGTAGGTTATTTTCACATCGTGGGTTTTGGCCACTGATACATCAGTGATACTAATAGTCCCTCTTCCACAGGAAACGACGTTCCTTCGCTTCCTCGGTACGATATCAACAAACTCAATCTCCGAGAAGCCAATAATGGATCCAAAGGGATGGGGGCAGATGTCTCCGTCACGGTGAAAAACGATTATCTTGTCGACTTTATCGTGCCGCCTGTTTCGGTGGATGTTATGGTCGATAACTGCATGCCAACGGATTCATATATCAAGGTCGGCGAGGCAGAGACTACTCCACTGCACGTCGAACCGAAAACAGATCTCGAAGTCAATGTTACTGGCAGTGTCGACTCACTGCCCGATGCCCTCACCTCCGCATGCCCGAACTCACTCAAGTCACCTCTAGATACCTTTTTAGGCAAATATATCCACGGAGAGGATGCCACAATTTATATCAACTGTTGCAAATTCCCGGACCCCAAGACGCCTCAGTGGACCCGAGACCTTCTCAAAGATATCACCGTTCCACTTCCATTTGCAGGAAAGAGCATGGGCCATCTGATCAAGAACTTCTCTCTCGAAGATGTCAAATTCAGCCTCCCTGAGCTTTTTGCTGACCCTGGTACTCCGGAGTCACAGCCACAAATTTCCGCTACCATCAAAGTGTTGGTGGGACTCCCAGAAGAGATGAACTTCCCACTCAATGTTAGCCGCGTTCGAGCGATCGCGGACGTGTTCTACAAGAAGAGGAAGCTAGGCATATTGCATCTGGACAAATGGCAGAAGGCTAGCTCCTCAAGGATTGATGGCCATGACGATGAGGGAGCCTCATTACTAGTCGAATCGGCCGTAAAAAAGGCCCCATTGGAAATCACCGACGACGATTTGTTCAGCGAGGTCGTGTCAGCTCTCATCTTCGGAGGAGAAGCAATCTACCTGACAGTCAAGGCCGACGTAGATATAGAAATGGACACCCCAATGGGCAAGTTTGCGGTGCGGCAGATTCCAGCGGAGGGAACGGTACCTGTCAAACGTTCGTAACCCGACCTCGAATTTGCAACGACCGCTGCATTGCTAATTCATCGTTTCGGCGTAGCAATTGGAAAGGATGGAGACTCAATCGGCTCCTTGTCTCCCAAAATTGGAAATTTGAAAATTCTTGACACGGGTGCCACGTCCCTCACGCTGCAAGCTGAAGTGAACTTTACCAATCCCACCAACTACTCTGCGACAGTGCCGTACTTCAACATCAATATCCTTGTGAATGATACTATACTTGGATCGGCGACTGCCACTAACGTCTTGGTCGTTCCTGGCAACAACACCAACGTCACTATCACGGCAGTATATGATCCATTTGGTAATAGCGGGGAGAAAGGCAAGACTGTCGGCAGAGAGTTACTATCTCAGTACATCTCAGGTAACTCACTCTACCCATCACACTCTTCGCAATACTTACAAAACTAGGCTACAACACTACCCTGACACTGAAAACTCACAACGGTACTATCCCCGCGCAACCCGCTCTTGGCTTCGCACTCTCAGCTTTCGGCATCAACCTCCCAACCCCCTCCCTTAGCAGCCCTAAGAAACCTTCCGACGGCGACGACCCCGATGAGCCCGAAAACGACGGCCCCCACTTCATCAAAGACGCCACTGTACGTATCATCAACCCCGTCCCCCAACCCTTCATCGCCAATCATGAGTCCTAACATCCCGCAGATGCACCTCATCTCCAGCACCGCCATCTTTACCCTAGCATCTCCTCTCTCTACCACTACCCTCTATATCACCCACCTCAACGCCACCTCCTTTTACGAGGGCGACCCCGCTGGAAAGATCCTCTACGATCTCCCCTTCGCTGTCCCACCGGGGCTATCGGAGTCTCCCCGTTTGCCTGTAGACTGGAGCATTGGCGGTGTGGGCTACGACGCCATCCGCAAAGCGCTGGGTGGGCAGCTGAAGCTTAGCGCATTCGCAGAGGTGGGCGTCCGTGTTGGCTTGTGGAATCAGAGGATTTGGTATCAGGGGAAGGGAATTGGGGCGAATGTGAGGCTTTAGGGATGACGACACTTTGGGAGATATGTACTTGAAACTTGTATGTGGTCGATTCGGTCTTGGGTTGGACTTGGTAATTTAGGCTTGTAGGCGTCTGGGATTGGATTCGATTGGTTTGGTTGGGATTGGTTTGGCTTAGGCTGGCTAGGTTCACGTCGTGATTTAGGTACATACATATGCGGCATCAAAACGGCGACAATCGTACATATTTTTACGACGCCTGTTCCTGCAAGGTCTGACATCCATCGCAGTCTGTCCGGTTCAACCAGTCATCACACTTACTAATAAGAACATATTCTGCAGTGGAATGATAGCGGAGTATCTCTCGTCCCCTTCATGCTTCTTGAAAGTGTCCGAAACCCGTGGTTTGATCTACAAGCCACGTCAATAATGCGCCAAAGTCGAATCCAAATCGCACGGACTGGCTCCCGTTACCACATCTCGCTACCTCAGAATCAAACTTTTTACCGTGGTCTAATCTAGAGCTCACTCCAATAAAATGCCGAAATCAAGTTCAAATCACACGGACTAGCTCCACTTCATATATCTCACTACACCCAAATCAACTCTACGTCGATGGCCCAATTCAGGATCTTCGGCAATTGATACTTCCAAATAGTCTGATTCGCAAACTACACCAATAATATGCCCAAATCAGGTCTAAATCACACGGACTGGCTCCCGTTCACACATCTCGCGACCTCAAAATCATGCCTTTTGCAGGGGCCTAATCTGGGGTCTTCGTCAATAACATACCAAAACTGAGTTCAAATCGCACGGACTGGCTCCTGCTTATACATCTCGCCAGTGCCAACTTTACTTTCTTTCTAGGACCTGATTTGAAGTGTTCGGAACATACTTAGAATCAGGCGCGAATAGGATGCAATAGCTCGCTCCTACCGGAGACATGCTCGCTCCCGTCGATCTCAACTCTACCACTACTCCCCCCATACGAGATTCACGCTTAGTCTCACCACGATATACAAGCCGTATCCGGTGTGAAATCATATTACACACAAAGCAGGACTGCAAGCTTATCATATGCATTTCAGTATTATAGTATGCATTTCAGTATATTATAGTATGCATTTCAGTAGATACCCTCACTGGAATTCGTCCATAGACGACAGGATCCATTAAAGGGCTAGCCATTCACGGACCCTCCGTATCGTCGCTATCCATCTGGTTTCCCAGAATCCCAGACAATCCAAGCGGCACCAAAACCCAGCTCCCAGACCGCCGAAACCCCTCCGAGCCGACGTACGATCATGCCCAGTAGCCCGTCCAAAGCACACCCGGACACCCAAGCCAGTCAGGCAAGCCTGCCATACCAAGTGCCCCGCCCCCGAATCCCTCAATAAAAAAGAAGACCGCCCAGAACGCCATCGCTAACAAGATACAGATTCAATAGAGGAAAAGGTTGTATGAAAAAAGGAAATAGATGTACAAAACATACTTTAGAGAACCTCTCATTCCTCTCGACTCTCAAATCCGCCTATACGGCTGCTGGGCCAGCCGATCTGCGCGCTCAAACACGTTACCCGCAAACGGGCCCGTGTTGTTCTGCCCCGGGAGCTGGTTCGGCGTATTCGGGACCGTCGCTTGAGCCGCAGCTCCGAGGGCTGCGCTGAGCGGAGTCGCGGGGACCGGCGTGACGTAGCCCATTGAGCTGCCGCCCGCGCTGCTCTGGCTGGTGAACGAGGTTGCGGAGTAATTGGAGATGGCTGAATAGGTAGACGCAGCTGGGGTGATGGAGGTGTTGATTGGCCCTGGAAAGCCAGGTCCATGACCGGCGCTAAAGCTGGATTGATTGCTGTAGAATTTTGGCGGTTGGGTCTTTGAGGTTAGCGATTGGAGACCAGGGGGGCCCATCGACCCGCCCGCGTTAGGTGCTGAATGCGCTAGATAGGACCATGATGAGTTGTTGATCATGAGTCCGGCGTCTTTGACGGCGTGATGGGTGGGTTTCATAAGAATCTTGACGTCCTCGGCGAGAAGGCCTACTTTTCGGCCGTCTCCGGCGATAGCAGCGGCCATGTCGTTCCAAGCCTATAAATGTGAGTATTGGAGGAAATCGAAGGATAGGAAGATACCTGACCCAAGTCAAAAAAACAGCACCAACCTTTGTAAGAAGAGTGCATTGTTGCCAGAAATCGCGTTGACTCCTGGCCACAGCATCCTTCAGCTTGATTTCTGAGAGCCTCTCGCTCAAGGTCCTAGCAACCCCAACAACCGACTCTGCCGTCTCGATGAGCTTCATCAGGACCTTCATTTTCAGATCTTCGGAATCAAGTCTAGACCGTTCCGTCTCGTACGTCCTCCGGAAGGAACGTAGGATCTGGGGTACGTTCTTTAGGCATTGATCGCATGCTGTCTTCAGTTTGATATATATGCGATCAAACTGCGCCTCTTCGTCTGGATCGTCGAAACTGCTTTGCATCGTATTTGTGCGTGAGATGGTTGAGGTAGTCAAAAATGACTCTCCAGATCTCGGAGTTGCTGCGCTGATACTCGTTAAAGTGTTGGTTCGGCTGCTTTCGTTGCTGTGTAGTGATACCGGAGGAGGCATTGCATACTGAGCCGTTCGTTGACTTGGGGGGGTCGTTTGAAATCGTCTAACAACCAGGGGCCGAGGTTCTCGAGCTGGAGGCATGGACCGATTCGAGCTCTGCGGCTTGCGTCCCGTAGTTGGCGTTCCTTTGAAGTTTACACCCAGCACCTCACATGCCTTCCGAAGCTCGATCATACTGCCAGTTTGCAGAAATAGGAAAGACCGCATGAACCGCGGGTCTCCTTCACTTCCGATTGCCTGTGCGTTTTCCGCTATCAGGACATTGACTAGCAGGAATTGGGCGAGAGACTTCTGGCAAGTCTGATGGATGGAAGCTGAGAGCTTATGTGCGTCTTCCTCATCCTCCTCGGCGAGAGTATCGAAGCGTCGGAGTAGTTCGCTTAGTTTCTTGATCTGCAGATATGCAATTGTAAACCGGCGTGGAAGTTCCTCCTTGCGATACCCCCCTCGACTTCTATCCTTCTTGATGGCGCGCACCAAACTGAGCATAGTGTCGTGCAACTGTGACATTGCGTACAAGAAGCTCTTAGCGGCCTCAACGACGACATCCGGAGCGCGGGATCGTCGCTTATGTTCCAGCAGATCTGAAAGTGGCCGATGAATGAGAGGTCGCTGAGTCCCCATATCGCCATAAACACCGGCAGTTGCTGGTCCTGAGTTGCCGGCGTTGGCCCCATTACTTGATAAGACGAGGCCTTGGCTGAAGCCGCGGAAATGGCTGTTTCGTCTCAGTTCGTCTACTGGCCCTAGATCCGATGTTTTGTGCGTGTAGATCCCCATTCTCTTAGCTCTAATAGTTGCAGACCCTGCACCTTCGCTCTGACTACGATTGCGCTCATTGTTGCCATTGGATAAAACCAGAGGCGCAACCGGGGGTCCTCGAGAGAGATTGCTGTTCTGCTGAGACTGCTCTCGATAGTGCGAGCGAGTAGGGATCGGTGGAGGTACTCCGGGCGAAGCCTCCAACCTTGGCTCAGATGGGTAGAGTCCTGTCTGGTAGCCTGATTGCTCGTTCACGGGCCCAGCAAAAATGTCCAAATTGCTGATACTTGGCTTCACTGGGAAGCGGCCGTTTACTGCTCGTTTGGAGGGGCGTGGCGTCTCCACGTTACTCTCGCTGTGGTCCGTCAGTGTTGTTCAAGCAACCAAAGTCTATGAGTCGAACCTTTCGCTTCCCTCAGCCTCCACCCTCCGCCTCTGCTTGTTCGAGATATCACTCGCGTATTGCCTCATATACTTCTTGACCTGCGTCGCAATAACCGCATCCTTCTCATTATCATTTGACGGTGAAGGAGCGTTGTCGTTGATTGTACAGACGTGTGGCGGAGGGAAAACAATGGGGTTCCCGTCGAGCTTCAAGACCTGCAGACTGCTTATGTCTCCGAGACCGACAGGCAGCCTCTCGATCTTGTTCTTTTGTATAGCTAGAACTTTCAGGGATATAAGATTTGAAATTCCCTCCGGTATGACTTTGATCTTGTTCTTGCTGACGTCCAATATCTCTAGCGCGGTCATCTGCATGATCTGTAGACTGTCAATTTCTGTTTCTTCGACCTTCAGAGTCAGGAAGACAAACGGGCAAAGGGATCTCGCGCAGTGAATTATAGCGGACGTTTAGATAGCGCAGACGGCGGCATTCTGGCAGGCGGGAGGGGAGATTCGAGAGGTTGTTGTGCGACAGGGCAAGTCTGGGAGCGTTAGCCAAGTCGTGAAGCCGGGAAAGATCAGCGCAGCAAGGACGTACCGCTCGATCTCGGTGCGGATCACGTCGATGACCTCGTCGGGCAGGCTGACGATGTTCTTGTGGCCCAAGTCAATGGTGATGCCGGGCTGCTGGCGGAGATCTTTGGAGGCGCCGGGGGTTTCGGCGACGGCGCGCTTGTGCTCCTCGCGCGAGTTTTCGATGGCCTCGCGGGCGAGGGCGACGACGTCCTGGTCAGTCATCGGCTTTGGCGGGTCATTACTCATGGTGGCGAGGTGTAGGGCGCAGGCCCGCGGGGTTGGTGTCGAGGGGGGAGTTGTCTATCTTCGGCCCTGAGGCTGGCGATTCTATATGCAGGAACAGCGGGCGCAAGCGAGGGCCCTAACGTCATCCACTCTGCCGTTTCTTCAACGTCTTGCTAACCTTATCTCGACATCAGCGGGGGCTTCTGGTGCATCAAGTAGATCAACGACAAGATGGTACCTGGATCGAGAGGAAATGGTATTCTTTCATCCAATTGTATGATCACGTGACGCTCTCGTGGTGCCAGCCTGATCTCCGACAAACGCTCAGTATCACGCCGTTGTCGAGTCATCCTTCTCCTTCAAAATGGCATTTCCGGATCCTCACCGTTATGAGCCGATCGATTCTTCGACGCTGCGTCTACTGGATCAACGCTTCGTCCGAGGATGTCGTATGCAGCCTGAGCTGCTTTCCTATGGATAATCCACCGGAGTACTATGCTTTGTCCTATGTATGGGGCAAGGAGAAGCCAACCGATTCGATCATATAACATATCAGTCTTCTTGGTACAGTCCAGAGGAAGCTTAGCACCAAACCGGTTGATGAGGTATACGGTCTACTTGGACTGCTGAGCAAACACTTGCAAAGCCGTATTCACATAGACTACTCCTCTACCAGCAAATTGGAGTTCTGGAGAGCGTACGCGAACCTTACTAAGCTCATTCTAGAGAGCGACGGATTCCACATACTAGCTCTTATTCCCTCCAAAAACATCCTGAACTTCCTTCGTAGTGCCCGGACTTCCGCTATCGTGCAGAACACCCTTTTTCGCCATAGAGATTGAATAGAGCTGGCCGCGTTAGACACAGTAGCCATATCGAGAGACCTCCACACGTGGTGGTCGTGCCAGAATCTAGTCTTCTTATCACGTTTAATGGGCTGAAACTCGACAGAATCGATAGAAGTGTTCCGTTGTCTTTTTTTGAAGCTAACAATTCTGACCCTGCACCTTTAATCCTAATTATTCTTCGCCGAAAAGCCAAAATATGCGGAGATTTTTATCCGAGCAGATCCGGGCCATTCACATTTGCAGAGTTCATGGTCAGTAGAATGACGCATGATGGTCACGTATACCCAAGGTATCAGGCAGTTAAGGACTATCATAACTTTGTCAGGGATATCTACAGCAGAAGCGTAGGACACGAACAAGAGCCTGTCGACGATCCATCCAGCAGCAGATATTTTGGTGCAATTCAGAATGCGTGGCGGTATTCCTGCTTCTTCAGGACGCATAATGGCCGCTTTGGGATTGGTCCAGACACCTTGAGAGAATTAGATTCGATTTGTGTCTTCTTTACCGCAAATACTCCCCATATTCTTCGTCGGCGGACTGAAGAAGGCAGCTTTGAGTTTGTTGGCCAGGCATACGTTGACGGGTTGATGGATGGTGCCGTGTTCAATGAGGAGATGGGAAAAGCGCCTAATCATCAATCATTTCTCGTGGAGTGAAGGTGAGCGTAACGATGATCAGATTCGTGGGCTGCGAATCTTTGCATCCGACATCAACGCCCTTCATAGGTCCGGAGTTGCCTCAAAGCTGCATCCATACGCCTAGATGGCAAGCGCAACACTCTCGAAATACGGACTGCGAACATAACATCGCTGTTCAGAGGTAAGCCTGACGAATATCGAATTTGCAGGTTATGATACGAGGTATACTCGCAAGAGTCTCAGCCCTCCACACCTATGTAGTTCCCCAGGCCCTAATATCTGGGCCATAAGATATTCCCAGATAAACGTAACTTCTCTCGTGCAGCCGGAGGTGGGTTGTCCTAGTATTCCTATGTAATAGCTTGAGTCCTGAAATGAAGCCTGCAAACCTTTACATCGTGGATGAACTCGCAAATGTACATGCGAGGGTACTGCCCCAACCTGCCCCGTTATAACTTCCACTGTCCTGATTCCAGGCAGCCGACCTTTACATCGCCCATTAATGTGAACTCGTGCCGCCGGAGGTGTCTCAGATCCCTATCAGTACTAAAAAATGCTGCTTCGAATTGTAGGCAGTAGATTTCTATTCCCTTCCGTCTGGTGTAGTCGAAAGTCTCTTGACGTCCTATCCGTATGCGAAAATCCACACTCAGATGTCCACGCTGCAAGACTTTACGTCGTGATGTGGTCGACTCTACTTTGTCAGGACGTGCTTCACAAGATCATCAATGTTCACAAAATGGTATCACGATGCATCTGATGTGTGTGTGTGTGTGTGTGTTCCAATACTGTCTATTCGTCTAGAACAAGTTCCAAAAAAGCAGTTATAGCACTAAAAGCATCAAAAGCACCAAAAGCAACGCACGCAAGCGCTCTGCGGATCTGTTCGGGTTGTGACAGGACCCTGCTCACTCGGGGGACTTTAAAGAGAGGTAGTGGGTAGGCGTAGGTTTAGGGAAGCAGGCAAGGTGTGTAGAAAGCGCTGCTTCTTGTGTCGAAAAGCAGAAGAAATAACGCGAGCATACATGCATACATACACGCACTGTATCCACCACAAAAATGCGCAGACGCAACGTTGGAGTGTGAGGTTTTCTTTCCTTTCTCGAGGGTTTCTGGTATAGTTTTTCCTTGCTCTCTGGTGGTTTTGTGGGTTTTGTGTTGTGTGCGACCTCGCCCTCAGGCTTCCCGTCCTAGAAAGGCGCAGAGTTGGCGCGAACGTGGAGATACGAAGTCTTGACCGGCCGTCTAATAAGCAGCGGCGAGACTTGTGGCGCAAGAGACGAAGGGGGCGTAAGAGGCCTGAGAGGGATCTTCTTTGCCGCCGGGTTGATGAGGCGGTTGTGGTTCACGAGGTGCTTGACAGCTGCTTCGTCAAGCACGACCTCTCCGTGGCGGTCCGCGAGGTCGAAGCGCAGGTTCTCGACCTCGATGTCGAAGGTCCACAAGAAGACGTACGACTGTTTGCTGTTCTTTGCCGATTTTGTGTGGAGGTGGAGGTGCTTGACGTCCTTGGGAGGGAGCTCGTCGTTGTGTTCGATCATGCACACTTTTGTCCAATTTTCGGGTTTGTGGGACCACGCGTCTTCGAGGCGGCGTCCGTTCCAGGATGTGAGGCAATGGCAGGTGACGATGGTGCTGCCGGAGACGTCGCGGTAGGAGAGGGCGATGACGGGGTGCTCGAAGGCCGCCATGGTCAGTTGTTGGGACATTTGGCCTGGCACGCTTTGGCCGATTTGTCTGTGGATGGTGGAGGAGCTGGTGATGTCGGCGAGATTTGGGAGAAAGAATCTCTTGCCGGGCTTCAAATCGGCCTTTGTTGGCTTTTGGGACGAGAGCGGCGGAGAGGGAGTTCGATGAGGTGCGGAAAGTGGTGCTGCGCTCCTTCTCCACGCAAGCTGCGACGACATTGCTGCTCGAAGGGTGAGAAAATGAGCATCTAGAGCGAAAGGGGCATTAAGGGGCTTTCGTTAGATAGATAATGGCGATTTATGAGGTCACGTATGGCAATATATGAAGAAATTCGCGGTGTCAATAGTTCAGTGTGGGTGTATGTGAAGAAGAACAGAGGGAAAGGCAACCGCCGTGGCCTTTTATATGCCTCTCACGATGCTGGTAACGGAAACGTGTCGCGTACCAGTACGTGGTCTTCACCATGCGTGACTACTCGATCTTTGAGGTCAACCATGGATCAGCATGGACAACGACTCAGCGAGGAAGGGACGATGGCGGTATCCACATAGAGCCTAGGCATGACAAGGGCAGCACGTCGAGGCCACCAAGGATGAGCGACGATACAACGAGGTCGAGTTGCAGATATTCCAACAAAAATACCCAGTGCAAGCTGCAGTGCTAAGCTATGAACATAAGCGCACGGATATACCGCTGCTTGAGTGCCACTTTCGGAAGCTAGACACCACTGTCAGGAGTCCCTCCACTGTGAAGATATCAGCCAGCCAAGAGGCAGTCCAGGTTCCGCTGTATGGAAGTTGACATTGCATTTCGATTCTTGAGGCCTGTGGGCGTGCCCCAAGCAGTGGCAGACGAGTGTGTATATACTAGTGGCCTGTTGCTGTACAAGAATGCAAGCAAGGGGAGACAATCATGCTGGAACGAGCGACATACTAGCTGCTACGACACCATTATATCCCGCTCCTCTTGCTAGTGGTTGTGGTGCTTCAGTTCAATCTTGAAAGCCAGGTGGAGCTCGGATGTGCGCCCGCGTCTCTTGAAGCGTTTCCACGGGTTCAGTAGCAGACCCACGCGAACATGTCTACGACAAAGAACGCATGACGTGAAGAGTTTTGTAGCGTGATGAGGTGACCCATGGGCTGTTCGACGATGATAGTATGCATCCATTCCATATGGAGGCCGCATCTCTTTAGGTCGTTCAGCGGAGGCAGCCGCAGGCTAGGTGACCAATCGATAGCGCAACAACATTGCGGCCAGGAGATGGAAGCAACCTATGTAGCAATCTCCTAGTTCTGACTGAAGGAATGAGTCCTGATGATAGACGGAAAAGGGTGGAGATCACGTGACTTTGAAATAAAATAAAAATAGAAGCCATCATAAATGATAGGGGAAAGGTCGACGAGAGATGCGTGAGCTATTTAATAAGGTCAGAGCACTGCCACGACAATAGGAAACGAAATCTGATAACAAGTAAGAAGCCATGAGAATAGAGAGGATAATAGAATCACGTGATTAGAAGAAAGTAGGTGAATGAAGCTGCAAGGGTATAATAGGAGGGAATATTGCGGAAGAAAAGTCATGAAGATTGTCCATGGTTGAGAGTGGGTGAGTCCGTGTAGTGCCATGGGAGTTATGTCGCCCATCGGGCCAGATTTCAGCAAAGTGCAACCGTAGTTCAACGAGCTAGCTAGCAGTCTGCATGGCGCACTTCTAGAATATTCTACGATGGGATCAAATGAGAGGACGACAAGAGTAGGAGGCACAGGTTGGCCGTTGTGAAAGGGAAAGAGCGTGCAACGGGTGGAAAAAAAGGCATGGATCGCGCCTTACTTAATCTGGGTAGGCGGCAGAGGGCAAAGGCGAAGGTGAATGGGAACACCATCAAAAGTCACCAAGCAAAAACGAAGATCACAAGAGACATCACCCTTTTCATGTAGAGGGGAGCTGCCTTATATACCCAGAAGTCGCCGGATTGTCAGAGCGCAACGTTGTGTGCTTTCCAATACTCGCATTTCCGCGGTTCACTGCGGGACTAAATCACTGGATCATAACACCAATATTTGGACTAAGCATAAACAGCATGGCATTCGCGCTGCTCACCAACGAGAGCTATTAAGTCCTCAAGACAAGACCGATGTCCATGAAGCAAACAAAGAAGCCAACAGTAAATGTGAGAAACGCCGTGATCCATAAAGATCGTACAAAAGAGACCACAGTCGCCTGAAATCCCATCTAACATAAGTCATACATCGCACCCGCAATATGTTAAACTGCACGGTTAACCACTGCACATGACGCAGGCCTCCTTGTTCTCGATGGAACACTGAAGCACCTTGTCGGCATAGATGTCCTCTTCTCTCGCACCACTCTCCGAGTCGTTGTCCTCTTCTTGCTTCATGGCAGCTTCGGGAAGCTCCTCGCCAGCCGAAGGCTTTCCTTCAGGGTCGGTGCTGAGCAGCTTGGGGCTTTCGCCTTCCTCAACATCCGCCTTGAACGGTTTCGAGGCGAGGGCGCTGTCCTTCTGAGAGGTTTCAGTATAGAGACGCTTGTTCTCGTTGGTCGGGGGTGGAGTAGATGAGGGTGTGGGTACACCGTTTGGAGATGTTATGGCCGGGCTACCATTAGGAGTCTTCGCCATATACATGGGTCGAGGGACAGCTGATGGGGATGGGGAGCTTGGGTAAGCCCCTGATGGCATGCCCCGCTTTTTGCCGATCCCGAGTGACTTCGCGATATTCGTGTCGGCAACCTTGAGAGCCTCTTGGTCGACGGTGAATTGAATGGGAGCGGAAGCAGCCATAGTTCGTAGATAATACATGCCTGTCTTGAGTCCAAGTTTCCAGCCAGCAAAGTGCATGCTTGTGATCTTACCCATGGTGGGCTCCTTCATGTGAATGTTCAGCGACTGAGACTGGTCGATGAATGCACCACGGTCAGCAGCCATCTGGATGATATTGCGCTGGGAGATTTCCCAGACAGTCTTATAGAGAGCCTTAATGTCATCAGGGATGTTCGGGATGCGCTGGATCGAGCCTCCATCGGCGATGATGCGGTTCTTCATGTTATCGGACCACAGACCCATATCAACCAGGTCCTTGAGGAGCCAAGGGTTGACGACCTGAAATTCGCCCGCTAGCACACGACGAGAGTAAATGTTGGAAGTGTATGGCTCAAAGCATTCGTTGTTGCCCAGGATCTGCGATGTGGAGGCCGTAGGCATGGGCGCAACGAGCAGAGAGTTACGAACGCCATGCTTCGCAATCTTCTCTTTCAGTTCAGACCAGTCCCACAGGTCGGTAGGAGTCACGTTCCACATGTCGTACTGAAGGATACCCTGCGAGACGGGGGAGCCTTCGTAGGTCTCATAGGGGCCGAGCTCTTTAGCGATGTTGTAGGACTCCGTGAGGGCAGCGTGATAGATGGTCTCAAAGATCTGAATGTTGAGTTTCTTGGCCTCTGGTGACTCGAATGGATGACGAAGAGCAAGGAAGACATCGGCGAGACCTTGGACACCAAGACCAACCGGGCGATGACGCATGTTGCTTCGGCGTGCCTCCTCGACAGGGTAGTGATTGCGTTCAATGATCTTGTTGAGACTGCGAGTAACAATCTGGGTCACCTCATGCAGTTTTGCAAAGTCGTATTCTCCACGAGCATAGTCGATGTAAGACGGAAGGGCCAAAGATGCAAGATTACACACAGCAACTTCGTCGGGGGCAGTGTACTCGATTATCTCAGTGCAGAGATTGGAGCTGCGGATAGTTCCAAGATTCTTCTGGTTGCTCTTGCGGTTGCAAGCGTCCTTGTAGAGCATGTAGGGATTTCCAGTCTCAGTCTGGGCTTCTAGAATAGCATACCACAGCTTTTGTGCACGTACAGTCTCGCGACCGCGGCCCTCTCGTTCGTATCTATTATACAGCATAAGCATCTGAAGCTTGCTATGACGGTGTGGGATAGACTTACTTGTGATATAGCTCTTCAAATTCGTCGCCATAGACATCAGCCAGGCCAGGGCACTCGTTCGGGCACATGAGCGTCCACTCGCCGTTGTCTTGCACTCGCTTCATGAAGAGATCTGGGATCCAGAGTGCGTAGAAGAGGTCGCGTGCGCGAATTTCTTCCTTGCCATGATTCTTCCGGAGGTCGAGGAATCCAAAAACGTCCGCATGCCAGGGCTCTAGGTAGATAGCGAAGGCACCAGGGCGCTTGTTGCCGCCCTGATCGACGTAACGCGCAGTGTTGTTGTACACACGGAGCATAGGAATGAGACCATTCGAAGTTCCATTCGTGCCGCCAATGTAGGAGCCGGTAGCACGGATGCGGTGGACGGCCAAACCAATACCGCCAGCGGTCTTGGAAATTAACGCACAAGTCTTGAGGGTATCGTAGATACCATCAATGCTGTCCTCCTTCATATCAATGAGGAAGCACGATGACATCTGCGGCTGGGGTGTACCAGCGTTGAAGAGAGTCGGCGACGCGAATGTGAAGTACTTGAGCGACATGTAGTTGTATGTCTGCAGCACACGCTCAATGTCGGCACCCCAGATGCCAACGGCAACACGCATCAGCATGTGCTGTGGGCGCTCGGCCGTCTTGCCGTTGATCTTGAGGAGATATGATCGTTCGAGGGTCTTGAAACCGAAGAACTGATAGTTGAAGTCGCGATCGTAGACAATAGCAGAGTTCAACTCTTCCGCATGCTCCATAACAACATCATACACGTCCTTTGCAATCATCGGAGCGTGCTTATTGTTCTTGGGGTTGATGTAGTGGTAGAGGTCTGACACGACAGCGGACCATTGCTTCTTTGTCTGTTTGTGCAGATTCGAGACGGCAATACGAGCGGCGAGGATGGCATAGTCGGGATGCGTGACAGTCATGTACGCTGCCGTCTCAGCGGCCTATGAAGGGGATGGTTAGTACTGATTGATTATTCGGAGCGTGACGCGTCGAAAGGGCGGTGGCCTACCAAGTTGTCAAGTTCGACGGTGGTCACGCCCTGGTACACGCCAGAGATGACCTTCTGTGTGATTGCAGCGGCGTCGACATGCTCCGGGTCCAAGCCGTAACAGAGCCTGGACACGCGGGCTGTGATCTTGTCGAACTGAACACGCTCTTTGCGTCCATCTGGAGGGTATTGTGAGTTTCTGGATTGCAGGCCGACGAGGATTGACGCTTGTGTCACTTACCACGCTTGAAAACGAACATCTTGAAAGGGGACTGGGTATCTTAGAGGTGGAGGACAGGAAGATGTGTTGGTGGTGGAGTGGAAGAGAAATGGAGGGGAGTAGATTTCAAGCGACGCGTTAAGTAGGCGCGTCTTACAAAACATTATGTCACGTGTCGCTAATGGTTAAAGTGGTTCGAGCTTTGTCGAACGGACCTCACTGAAATCCAGAGAATCAACACCGCAGCCCGCCGAACCGTATCTGCATCGCGACCGCCATCTCCCGCCTCAATTGCCTCCACCGAAGCGCATCCGACCGCGCGGCTGACATTCTCGGCCTGATCTCCTCGCAATGGCTGGCGGGCACATGAAATACCGCCATCTGAGCCGCAAATCTTCGCATCGACAGGCGCTGCTCCGGAACCTCGTCACATCGCTCTTCGAGAACGAGTCAATATCGACAACATGGCACAAGGCAAAGGAAGCGCAGCGGCTAGCGGAGAAGCTGGTCACGTTGGGCAAGAAGAACACGGAGGCCAGCAGGAGGAGAGCGCACCAGATATTCTATGTGAGCCGACCCCTAGATCATCAATTGAGTCGCTGAGGCCTCCAAATTGCTGATCATTATGCCTCTGCTATAGCGACCGATCGAGATGGTACCCAAACTATTTGGCCCAATACGGGAGCGCTATGCAGAAAGACCGGGAGGATACACGCGTGTTCTTCGCATAGAGCCGCTGAAGGAGGATCAGGCCGCTTCTGCAATTCTCGAGCTCGTCGATGGACCTAAGGACATGCGGTTTGCAATGACGGCACGAACTTTGGCGAACGTACGACGGAACAAGCACGCAGTCAACGAAATCACGCAAACAAATATCGACAAAGTCACCAGATACAGGAAGAATGGAGAAGAGGAGTTGGAAGAGCTGACCGAGAAAATGGAGGAGCTCTTAGATAGAGAAGCCACAAAAGGACCTCCTGCAGTGACAAAACGAAAGGTGTATCCGAAAGAAGAAGTCCGAACACACGCAGGCTTTTTCTAAGGAGGCCGCGCAATGTATCACCTGTATCTACTATCAGTGCTGTAAGAATATCCCAGGGCGTAGAAATGGGATCTCTTTGGTCTATGAGCTTTTCACTTGTTAGAATCCCTCAAGGGCAGATATGATGCTCCCAGTCGCATGGCATGATCCTCGTATATACACATGTGTAGAGAGAGGGTCTGGTCCCAGTCCGTGCTTAGATCTAAATGCATCGCCCTCCGTCCACTTCCAGATTGACTCCTGTAATAAACTTTGCTTCATCACTAGCAATGAAGAGACAAGCCGACGCAACATCTTCCACCTCACCGATTCGTCCCATTGGCACATTGAAGATGAACTTTTGCCGGTTCTCAGGTGTATCTTCCATGCCGGTGAACGATGAGAAGAGGCCAGTGCCTGTGACCAAGGGACAGATGCTATTGACTCGAATTTGGTTGGGGCCGTATTCCGCAGCAAGACCCTTTGTTGCCTGTGAACTCTATTAGCCTCTTCAAAGGTCTGAGACTGATCGAGAGCAACGTACATTCCATATTGCGCCTTTTGAAGCATTATACCACACCAACCCCGGCCTCGGTCTAGTAGCTCCGACAGATGCAATGTTAATCACCACTCCGCCCTCTTTTCGGTCGATAGCGTGAGGTATGAAAGCGTTGCATCCCAGGTACACCCCCTTTACATTGACATCAAAGGTCCGCTGAAACTCTTCCTCCGTCACCTCAACAGTGGGCTTATTCCGGTACGACGTTCCCGCGTTGTTGATGAGAATGTCTACCTTTCCGAACTTCTCCACAGCCGCGTCCATGGTAGCTTTCCAGTCTGCCGCTTTCGTAACATTCATTTCGTGGAAGGCCATGTGGGTCGATTTCTCGGCGACGGTCTTCTCTCCACCCTCCCGGTTGATGTCTGCGACTATGACTTTGCAGCCTTCGTTCGCGAAGATTTTAGATATAGCTGCCCCGAAACCTGAACCGGCACCTGTAATGGACGGAGCTTAGCATAGCCTTCAACTTGAAGGAGACACATTGCGGTACGAAGTGACCGACCGGTTACGATGGCTACCTTGCCTTCAAGGCGGCCTCTTGATGCCATGCTGGGAATGTGAGGTCTGGATGGCGGGATGAATATAACGAGCTTGTACCTTGCGTATCCACGATGGCAATTAGTCTTGGCCAATTATCGTCGAAGAATGTCTCAGGAGCTCAAATGAGGGGCAGGAACGCAAGATGAGGGGCAGGAACACAAAGTGAGGGGCAAGAACGCAAAATGAGGGGCAGGCACGGTAATGCATTGTCACTACTTTACATATGAAGAGAGCATCCAATTAGCAGCCTCAAAGATGCTTTGCACATCCGGGGGCAATCATAAAGGTGGGGATTCAGATGAGGGGTGTGACGTTGTGACGTTGGTTGGTTGTTTAATAGACTAGGGAGCTACAAATTAATATCCCAATCCTCCATTCCCCACATCGCTCCCACTCTTCGTCGATGACCATCCGAAGCCTAGGAATAGGCTATCGATAGCGTAGGGAGAACCGCTTATATACACCCCACGTGTGGCAACGTACGCTGTTTAGCAGACGCATTCTCCAAAATCACAAGCCAGCTTCCACCTGTTCCGAAGAGGCCAAGGCGGCCAACTCGAGTCAGCATATACACATTCACAAAGTAACCCAGAAGCGAAGAGGCTACTTTAATAGTCCCTTTACTTCTCATAAACTATTCCATCTAGTATCCTGTCTCATTCTTTCTCCCCATCTTCGTAATCATGGCAAAGACGTACGAGCTACCCTTCAAGGTATGCTTTTTGCTTTCTTCTTCCTTCATCTCACCCTCCCTGGACTAAGTCATCGCTTGTCAAACAGCTTATCAATCCCGGCCTCTTCCACACCGAATCATTCGTGCATGGCGAATGGGTAAAGTCAAAATCTGGACACTTCTTCGAAGTCATAGGCAAGCACGTTTCATACACTGACCACAGTACATGCTGACACTTCTAAGACCCCGGAACCGGGAACCCATGGGCTTCTTGTCCCACGAACGATGCAGCCGACGTTGATGCAGCCGTTGAAAGCTGCCACACTTGCTTCGAGTCCTACAAGAAAATCAGCCCACGCTCCCGCGCTCAAATGCTCTTCAAGTGGGATTCTCTGATCCGCGAGAACCGCGAAGATCTCGCCATGCTCTTGGTCTACGAAACCGGGAAGCCGCGCTCAGAAGCCTATGGCGAGCTCGAGTACTCCGCAGGTTTCACGTGGTGGTTCGCCGGGGAAGCTGAGAGGATACAGGGAACCGTTTTCACACCTTCCACGCCTGATAGACGAGTCTTCACTATCAAGCAACCGCTTGGTGTGGCCGCAGCGTTGGTGCCGTGGAATTTCCCTATAGCGATGGTGCTGAGGAAAGCTGGTGCTGCTTTGGCAGCCGGTTGCACAATGGTCGTTAAGCCATCCCCAGAAACGCCGATTACGTGTCTCGCCCTTGCCTATCTAGCTGATAAAGCTGGCTTTCCGAAAGGCGCGCTGAATGTGCTCACTACAGATCTCGAGAAGACGCCTGAGCTGAGTGAGGCGCTGTGCCGACATTCCCTGGTGAAGAAGGTCACGTTTACGGGTTCGACGCGGGTGGGTAAACTGATCGCGAAACTGTGCTCAGACGGGCTAAAGAAGGTGACACTGGAGCTTGGGGGTAACTGCCCGTTCCTGATATTCGATGATGCGAATATCGATCAAGCGATGGGTCAGCTCTTTGCGCTGAAGTGGCGGCATGCGGGCCAGGCGTGCGTCACTGCAAACCGCGTTTACGTACAGGCGGGTATCTTCGACGCCTTCCTCGAGAGATGGAGCACAGAGTCGAAGAAACTCATCGTCGGACACGGAGCTGACAAGACCACAACTATGGGTCCTGTTACCACCCCCCGCGGCGTTGAAAAAGCCCTCTCCCTCGTCGCTGACGCAAAGAAGAAAGGCGCTAAAGTCCTCATGGGAGGTAACAAGCTCTCAGATACCACAGGCTACTTCTTCGAGCCGACCGTCATCACCGGCATCACGGACGACATGGAAATCGCTTCAGAAGAAATATTCGCGCCAATATGCACGTTCATCAGATTCGAGACGGAGACCGAAGCTGTCAAGGCAGCAAACGATACGAGTATGGGGCTGGCGTCGTATTGCTTTACGAAAAACGTTGATCGGATCTGGCGGCTGTTTGAGAATCTGGAGGCGGGTATGATTGGGCTGAATACTGGTAAGTATGCGGTGGGGTGGTGGAGACGATTATGCTAACGGTCAAAGGAAATTCATCAGCAGCTGAATCGCCGTTCGGTGGCATGAAACAGTCGGGATATGGGAAGGAATCCGGGAAGGATGTTGCGGTGGCTGAGTATATGACTACGAAGACTGGAACGCTGACTGTGGAGGGGATCATCTGAGGTGCCCTCCGAGAACTTACGGGTAGGCCATTTTATTCCAGTACTCGACTCTTGTTTAGCTTGTTAGAATATTTACATTCTGCCTGAAAATTTTCAGAACTCCCGGATTCCCTTCAAGCGTTTATGCACGCGTGCAGGAGGGTAGCGGATGTGCGTTGGTCTCGTGTCTGTGGAGATGGCGATAGTACAGAATCCACGGGTCTGATATAGCTCTTTGAAACCTTTACATTCTGTCTGGAAGTTCTTAAAACACCCTGAAGCGCCTGGAGGGTTCATATACGTGCGCAAAATGATAGTGGATATGCGTTGATCTCGACTCTCAGAGGTTTGCCTTGATACGATATCCACGTACCCAATTTAGCTCGTTGAAACCTTTACATCCTATATGAAAATTTTCGTAGCCCCCCGAAGCCCTTCAAGGGTTCATGTTCGTGTGCACAGGAATAGTGGATATGCGCGGACTCCTCGTCTACAGAGAGTACACTGATACGATATTCACAGATCTGGTTTAGCTTTTGGAAACCTTTACATCAGGCCTTCGAGTTTCTCGCACCCTCCTGAAGCACCTGAAGGATTCATACGCCCACACAGAAGTGCAACGGGTACGTACTGATTCCACGTGTGCGGATGTAATACCGGTGCAAAATCCACGAGCCCGATTCAGCTTGTGTAGAATTTGACATGGTATCCTGACTTTTCGAAGTGCTATGGAGGACTTCAGACGGTGCTAACACGGTGTCAGAATCCTTGTGAACGGTGTCTAATTCTGGATGCGAAGGTGTAGTACGGAGCTACTCTGATTTAGCCTCTGGAAACCTTTAGATCGTGTCTGAAAAATTTGTGATGGGCTGGAGGACTACAGACGGTGACGTCGGGGTGTCAAGAGCCTCGCAAACTGCGTCTAATTTTGGATATGGAGAAGTAACGAAGCTTGCTTTGATTTAGCCTGTGAAGATCTTTACATCGCATCCGAATTTTTGGTGATGTGTCGAAGGACTACGGACGGCGATACTACGGTGTAGTATGAACCGGCTCCCATCTAGCTTGTGGAGATCTTGACGTCATATGCATTAATTTTATAAGGTGCTGAGGCAACACAGACTGTAATAAAAGGGTTGTAAGACTTACCTCTTATTGGGGGGTTGATTTAGCTCGTGGAAATCTTTACATCATACCCAACATTTTTATGAAGCACTGAACCACCACCGACGGCGACACCACTACGTGCAGAATCTCACGAAGCACATCTCAATTCAGCCTCCAAATTGTAACGTCATGTCATTGAAGTCCAGCTTCAAAAAGAAATCAAAAGAACTAAAGAAACCACCCGATATCACCCCCAATCACCCATCACCTCCGCCAGCACCCTCCAAATCACCCCCTCCTCCTCATCCCCATGTCCTCTCTCAGCAGCTTCCGGGCCAGCTTCGCATCCTCGTCCTCGTCCTCCAGAGCCACCGCTCCCCTCTTCCGCTTCTTGCTCTCCGTCTTCGCCACTGCCTTTTCGGCCTTCAGACTCGCCTCCTTCTCCGCTTTCTCTGCTGCCTTCTTCGCCCGCTCGAGGCCCTCCTGACGCTGCTGGGCCGGGTTCAAAGACGTCCTCAAACTCTCCGGCTTTCCGTTCACCCGCTCATCCACCCCACAAACAGCCCTCAGATGGCGCATCCAATGCGACCGGATTGCTCCGGCGCTCTTCCTCTTGAGGCGCTTCTCCAGACGCAGCCAAAGGGCGCCAAGGCCCTCCCAGGCATCGCGCTCATTGCAGATCGCGATAATCATCTCGCGAATCAGGGCTTCGTTGTCGGACTGGCTCCAGGTAGCGTTCGAAGGGACCGACCAACCAGAAATCAGGGCCTGGATCTCAGCGTCGGTGTAGGAGCGGTCGTAATCGACGCCCAAATCGGACGCCTTGGCGGACGGTGCTGCGGTGGGTACGGGGGTACGGGAGCCACCTTGGCGTGTGATCGAGGTGCGAAAAGGGGCGTCGAGGGAGTCGAGGATTGGGCGCTCGGGGTTGGAGAGAGAGGTGCTGGTGCGATTTCGGGCTCCGGATCGGTCCACCAGGGCGCTAGGGTCTGAATTAGCATGATGTCGAAGGTGTTTTGGCACTGAAGAAACCATACTGAAGAGCTCTTGGGCTGCCTCAAGGTAGGCGTCTTCCAAGGGGTGGATCAGTCCCCATTGGATGGCCATGAAGTCGATCTTCAGGCCGACGCGGTCTTCCCAGGCTGGTTCTTCCGGCAGATCGTGGATCAGCCAGTGGTTGGAGTGGAGGTCGCGCGGGTTGATGAATTGTGGAAGAGACATGATGAGGCGGTATGAAGGGCAGAATGGTGGGAAAAAGGCCAGCTTTTCGAGGTTCTGAGAGAAGAGACGCTTGAAGGAGTCTGTGAGAGATGCTGAGGGTTTGGTTCTGGAGAGCAAGTTGAAGAGAGGCAAGACGAGGATATATGCAAGAACACACAATAGCAATTGAAACAATAGCATTTAAAACGTCAATAGCACGCAAAGCAGGAGCAGAAGAACAATACATTGCTATTGACGAGGCTTTTCTGAATAACAGCGGCGCAGCGGTACAATACGTATACCCTCCCGAGTGGTATTGTCGATCCACTGGACAATAGAGAATAGTTGTTGAACAGCTGTGACAATAGACGGGGTGGTGAAGCACTTGGAGAAGGTGAAGGAAGGGGTGAAAAACGCGGGCCGATGTATCTCCGAACGAACGGCCACAGCAACAGCGACAATCAAATGAGACGAAATCAATACATGCAAGACGTTGAAATGGATACGATAGCCTAATGAAGATGCCCATCTCTCAAGAGTTCCCATAGCTCCAGTGGGCAAAGCGACCCCGTGACGTGTCGGCTAGCTGGAGTCCTCAGCGTCGAATGTGTGGGAAGGAGAAAGTGTCTTCATCGTCCACGAATCATCCAGTATCTTTCTCTTGTCTGACGGGAGATAAAAGGCTCGAGAGAGTCCCGGGGCCATCAATAGAAGCTTCTGCATGACAAAATATGTAACCGCTGCTGATTCCCAATTCCTCAAAAAAGTCGGAACGACTTCTCGAAAACAGGCGCCCAGCCATGGGTAGTTCTCCTCTACGCGCAGCGCGAAAACAGCCTCCCTACAGTGAGGATTGAGGCTGTCGATAGTAGTGTTTGTAAAGCTGGCGATGGTGAAGAAGAGAAGAGAAAACTCGGCGGTGTTGGTTTTGACGTGCCGGGCGAGCAAAGGCGCTAAACCGCTTTAGGAACACCTTCAATCTGGCCGCTTGGTACGCCATGATCACTCTCCACGGCACGCCCGCCTCTGCAGCCTGCTCCACGAAGCACACAGCTGTCCTCAAGGAGCTATTCTTAAGACTCATCTCGCCCTCTCCCCTCCCTCTCTCGCTGCCTCTCCGCACTCCAGACATCTCCCCACCGCCGCCGATTTCAGCTGTGGGTGCGCCTCGGTCCCACCAAGGATATCCCACCGCAGTGTCGAGCTGCAGCTGGCTCGCCTCTCGAGATGGATTACGAGTCGTTGAAGGAACAATGGAGTGATATTGAGGACCGGGATGGCGTCCGATTGAGCTGGAACACCTTCCCCAGCTCGCGCATGGTATGTGACGTGCCTCAAGTTTTCGAATCTTGCCGAGTGGAATGCTCACACAGTGTATAGGAAGCAAATAGGCTTGTTGGTTAGATGGCACCGGCCTCTATCTATTATCCAGTTGCTTACGCAGTCTAGTCCCCATCGGTGCCCTCTACACGCCCTTGAAAGAGAAGACCGATACACCACTATTACAATATGAGCCCGTTTCCTGCAAGCCGCCTTGTCGGGCAGTCCTCAACCCCTTCTGGTGCGCCAAATGCCTCACTACTGGCGTGGAGAAAAGACTGACCAAGGTGCAGCCAAGTCGACATGCGAGCGCGACTGTGGATATGCCCATTTTGCCTCCAGCGAAATGCTCTCCCGCCCCACTACAAGGACATCTCCCAAGATACAATCCCCCCAGAGCTCCACCCGAGCAGCACAACCATCGAATACCGCTTGGCGCGTCCGGCGCCCTCTCCTCCGATCTTCATATTCGTGGTGGATACCTGCCAGGAGGAAGACAGTCTGAAGGCGTTGAAGGACTCGATCATCCTGAGCTTAAGTCTGCTTCCACCCTTTGCCCTGGTCGGACTCATTACATATGGCACAATGGTAGATCACACTGTCTTTTGGTGCTTTGATTTCTTGGCTGATAAATGACTAGGCGTCAGTTCATGAGATTGGCTATACGGAATGTGCCAAATCATACGTCTTCCGCGGAAGCAAGGACTACACGGGCAAGCAAGTCTCTGACATGCTAGGACTCGGTGCCGTTGGCCCACGACCAACTATGCAGCATCAACCCGGCCGGCCACCTATTCCAACTGGGGCCGGCGCACGCTTCCTTCTCCCAGTCCAGCAATGCGATTTCCAGTTGACGAATGCTCTTGAACAGCTACAGAAGGATCCCTGGCCAGTTGCGAACGACAGGCGAGCACTACGATGCACTGGCGTGGCTCTGAGCGTTGCTGTTGGACTTTTGGAGACACAATTTGTGAACATGGGAGGGCGAATTATGCTCTTCACTGGCGGCCCTGCAACTGAAGGGCCCGGAATGGTGGTTGGACCAGAGCTGAGGGAGCCCATTCGATCGCATCACGATATCGATCGGGACAATATCAAATACTACAAGAAAGCCACGAAGGTATGTCTGACCGATGACACATCCGACAACTTCTTATGCTGATTATGATAGTTCTACGAAAACCTGGCAAAGCGCACTGCGCACAACGGCCACATCATTGACATATTTGCCGGATGCCTCGATCAAGTTGGTCTTCTCGAGATGAAGTCATTGGCAAACAACACTGGAGGTCACATGATTCTGACCGACAGCTTCACATCTTCCATGTACAAGCAGTCATTCGCGCGCGTCTTCAATAAGGATGGCGACGACAACCTCTTGATGGGGTTCAACGCTTCACTGGAAGTTTTGACAACTAAGGAATTGAAGGTCACCGGACTGATTGGCCACGCTGTTTCGTTGAACAAGAAGTCAGCGTCGGTCGGCGAGACGGAGTGTGGCATTGGCAATACCTGCTCGTGGAAGATGTGTGGTATTGATCCAGAGGCCAGCTACGGGATTTACTTTGAGATCGCAAGCCAGGGCGGTCCCAACCAGATGCAGCAAGGCCCACAGAAGGGCATGATGCAATTCTTGACGTACTACCAACACGCTGCTGGTCAATATCACTTGAGAGGTAGAACCAAGGAGCCGAAGTATTTCAAGGCGTTTAGCTAATTTTTCTCAGTAACTACTGTCGCCAGAAACCTTAGTGGTCCTTCAGGCGACCCAGCGATCGCACAGTCATTTGACCAGGAAGCAGCAGCCGTCCTCATGTCCCGAATTGCCGTCTTCAAGGCTGAGGTGGACGATGGGCCAGATGTCCTGCGGTGGGTGGACCGTATGCTAATTAGGCTCTGCTCTCGGTTTGCAGAATACCGGAAAGATGATCCATCTTCATTCAGGTTTGTTCATTCATACTTGCAGCAATTTACATCGCTCTAACACTCTCTAGGCTCGAGAAGAACTTCACATTGTACCCACAGTTCATGTTCCATCTCCGTCGCTCACAGTTCCTCCAAGTCTTCAACAACTCTCCCGATGAAACTGCGTTCTACCGACACGTGCTGAACCATGAAGACGTCAGCAATTCGCTCATCATGATTCAACCTACTCTTGATAGCTACGGCTTCGATCACGAAGGCTCCCAGCCAGTGCTGCTCGACTCAACATCCATCCAATCGGAGACAATCCTCCTTCTCGACACGTTCTTCCACATCCTCATCTTCAACGGTGAGACGATGGCGGAATGGCGGAAGGCTGGCTACCAAGAGCAGGAAGGTTATGAGAACTTCAGGGCTCTGCTGGAGGCGCCCAAGGAAGACGCAAAGGTATGTTCAATATCATCAACTCATGATGTAGCCCCTGTAATCGTAAATTACATATATTGACTGCGCGCACAGGAGCTTATCCAAGACCGCTTCCCCCTTCCTCGATTCATCGTTTGCGATGCTGGCGGCTCGCAAGCTCGTTTCCTACTCTCCAAGCTTAACCCCTCCACCACTCACACTACCGGCTCCTATGGTGGTGTCGCCCAGACCGCTCAGACGATCTTCACCGACGATGTCAGTCTTCAGACCTTCATGGATCACTTGATGAAGCTTGCGGTTTCGGGTACTGGGTAAGCTTGGGCGAGCAGCAAGTGGGAAGGCTAGACCGACTCTTGACGATCAATCAAATTAGTCCCATGGCTTTGAAGGGGATTCCTGGGCGGAGGGCAGCTGCGCTGGGTGTGTGAGCAGAAAAAAGCTGTTCGGTTTGAGTCAGGGCGGTTGCTGTTAAGCGGGCGGGGGCATATTCAGCGTCTCCTGTGTGTGAGGGAATAGCTAGAGAATACGTAATCCAATGAGGAAGCGAGTGAATGGCACGTTTACGGTTTGATCGTGTAAAGGTGGGTTGAGGGTCTCTTCCCCAAGTGACATGCATTGCATTAATATGTCTGATCTATGACTCGAGAATCCCTAGGCGTACAGTACTGTGCTGCTAGTACACAGGTTTGTACAATTGCGAAAAGAGTGTGGCGGCCACAGGCAATGGATTTTGTTCTCATCCCTGTACCCGCGGGCCAGACCCCAAACTTTCCCAACAGCTAATTACTACTGCGATGCGGAGGTATATAAATCTGTAAACTTTAAGAATATATGCCAAGACCTTCCCCATGTCAACCTGAAACAACTTAACATCAACCTCAAGATACCAAAAGTAGATTGATTGTTTGAAACAAGTTACTTATTGGTACAATGTAAAGCATACCAAGAACAAATGCAATGGAAACAGTGAACGTAACTCCGTAGCGATGAACCCAACAATCCGAGCCACCCCTTTTCCATTAGTCCTGTTACGTGACGGCATCCCCTAATCCAGTCTTCATCCCAACATACACCACAATGGTACTATCTTCCTGACGTTTCACCCAGGGCCTCATTTCCCATCGCCAGCACTTGGGTGAAGGATAATATGCAATCCGCAAAAAAAGATGAATGCCAACGCCGCAATAGTCCATTGAAGTCCCTGAATAGCCGATCCAGCAGCGATGTCGAGACCACTTCTAGCGAAGATATCGGCCGGGTGTGTAACGGAGGCCAGAGCCTGAGATGTAGCCCATGCCACCGCCAACGCGAATGCAGTGCTTAACCATGAGGTGACCATTGTGGCAAGTTTGAAGTTCTGCCACGTGCGCTCGTCCTTGTCTTCCCAAGCACTCTTCTTCTGGTGCCGCTTGAAGAGTGTCACGAAGACAATGGCCAGGAAAAAGTCGCACCCTGCGCCTACTAGGAACGGTATAAACACCTTGTTTTGAAGTGTCAAAGCGGAGTTGAGGAAGGGGCTGATGGCATTCGTGCCGCTGATGGAGAAAGCGTGTAGCAGTTGATCAACGTTTGCCTTCGAGGATGTAGTACAGTCCAGGGTTGAGGATGCTTTGTGGCACATGCCTATGTTCGAGAATTAGCAATATCAAGGCGGTCTTGAATCAAATGTAAACTAAAAGATGCTTTGCTGTGTTGGCTGTGTGTAATACTCACAGAAGCCACCCATATCGATGAAGGGTCAAATGGAAATGAAGAACACAGAGATTTGCTAGTTTGAATGGCCAAGAGGAAACGCTAGATTACGTTGTTACTCAACGGAAAGGATGAAAAAAAAGGAAATGGGTTGACGGGAACTGAGGCTGGTGTGAGTACCGATGCTGTGATCTAGAAAACGAATATCGAAGGTTTGAAGTGGGCTTATATGCTCTCGAAGTCTCCGTATGTTGGGATGGTTTGTCGCCTCCTGAGGTCAACCTGCTCAGACGGTATCAATTTCACTTTGGAACAATGAAAGTGCTAAGAGTCTTAAAAATAGCTGTGCGATGCATGCTCTTCCGTATGGAAGCGTCTTGATTGATACTAAGGTTTCAAGACAGCGGAGCTTTCGCTACGCGCGCGTGCATGCTGTTCTAAAAGTTTTCGAAGTTGTTGGAAAGCTCAGAGCGGTTCCGCCAGGTACTTGCAACGCATAAATACATAGATACCACAGCGTCCAGTCACTTCCATACACTCTTGAATATCATTCTTCTCACATTCTCCATTCCTCATCCGCCTCTTCCCCCCTCAGCAATCCAACAACTTCCCGAGGACCCAGTGGTTCCGGGCGCGCCGTAACGACTGAAGAAGCGGATATGAGATCGATTGTCGACAATACAAGAAATATGACTTTGACCGCCAAATCGCATATGCCACCGGAAAAGCCTCGTCCACAAACATCCAGACCAGAGCCATCGAACTCCAGACGAGGTGGCCCACCACCAACCAGCTCCGGTCGCAAACCTGAGAACAAAGGGAAAGATGATAAAGAAGATGAAGAGGAGGGTGGAAAAAGGAGCTTCATGGGCAGTGGGCGTGGCAGTAGGCGTGGCAGTGGTAGAAAGCCAGGCTCTTCCTCCTGATCAGATGACGACGTTACAGTGCCTCGTCGTAGACATCCGTACAATCGTTTGCCACTGCGTGAGGAGCTTCATGGTATTTTGCGCATTTCGAATGACAGAAAAGTTTCGCATTTTGGACAACTAGCAACCTCCCGAAGCTACCTCAGACAGCGCCAACACGGTGTACGCAGATTGGAAATGCATCTGCTGCCCCCGGTTTCTATTAGTAAGTTGGAGCCACACAAATCGTGGCAGGGAAGTGTATGGATATATATGGCAAAACATTGTATTACGCTGGATGTTGTTAACTGGTAGCGGATTCTGTGTTGTTTATCAGAGCTTACTGTATGGTTTCATGGAGCAACGGACCCAGCTTCGCGTGTACTTCTCTCTCTTTTGTTTTTCACTTGCTTCATTCGCTTTTATAAACTAGCTCCTTGCCTGCAAAATGTTCTTATGTCTACATCTAGTCCGTTTAGTCTATTGTATCAATGAAGATCTTTGACCTATTCATAGTACTTTTTGTTGTGACTGCCCGATGTGGTGTGCTGTTTTGAAGTGTCCTTAAGGCTGAGGGAATAGGTATAGCGCTGCTGGGGCTCTGTGTTTGACCGCTTGATACCGCTGTGAGGAGGACCCTAGGTACTAGGTGGCAGTTCAGTCAATAGGTAGTCTGATTTCCGCTGTATTGACCTTAACATCGACGTGATTTCCTTTTGAAGGTATAAGTCCGGGTACACCGATATACAAATTCTGGGGCTTTGTTCATGCTCGTTCGACATCGCTGTAAGGAGGACTCTAGCTAGTAGATAGGCTGTCAGACAAATGGTAGTCTGATCTCTGTTGTATTAACATTTACATCGTGAGTGGGGGTTGAAAAGCCCATGAGTTCGACATTACACTGCCAGGGCTTCCCTCTTGCTTATTCGACAGTACTGTGGGGAGGACTCTGGGCAGCAAATAGTCATCCAGTGAATAGGCAGTCTGATATCCGCTGTATCAACTTCGACACTGTGTTCAACCTTTGAATGCTTAACGGTTCGACATTACACCGCTAGAACTTCCCTCTTGCTCGCTCGATACCACTGTGAGGAGTACCTTGGGTAGCATGTACCCTCTTAGTCAGAAGGTAGTCTGATACCAAACCTCTTTGGCATCCACGGAAATTGTTTTCATGGTCTGAATGCTGCGAGCGCGACGAGTGTTCCGTAACACAGCGTTTTTGGAGATTGGCGGTGTGGATTCTGGGATTGGCGGTGAGGGTGGTGGTACATCGGTACTGCAATTGAGGTCTAAGACGAGGGGAGAGAGTCGCTAAGAATGGGGCTTGTTCTTAAATTTGGCGTGAGATGTCGTCTATGGTATGTATGAGATACCCACGCAATAAGGCCGTAGACGCCGCCTCGGGTAACGAAACAACAGGGGACGCAAAAGGATGCAGGGGCGACAGGGATAGCGGTGATCGTGCTTATTCTTCAACTAGGAGGCTGAAGTGATGACAGGGTGTAGAAAGGCAAAATGGAAAAGCATGCACATCAGAATGCCGAAGACTCGAAATTTGTTGTCATGACAGTATATTTGTTTGTGCTATGCACACCCGTCCGCACTGCACTCCTTTTGTCCAACCCACAAATCGAAGAAGACTCCACCGCCATGCCTGATGGTTCGTGACGCGTTGGATACGTTATCTGGTATCCACACTGCCATAGCAGATTTCGAAAGAACACAAGCGTTAAGCAAGCAAGACCAAAAACAGCGCAAGAGATACAAAGGAGAATGGTGTATTTGCCAGAAACCGACGATCCGCTTCACAGATACGGTTTCCCTGAATCCCCCCTTTCCTCCAACCCCTACGCAAATCCAGAGCCTAGCGAGTCACCGCTTGATTCCGTCCATCCACCGCAGTCCAGCGCTTCATGCCCAAGACAACAAAAGACATAAAAAGTTACACACGTGTGCTTGAGAGAAAGTATATGCACGCAGAAGCTCGGACTCTAGACATCGGAAAGAAAAAAAAACACTTACCCTTAGCGGGAGGTCCACCGTCTTATCCCCAATCCAGCGCGTACCCCCGCGCAAAACAAGAAAGGTGACCGACGGAGTGTCTAGTAACCGTATCCTCCATAGCCGCCGGTTGGGGAGGCGACAGCGGGCGCCGAAGTGTCCACTGGTGCAGAGTAGGCTGGCGCACTGTAAGCTGGTGCAGTGCCAGAGGGAACGACCGCGGTAGCCGCAAGCGACGAGGCGGGATAGCCAGGCGCAGTGTACGCAGGCGCGGTGCCGGACGGGACGGCTCCAGTGCCGCCAATCGACGATGAAGCTGGGTAGGAAGGAGCAGTTCCAGCAGGCTTGCTGTAGGTCAGGAAGCCAGATGGGGCGAAGACGCTGCTAGGGAGAGTGCCGTTGCCGTAGGGAGCAGTGGGGTACACAGGAGCACCGGTGCTGGCTGGGGCCTCAGCAGAGGAAACGAGTGAGCTGTACACAGGGTAGCCAGCTGGCGAGGAGGCCGCAGCGGCAGCGGTGGCTGATTCGTATCCACCAGCGGGAGCAGTGACGGTCTAAACGGTTAGTGAGATCGATAAAAGGGAGAAACGTGCAAACGTACAACAGTCTCCTGGGCAGTAACGGTGATGTAGACGGGAGCAGAGCACTCGCCCTCACCAGGGGTACCAGTCTCAGTTGGGCTGTTGCCAGACTCGGTGGGGTACACCGTGATGAACTTCGTGGTGGTGGAAGTGCTTGAAATAGTAGTGGTAGAGGTTGGAGTAGCGGCCTCAGAGACGGAGGCAGTGGCGTAGCCACCGACAGGCTTGGTCGCGTAGACGGTCTTGACAACGGTCTCGGTGGAGGTCTCCTGGATGGTGGTCGTCACGGCGTGCGCGCTGCTTCCGTATCCAATGGTGTAGGTGAGGGTGACCTCAGAGACGTGGGTGGTGAGATAGGTCTCGCCGGGGGAGCCAGAAGAGACTGGGGCCTCAGTGGAAGCGCCACCGGTGGTCAGAGGGATGGAAGGGTAGACGCCAGTGCCGCCCAGGGACGAGGACGGGTAGGGAGCGCCACCAGTGCCAACCAAAGACGAGGACGGGTAGGGAACACCAACGGCGGAGGATACACCAGTGCCGGCCAAAGACGAAGACGGATAGGGAACGCCTACAGCGGACGAAACACCAGTGCCGGCCAAGGACGACGATGGGAAGACGCCAGCAGAGGAAGATGGGTAGACAACCGCGGAAGATACGCCAGTTCCGGCCAAAGACGAGGACGGGTAGACGCCAGCAGATGAGTACACACCAGTTCCAGCGAGCGAGGACGACGGTACGGGGTAGCCAGCGAGCGAAGAGGACACACCGGTTCCAGCGAGGGAAGACGAGGGAACTGGATAGCCTGCGAGCGAAGAGATGCCAGTGCCCGCAAGCGAGGACGAGGGAACTGGGTAGCCAGCGAGGGAAGAGGGACCGGTAGCGGCGAGCGAGGACGATGGAACTGGGTAGCCAGCTAGGGAAGAAGATGACACCCCGGTTGCGGCGAGCGAAGACGACGGGACTGGGTAGCCCGCGAGCGAGGAAGAAGAGACCTCGGTGGCCGCCAGGGAAGACGATGGTACCGGGTAACCTGCGAGCGAGGTCGGGTACCCAGCAGCTGAGGACGGAGTCGACTTAACGACGACGACAGAGCTCACTGGCGAGGAAAAGGTGGGAGAGAGCTCGGTGGACGAGGATACGACGAGGCTGGAGCTGGAGGCTCCACCACCATACCCAGCAGCTGACGGGGTCGATTTGACGACGACAGAGCTCACTGGCGAAGAGAAGGTCGGTGAGAGCTCGGTGGACGAGGGTGTGACATGGCGGGAGCTGGACACTCCACCGCCATATCCACCTCCACCGTAGCCACCATAGCCCTGGCGGCGGTTGTTCTGCGAACGACGACCGTGAAGGCCGCTGGCGGTGGCTAGGCCAGCGAAGAGGAGAGTCGAGATGAGCTGCATGCTTGCGGGTATCTAGACCTGGTTCTTTGTGCAGTTGATATGCGGAGTCGTGAAGGAGTCGTTTCGTAGCTGAGCAGTGCAGTGAAATCGAGGACTGGCAGAAATCAATTCCGCAAAGAGAACCGGGCTGAAGGAATGACTGTGGTTGGATAAAGGAGAGACACGTCTGCAAGAGACTGGAACGAGTGTGGAAGAACTGAAGTCTTGTGAGGTGAAGGAGAAGAGGAGCGGCGGAAGTTGGGGGTTGTTGAGCAAAAGTCGCACGCTGATTGCTGCCAAGCCCCTCCAGCGGCTGCGCAGGCCCCTGTGAGCAATTTCAAGCCGTCGCCCCAGGAACAGGCTAGCAGCGCCGGCGCGCTCGTGCTGAGGGCCCTGGAAGCCACTCAACGGCCGCGATGCGCCCACCGTCGTCGCCCCAGCCGCTGCGCCCTCCCGCCGTGCATCGGGCCAGCTGGCTCCGGCTACGTCTGTCCCTAGATCGGCTGCGACAGCGCACACAGCGGCAGCGCGCTCTCGCAGTCGTGCTGCCCTCTGTGTCTCCGTGGCGCGGCCGGAGCAAGCCGACGCTGGGCACCGGCATGCCGACTGCGTGCCGCGGGCGTGGTGTTCCTCGCTCATCTCGTTTCCTCCAACGGTGCCGGGGGCGCGACTCCACCCCGACTCCCCAAATTAGAACGATCGCCATCTCAAACAGCGACCCTGCCGTGGGGCGTGCGGGCCAGCGAATGGGCGGCCACAGGTTCCTGGCGCCACGAGTGCCGAGGAGCACGCCAGCGAGCGTCCGCGAGGGGTGCTCCAATCCTCGCATCCTCTCGTTGACCTCGTCGCTCTGCCCTCAGGGCTGGCCGCTGTGTGCGACCGCCGGCGTGACTGTGCCATCAGCTCGCACGCTCACCTTCTCGTGGCATCGAGACAGCCCTCGCGATTGGCCGCCATATGGCCACGCCGCCCTCGGTGGCCGCCCTCGTTTTCCACCGTCACGTTTCAGCCACGGGGCCGCACGGCATGGCCGCCCTTGGCAAAATCTCCGAGTCTTTCAACCTGCGACGCTCGGCAGCGTCATCACAGCGGCTACAAGATGCCACAGAGGGAGCCTTGCCGGTCCCGCTGCCAGCACCGATGCGGTGTGGCAGTTCGGCGAAGCTCAACACTACGGACCCTGACGCTTCAAGCCGTGATGCGAAAAGGGGTCGAGCTGCTCCATATCGTAACGAGCCTGAAGCTGCCAGCTCCATGCCCGACGAAACACCTCGGATCTGGTCTCAAGCCATGAACAGCCCGAACACATGTCCTTCGCTCAGCTCCGCCGCCCTCGATTGAGCATGTCGCCAGGAAAGCGGAGTGAGGAATGCGAACCATCCCCTTGGCCCCGAGCACGCCCCCGAGCATCCCAACACCATGGGTCTTGCTGCCCCCATTTCCAAGTCTCCCGCCTCCTTCATTTCTGGATCCATCTGTATGCCCGCAACACCGCGGCGGGGTCCTTGCGCATTCCACCAACCGCGTCTGCCCCCGTCTCGATCCCATCACCCATAGCCGCCCTGTGCTGCCACGATTAACTCTTCTAGGCTTGCTTCATTCATCAATTACGTCCTCCTACAACACATGGGACTCCATGCTACCTAGTCTATCTATAGCGGTGCTTATTTAATGTAAGCGTAACAGAGTGGTACATACATTTCACCTCTTTCTCAATGCTGCATTGTTGCTCATCCTGCACTCTCATCACGCTTCATATTCTCCATTCCCGACCTGAATGACGCCAGAACACGTATTTCTTTCTCATAGCCGCTCATTTCAGAGTGGAGACCGCCATCCAATTTTACAACAAAAACAGCATTTCTCCGCCCCCCTAACCGATAACAATGCCTGCATATTCCTCCACGACCGACATGCGAGATTGCACCAATTCTGACCTTGATACGGACAGCGATGTTGCGTACGGAGTGATTTCTAACTAGAGCGATTTTAAGCTTTGCTCACCATGTATCACCATTTTTTTACTGGGCCGATTCACCCTGCAGATCCGGCACACTTGGATGCTCTCCCGTCCCAGCTTTCCAACCTGTTTCGGCAGCCAAGCATTCCGTTCGCGACGTCGCGTGTCGGAAACTCAACACCAGGCCTTCTTGAGCATGATCCGCTTGATGCAATTCAATTACAACTTTTGATTCCCGAAACTGCAAATAGATATTAACACCACCCGACTGGAGATTACGCAGCTTCCAGCTTTCCGAGGCTTCATATTGAAGTCTCATGTGTTTGCAACAGAATCTGGTATCAGCATTGATATCTAACATTTGCCGACCGGCGGTGCAGATGCTGAGTGAAGCCTTTCTCTGTTTACTTCCATCTAGATAACTACACCACCAGAATCCTGCCAGGGAGATCTCGTGCTAATACATTTGCCCATCACGCAGTTTCTTCCTCTTTATACTCTACATATACCAAATTCAAGTAAACTTGGAACAGCGTGTTATCTTCTCCATCTCACCCTGTCGAAAAATCCTTGGAAGCTCAACCGATACTCTAATCTCATTTTTCATAGCTGGTTAGCTCAACGCCTGCTTGTTTCGTCACTATACCTGACCATATTAAGGATCTCATCGAATAGCAACATATGACTCGCTCTAGACCCGTCAACCCTGATCAACAACGCGGGGCCAAACACCAACTCCAAATCCAGCTACATATGAGCAGAGCTACCCCGCACTATCAATAGCTTAAGAGCTCCAACACCACTAATGATTCACGCGACCGGAATCGGCAGACCGCGAATATACCGCAGACATGGCCCGGAAACTTGAGATTGAAGGCCCGGATGTACATTTCCTCGCGACCATATCTCCGCATAGCTAGCCCTCCTCAAGGTACACTACTTACCTCAAGATCCAAAATCGACTCAATCTCTCTGTTTGCATAGTGAAATATCACAGCATCCCTACTCCTCAACCTCTCTAGATCTTCCTTCCTCGACTAACTACCACTCACTCTCCAATCCTATCTTCAAACCCTCTACCTCAAGCTTCAATCCCACCCCAAAAATGGCCGACCCAAAAACCATAGGCGCCTTCACCGAAACCGTCACCTCCCTGCCCCCCAACAAACGCTACATCCTCACACACACCCCCGCCGGCGTCTCCGTCATCCACTCCAGCCCCCCACAACTACCACGGCCGCGCCGGCGTCGGCGGCATGGCGTGCTCCTACGCCACCAGCACCCTCCCGCCCATCCTCTCAAAGGACACCGACATCGCCGCCTACCTCGCCGAGACCGGACCCGCGAGCCACAAGGGGACGAACATCGTGATCGGGCCCGATGAAGTAAGGGAGGTCGTAGAAGGCAACGGGAAAGGCGGCGCGAACCTGGTCGTCGTGGATATCGCGCCGGGGGGCGTGAGCCAGATGCATCGGACTGTGAGCGTGGATTTCAGCATCTGTGTGCTGGGGGTCGTGAAGATGGAGTTGGATGGCGGGGAGGTGGTGACGCTGCATCCGGGGGATCATGTGATTCAGAGGGGCACGATGCACAAGTGGATCAATGGCAGCGAGACGGAGTCCGCACGGTTTGTGGCGGTCACGTTGCCGTGTGAGGTGTTTGAGTTAGGGAAGACGGGGAAGGTGGAGAGGGATGAGAGTAAGTTGTAAGTGGGGCAGGGCTCAAAACATATGTCAAAGCATGTCATGCAAAAAAGGACATTCGAGTTTAAGTAATTGTGTTGGTTTCAATTCTGCGAGCCGCAGCCCAAGGGTATCAAGAATTCCTATCGTACACTTCCCCCCAATCGTGGAATCGTTCGAAAATGCTACAAGTACACCTTATCCCAGTTGATGATAAAGGGAAGTCCAAAGACAAGTGCACCGACTGCCCACGCCTTTTAAAACTGAACCTGACGCCTGAAACTTAACCAGCATGTCATTACGCGGGTGAACGCGCCATGGTACGCGGGTCGAGAGTGGCGTTGGCGCTCTGCTCAAAAGAGTGAGGCACGTCTATGCAGCTTGCTAAGGTCGGTCGAACGCGTCGATGCGTCTAATAGACATGGTTCACGCCACGGCCGTCGGTGCCGTGCATGCGGCGAGTGCCAGCAGCCTAACACAAGCAGATTAGCATTTCGTATGGCTAATGGCTGGGGTTGTGGTTCTCACCTTCAGACCCGGACGCCTCGTCAAAGAGCCCCGGAGCTTCATCATCGCGCCAGAGACCTTGTCGCCCATGCTGACCTTGCGGCGCTGGTGGTGGACGCCAGTTGCTCCGACTCCAGCTCCGCCGGGGGTAGTGCGGGTTGTCTTGGTCGTAGTAGTGGTGGTCGTTGTAGCGGGAGTGCGGCGGCTGGTGCGAGTAGAGCGGCGGCCACGAAGGCGCGACATCAAGCTAGGCTTGCGGGTGGTGGTGCGGGTTGAGCGGCGGACCATGATGAAGAGTTGTTGTTGATTGGTTTGGGTTTGAAGTTGAGTTGGTGTGGTAGATGTGGAGTGATGTGATGTTGTTGATAATGAAGAGAGGCAGAGGCGAATCTCAGCGGTACTTTATACGTGCTCCATGAAAGAACCCACCCATGTCTGGAAACAGGTTCACATTCACCCCAGGATCGGCGGGCACGTCATGGCCATGATGTGGTGTGGCGCATGACGATGCTTCTCGAGGCCGGGATTCGCGCAGGAACGAGATGGCGGGGACAGTGGCTTTCATCATTGCCTTGATTGGCCTTCACAGCATGAAAAAGCCTCCGATGCGGTTGCGCGCTGCGGAGAGTTGCTGGATCGAGACGAACGAGGCGTGAAGCTGGACCCTGGCAGAAACGGCTACGTCATTCTCAGCCCTACGAGAAGCCAACAGTAACCTCACCTCATGATCGTGAGACCTCGGCAGGTCCTGATGATGTCTCAGCTCCTGGAAACAAGGTACGCGATTTCGGATAATTGTTTCCATGGCTGTTTGTCTCAGCCTGAATGTCTTGGATGGAAATCGTGTAATAATGCTAGCTTGGCGTACGTACATCCTCACTACTCCGCAATCCTGCGTCCACAAGTCAAAATAGCAGAACAACCAAAAAAGGCCAGACGGGCCGCATATTTGCAGTAGACTAACCGATTTAAATGGTAGTGCGGTAGCACTATTGTAATGAACCTTTTGAACAAAACTAGATGATCACCGCGAACTGACATGGAAGAGATCGAGTCACGTGAACGCGAATCGTAATTCGAAATTCTCGTCCACGAAAGTCCCTATGAACTCACGATAGCCTCAAGGTGTTGTGAGATCGTCTAGATATGCAACTGTAATTAAGGTAACGGCTTCGGGCCGACATCTCAAAGATGCACTCATTATCGATATGACCACGAGGTGATGTAATGATGTGCTCACTCGACAAAATACTTCCCATATCAGCGTGTCGTGTTCTCAAAGACATTCCCTCGAAGTGCCATTAGCCCTTCTCATAGAAAAGGCTCTCTACATCATCAAAGCAATTCAGCTGTCATCATGAGCGAGTCAAAGTCTCAATTCGAATCTGGTATGTTTGCCAGCAACACACTTCTCAGTTCATCTCTCAATTCCATTTCTGACACCTTCTAGGTCATGAGGTCCCAGTAGCCCACCAAGATGCACCCGGCCTTCAGCATAAGATGAAAGGTCCCGATCCGGAGGACGAGAACGTGCCCACTGAAGATGGCGGCTACCAGATCTACAAAGCCGCAGGCAAGCTCAAGGGCAAACGTGCCCTGATCACGGGCGGAGACTCAGGAATTGGCCGCGCAATTGCTATTCTATACGCCATGGAGGGCGCGGACAGCTTCATTGCCTACCTCAAGGAAGAGGAGAAGGATGCACAGGAGACGAAGCGAAAGGTCGAGGAGAAGGGCCAAAAGTGCTACCTCATGGCCACCGATCTCACGGACATGAAGAACTGCAAAGCTGTTGTTGATGCAGCGGTGAAGGCAATGGGCGGGTTGGACATCCTGGTCAACAATGCGGCATATCAGATGATGGTTGAGGATATCTTAGATCTGCCTGAGTACGTCGAACACCCTTCCTCCCATACTCTATATTCGCAACGGATAGTTAACGTAACGCAGAGAACAATGGCTCCACACCTTCGCAACAAACATCCATCCTCTCTTCTACCTCTCCAAGTACGCCATCCCACATCTCTCCCGTGGCAGCAGCATCATCAACAACGCCTCTATAAACGCCTACATCGGCCGCCCCGACCTGCTTGACTATACCTCCACCAAGGGTGCCATCATCTCCTTCACCCGCGGCCTCTCCAACCAGTACGTCTCCAAAGGCATTCGAGTGAACGCAGTTGCACCTGGCCCGGTGTGGACGCCGCTGATACCGGCGACGATGAACGAGAAGGCGCAGAAGGAGTTCACGAGCCCAATGGGCAGGCCGGCGCAGCCGAGCGAGATTGCAACCTGTTTCGTCTTCTTGGCGAGCACGGATAGTTCGGCGATTAGTGGACAGACGATTCATGCGAACGGAGGGGTTGTGGTGAATGGATAGATCGTGATCTGGTGAGGCCAGCGCTGAACGATAGGCTGATAGCGTTGTAGATGTAATAATATGTGATCCAGAGTTTCATTAGCAATATCAGGCTCAACGTGGCTAGTGATGATGTAGTAGAGAATTTGGGTATAGGTTTTGAGCTGCATTTGGTGTATAGAAGCCTCTATGTAATCGTAATGATTGACTGCAAAAAAAATTGAGGCCTAGGGCATCATTTTTCGTCTTTGCAAATCATTGCGTACTCAGTGCTGGCCTCTCTCCGTCCGAAAGGCCACCGCACGCCTGATCAGAAAAGTTCGCATAAGAAGTAAAGCCCCCGAAATCATGAATTGGGCATCTGCGAAATGGATGCCTCACTTGATGCGGCCGTCCTTGACCATCTCCCTAATCGTGTTAATAGACCCATCAACAGCCATTTTCGCCATCTATTCAATGCGTTAGTTAGTCCCTTTGCTCGCTCGATATCGATGTCAGGCGGATCCCCGCTATCGAATAGCCGGGCAGTCAATAGACGGTATGATTTGCACCGCAGTGCCTTGAACATCTTGTGTGGAATTTTCAGAGAGCATCAGGTTATCCCGAGCAGTGGTAAACAGATATGACGAGGCGATTGGCAAAGTATCATGAAAGAGGACACTCACAGCTTTCGACTTCTTGAACTGCTCTTCCGCCTCCGCACTCCCCTCTTCGAGATTGGGGAACAACCACTCGAACATGTACGTCATGTGGAGATCCTCGACTGTGCCGGCGGGCCCGTCTGAGATCAGATTGCGGATGATGGAGCCGTCTTCTTGCTTGAACTCGACCTGTGCACCGTCAATATCACGTTCCTAGATCAACTTTCTTCTCCTCGAACGTACCCACGCATTCCCGAAACTCGTAACCACCTCCTTCGCGCTCGGCGCCGCGCCCATCCCTGGCTTGAACTGCACGACCCGCGTCACGACACCGTCTTCTTCGGAGAGGACCTCGCAGGACGTGATGGCCGATACGAATTCCTGCGCGAAGCGGATCTTGCGCTGCAGCCCGGCCCAGACCTGGGGGACTGTGAGGACGGGGGTGGCAGAGGGTGGGTTGATGGGGGACGTGTAGGCGAGGTAGAAATTGACCATTTTGGCGAATGGGAATGGGTTGTTGATGTAGGTCGTTGATGTAGTAGGTTGTGGATCAAGGTTGTTGCTGAGGTGGAGATGGTTTAACCCCGCGCTTGTGTAGCATGCAGATACAAAGGGTGCGGCCAAGTGCACAATCACCTGTATCACAGATTCCTCGTTCCAGCTTCGTCTCCATGTTCGGCCCCAGCCTCGGAACCAACGCCGCCGCAGCCGTTCACGATCATGCGGCCAAGATTACTTTTCGGAACGACTCGACTCTCCTAAACATCTACCAGATCATAAAGGGGGCCGGTCTGGCCGCCATTGACGGAATCGGTACCATCGACACCAGAATGGCCACCTTCCGCCAGCTGGCCCGTACCAACAACGTCGATATCAATCTAGAGGAGTTGTTTGGCGGCATTGACTTCTGCGACTGCGACGACTGTACCACCGTCCTTAGTCCTGCCAACTACTTTGTCGAGCTGCTTCAGTTTCTCAGAAACAATACCCTTGATCCCAGGCCCAATCTTGACGGCACTCCAAGTTTCCCAAACACCTTTGATCCTACCTACAACAAGACCGTTCTCGACGTTCTGCTCAAGCGCCGCCCAGACCTCCAACACCTGCAGCTGACGTGTGCAAATGCCAATACCCTTATCCCCTACCTCGATCTTGCAAATGAGGTAATGGAGTCATTCATCGTCCATCAGGAATCCTCCCCTATCCCCTGGAGCCCTGATGCCCAGTACGTACTCGACGTCTTCAACGTCACCGACGAGACTAGTGCCGAGCTTTTCTCTGAGCCCCAGCACACCAATTATATAGCCTATTGTATTCTCTTGAAGGAGGTCTTCCCAATCGGCGCTCTGCCCTACCATCAACCCCTGGCATGCATCCGAATCTACCTGAACTTTCTCACCACCTCGCGCTACGAGTTGATGAGTGTCTTCTACAAGCCCTATCTGACTCCTTCTCAAGGCGGACCTTATTCTCCATCCCAAGATGCCGAACTTTCCGCTCTATACTCTGAGACCCAAGTGCGCGCCACGTCGGCTGAGTATCTTGGTATCATTCCCGAGGTATCATTCTGACAAAAAATGCCTTCTGGCCGAAACGCTATTTCGAAATCACCCAAAACACAGATCTCTCTGACCAGGAATATCAGGACAAGATTGGAGTCCGCACCCCTTGGCAGTATTGGGAATTCAAATCCGACGACATCATGCTCTCCCAGGACGCGTCGCAAGTCGGCCTTCAGTTTGTTAAGACGCAGTTCCTCATGCGGTCTGGTCTCAAATACTCAGACGTCGTCGATCTCATCAAGACCACCTACGTGAACCCTGTCTATCCTGCTGGCCAGGACCTCATCCTGTTTGAGAATCTGCACTTCAGCTACCGCTTCCTCCAAGGGCTCGTTGACCCAAACGCGAAGACCAAGAAGGCTAAATTCAAGACGCTGATCGATTTTCTCACCATCGCGCAGCCATCTGCCGATGCCTGGATCGCGTCCCAAGCCACAGATCAGCAAAAACCGAGCGACTGCGACGTTCCACCAACTCCCTGTCGGGAGGATATTGCCAAGTTTGTCTACAAATGGTTTGACTGCCTAGGAAAACTTGTTGTACTTGAATCTGGTGAAGGCCCGACACTTCCAGTTTCCGGATTCATCATAAAATACGACAACTCTGCAGAGAGATTTGAGTCGGCGATTAGATCGATAGCTACCAGCACTTCGGGCACGCCATTGCATTTACCAGACGGCATGACCCCTGTAGCAACGCTCTTCACCAATGGCATCATCACAGACAACGTGGATCTGTCGGTTGATGCGACAGCACCTCCAACGGGGAAGGTTATGGGGTCAGTCGAAGTTGATAGCAAAGTCTACAACGTCGGCGGTACTCTGTTCGCCGGAGCTGCGGCTTCACCGACGACCAGCGGGACAACAAGCGTGACTCCCAAAGTGACCACCACTCAAATATCCTCAATCTCAAACACGGCCGCTCAAATGTCTATAGCATATCTAATTGTCACGTTCATCCCTGGGATCAGGTCAACCTTCCACATTACAGCATTGATCAACGGCAGTGACAGTGGCCTCTACTGGATGGCGAACAGCCCTCAGCGAGATGGGTTTACCCTTGTCCGCTGGAATGCGGTCGTGGACTCTTGCAACATTGACACCGTTCAGATCCTTCACTTAAATGGATCCAGCCTCAGCGACGCTGAATGGGACAACATCCACCGCCTCTTGCGGCTGAAAAACCGACTCGGCTGGTCCATGGACGAGACCGATCATGCCGTGTTTGGTCTGTCAGCACCAACACTTTCTCCAGCTCCTTCCTAACCCTCTCAGCCGCTACTAGAATCCTCATTGGTCGTCTCATGGGATGATGTCAATGACGAAACGTGTGATGTTTGTCAAAAAGGTTCCAAATCTCCATTCCAGCCGGGGCAGGATGATGGCTGTGACTGCTGCTACGTCAAGGATGCTTGTAGTGATATGGTGCAACCAGAGATAACACCGACGCTTATTGAGGAGATTGCGAGTGTGAAGAAGCTTCAGGCTGCAACTGGGCTGGACCTCATCAAACTTCTGGCGCTCTGGGCTGATATCAGCACCTCCGGTAACCCGTCACTTTATTCACAGCTCTTCCTGTCCCACAACCTTCTCGGCGTTGATGCTGTCTTTGCGGCAGACTCTGATGGCAACTATTTGGCTGCGACCACTGCGATTAGCGACCATCTACCTGTTCTCATGGCAGCTTTCAACCTCAAGGCCACCAATTTAGCCGCCATTCTTCACGACGCAGGACTAGATAACGCGCAGTTGACATTGAAAAACGATACCTTGATCTATCGCTACACAGTGCTCGCTCAAATTTTCCAGATCACGCCACAGATCCTCATCTAGGCAGCCAAGCTCATGAATTACTCCTTCTCGTCTGCTGACGCAACTGCAACCCTCAACTTTGTGAATGCAGCGGATAGCATTGTGAATTCAGCTTTCACAATCCAGATCAGAGGTTCACCCCGTCACAGGTAAACATTCTCCAAACAACTGCAGGTCTTTCAATAGGGCTTTTAAGCATCAGCGCCACATATCCATATCCGTCTACGGATCCTAGTAGTACCACTCCTGCTGATAGCGATGTGGAAAAGTTTCTGGTTCTCCTCTATGCGTCGGATCTCAGTACCGCCATCTTGGCGTTCCTAGATGGCACCAAAACTTATACCACCAACGCACCCGCAGGTCTGCAATTGAGCATCCCTACGATGCTGGCAGCCAAGCTTGCTTACTCTCAGTCCACGATACCGGGAACAACTGTCCCGAGAGGTCTGCTCACCGTGACCGGCCTTCTTACCGACGAGGAATTGAATGCCGCCCTGGCGGTCTCGTTTGATACAGGTTGGGCTGATGCTATTCACCGCGTTGGGAAGCAGGCAGCTGATTTTTTTACGACCTACCTGGCCGCCATCTTTCCTAACCAGGTCCAGGCGACCAGCGTGCTTCTCGCAGGAGATGATTCTGACTCTGCGGCCACGAAGAGGACGTTCTTCCTTCAAGGTTTCATGCCCTATCTTCGAAACAGCTTGGCCCAGACGCTGGTCGTTACCACGATGTCGTCTGTCGCAGGGCTATCATCCGCCGATATGGTTCGTAATTTGCTCACAGAGATTCTCACTGTCCCATCCGCTAGAGGATCCGGAGACCAATATGCCATAGATGTGCTACTGGCCTTGCAAGCTAGCTCTCAAGCTCCTAGCTCGTCTACATCTAGCTGGACAGGATTCTTGATCCCGTCTACAACAGACAATTTCACATTTGTCGGTTTTGGACCGAGAAACCCGGCTCCACTGCTTGTTGATGGTGTACCAGTTCCATTTGTTCGACAGCAGGCGGATCCCAATGACGTCTGGTTTACAAACCCCATGCCCCTGACTGGAGGAAGACTGTACAAGTTTGACGCAGGTGGTCTGCCAATTCCGGGGCTACAGTGGCTCACTATTCGTACGATGGCCGCCGCCATTCCCTCTTCAAGTCTGATTGCGGATACCGGTTCGGCAACGGTCTCTGGGGTGTTTACTCAGTTGGTTAAGAGTGCTGGCGTGATCCAGGGTTTCAACCTATCTATTGAAGAGATTCAATTTTTCCACTCCAAGGATGCCCTCAATCGTTTTGGTTTCGACCTGAATACCCTAACCTTTGCGGGATTCCAGAGGATGATCTCGTACACTGGCCTGCGTGGATCTGTCTCACAGCAGTCGGCCACGCTGATCGACTTGTTTAAGTGGGCAAGGAGTGCTTCAACCCAGACTACACTCTCGGACCTTGCATCGCGCATTGCAACGTCGACGCAGTGGGACGCAACCAATATAGCGTCCCTGATTGGGCCGGGCGGATGGAACTACACCAATCCGGCTTCATTTTGCGACGAGACTATCCTGCTCCGAATTCAAGCTGCGCTCACTGTTGTTAGAAAGGCTGCGGTCGACATTCCCTCCTTGTTCTCGTGGTCTTCGCCACTTGCCAAATTCCAGGCGATGCGGGTCATTGCTAAGAACATTCGAAATTCTATCAGATCCAGGTACTCACTCTCCGACTGGGAGCAAGCGGCGAAACCTTTACATGATAAGTTGCGCATGAGTCAGCGCGATGCCTTGATCGCCTTTCTCTTATTCCATCCTTCACTTGCACCCTGGGGAATCACCGACGCAGACAGCCTATTTGAATTCTTTCTCATTGATGTCCAGATGGGGTCATGTCTGCGGACGTCGCGAATAAAGCAGGCAATCTCTACGGTTCAGACCTTCGTGCAACGATGTATTCTGGGGCTTGAGGAGGACAAGTACCCGACTGTTACAAACAGCTTGATCGACCAGACACGTTAGCAGTGGATGTGTAAGCAGACACTGTGGACGGCTAACCGTCAGGTTTTCCTGTTCCCAGAGTCATATCTGGTGCCCAGTCTCCGGGACGACAAGACGGATCTATACCTAGCTCTCGAGGGTAGCCTCCAACAGCAAGACGCGAACCCGCAGTCCGTGGTAGATTCGATGACTTACGTGGGACGCCCGCACCTCTTTCCATTTCCGCATGAGCACACGCGCGAACTGGACGCCAGCAACTGGAGACGTCCCAACTATCTACTCGCTGCAGGATCCTCCCACCGGTTTCACTTTTGACCCGACAACCCGTCCATACATCCAGTATCCCTTGACGTCTGTTGGCTCGACATTAGTAGCGACAATAAACGGTGCTGCTACCAACGTGGAGTTCTACCACAAATTCTCGCACGCACTTCTTGACGATGTCAATGCGGCTGATGGCCTCGCTAGCTTTTTTGGCACGCTACAGAAACAGTACCAGGCTAATCCCACAGCCTTTGGACAGACTAAAATTCTCAGGTTGTGAAGAAGCAGTTCTGTGTTGATTTGAAGAGGCATAAGGCCCGTATATATAGCCTATGAAAGGGGGGGGGGGGTACTCCCCTGTTCCCCCTTGTTACGGATATGGAAGGATGTAACGCCACTGACACGCTAGTAGTGGCAACCTGAGTAAAATCAGCTCGACGACCAATTATGCGTCATTCAACGAGCTCAGCCAACCGTAGTCTGTCTACAACTGGGAGATGGGCTTTCATGCACCGACTGAGCTTGCCACAACATTGTTTCAGAACAATAGTTTCGACGCGGCACTTTCAATGTGCCAGAACGTGTTCAATCCTTACGCGAACGGCGCTGACGAGACCCGGGTGTGGCAGTGGAAGCCCTTTGCAAACGTGGACACATCAAGCCTCCTGGTAGCTCTCTTTAACCAGCTGCTTCCTGACACGCCCGACAGCATTGATGGACCCATTAATTCCTGGCGCAACAATCCGTATGCGCCGCACGTGGTCGCACGCCAGAGACCCGTAGCCTATATGAAGTGGACGGTTCTTACATACCTGCAGATCTTGATCGCCTACGGTGACTACTATTACCGACAGAACTCACTAGAGGCGCTGCCTCAGGCGATACAGCTCTATATACTTGCCAGCCACATCTACGGCCCTGTAGCACAAAAGATTCCAAAGCGAGGAAAGGTGGAGCTGCAGACATACTATTCTCTGCAAAATAAGTGGGATGCCTTCAGCAACGCGGTTGTGCAGCTAGAACTAGCATTCCCATTCTCTAACCAGACCTCTCATCCAGTCGAGTTCGTCGGGACTGACTTGGCACTGGCCAACATCTTCGGCTTTGCAACAACGCACTATTTCGCCATCCCAAGCAATCCTCAGCTACAGAGTCTGCGGGCGCTGATCGACTCGAGGCTCTATAACATTCGACACTGCCTGGACATAAACGGCAATGCGATCTCATACCCGCTCTGGGATCCGCCGATCGATCCGGCCGCGCTCGTGAGGGCAGCGGCGGAGGGTCTAAGCATCTCGAGTTTCCTCAACGATTTGAACGCTCCGATACCCAACTACCGCTTTTACTATCTGCTCCAGAAGGCTCTCGAGCTCTGTGCAGAGCTCAAATCTTCGTCCAGCTTATTCCTCAGCATCAAGGAGAAGCGAGACGGTGAAGCCCTCGGGCTGCTCAAAGCGCAGCAGGACTCTGCTATGCAGAATCTCATCATGGAAATGCGGTCGCTACAGCTGGATGAGGCCAATAGCACACTGGACTAGCTGCGTGATAGTCGCAACGGCGTCCTGTACCGATACAAGTACTTCACCCAACTGGCAGGACAGACGGTCGCCACCCTCGCTGAGACAGACACTTCATATAATGAGATCCCCATAGACATCCCCACGCCGAAAACGGACGGCGATATGGTAATGAGCTCGACGGAGCAGAATGAGCATGATGAAGCTGGCAACGCAAACCAGGTCAACGGCAAGATCGGGCCGGCCGAGACCATTGCCGGCGTGCTCTTCGCGCTGCCCATTGTCACACAAAAGGTATCACCGTGGGGTTTAGGCATTGGCTTTGGCTGGGGGGCCAGCAATTTCGGTCAGGCCACAATGGCGTACGCGCGCGGCATGCGTATCGAGGCGGACGGGCATAGTTACAATTCGAGCGATTCGGGGCGCAAAGCTACCAACATCAAGCAGTTTCAAGACCGTGTGCAGGCGGCAAACTCAGCTGGATATGAGCTCATGTACGGAGCCCCGTTCCCCGATTCTCAGGCTATGGAGCTAACAGGGCGTTCTAGGAATATCAATAAGCAGATCACGACTCAAAATTCACGCATCAAATCGGCATCGCAGGAGATCACGAACCAACAGAAGATGGTAGACAATGCGCAGCAGACTCTTGATTTCTTAACCAGCAAGTACACTAACGATGAGCTATACGCCTACCTCGAAGGCCAGGTGCGCACCACCTTCTATCAAGTCTATACTTTGGCGTACGACTTGGCGAAGAAAGCTGAGGCTGCTTTTCTTTTCGAGCGCGGCCCGATCCAGGCGGAACAGTTAGCCCCATCAAGGTCGCCGTCTTTCATCCAATTTGGCTACTGGGATTCCAACGCGTGACGGGTTGCAGTGCGGTGAATCACTGTATGTGTCTCTAAAGCAGCTGGAAGCGGCCTACCAAACGCGGCGTCCACACGACTTTGAGATATCCAAGACGGTGTCCCTCCGGCAGGTTGCCCCTCTCGCCCTGATACAGTTACGCGAGTCCGGCATGTGTCAGTTCAGCCTGCCGGAGGTTCTCTTCGACATTGACTTTCCTGGCCACTACTTCCGGCGGCTGCGCGCCGTAACGGTGACGATTCCATGCTCTGTCAGTCCGGTGCTCGGCGTCAACGCAACGCTCACGCTGACGGACCACAATTGGAGACTCTCGACACTCGGCGCGACCGATGCGCGCTGCTACGCGATGAAGCCCGCCGACGGCCCTGACGGCCCCGATGCGCGCTTCGCCTCCAGTGTTGTGCCCATCAGCTCCATCGCAGTCTCGACCGGCCAGGCCGACACGGGCCTGTTTGAGCTGGCCTTCTCGTCGGAGCGTTACCTCCCGTTCGAGGGCGCCGGCGCCATCTCGTCGTGGAAACTGGAGCTGCCGTCGACGGCGTTGCAGGCGTTTGACTACGGCTCCATCACTGATGTTCTGGTCAACCTGCGCTACACCAGCCTGAACGGCGGCGACTCTTTCAAAGCCGCCGCCGTAGGCTCGGTGGCCACATTTGCAAAGTCAGTTCAAGGTTTGGCAGACACGCAAGGCCTCTTCGCCGTCTTCGATCTCCAGGTCGACTTCTCCTCGGCCTGGGCACGCGCGGTGGCCGGACCGGCGCCTTCGTCGCCGTTGTCGACCGCAGCGAGTCCATCGGCGCGCGTGTTCAACCTCGATAGGCTGGCAGATCGACTGCCGTTTTACGCGCGGTCGATGAGCGCCAATCCGACTGCGCAGGACGTTGCCGTCATTACTAAGACATCAGTGGCAGCCGATGCCTTTTCGCTTCAGACATCGGCATCGGATGATGCAGTGTCGCTGGCGCTTGTGCCTAGGAATGGCAGCGGTCTTGGTGCAGCACAGCTTTACCGCTCTGGCGACCACATTGGCCGGCGTATAACCGGCACAGGCATCTCATGGCAGTTGAATATGGACGATGGCGGAAACTCGAGCCTCGTGGTTAAGCGCATCTGGCTGATAATACGCTTCACCATTTCCACAGGTTCGTGAGTTCAAGGGGTTCGACTCGGTGTGCTGTTCTTCTCTCTTGACGCTCAATTATGGTAGAGGGCCTTAGACAGGAACATCAAGTCTTTGAAATGCATAGCTCTTCTAGTCTATTCCGCCCCTGCTCGTGTTTTTCCGGTCAGCATTCCCATTCACGCATCCTCTGCGCCCAGCTCTCCCCACAAGCAGCCGGCATCAAGGAATGAAGGAACGAAGTGGTATTTGGCTCCATCTCGAGTTACCGCTGATCTATATGCAAGGCTGAATGTTGTGTAGCGAGGCTAGAGTCAGAAGGGGACCAGTGCATGAGCGAGAGGGTTAAGAGCGCATACTCAGCCATTGACAGCTTGCCCGGATCTGGGCAGCAGTCTGCAAGAGTACTTTGCGCTTGTTGGATATGCAGCGGACCTGAAGCTTATAAGAAGCTGGACAAATGGCAGCGCGATCATGGCTTTGCCAGCACATGTAGTTGACACATCGTACTGTGGCAGCAATCCGGTCGATGGCGCTGTCCGATGGCGAAGCTACTCAAGCGCCAAGCCTTCATCAAAGCAAGATCATATCTGACACGCGAGTTGCTAGACTGAACTGAGAAAGAGTTCTGTGTGCTTCGGCGTAGGGGTGAGGGCACGGAGTCTGTGAACCTTGTTCGCGTTGGTGAGATTATATTTACTACCAGAGATATTCATCGGTGATAGGATAGCCTATCACTAGCCGTGTACATCTGAGAGATCCCATACTGGCTGGCTGCAACATACTCACATCCACCTGTGTCTCCAATACCAGAGCGCAATGAATGCGTTCGCGTCAAGCACGCCAGCATGAACACGCTAATTACAAGAGACAGCCCAGCTAACAAAGCAATTCGGATCTAGCTGCTCTGGAATATATGAATATAAAGCATAACCATGCAAACCCAGTATACAATGCTTTTCCGCCCGACATCCTAAGTGTGCTAGGCTTGGAGATGGTGCCTCCCAAATGGAAGTCGAGGTTGAAGCTAACGTCGTCGCACTCCGGCTCTGTCATCCCAATCGCCCTGCTTCCACATCCACTGAAGCGCACACACACGTGATCATACAGTTGCCACTTCATCGTTCAGCTCGCGCCCGCTGAGGCCTCGCCTGGCGCTCTAGAAGGCCACCTTGAACAACAACATAAACAACATTTTAGATGGCATTTAGGAGCTCGATTAGACTTACAAGAGCTCGATTAAGGACAATGAAATACATCTAGAATAGACCTAGCACCGTGTCAACGCCACCTCATGTGACTTTTAGAATGGCCGCTCTGCGTCCCGAACGAGCTCTATAGCATCTAGAAAGAGCTCCGCCCTTGATCAGGCTCCACGCTGCGCCTATATCTCGGCACCTTGCGTAGCCCAAAGAGGCTTCTTCAGGAACCACGAATTACTGCTTGTGCGGCGTCTTGTGAGCTACTGTAATTGCTAAATCAGGTGGGCAATCTCTCTGGCTCAATTGTAATATAAGTACGATGAACGGCATCTATTAAGGCAGCAAATCGGGGGGCCGCACAAAACAGCGTCACAAACGTCCATTTTTGGAGGGGCTTTGCCTAGAAAGCTGCGTTTGGGTATAAGAAAGGCCTTGGACCCATGGGAAGATCATGGTAAACCTATCGGCAATCGGCATGCTAGTACCACAAAGGTATCCCAGGACCATCGACGGCAGTTGACTTTCCCCTACGCTTCTACCCGGATGGCCTCGAGCCCGCGATAGACATGAAAAGGTGGTGCGACCAGCTAGGAAATCTAGTAGTTGAGGCTGCTTCTGGCTGGACGCAGGTGCTTGCGTTGTTTTCGTGCAGACATTTGGGCGCTTGGGGCAATATGGCCGAAGCTTTGCCCGGCGCCCGCCCTCACCTTTGATCGCTTTCGTCATACCTTTACATCGCCTCTCGGGATCCCCCATCGGCTCGTTGGGTCCTGCGTTAACGCGGAAAAACTCAGTTGATATCCTTTCCTCTCTAAGATGCTATCCTAAGCCCGTCTAGAGGTGAGTGCTCGTGCATATGGAGCCAAAAGACGAATCTAACAACAGCATGTGAAAGGCCTGCGCAAGCCTCACCATCAACCCAACCTTTATCCTTGGTCGCCCTTACGGCCGGCGACTCCATAATACACACTCTTTATACTTCCGAACAGCATCCTCGCAATGGCTTCTCGTCGCTCGTCGCGCATCCTTAAGCCGATTCTTTACACCACCGCAGCTGGTCTCGTTGGCAGCGGAGTCCTCTACGCGACCTACAGACCAAGAGACATTCCTGGGTCGGAATCCGCGGCTGTACCTCCTCCTACCTACGGCGAAGGAGGCGTGTTTCGCCCTCCAAAGTTCCCATTCGCCAAATCGCGCGAAGACCAGATTGCGGACCTGAAGCGAAGTAGTGGGACAATCGCCGAGGGCGTAGGAAAGGCCAAGAATGCCATCGGACAATGGTTTGGCGGCGGGGCATCCACTAAGGAAGTCCCTGGGGACGAACCCTACGATCTACTGATAATTGGAGGGGGTGCTACAGGAGCTGGCATTGCGCTAGACGCTGTTACTCGAGGTCTCAAAGTTGCGCTCGTCGAGCGGGATGACTTCAGCAGCGGGACCAGTAGCAAGAGCACGAAACTCGTTCATGGAGGAGTCCGATATCTTGAGAAGGCATTCTGGAACCTTGACTACAATCAGTAAGTACCTCATCAAAAAATGGCAACTAATTCTAAATGATGCTCTCAGGTATGCGCTTGTCGTTGAAGCACTACGCGAACGCCGATACTTCCTCGACACAGCTCCACATCTATCCTCATGGCTACCAATAATGATACCGATTGACAAGTGGTGGAAGGCTCCTTACTTCTGGGCTGGAACCAAAATGTACGACTTTTTAGCAGGCTCGGAGAATATCGAAAGCTCGTATTTCTTGACCAAAAGTAAAGCGCTTGATGCGTTTCCAATGTTGAAAAAGACTGGGCTGTTCGGTGCTCTGGTGTACTATGGTATGATGCCAAATGTAACACACGCGGTTAAAGCTGATATACTCAGATGGTGCCCACAATGATTCGCGCATGAATGTGTCACTAGCCATGACTGCTGCTCTCTATGGTGCTACTGTCGTCAATCACCTGGAGGTTACGGCTCTAGAGAAGGACGCGTCCGGGAAGCTCAACGGTGCCCGTGCAAAGGACTGTATCACTGAATTGAACGGCAAGAAACCTCGGGAATTCACAATCAAGGCCAAGGGAATCATCAATGCTACCGGCCCATTCACCGATTCAATTCGCAAGTTGGACGACCCAAGTGTTGAAGAGATTGTAGCCCCAAGTTCTGGTGTTCATGTCATTCTCCCTGGTTACTACAGCCCTGCTAACATGGGACTGATTGATCCCTCCACTTCGGACGGCCGTGTGATCTTCTTCCTACCTTGGCAAGGCAATACCATCGCTGGTACGACTGACACACCCACGAGCATCTCAAAAAACCCTGTGGCCAGTGAAGATGAGATTGAATGGATCTTAAAGGAAATCCGAAGATACCTTCAACCTGAAATCAACGTCCGACGCGGTGACGTTCTCGCTGCGTGGTCTGGCATCCGCCCATTAGTACGAGACCCGAATGCCAGCAAAACTGAGGGTCTTGTCCGCAACCATCTAGTAACAACGTCGCCGTCTGGACTTATCACTTGCTCCGGTGGCAAATGGACGACGTACCGCCAGATGGCTGAGGATACAGTCGACGAAGCAATCAAGGAGTTCAGCCTCCAGACTAGCGCTTTGGCAAACCCTCCTCGTGTCAGTGGCACTGAGGTTGGAGACGAGGCGCCTTTGGACGGAACCTGCCAAACCCACCGTGTTCGCTTGATCGGCGCCCATGGCTTCTCGAAGACTTTGTTCATAAACCTCATCCAACACTACGGCGTTGAGAATGAAGTTGCTAAACACCTGACTGCTTCCTACGGAGACCGAGCTTGGACAGTCGTTGCGCTTGCTTCGCCTACAGAGCAGCGTTTCCCTGTCCGAGGAAAACGTATCTCTACCCTGTACCCATTCATAGACGGCGAAGTCCGGTACTGCGTCCGACATGAGTATGCTCAGACAGCAACCGATGTAATTGCACGACGAATGCGGCTGGCTTTCTTGAATGCCCAGGCGGCGCTAGAGGCACTACCAACTGTTATTGACTTGATGGCTGCAGAGCTCCATTGGGATAAGGCGCGGAAAGAAAGGGAGTGGAAAGAGACAGTCACGTTCCTCGGCAGTATGGGTCTACCAAAGGGCAAGTTGACGCTCTCGCGGAAAGATGTGGAGAGTGGAAGGGTTGGAAAGTATGAGGATGAGGAGTATCAGCTCTATGCTCGGCATGGTGGGTTCTCTCATTCGCTATTTCCTCTTGAACTGGCGTGAATATGTAACTGACGAACTGCTAGACAAGCCGGATGAGACACTCGAGTCCGACGCAAAGTACCAAGGTAACCCAGTGATGGGCACTGAGTCTGGCGCCAACAAATAGATAGTAGGACTTCTGAGGCTCTCTCATATGTCCTCTGTTCGTACGAAATAGCCATCGCCTTTTCTCCACCTACAATTTAATACTCTTTCATTCCTCACGATACGGTTTCTGGCCATTTTGCTTCATAGTAGCCCGTTCGCGCTATGTACATGACAATGTAGTCTGTACATACTGACCACGTCATGCACTGCAATGGACAATTGCGTAGCTACGCTTAAACCCCAATGTAGCTCACTGGATCACGCGGAGACGCGGCCCTTGGTTGACACGTCAAATATTCCTCATGAGACCAATCGCTCCTACTCACACACCTACCTCAGTCGCTTTGTCCACACAAAACCAGATACAAACATGCCCCAATGAAAGCCTTGCGCACTAACAAGTCACAAACCAAGCCATCTGCTCCCTCATTCCCCCCATACCAACCCCATCCCCCCTCTCATCCCCCCCCTCCCTCCCTCCCTACACACCATGGATCCTCCCACCGCCAACGCCCCCATTCCCCCCTGCGTCCTCCTCCTCAACGCCTTCCCCGGCACCGGCAAACTCACCATCGCCCGCGCCCGCGCCCGCGCCCTCTCCACCCTCCTCCACAACCACCTCCTCATCGACCCGGTCTCAGCCATCCACCCCCGACGAGATAAAGCCCACTACGTCCTCCGCCGCGCCTTCCGAAAGGCCGCCTTCGACGCGTCGAAAAGCGGACCAGAGGGGGGGGACTTGATTGTGTGGGGTTATGACCCGTCGGGCTGCCTCGGCGCGAGCGACGCTGACGTCGCCGTCCTCGCTGAACACGTCGACGTCGCGCGCGCGCGCGCGCGGAAGGTCCCGTTTATCCTCGTCAACTTGGTCTGCGAGATTGGAGGAGCATGTGGGGAGGTTGCAGAGTGCGGAGAGGAGGGGGAGGAGGGGGGGTCCAGCGGGGAAGGTTACCCGATGTGGGGGTGGTGAGGGAGATGGTGAGGGGGGATGAGCTGGTGCGGCTGGATGAGCATGCAGAATTGGGCGAGGGGGTGGAGAGTAGGGGGGTTGAGATGGATACGACGGGGCGGGAGGCGGGGGAGGTGGCGGGGAGGATTTTGGGGCTGTTGGGGGGAGGTTGGGAGGTGGAGGGATGGAAGAGGAGGGGAAGTTCTTGGGTGAGGTTGATTCGGGAGAGGGTGGCGATGGAAAGAGAGGAAGGAAATGAGTATCTACTTGCGCTCATCTTCTGCCCGGGTGTACATACAAACCCCTTCATACGTGGATGTTTGTCTCTTTTAGATCCCTCGAACTTTAGTAACGAAACCTTCCACTCATAACAGGCACAGGCTCATGAACTGAATTGATGAATGTATATTTAGTTTTTTGCTACTTACAGCCCCTTCCAGAACGTCTCGTTCTCATCTCGACCTCGCATCCAAGCAAGCAGTCCTCTACGCTCGCTTTTCGCCTCCCCACAACTACCTTCTTCCCCAGACGCAGCGCCCCTCCACACGCGCGCTGACACACTCGTACAGCAGAACAGAAAAGAGCTTCACGCCAGCTCTACACAACAAAGATCCCGTGCCGACAACAAAAGCAAGAAAAAGATGAAGCGATGGGTACATAACATGATGAGCCAAAGAAAACAGTCCGCAGAGTCGTCAAAAGCCCACCTAAACAGGGCTTCCAGAATGTGTTGCATGTAGCTGAGAAAGATATTACAAAAAGTTTGCCTTGGTATCCATGCTTTGTGTCAACACAGATCAACTGAAACTGAGCTTTGAAAACGAGCCTCCAGAATGAGCTTGGAGGCGTGAGATGCTAACAATGGAGGGGTACCGCAGCATTTGCTCTGCGAGTGAGAGAGAGGTGGTATAATTATATAGTGGTAACCGTCTCGGGTGTGGTGGTAGCTTAAACTGCGTTCCAGGAACACGGAGAGGTTAAGAGTCGTCAAAATGCGTGGACCACCAGTGAACGCCGCCGTGACTTGAAAGACTGGTTTGTATACGAGATGCAGAAACGCATGAAGCAAGACAAAGGCCAACTAGAAATTCTGGGCGATGCCAGAGTTGCCTTGTTGTGGGAAGACTGATGGATTCTCGATTCGTGTGTTTCGCCGTGCTGATACGTCGCGGATCACGGGTTGCTGTCCTCCCCCGTATGTGCCGTCCCCGTATGGCCCAGGCTGGTAGTATCCGGCTTCGTTATAGTAGTCCTGTGGGTTGTTCATAGGAATTGGCATCTCTCCAGAGTTGTCGGATCGATTGCCGGCCGAGTATGACGACGATGCATTTGAGGGCCCACGACGAATATCTGAGCGGTTCTGTCCCGCAACTGGAGCGGCTCCTAGAGCACCAATGGTTTCCGAGTCCATTGTGTCTCGGTTACCTGCCACAAGCGGGTCACCTGAGTGGCCTTCTGACACCTGTGTTGGCGAGTTTGGGCTGTGGTATCCGCCTGGGTTGCTGGTAGTATCCGAAATGCCTCCAATGCCACCCGACAGGGTCGTGGACGGCTTCCTGTTCGATGATGGGTTCGTTGTGTTTCCCCATCCTCGGTAACCACTATTGTCCTCTGTCATCACCGAGCCAGCACCTACGGCAGGGAGCGTGGGGTCGTTGTTAGGATTGAAGCCATATTCCTCGACTTCCTTCCTCCTGGCCTCCTCGGCGTCCTTCCGCTGCTTTCGCTTCTTCCAGAGGAAAATGCCCACCAGCACAAGAGCAGCGACCACAACAACTGGTATCACAACGGCAATGGCTGTCTTGCCTGCAGTGCTCAGTCCTGTTTTTGTTTCTTTGGTTTGTTGTGTTTGCAGTCCAGCCAAGCCAGTGGTTGTAGATGACGACTTCGCAGATGAGGTGGTGGCTGCTGCGGCTGATGTCTGCTCGGGTGTGGTCACAGATGTGATGAATACAACGACGGTGCTGGGGCTTTCACCGGCGACGGTTGGCATCACTGTGATTTGAGAGGTGATGACTTTTGTCGAAGGGGGTGCTGCAGCCGTTGTGACGACCGAGGTCGCGACAACAGCACTCGATGGAGCTGGCGTCGAGGAGGCAATCGGGGTCGAGGAGGCAATCGGGGTCGAGGAGGCAATCGGGGTCGAGGAGGGCTCTGGAGTTGCAGACGAGACAATCGCGGAGGAGAGGGAAACAGGCGCGGGCGAGGAGCTGGCCGCCAAAGAGGTTTGCACGACTGAAGATGTCAGGGCCGGAGCCGACGAAGAGAGGTGTGATGAAGAAAGCATGGCCGACGACAGCGAGCCAGCAGACGCGGAGGATGCGAAGGTTGCAGAGGAAACAGACATACTCGCAGAAGAATTCGACATGGCGCCGGTGGCCAAAGAAAGAGACTATAAAGAAACGGCGTGGGTTCGAGCCCTGGGAGCCGGTCGCGTTGGGCTTGGGGAGGGTGACCAAACAAAAGGTCCGGAATGTGCTACAATTGCATCCAGTGGGTCAAAGGACCAGTGGTCGAAGAAGAGAAGAGCGGCCCAATGGAATTGCGATGGGTTCGATGGCGATGCGGGATGCGGGATGCACGCAGCGCAGAACGCGGTGCAAGTGTGGGTGGTGAGGTGAGACGAGATTGGGAGAAGGAGGTCCCAGGTTCAGATGTGGCCGGGGCGGCGTGGGTGGCCCCGAGGCAGCTGGCGTTCCGGGCAACAAGGCCTCCGCGTAGGATGGTGCGGGCACTCTGGTCGGGTTCCAAGGTCGCAACTCGCGATGCTTGACGGGCGGTGTTTGCGGTTGAGGCTGGGGCGGCAGCGGCTGTATTTCTTCTCGAGCAGCCTTCACGGCGGCCTCAACCCTCCACCACGCAGCCAAGCCGCCAACGACTCTCTGGAGACCCTTCGCGGCTGTTCAAGACGCCCCAGCTGCCCGATGCGGGCGAGCGCTAACGCACAGCGGGCGAGAGCGGGCGTGGCTGTTCACGACGTGCAGCACCCAGCGGTCCAGCCCTATGCGCCCGCATCGCCCGCGTCCTGTGCTTTTGACGAGCCGCCCATTTCGTGATGCACGCAGCAAACAGCATCAGTCGACCGCAGCGCCGCGACGTCGCCACGGAACCAAGGAACCAGCGAGCCTGAGTCTCGGACGCCCGTCACCCGTGAAGCACCAGCCAGTCCCGACATCATCGTCCAGGATGGCATTGATGTGATAAAGCGACTGACGGCGGCTGTGGTTGGCCACTCCTGAAATAGACCCGCCGCCGTCGATGGCCCTCGGCGCTGCGACGTCGCATGCGCATCTCTGCTCCAACAGTTCGCTGATCTGAGTCCGGCCACACGGCGGCATGCCAACCCCTCCACCAGGAGCTTCTTCCGAAATTGCCATACCGCATGACGATTACAAGTGTTGGCCCTTCTCCATACATCAAGACGGCTATGCGTCTTCCGCTGGTGTTCTCATCTCCACCCCCTTCACCCAGCATGTATTGGCGGACGGAACTCCGCAGCTAGAGATGTCTCTACTTCTGAGTACGGCAAAGAGGGACCTTCAATGTCGGGACCATCACGCTACAGGACGCAACCTTATCGAGAGGCAACCGAGAAGCGACACTTTTGAGGTGGTGCGGCTTAGGCATCGCAAATAGCATCAATAATCACCCGTCATCTGATTCTCGAGCCCGTATTCCAGCCAGTCAAAGAAACTGGACCAGCCGCACTCACGCGATATTCAGCCTCCGATTTTTTCTCTTTGAGGATGTTGACAAGGATCCGCCCTGCTTTCTCTTTGTAGTAATTCTGTTCATTTCAATTTCTGCACTGAACTGTGCTGGCCGATGCGCACGTGATGATCACATACTTCTCAACTGCTATGATCTGGACTTCTATCCATCACAGTCTTGGCCCAAGAACTTCCTCCCTATCCCTTTTGCAGTCTCTATGTACCCAATCTAAATGGCCTTCCCTATGTCATCCCGCCTATGACAGAAGTCATCACCTCTACCATCTCTATTCACTGTCGTCACTCTTCTATCCACACACAGTAGGTCTTCTTCGAATTCATATCTTAGAGAATCACTGACAGCCCCAAGCTTTCCAACGTTATTCTTTAGCATTGTCTGATGGCCTAGGGGAGTGGGCCTCGTACATACATACGTCTAGTCCGCATACTTCGATACTGGTTCCTTAGTGTATCTTTGTTACGGGCTTATGCTTTGGTAGAATCTATACCCACATTGTCAGCATTATCCTATTTGCTTACGTGTATGTAGGAAGGGAAGTCCTCGTCACATGAGGCTTGTTAAGTCACGTTACTGATGCAGTGATGAATTATAGGACCTTCGACGGACGTCAGATCTTCCAGCAACAGAGCAACCTCGGGCTGTGGATCAAACATTGGAGTGAAGCTGGATTCATGATCAAAGAGAGAAGTTCGCTCTCGATCATGAAATCACCCGAAGTCGGATGTGCGATTCAACCTCTCTCGGAGCATCAGATATTCATGCTGGACACCGCCACCGCCGCTCCAAAGCCCTTCTCAAACACCTCTCTCGACTGCCAAACACCCTCGAACTGCTGAACCCGAGGATGTAATCACCGTACATCTATGGGAACCACCACCACCACCATCATCTCCATCTACTCTACTCTACTCTCCATCAGGTTCTCGTACTTGGTTGTTGATCCATCCAACCAGAACCACCACACACCTCCATGATGGTGTCACCCCAGACCGTCTGCTGCCCGGGAAACCACCAAATCCCATTTGGGCATCTCCTTTAATGGGTTTGAACGATTGACTACTCGAACAAGCATTCTTCCGACAGACACCGTTTTTGATCGCCCAGCTCCCCGCTTCCTCACCCACTACAAGGAAGCAAGAAACACGCCAGCGGCCGCACTTTTATACCCAAAATTTATCTTCCCGGACACGTGAGAGGAGGCTTGGGTTTGGTGCACATGACATCGAAGCATGCCGCACTCAGCCATGTTGGGAGGGAAAACGCTTTCCTTCCTTCCGACGCCGAACCCCAGCCCTCTTCCATGCACCCTAGCCTTTGGCATCACCCCCATTATATAATAAATACCCCTGTAGCTCCGGCTGCCGTCCAGACCAAAACCCTAACGCGACTGACTCTAAGCTGAGCTTGTGCTTGCACGCGCCCCGCAATGTATCATCATCACGTCTTGTCAATCGAGTGTTGGGAGCTTGAATACTCGGACTTTGTGCGGATGGCCCACGTGAGACCCAGGGTGCCTCTCTTTGATACAGCCCGCTCACTGAATGAATTAGTTATGTGTCATGTTCTGCGATCCTGACTGGGCGTGGAGTGTTGGAGTCGTGCTGGAGTTAGGCAGGGGTTGGCATTGAGAAGATGATGTGCGGGCATATTGGTAGGAAAGAGGTGACGTTGAATGGCAGTGAGCATGCGAATGTCGTTGTGGAGAGGATGCTGCGAGGGAAATATGGTAGGTAGAGTATGCGGCTTCTTCTTGTTGGTCAAGTAGTGGGTAGGTATAAGCAGTGGGTAGATCCAATTAATGGGGAGGTACAGGTACAGTTAGTGGGTAGGTATAGGAACATATCACTCTCAATCACCACAAAAGCAACTCTCAGTATATTTCAAAGCAGTCATAGGTTGTAGAATTGTTTAGGTACGTCACCACAACACACCGGCGACCAACCAACCCTAAGTATATACAATCGAAGAAGTGCAGCAACACACATATATCAAGGCCTTCCCACCTGCACCCGGCAGACGAATACGCTCCGACAAAAAAGATCACCAAAAAGGCTTTTTTGAATCCCCATCACTTGGTTTGATACACAGCAGAAACTCCATTGAGCTTTCTTTCCCCTCCGCTTGAGATGCAAAATCGTCAATAAAGTTCGTGCAAAGCGCCTGACCGGCCTGCGCTAGCGAGTGTGGGTTGTGATGCTGCGCAAATAACAGACGGGGAATCTAGGTCTCCCACCATTCGAAGACGTCGGAGTGGCCGCGGCCGTTCACGCTGGGGAAGGCCTCGTCGAAGAAGCCCTGTGCCAGGTCGAGGTTGCCGCCCGTGCACGGGAGGGCGTCGGTGCCCATGCACTTATCGCCGATGGTCGCGGGCCACGTCTTGCCGGTCACTTTGTTGAGGATGGTGATCTTCTGGCCGCACCACGGGTTGCCATTGGACATCGTGCCCTTGCTGTCCCAGGTGTCGTGGGCAATGGCAACGACGTGGTCGCTGTCGGCAATGGTGAAACCGCAGGCGCCGTAGCCGCCGGCTGGGTTGTAGTAGGTGATGTCGCCGGTGAACTTCTCGCCGCCGCCGTAGCTTGCTGCGGTCGCGCTGGGTGCAGCGGCGGCCGATGAAGAGGCCGGTGGGGTGTAGGCTGGGGTTGGCGCCACGTAGACGGAGCTGGATGCTGGCGGAGTATAGACGGAGCTGGGCGCCGGGGGAGGAGTGTAGACGGAGCTAGGTACTACGGGAGGCGTGTAGACGGAGCTAGAAGCGGGAGGGGTGTATGCAGGGGCCGGGGGAGGAGTGTAGACTGAGGAGGGAGCAACGTAGGCGCTGGAAGGGGTCTTCACAATGGGGGGAGTGTAGGCTGGCTCCGACGGGTGGGAGTGGTGCTGCTCGTAGAACAGGCCGCCAGCAGAAGAGCTGACTTCAGCGACAGCAGCAGCAGCGGGCGTCGGGTCGACCCAGATGGTCGTGGTGCTGTACTCGGTCTTGACCACCTCTTCGGTAACGACGACGAGTTCGCGCTTCTTGTGCAGGTGAGCGTGGTGGTTGTGCTTGTTGGTGGGCACAGCAGCGACGAGGGAGTTGAGGAAGAGCGCAGAGAGCGCGAGGGTGCTGGAAGTCTTCATGTTGGCTTTGGTATGTGGATTGGTATTGGTATAGGGTTTGGTGTAGGATGTCGGAGTTGTTGCTGAGAAGCAGTGGTGGTTCCTGGAGTGACTGGTACTTGAGGCTGGTGGTCAGAGAGCGACACGTGGAATTGACTGGCAATTCGACGGTTGGAATGTGTTGTTGCGGCGCAGACGTTGTCTTGGAGCGGTAGCGGGCGGCTGGCCGTGGGTATTGGAATGCTGGAATGGGAAAAAAGAGTGAATCGAGATGTAGACCTCGTAAATGAGTGAAGAAAAGAAGGGCAGATAAAACAAATGCTAGACGTCAAGCCTGTAAGGAGGGACTGGAGGAGACGGGGGCAGGGCACGACTTTTGTAGGCTGAGTGGGAGTTGGGGGTGGGCAAAGGGGAGTCGGGCGTGGTGGACTCAGCTGGCGAATCGGGGAGGCACAACGCACGGCCAAACAACGGGCACGCCACTGCCTGCCCTGGACTGCGTGCGCCGTCCCGGCGACTTCCTTGCTGGCGAGCTTGCGTGCTTTTGCTGGCGCCGACTGTGGCTCCGAACCTTCTGCAAAACTGCACCGGACCAGACGCGCAAAGCCTGGTTGACACGCGCTTCTGCTGCCGCCTCCCGGAGTCAACAAAGATGCGGTCTGCAGACGGGCTCTGCAGGTCCTCCTCTCCACTGCCCCTCTCCTCACGAATCCTGCGCACGGCGTCCAGCGCTGTGGCCTGTGGGCAAGACACGGCTGAGGGCCAACGTTTCACTCGGCCCCATCCGGCTAGCCGTCAGCGGTCGCTCAGCGCCAGGGGCCGGCTTCAGCGCAGTGCACCCGGGCGATTGGCTGCATCTTCAGGTACCCGCTCGGCAGGGGGAGCGGCCACTCACAAGCATTCCAAGCATAGAAACATCGACATCTGCACAGCCTCACTGCGAAGGGCCCGAGATGAGGAGTGACACGTGGATCCGGGGCCAGCAGAGGGACAAGTTCTCCATTCCTCGTCGCCCCGACCGTCTTTGCACTCACCTTCCGGAGTCATGGAGAGAGCGACACACTGCGCCTGGATGCGCCGTCAGTCGTCACCCCCGTGCAGTGTGCAGCGCCTGGCCAAACTGTCTGTTTCTACGAGTCGTGCCGGATGCAGATGCGATTGGTGCTGGGCCGCTCAAGGGATGAGACCTGGGGGCGGTGCGGCGAACCACGGCGTCAGCATGCATTCACTGCACACGTCGCCCACCGCCGGCCTTCTGCGCCGCTCACAGCTGCATGTCGCACGAATGTGTTGCTCTTCTGCAGCGTGCGCTTTTTTGGCACCGTGGCCAGGCGCGAAATGAATTGTGGGACGTAAGCACTCGTCACTGGCCATGTCTCTGTCACCATCTTCTGCCGTCGCCTCAGGCCTTGATTTAACGTTAACGTTATCGATACTGTTCCCCACACCCACCAGCCCGGGCCTATCATGGCTGAACGGTAGGCGTCTGCCGTTGAAGACTTTTCGCTGATGCATACATGCCCTGCAGCCTGAATCACAAAACACTTTGTACTGTACGTAAACGCCGGGTTGTCCTGTACGTAGTAGGGCCGCGAGATGTCTGCGTGCCCGGAATCGCTTCCTTTGGCCGTTGATTGGGCTTGAAGTTCGATGTCGTCAAGATTGAGAAGCCGCGGGAAACAGCAATCGAGATAGACTTGGGAAGATTCCCTGGTTGACCTTCGGGTAGTACCACTGGGTCCCGCGTTGTACCACTTCGGTGGTGAAGGTAAATCGTCCTACTAGAGGATGAGATCGTAGAGTCCAGCAGTGTGGTAAAACCAATAGGCACGAATCTGTGTCAACGCACAAGTTTGAGTCCACTAGGTCTAATGTTGATTTGGCTGACAACAAGTGCCGTCGTCTTCAGGTAACCAGTGGTTTACTCCCGAGGTCCGCTTGCTTCGCAGCCATATAGTTGAAGCTGCGTAGCCTCGAGGCTGCGTACAGCCATTGAGGTATATAACTCAATAAAAAATTGTTTCTCATACTTCAGCCCTATTCAATCGCGAACATCTAGATCAAACTCCTTCCCTGGTATCTTCTTCTCACTAACAGTCTGCTTCAACGACTTCTTCTCCACGTATTAATCATTCAAGCGTTCACCGTACTGCCTTCCCCTCTAGCCCATCCTTCGCGAAACTGGTCCTGACCCAATAGGTCACTATCCAGCAGCCGCTTACGCTTTGAATAAAACAGGACATACTCCCGACTGCTCCGAACGCTGAGAAACGAGGCTCGGAGTTCATCAACTACTCTTCCTCCATTACCCCCAAACGTTCCAGCAAAAATGGGCTTCGTATTTCTAGACCAACAACCGATTCTCTCCTCAGCCGTGATGTGGCCATTGCTTCTAATGCGACCAATGTTGGATTCATACCATGAGAACGACGTGCTCCTTTTCCCATATCCCAAGTAGCGTGTCGTGTCCGTGTTTCTCGACGTCTGCTCCAAGCCGCTTGATGTGTGGGCACGTGAACCCGTACAGTCGACAGTAGCCGGGTCTAGCAATTAAACAAACACCACCCTACGCAGGCAGCGGGTAAGTCTCCAAGCATCTCCACTCAGATCAAACTCGAGGAATCTATTTCGCCTCCCCACCTTCGCTCGTCCTCAGAACGTCAAAACTTCCCATGTGCCACTCATACACCACAACCTCTTAGAACGTAACATATCAATAATCATAATAGTCATCATTACACGAGCTATCGAACACTCCATACCCAATACCTTCCCCATCCTCCCAACCTTCCAAATTACCCTTTCTGACCAGAACCAAAGGGAAGCCAACGAGGGCTCTGATATCGCTTGAAAAAAAAAAGGATGGAATGATGCGAACCCCCAAGGAACGCCCCCCCCCCCCCGCGCCCCAGACGACTCAAAAACGTCCATGTGCAACCTTATTACCCAACCTGATCGGGGGAAAAACGCCTACGCCATGTGCTGTACCGTACTGTCGAGGCCAAGGAAAGTCGTGATGCTGAAAACGAACCGAGTCGCTTGAAGAGAAAAGCGCGCGCATACGCAAAAAATAAAAGAACTCGAACTCGCAAATTCGCTCAAGCCTCAATCGACCTCTCTCCCCCCGTCTGCCCCTGCCCCTCAATTTCCTGCCCCAACCGCTCCATCTCCTCGGACAACTGCTCATACCACACACTATGCGCGCGCCGATCCACGCCCGCCACTCGCCCCAATGTCTCGACAATCTCGCCTACCTGCCCGATAAACTCGGGCAGCCCCGTCGTCGCGAGGCCCTCCGTCGCCGTGCTGGCCGCCCGCACGCGCTCGCCGCTGCTCGACGCCGAGATGCGGCTGAAAATGTGTGTCTTGAGGCGCTGGAAGAGCACTTTCATGACGGGGTCGGTCAGCTTGCCGCTCTGCGCCTGCGTGAGCAGGCGGGCGATGGTGCTGGCGAGCTGCGCGCGGGTGGCGGGCGGCATGGCGTGCGAGGACTCGATCATGGACAGCATCTTGGCGGACAGAGCGGCGTCGGTGGCGTCGTAGCCGTCCTTCAGCGTGTCCCACATGCGCGCGGCCTCAGCTTTCCAGGGCGAGCGCACGTCGCGCTTGAGGAGGTTCTTGGCGGTGAGGAGGATGCCGCCGATGGCGGTGATGCGGACGGCGTCGGCGCGGATACGGAGCAGGCGGACGCGGTCGAGCGCGAGGGTTTCTGGGAGGTCCGAGTCGCGGAGGGGAGGCGTGGCGATGGCGAGGTCGACGAGGCCGCGCGCGTAGATCTTGTCGGTTGTGGGCCGGTTAGCTGGGTCGCGGCGGTCCGCTTCGGTGTGCAGGTTTACGGCGGCGTTGTGCCACCAGCGGCGGGTGTTCTGGAGAGTGGTTTTGCCCGAGTCGAGGTCTTGGGCGAAGGAGCGGGCTTCGTAGCCTGCAGACTCTTTGATCAGGGTTGGGGCTGCATTCATGAGGAGGAAGTTGGAGTAGTCGAGGGATAGGAGGTCGATGACGTGGAGAAGCTTGAAGATCTTCTCGATCATGTCTGGAAGCGGACCCTCTTCCACGAGCTCGTCTGCCAATGCTTTGACCTCTGCGTCTCGGACTGGTGCGCAGAGCTTGGGAAGGATTGACGCAGTAAAAGAGAAGAACTTCTCGTACGAGAAGAGCCCCTGATTCAGCTGAGTGCTGATGTGTTCCTGGTCGAGGGCTTCTGATATAAGCGTATGCATCGAGTTTCCAGGCTTCAACAGACGAAGGAGCTTCTCTCGAATGTTTTCGGCCATAGCCATAGTCCAGAGATTGCCTTCGCCATTCTCGAATCCCTTCAACATAGAGTCGCAAAGATCCCTATGCATAGCCTCGCGGAGCTCAGCTTGGGGAGATGGGTCAAGGCGGAAATCTTTGTCGATGGCGAGCTCATGTACCAAGATTCGGTTGTGAGGCATAACAGAGAACATCTTTGTGATTTCTCTGGCTTGGAAGCCGTCTGTGGTGGCAGTTCTCTGAGACTCTGCCAATTGCGACGCCGCTTCAGCCTCTAGTCCTGTGACTTCAGCAGAGGTCACTGAACCCGTTGGGGAAGACGATTCCATAGCCAATCGAGGGCGAACATCACCAGCTGGTCTCCTTCGAGGTCTGGCCCTCCTGCTCTCGCGGATGGCCTTCCTGATAAGAAGACTCGCTCTTTCGGGACCAACTAGTTTCCTAATCTTGCTGAGTAAAATGACTTGGTTGTCCCGAATGCCCATTCTGTATTCATTCGCGACCTCGTCCACGGTCTCGTCTTTGACGCTTTGCCAAATAGCGTCCAAATTCACAAAAGTAGCCACCATAGTCTCGATGATGGCTGATGAATCGCGAGCTTTCCAGTCGTTGAAAGCCGTGATGAAGGCACCATGTGCAAGTATTACGGTTTCAAGTCGGATAGGCGCCGGGGTGTAGTTATTGTATGCCGTAAGCCTGGGCAAAGCGGATTCGAATGAAATAACCAAATCCTTGGCCTTCCTGATCAAGTCTTGCTCTTGGTCGCCATCTTTGCTGAAAACGTGCTCCGGATGTCCGAGAATAAGATATGCACTGAGAAATGTACGAACGGCCGTCCCATTCGCAGCCACGTCGCCTTCAGTCAATAAACCGAAGATAGACATGATCTTAGATGTTGCACTCAGCAGCTTCTCCTCGGCCAGGATCGAGGTGATATCTTCAAAAGTCGCATCGTGGACTTTATCGATACAGAGACCAAGTTCCACAAAGGCCCCGACGACGTTCCTCCTCCATCGGGACCTCCAAAGGGCTTGGATCTTCTTGGCTGCATCTTCGGGGGTGAGAGTATGACCCGGAATAGCCTTCTTGCTCTCATTCGTAGGAGAAAGGCTGGCGGTTCGGGGTCTTCGAGTGCTCTTCTTATATTCTGCTCGCCGTCGTTCCGCGTCGGCCAGTTTCTCTTCCATTTCTAGTCTATACCTCCGTTCTTCAGCGGCTTTCCTCTCTTTCATGTCCTCGGCCACTTTCTTGGCCCGTTTGACTTCCTCGGCGCATGCCGCTGCTACTTGTGCTAGGTGTTTCTCCCGAGCTTGCTGTGCAGCTAGAGCTCTCTCCTCGCTATTCGAGCCCCGAGGGGTCGCTTTGGCAAGCGCAGCGCGTAATCGAACCTGCTCGGCATGGGCAGCCCTATCAGCTAGGCGAGCCTTGCGGGTTTCGAGTATAGAGGCGCGGCGAAGATGCTGTGCGACATGATTACTCTGGCACACGTTTCGGAAGGAGCGGTTCGATTGGTGGGAATGGGTGGAGGAGATCGAGTTGCGCCTCGAGGAGGGGGCCGACGACTTGCGACGGCTATTTGAGGAGCGGTAGAAGCGCGCAGCTATGCGGGGCGGCGGTGCGTAGATCTGGCCGTTCTCAGTGTCGGAGAGCATTATGTCGGATTCCTCTGGGATGTCGTCGTTTGTTTGCGTAATGACCATCTCGGCCTCGGAGTCTGAGAGTGGCGCGTCCATGGTGTTATTTGTGTAGCGACGGTCGATGAAGGGAGTCCAGGGACAATAGAAGTCCGGTACTCGAGCAGGCCAGTGCCGGAAGGGAGGTAGTGGCGGGTGCAGGTTGATATATGAGTCGCGTGCGACAAAGCGGGCGGCAGCTGTCAGCTGGCTGAAAGCGGTGATGGGTGGTGGGAATATGGGGTCTGAAAGAGAGACAGTCGAATATATGGTACGTGAGAAGAGAAGTGCAAGTGACAAGTGTCGAAGAGTGAAGAAGTCGAGGCCCTCGGTGGGGGGATCCGGTCTGAAGTCAACTTGACAGACGGGTGGCTGGGAAGATCGATGACATGCGGCAGCCTTCTGATGTCGTAAGCGAGTCAGAGCCCGCGCTAGAAGCTGATGGACGACCGGCAGGTCCTGCTCGACGACCCTGGAAATACGAACCTAATCCTTCTGAAACATGCCGTTGCAAAAGAAATGTAACGGGTGCTATCGAAGTTCGCTGTCGCCGTCGCCTCACAGGGCCGTGGAGACCCCGAGCGTCTGCACCTTCGCCTGTGACGAGTCAACGACAACACCTGCCAGTCCAGGGCTCAGTCCGTCAGGGCTCGAGGTCACTTCAACCATGGAACGGTTATCAAGACGCCACACGATGAATGTATCACGCATTCAGAATGAGCTCGTGATACACCGTCTTCACTATCAACATTCCTCATTGTGAGTAGACCTGGAGAGAAATATCCAGTAGAAAATTCGAAACAATGAGGATTCATACACGAAACATGAATGCGTTCGTCTGTTTGAGATCCTTGAAACAAATCCTGAATTAGGTCCCAAGTAAGCCGATCTTTGTAGGCAGAAAGCAGTGTCACTCTCCACCTCCCAGTCTTTTCACCAAAGTCAACTATACGGGTTTCCTCCATGCAACCTCCCAAATGCCTCAAGCATCAACCCATTTCTTCGCCGTTTTCATCATCCAAGTGCATGTCCCTACCTATCCACAGCTCCCAAGCCCTCAATAAACCCTCCCTACCCCTCTCTCCCCTGCGCTCTCCCCCAAAAGTATCCAACACCACCTCACCCTCATGCATCCTCTTCCTGTTAAGTCTGTTCTCGAGTGACCGATAGCACATGCCCGAGCCTGTAGTCACTCGTCAGGCGTTTCACGTTGAGTAGGCCAGAAAACTCTCCAATTAGCGATGCGGTGAGTGGCCAGGACGCCGGAACCTTTCCCGGGAGTTTGGGAGGGCGCGGGTGGGGAGGCCATGGGGAAGACGTACGCCGCATTGGTGGAGGTGGTATTACGGCTGCGGTTAGAGGGATGGTGAGGGATAGATGCGGCAGTCCGAATTGGTTTGGGTCTCGTCCTAGGTTCCGATCCGTGACTTGAGGATGTTAGAGATGCTGAGTTGGGAGGTGGAAGAAAGCCGCCATGGGGTCTGTGGGCAGGCGCAGCAGGGTATGGGCATGACCTCGAGTCTGCTTGTATGCCCCGATTGAGAGAGAGAGAGAGAGGCTTTTGGGTTGTGCGGCACGGTCTGCTGAACAGATGTGGAGGACTTCGCGTTGTTCGAATTTGGACATGCTCGGTTGGGTAGGACGTATGAATCAGAGCTCTGGAAGTGTGGGTGCACGGCATGGGAAACTCGGTCTGAACCAGGCTAGAAACGACCGATCTCTCCAGATCGCCGGGTTGGGGGAAGAGTGCCACAAGCGCATCGCAGTTAGCAGATTAGCGGATGATAGTGGATGATACGTTGTAGGAATGATGTTCCCAATATCAGACAAAAGTAAGTCGTCTGTTGAAGTTGCAGGGAACGAAAACCGCAAGCCATCCAAAGCTCAAGTGGACTTGAAACCACCCGACCTCCGAGTATCAAGGTCTCTCGATGACTTGCGTGACGGCCACAGCAGTACAATCCTCAATCACTCACGCAAAGCCAAAAATAGCATCAGGTGATAATTATATCGTCAATACACCTATACTCTCACACAATAGCGGCAGGCAACACAGCATCGGGATCGCTCCCCGCTGTGGGCCCAACGATCTCAAACCCCTTCCCTAGTCCAGGTCTCTAGACGTACTATAATTATACATTGATCGCAAACACTTTTGGGGACCCCTATTCCAAACACACGCACCTCGATCCCCTGGCTGCGCTTGCCCCAGTCAACCTTTGCCCTTCCGCACTAAGATGCAGAAGGGGCGGTTCCGTTGGGTATAGCCGCCGAAAATGCCGCTCCGTCACAAAAGAAAGGTTTACACACGGGGTTTGGCTGAAGAGCCCGCTGATGACCGCTGACGCTATGCTCGCTGTCATAATCTGCTTGATATGCTAACTCGCTCGCTCGCTTTTGGTCGCAAGAGTTACATCTCGAACTGTTACTGCTGGGATGCTGAATGATCCTCCAGGTATTACACAAAGGAGATTCGTCCACGTATAAGGAGTGGCGTGACTTTCGTAGAGCACGGGTGCGATCCGGACCAAAAATGGCGCAACCCGGTGTTCTCGAGGTCTATTCGTAAATATGTCTACAAAGCCGAGATATAGGTATCATAGAGAAGAGACGTGCAGGTCATCGACCGGAACGCACGCCCACGGAGGATCGGTTGAGAAAAGAGCCGGGAAATCTGATGTCGTTGAGGAACTTCAAGAAGGCGCGTTTCCGTGAGGGTCGCCGCTGGATCTGGGACGCAATCTGGACCATTGGTCCGACAATGTCTTCGTCGCCCAACTTCGGGAACTTGCCTTCGCTTTTGGGGTCGTGTAATGAAGGGATCTTGGTCAGAGGAGCTGGCTCGAGGGGTGATGAGGATGGCGGCTCTTGCCCAATCTCTGCGGCTCTTGCAATCGCGACATCGTTATTCCTCTTCCACGATGCGTCAATCTCGGCCCATTTCTTCTCGGTGAGCATGTACGTTTTTGACGTTGCGCCAAAGTACTCCCCGGTCCGGACTTGGTGCTTAGTGAAGTTGCGCCGCGCTTGCTCCCAGTCAGCAAACAGCTGCCTGCAAGAAGCAGTATCACAAAATTCCGGGATGTAGGGTTCCGGGTAGATGGTAAAGTTTGCGTGTCCAAGCTTCATAGACCATTCATCGTTGGGATCGGCAATCATGATTGGGGGTATCTCTGACGACGGCACGAGGTGGCCTGGGCGTGTCGTCTGGAATGAAGACACAGACGGTTTTGAAGATAGAGGCGGGGTTGCAAATCCGGGAATTTGAGGGGTGCCAGCTGGAGTGTTGTTGAACGAAAAGGTAGCATCGGCCACCGTAGGGGACTGAAGCGGGGACTGGGTAGGCAGATCGTCGTTGCGGAGCTTGACCATCATCGGTGGTAATAGAGGAGTAGAAGCCAGGCGTTCGCGGTGTAGTGGTTCTTCCTCCTCTTGCTCTTCCACGTCATGCGTCCTTGCACTGGGAATTTCGATCGGTGAAGAAACAGAGCGCTGGTCCGGGTAGTCGGCATTGCTCCTGGCAGGGGCAGAGAGAGCCTTGTCGACATGCTCAAGACCGTGATGAATGGAATCGGTCATAGACGACGAGCGTGACATAGAGGGCGCGCGAGCTGGTGTCGACGACCTGCTGGCGATGCCTAGGCCTGACACACCTTTCCGGTCGCGTAGCCTTCGTGATAGAGAAGGAAAGCGGTTCACTAGCTTGTTGGTAATGGCATCGACGGGCGAGTCCCCTGATCGCCGTCGCTTTGCGGCATGCTGCGAGATATACTCGAAGTCATCGCCGAATGACTCGTCCGCTAAGTCGTATCCTCGATCAGACGGGGACTGGTGATTCGACGGCCTGCTATGAGCACATACTTCAACATCGCCTGAGATCACGTTAGATAGTGCGCAAACGCGTGGGCCAAACGCTCGTTGGGAGACATACATAAGCATGGTGAGAGTTCGCCGACGTCGACGAGCATGTAGTCATCCTCGGGCTCAATTGGCTCCTCGGCAAGCTTGGGCAGCTTGCCGGAACCGTTAGGGCCCTCGATATGCTCATGGGTAGGCGGACTCGAGGATAGCGACGACGTGGAGCTGGGATATCTGAGGTGGCCGCGCGAGAAGGTCGGAGTCAGCGGCGACGAGCCGTCGGAAACTGAGTAGAAGCCGGAGTCGGTGCAGGAATAGACTGAAGCAGAAGGGTCTGAAGGCACGTCGGTCGTAATCCGCGGCGGCTTCCTGGCCGCAGCGAGGTTGGGGAGAAGTGAAGAGCGCATGGCGCGTGGTGTTATTGACTCTCGACGGCTACCGGGGTCCCATCACCACTTTAAGGCATCGAGCAGCAAGGGCGCGTTCGAAGAGTGCTGGAGTGGTCGCTGTATACTGTTCCTGACTGGGACGGGTGGCGGGGCGCTCAGGTTTGGAAGCGTGCCACGATGACCAGACGTCCACGTAGGTACTGGGTATTTTGCTGTCGCGAGTGTCTGGACGCAAAGTCAGCGCCTGTCGGCCACACGTCCGCTTTGAGCACCCCCAGCACGTGAGACAGAAGATCAGGTGGCCAGTCAAGCCGTCGCACTCACCCTGTGCTATGTGCGTCGCGCAGCATTCGGGTCTCCAGAGAGACAGAGGGCAGTCTGAGGCAGGCGGCGGCGCAGAAGGAGCGTGAGGTGCAGACAGCAGGTCAGGCGTCAGGCAAGCCGGCGGAAAAGGTTGGGGAACTTCGGCCGGGTGAGGGCGCGCATTTGTGGTCGCTGAGGGCTCGGCGAGGGCGCTCCTCTTTGACATCGGTGGCAGCATGGGATGCCAGGGCAGACGGCAGAATCCTAAGCTTGGGACCAGGGTGGGAGCTCGCCGCCAGGGACGGGCCATCTCCCTCTCCCAGCACAGCGTGCCACCCCAGCGGCAGCGCTGCTGCTGACACTTCCTGTCGTCTCGGCCCCGGCACGCCGGCAGCAGGCGTTGGCATCGGTCCTGCGCAGAACAACATGGGCGCTCTCCGAACCGCAGAATCGCAGACCAGGGTGCCAGGCTGTCGACTGCCAGACCCGCAAGCAGCGCCACAGGTCTCGCTTTCGCGTACCGAAAAGGAGGCGGAAAGAAGCGGACCAAACGGCAAAACTTTCTAGCGCTGACGCCCGCCATTCGTCCTCTTTGGCGAGGAGCCGAAGGTCTCTGAGCTCTGCGTAGGTACCTTGTAGCGAGCACGCCCAGTCGCGGGTTTTGTTCGTAATTGTGGGCGTTGCGCGCTGCGGGTTTTCCCATACAGCTCGCAGGTCGGAGTCCAGCGCGGGCTGACTCGACGTCTTCATGCTGTGCCTCTCGTGCGCTCGCCCAGCCGAGGTGACAACTCCAGAAGCAAGACAGGTCCAGCCGACACCTCCAGCCATGTCGAGGCGGTGCGCGCCGGTGATGCGCCACGAGGGACCTTCCGCGCCTCTGCCGAGCCCGTTTGGGCCATGGTGCCGCGATGAAGTTGGGTGTGGCATCCGCTCCCACTCTGCCGGGCCCAGCGGCCAAAAGCAATCGCCAGAGGACCAGCGGCCACGACCACACCGACACCCGTCCAACGACGTTGCTGCTGGCCCGAACGGGGAGGTGTTGGAGCCGTCCAGTTGGCCTGTTTCTCAATGTCGCTGGCCTTGCTTGCTCCTCCGAGGCGCGATGACACGCGGGCGCAGAGCTTGCTGGGCGGCGAATCGGGGAACAGCAGGACTACAGCCGTCGACAGGTCAGTGATTGGCGCTGCAGCCGTGCTCCCACAGCCCTGTTCCTGGTCGCACGCTTGATCCCATCCGGAGTCGCGTCGCTTTCCAGCTGCCCATCGCCAGGCACCGGGAGCCACGCGTGCGATGCGCTGCGAGCATCTCCCGCCAGCACACCGCGCCCAGTCCTAGGCATCGCCCTGCGCGGGGCTGCAGCATAACCAAGATTTCGCCGTGGGGGGCCGGTTTTGCTTCGCGAGACCCTTCTCAGGTTCGGGTAGGTCGCAGGGTCAGGACGCTCCCGCTCGCCAACGCGTGCTATGTGTAATCGCTACAAAGGTACCGAGATTCAGCAGCGCCGGCCTGCCTCCGTAGGCATGGCTCCCCGACTGGTCTGGGAAAAACCACATCCTCCAGGTGATGACGACAAAGCAGAAGAGCCCAGAGTGTGTGCTCGGCAGCCGCTAGCAGGAACGTGCGGTGCCTTGTCCGGGACGGCACATGCATCCAACGGTCTTGCGCCGACCCGCGGGCAAACCAGCACTACCGGGAAAAGGTTTGCTGGTGCTGGCCTGCTCAAGACTCACTCTCCCAGCGCAAAGCGTCTAGCAGACGGCGACGCAGCTGTCCAGTCGGTGAGGACTGCCAAATAGCGATTGTGATGCGTATGCGTCAAGCCTCCAATTGTGCGGGACATTGCGTCTGCAGCTGTCCAGCACAACGTGGTTCCTGCTGATTTAGCCCACCGCTGTGCGCTTGACAGATCCGTGTCTAGCGCGTCCGTTGCCCTATGGCCTTGCAGGTTAGTTGGGCCGTTTGATGCACTGCGATCTGCACTGCTGCAGCCTAGGCAGCCTGAGGTGTTGTTTCCGCGACCCGGCCAGCCGTCGGCCGCGACGCGAAGGTACAGTACAACGGTGAGAGGAAAACGTGGTCGCGAAAGTGTGGAGAGTCCGTAGAAGCATTGTAGCCGGTCCTATTGTGATCGCTGTATGGCAGTATTGAATGTTTTCCCCACGGGGATCGAAAAATAATCGAATGAAAACTCTAGCCGCGGAGTGACATTGCAATCAGTGACATCGCGGTTCCCCACGGAAAAGTATATTCTGCACAAGTCCAGGGCATGTAATCGCTCTTGCTAGACACTACTTATCTCCGTATGATGGCGTCAAACCTTGTCAAAGCCAATATTTGCTCCAGATTGCCTGCTCTTGCTCACTGCCTTCAAACTGTATGTAGATAAGCATCTGCCGAAGGCACAAACATGCATGAGAGCGCAATGCAGACGGGCGTACCTTGAAGTCTACTCTCAAGATGTCTTGGAAGCCTTCCTCGAGCCTGGGTTCCTTGTACCTGGATGTAAAACTAGTGAAAGCAACTTTAGGAAGAATGGTCCGCTTTTCTGGGTTTGTCTAGAACATTGATTAGCATGGGTGGTCAGAAATGTTATTCAAGCCAGTCTATCTTTCCCCAAACGGGTAGTCTGTCAAGGATGCCCATAACGTTGAAAAATTTTGAGCTTACAACGGGCCCGATGTTCAACGCTCGCACTGTGTCATTGTGCTCGCAAAGTTTCGCCGATGCAGTGAACAGGACGCAGCGGATCGGCACCCCGAACTGCTTTGCTAGTTTAATCCAATGTGATCGGGTTTCTGGATCTGCATTGGTGTTGTCTGTCAACAGAAGCTACTGTTAGCTGTACTCGTCATAAGCGGGACAAGGAATCATTGTCACATACCCACAACAACCGAGATCCCTTTCTCGAGGGAGGCGGAAGCCGACTTCAGACATTTCTCGCGCTGTTTCAAGATGTTACTCCTCAGGCGGGGAAAGGTGGCACGACCACGTGCTACGAAGACAGGTTCTACAACACATACTGATTTTAGAAGGTCTTGGTTTACACGTTCGTATCCAAGGGGTTGAAGCTGTCGCCAATAGAAGGATGATTTGCCTGCTCCGGGGCTACCGCAAAAAAGTATGACTTCCAGTTCACTGCGTTTCAAGAATGGAACTAGTATTGTTAGCAACGCAATGCAATGCCTTATCTAGGTTCTCGCGACGGAACAATGGCCGCTGTGAATCCCAGTACATACCTGCATCAACTGACCTCTGAGATAGAGCTCCGATAAAGCTTGCAGGGTCGAAGTCTCGTTCGAAGGGTTGAGAGTCTTCCTTCAAGAAATACTCCTCCGGAGTCAAGAAGGTGATACCAACATTTGCAGCGAAGTCCCTTTCAGAGATTAGCTCAAAGAGCCCCGGCTGGCATCCAAGTCTTACCTGTCACTACAAGAATGATCCTTCGATGCTCCTGGAGTACCGTTGCCCTTGCGGCCTCCCGCGTCGCCGACGAAAAAGGAGTTCTCTAGGTCCACCGAGTCTCCAGATTCAAGGTCGCAGTCTTCGAGGAGCTCCTGCCACATCCCGATCCTGGGCTTCCGGTAATGGTCTCGTGTGGTAGCAGCATATACGCTAAGCGGAAGGTCAAGTTGATTGAACACGGCAGACACCTTGCCTTTGAAATCCGCTAGTCGTTTCTGGTCACTCTTGATGGTCTTTGGATTGGGTTTGAGATTGATCCCTCCCTGGTTGCTCACGACTGCGACTAGATATCTGCGCAGAGGACTTTAGCGAACGGATGGTGACTAGGTTTGGATGTAGAACAATACTGAAACGCACCCCTCATCGTGAAGACTCTTCATAGTTCCTGGGACGCTGCCGTGCCACCATTTCCAGTCTTTTGCATCACGTCCAAATCTATTCCCGGAAGCAGATGTAATCAAACTAGAATCCTGCAGGTACGCTGTCGGTCAGGTTGATGAAACAAGTGAGTATACGAGTAGCCGAGGACTAGTGCGAACGTACGAAGTCAAAAGCTGCAATTTTGCGACGTTTGGCACCCGATTGGACAGCGTGGGCTGCTGCAGATGTCTGGTAACGGCCGATGAGGAGGCTGTCGTTGACAACTCGCCACGACATCTTTTCGGGCTCTTTCTTTGAGACTGGGGTGAAAAAGTTGGCAACAGCCTTGTCTAGGCTTTGTCAGTCCTCGGGAGCTTATTCTATGCGATAGTCCTTGCGCGCCGTTGCCCAAGAAGCAGGCGTGCACCTCAGCTTACTCGTTGTGGTTGATTGCTGCCGCTTCTTCAGCGGTGGCGGGGAGATATCGTGGTCGTCAGTGCTAGCCCTCTTCACAGGCACAGGCCGATCGAGCCCCATATTAAGGTATTGTTACTCCTTGTCTTCATTCGGAGATGGGTGTTGTTGTCCGGTTGGCAGTACTGGAGACGAAAGAATGTAAGAGGAAGGCGAAGAAGTCCCGACGCGAGGCACGTGGGCACGTGCCCTGATAAATCATCTCAAGAGACCTGGAGCATTCACATCTAAACTTCGCGTAAAGGTCCTAATGAAGGGAAACGGCTGTGTGACCGTACAGCGGTGTTCACCGACTTTTCACTTCTCATAGCGACACTACAGGCAGATTCTGAATCACGACCGAAGTCAACAACAAAATGCTAGCAAGCAAGACCATGTTCCAAACATCTTTCTGGTCGAAATTCCTTGCACTTTGTAATAGAGGGAATTCGCGACATGGGCCAGCCACCCCAGCTAAGACTCGCTATCCTGTTGAATCAACGCCCTTAAGTTCCATGATTGACTTATAAGTCTCCATTTACATATTCTTATTTTCCACACACATAGTAGCGTAACCAGCCTCAAGAAATTGCTCGCCTTGCATAATCGTGGAAGAGCCAAATCAACAGGCCTCCCGACCTCCATGGCATACTTCACCTCTTCACTCCCGCAATGAACTTCTTCTCTGCAGTCTCTATATTGAGCTCAGGCATCAGGGCGAGGTTCAGTTCCGTAACACTCAAATTTCCCACAGCAATCAGCTTCATGGTATGTATTGAATACATACTCGTTATGTTATCACTTGATGGATGTTACATGGTGAAGGGGAAGATAAATTGAGGTCGGGCGGACCGGAAGATCCTCCGCAGCCAGAAACAAGCCGCCCCATTTTTATCTCTTCTCACCTACACCACGATTCTCCAACCACCATTCTTGGTAAGATACGCCTCAATTGGACTAACTCGAACTATGGCTCGCCGAGCCATCTTCTGCCACCCTTCCCAGATGTCTAAACTCATGTTTCTACTCTTCCATTTACTCAGTGGATTAGTTGCTCATGAAGGCTGTGTAGGCACGCTCATCCATGGAGACAGGCTTCGAATGATGTATTACGAGGCTATAGGCATTGGCGCTTGTGGCCAAGACCCCCAGGCTCGCATCTCTTGGAAGGCAACAGCATTTTCTATCGAACCGCTCCCTTTTCTTCTATCTCTACATCTTAACGTCATATTGTCAGATTTCCATTTCGTGAGGCATCCACCCATCACTCGATGTACAAGTACTCTCCTATGCACGGAACGGAGAAGACCTGGATCGTGCGGATGCTTCCCTTCCCGAGCGAAATTTCTCGACAGAGATTGCAGACTCATCGAAGCCTCACTGGATAGCCTACCATCGTACGGGCAATCTCATACACTTGGGATGGACAAGCAGTTACTAGGGAGATCAAACACCATGGCTAGAAGTCCATGATGATTTAAAATGCCAATACCGTACTCCGCCGTTTTCTCCACGAGAGCGAGGCGATGCTCTTATGGATCGATACCATCTACATCAGCGAGACTCCACAGAAGACCGCAATCACCAAGTTGCACTAATCGGAGAGATGTATCAAAACGCTAATTCGGTCCTTAATTGGCTTGGAAACCAATATCCTGACGCTAGCCGCGAATTCGCATTGGTAGAACGGTTCGTCAAACGTCTAGAGCATATTGACGTTGAAGAAGACACCGAGCCTGAAGACCATCTTCACCAAAAGTTGGAGGACTTAACCCAACGTCAGGCATTCTCATGAAAAGTGCCGCTATAGATACTCACTAAGGTCGAAGAATATCCAACAAGATCCATATTCAAATTCTCGTGGTTCCAATGCTTGTGAACCGTGCAGGAGTTGGTCCTTTCCGAAGACGCCACCATTGTCTCAGGCCATGTCGAAGATCAATGGATTCCATTAGCAAACGTTCGTAAGGCTGTGCACTAGCTGGCTGAACATAGGAAAAATGACGGAACTTGGAACCCGGTCTTCACCATGGTGTTGTATCCATACGAATTTCTCTGGCGCTACTTCTTCCTTTCACGACATACAGAAAAGGACTACGTAAACCATATACTCACTATAATGACGACCATTCACAGCTAGAGTCACGAGCAAGCGTCTAAATTGAGAGATAAGGCATTGGCTATGTATGGTATGTTGAAGGTCCTAAGCTTCGGCGTCCCGGATCCCGACTTTCTTTGTCGCTCAACGAGGTTTACACGCAGCTATCGCGAGCGATTCTGGTATACACGAGAAGTCCATGTAGCTTGTAATTCGCTCTTGTTACTGATGATCGCATGTTGAAAGTACGACTTGAAAGTAAGGATATACCATCCCAGGCCTTCCCCAGAAATAGACGAAAACCCCTGGAGTAAGTAGCCTCTCGACCGATCGATCAATCGTGTCATCTACCCACGAAACAGCTGATACCGACAAAGAAAGTCCTCAATATGGAAAGGGGATCAGCTTCTGATAGCTCATCTAGTCTAGAGAAGGAAATCATGTTTAAGGAGATGTCCAAATTCCATCGGTGAATGCACAACAAGTTGGCAAAATAACAATAAGAAGGCAAAAAGAAGAATACCACGCTCCCTTGCGACTCGATCACCCGCGACCTACGTGTAGTCGGTGATTACAGCCAGCTGCGGTTACACTACGGTCAGAAGCATTACAGTTCGAGCCACTCGGCCACATGATACTCCTCTCAAATCTGATGCCTGGAAGACGGACGAACGAGTATTTAATCCATCATATCCACCACTTAAGCACTTTACAGTCTCTACGTCTGCTTAATACTCGATTCCTCAGGGGCATAAAAAGTCAACCCTCTCATTTCACCCACTCCTTTTGCATCAGCTATATGATCAACCTAAATTATCGCCGCACATCTACACTTATCTCGACCACGATATTCCTTATACTGGAACTCTCATTTCTCGTACAGGGAAAAGATTTTGGGCAATCATCCATAGACTGAATTAGTTACGTAACTGCATTACTTCCCGAACAGATTAAAGCTCTTGCAGATTTGCCGCATTCACCGTATAAACAAGCGATGTCATCGCCCCCGCTGCTAACGTTGATGAGCCGATGGTACTTCGCCACCGCGGGTCGAACTACGCGTATATCGGCAATGTGTTCCTCCCTAGAGTTATGGAACAGGAGGCAGGATTTATCTTTTCTGCACGACATCACGTTGGGAAAGACAATTTTCAGAAATGGATCATTTGTTCAATATATCAGTGATGTTGCATCCCCGGGGATCGTTTCTCCGATACCTAGGCCCCTACATCCAGGTTACGGAGAATGCATATCCTATCTCTCGGTTTTCTAACCGGGATTTTCAACCTTTAACGCCTCCCGATAGCTACAATGCGAAACGATAAGCGTCTGTTCGTGGCTACGCCAATCATGCCGTCAAAGTCCGCATCGAGGTCGTCAATAAGGAATTGCACCCTTTCTCCGGCGTCACCTTTACATCAGAGGGAGTGATATTATTGACTTCTAAGCCCTTACTGTAGTGCCTCAATAGAAATTTGTCTGCTGTTGCTACTAGGACTTCGATACATATCAGATCCTCTGCCCGAGACGGAGGTCGGCCATGTTGAACCACTGGTAAACTCATTAGGTCACCTCAAAAGGCAGTGGCTAGAACTGACACCACAGCATTTTCCATAGTCTTCAAGTATTCATTGCCTCTAGAATTACCGTTGTTTAACCCGGGGTATCATACCAGAACTCCGACGCCTCCCAGGATATCAGTTCTCAACCTACGCAGCTGCGGCAGGTGGTTGCAAGTTCGCAAAAGGCCTCGCTTGGTACTTGACTCGGGTGTCCAGAACCAGACGATCAGGGGCGTCCAACTCTACACAGCCCTTCATAAGGTTCTTGAAGGCCTTTAGTTCCTCCACACCGAGATCGATCAGCGCTGGACTGCCATTATCGACTACCCGAATCGAGGCTTGCAGTATGTAGGTCCCGCTTGGATCCAGAGGTGTGAGGGAGTCAAACGTCGGCAAGGAGGGTTTCGGGGATTGCTCTGCAGATCGCGGGCCCGGTTCAGTGAGGACCTGGTGGAGTAGAATGAGAATGTTCTTGTGGACGTATCGGTGGCCGTCCATGTAGTGCTCGGAAACAAAGCTGGGAGATGTTAGAATGTGCTATACAGCTTGGAAGGATACACCAACTTGTTCCCAAAGGCAGCCATGTACGCGTGAGGGTCCCCTTCCACAAAGTCAGTGCCCGAAACCATGCGAACGGTGACGCCTCTGTCGCCCGTATCGGGGACGTCGTTGAACTGGTGCGTCCACGGCGCTTGTGACTTCTGCTCTTTAAAGTCGTCCTCGGTCAGCGTCTGCACCATGTGTGTGAAGTAGAGGTCCCTCGCGGCGGTCTGCTTGGCCTGCTTCTGCACAATGCCCTGGCTGGCACCGCGCCGGATGTTGGAGCCGGGCTCGTCGGGCTCGCGCTGCGGCTTGTAGACAACATGGCGCTCCAGGACGCGCTGCGGCTGCATGGCGGCGACGCCGGCGAGGATTTTCAGGACCTGCTCATGACGCGCGCGGGGCACCAGGCCGAACAGCAGCAGCTCATGCATCGGTCGCGTCTGACGCGGGGTGGTGAAGGGTGAGGTTTGGATCTCGAACGGGCCGGTGGCAGGGGAGAGCGGCGGCGTGGAGCGTGTGGGAGCTGCCTGGCTGTCAGCGATAAGGAAAACCGGCGCGATGCAGTGGCTGATTCAGGCCATTGGCCGCGGTGAATGCTTTTCCAGGGCTTGGCTGCAGCGCAGCGTGGAGCGCCGGGAGACGTGGGCAGGGCGGGCACCGAAAGGGCGTGCAAAACAGCAAAAAGGCCCGCGGAGAGCGCAAAATCTGCCGCGATGCCGTGCGGGGGTGCAGCAATTCTGCGCGAGACTCACCCCAGAATGATGCCACTAAGCGTGTGCGGGTGCGGGCGCAAGGCTGCGAGCGATGTCGTGCTGCTGTTGTCTCGGAAATAGCGTCGGGAAAGCGCGACGACGGTCGTGCTTGGGAATCTCCATCTTTGCGACATCGCCCTACTGTCTGCATTTGAACCTCCATCCGCCCACTTTCGCTGCTCCATTCACCCATTGACTCCCCGCACGCTCTCTGCTCACCACCCATTATATCCTGCGGAGCTGCTGCTGCCTAGAGTGCTACTCATCCTACATCCTACATCCTACATCCTACATCCTACCATTCCAAGCATCCCGCCCAACAGATCGTCACCATGAATGCCACCAAGCAGCTCCTCCAGCACCGCCAGCCCATGATCCGGTTCTTGGGCAAGCGGCATACGCCTACATGTGAGCATACGACTACAGCTACAGCTCTAAGTCCCCTTCTAATTGAGCCCAGCCATCGACCACACGCCTCACGCGCATCCCGCCTCCCCGACACATTCTCTCCCCGAGTCCTTCGCTTCGTATCGTCAGAAGGCTCAACAACACGGCCCGCTGAACCAGCAGAACCACATTTCCATCGGCGCAATCGGAGGCAAGCCGGGTGCTTCTCTAGGCCCAGTGGAGGCCGGCAAGGGCATATTTTTCGACCGATCGGAGCTCCCCGCGCGGTTCCAGCGGACGCCGTGGACACAGGCCGAGATTGACGCCATCGAGTCTGGCGGAGCAAGCATGCACGCATGAAGAAGATGAAAGAATGCAAGCATCACACACTCACCGTGGCGAACGCTGTACATACTTTGGACGAGGCCTCGGGATGACATGAAGGATTGGGATTGGCGGCGACATCTAGCGCCTCACATTAATGGCGCTTTCATATTCATATGCATGGGAAAAGCAGAAATGGGATGCGATCTTGATATACCCTTTTAGAATGCTGTCGCGATGGCGAGTCCCCGGGTCCATCTCAATTCACTCAAAGAAGTCTCTCATCTAGTTCAGATATCATGACCAAAAAAATCAAAGTATTCAAACTTTTAGCACTACGTTCTACAGCGAAATCAGCCCTTACAATCTTGTTCCGCTTCTGTCTAGTCTTATCACGCTCTTTTGGTTCTAGCTGACGTTGGTCTAGCAGGTACTCAAGTAATGTATATTTCGCCCTTCACCCGATACGCATCACCACTAGCACATGCTCCCCCCGCACTTTTCCTTCCGTCCGTTAAAAGTACGTGTACTCTCCCGACTTACTGGACCATGCATCTCCTTAGAATCGTCTGATGTCACAAGCCGAGGCGCTCACCTTTCCAAGATTCATTCCGCTCACAATCACATGTAAGCTTCAATACGCGAGAGACCCGCGGAGCTTCCTGCCTCGTGTATGCGCTTTGGCAACCAATCATTCCCATGCACATGCTTGTTAATCCGCAGGGATCCAATAAATCCATACTCAGGTTGTAGAGGTCGAACAACGATACGTCTTCGTCATAAGACTTGCACATACCCCCGTGATCTTAGTGGTCACCGTAGAGCTTCAAGCCTTTCCCCTTCCTATCAACTTCCTCTATGCCAAATCGATTTCCATCTTGCGTCTTCGGACGTCCAAGTCCGCGTGATTCAGATATGCGAGTGCGACTCGGTAGTTGGCCGCTGTTGTATGTCGTCTTCTCGCTCATTTCATCTATTTTGAACCTGTGCTAATCGCGGACGGGTGTTTTTAACCAGGTAACTTCTGAAGTTTCATCTCATTCAAAATTTTCAAAATTTGTTAAAGTAGCCTTCACAGTAGGAAGCAATGATACGCATGCTATATCTACTACGACCAGCAAGCTCACAGTTCGTATGGCCGTTCTCGTAGACGGGGAGATGCCGCTCCCTGGGGTAAGCCAGCAAGTTCTGACGTCAGTCAATACGATGGCCTTCTCTCATGCTCAGGTTTTTGACGATGCATTGAAGCGCCCCTGCTGGCGGCAAGAAAGCGTACTCAAGTCTATCTCCAAGGGACCGTACTATCATCTCATTTGTCTACTATAGCAGCAACTGAGAGGTGCGCCAAAGGTGATGGGGCTGTAAACTGACCGAGCCACTTCAAACGAGGTGATCAGAGGAAGTTGGACAAACAAGGTGTTTAGTACTGACTGTTGTGAGTGACAGCGAACTCTTAAGGACCGATATGACATCGAGTCGTACGCCGATATGCCTACTACAGTGCTTCGATGTAGAGATCCGTACACTCCTTTACCTTTGCAGGAGGAGCTTCATAGTATTTTCAGCATTCCAAATAGGAGAGAAGTTCGGCATTTTAAATAGTTAGTAAACTCGCAAGGCTATCCTAGATAGTGTTCACAGGTGTGCGCATAATGTGAGTGTAACAGTTGGTTTCTGTTAGTACGTTGGAACCCTATAGACACTGGCAGGAATGTGTACGGATATCTATGGCAAGGCACTGTTATTCGTCGATTCATGCTGGCACGTGCCATTTTCTCTCTCTTTCCCTCTCCCTCACTTCTTACACAGTACTAGATATGTACACACTCTATTACTGCTGCTTGTGGTGTCTTGGGCTGCTTTATAGACCTGGACAAGATCAACCTCAATCACTTTGCACGATTTCTGAACTCGCTAGGGCATCTGAGACCGTGGTAGACTGGCCCTCGTCGTTGCTTCAACTCTACTTCATCGCTGCCGCCATCCTCCCATCTCTACTCCTCTTGCTGTTCGTCGTTACCATAGACCTTGTCGCTCTTCCTGCCCTCGTCGCTCCTACCGCGCTCGTCGTGGCTCCTCGTCTCGACACTCCCGTCTCTCTTTACTCTCAACTGCCTCACCTGGACCGTCTCCTCTACATCCAACTCTTCGCAGCGCTCAACCGCCATCAGCAATTACTCGCTTTCATCACTCATCCATCGCTTCTCATCACGCTACAAACTACCATCGCTCATCACTACCCGGTCATACCTCGAAGCCATCGTCCAGCTAGCCTCTTTCAGCATTCACGCCTCCAGCAACGAGTCGGCCTTATTTCATTCACTACGAAGCTCGAACCGGCACAGAGGCCATCCACATATCTCCATCAGTTTGCCAAAGTCGAGAGGTGGTTTGACGCGATGGCAGAGCGATACAGGGCCTGGACGGATGCAGAGGACGCCATCATTTTGAAGTCTAACAGAACCGCCATGAGCTTTGAAGAACTAGTAGAGGAGCTTATGACAGTGGCGGAGCTCAGAGACTTTGATGAAATCCTAGACCGACAAGAGGAACTAAGACGACAGTCGAGGCACGCTGGCCCAGGATCGCAAACGACTCCATCATTGCCCGCAACGCAGCAGCCCGGCATATCCGTGCAGTCTGTCTATTTTAATCCGGAACAGTACAATCTGGGAGTCATACCGCCACTATTCCCGGCAACTTATATCCCTTATACTCCGAAACGACACGACCCGGGAGGCATACTGCAACCATCCCCACTAGGTTATGTCCGTTATGATTCGGAACGACCCAACCGGCGAGGCATACTGCAATCATCCCCAGCAGCTTATGTCTGTTATTATTCGGACCGACCCCCAGTAGCTATTGTCCATCTTGAACGACACAACCTGGGAGGCATATTGCAAGGAAACCCGCCACCGGTCGAGTCAGATGCTGGATTACGCTCGGAACCGTCTGCATCACTGGGCAGGCCGAAGACATTTAAAGCGCAGGCCAATCAAGGCGAGCCGCAATGGCATGATTCGGCAGCCGCAGCCAGCCAGCGACGGCCCATGGTACGGTCTGAACTATTGCGCTCGGCCACAATGTATCCTGATACTAGGTCTTCGAACGGGTACTGGGCACTTTCCGAGGTAGCGAAAATTATCAAGGGGGGAGACGAAAAGAAAGACTGGAGGGAGATATGGGACACATATTTCAAGTACGATAATCTCGGAGACCGAACCCCTCAAGCACTGGAAAGGAAAGTACGATTGATAAGAAACCTCCCACTCGCTGAGCAGCAAAAGATACGCGACGACTTGGTGTTCAATGGGGTTATGGTGGATAGAACAGCTAGTAACAACTAGGCAGGTCTGCCTCAGCGCGGCGACGATTTTTGGTCGCTACTATGAGGGATTTCTAAGTCCGCTTTGTTTTCAAGAGAGACAAGGGAGGGGAGACTACGCATTTCTTGTTAGCACCAGACTCCAAATTCATACACGTTTCGAGTTTGAGACCTTTGTACTCTTGGCTGCCGCTGTCCGAAGGCTTCGACTCATTTCCCCAGACAAAGAGCACATGCATAAATACATTCTGACCGACCCAAAATCTCGCTGACGCACCTCGGACGATGTCAGTCCTATCTGACGAAAGGCTGGGTGCATAGCGCGGAACTCTACTTCTGGCTGATCACATAATAATTACTTATTAAAGGTGTCTTTTAAGGGGCCTGCCTAGAGACTACCTAAACCGTATCCGCACTACACCTAACCACATGTCCCGTGCGCTAACTATGGTTGATGTAAGGGGTCTTTAGGAGAGCATCCGGCCGAGCTTAGATATTCCTTACAGGTGAGATGCATCTATATCAGAGAGCATATATGGCAGAGGGCTTGGATTGGAATGGCCGACGTCCACCATTGCTCCCTGATAATTTTTCAGGAAGGCGAGAGTTGCGGCAAGCAGTCCCATGACGACGAGGATCAAGACAATAAGAACCCAGTGTCATGGCCGCCTTCTCAAACGGCCTTTCGGATGGTCAGAGTCTGGAAGTCCGATTGCGGCTTCTTGATCGATTGCAATTAGTTGCCCCCCTTTTCCCGTGCACGCCGCTCTCCATCAACCCCTTTATAGCCTCGTATAAAATGCAGGCAATAGCGGCCTCATCACGCCAAAAATTGTCAGACTTGCCACGATATGGACTTGAAGGAGTCGGAAGAAAATAAATGCGTCGTTCCGGGAAGCCTCACTTCTTCTGAAGAAATAGGTTGCGGCGAGCTGACGATGCTCCAGTTCCTTAGCCGTGGTGTAAGAATAGCTTTCGCTTTCGGATCGTTTGTCCACCAAAGAGGATAAATACACCTAGTTTCACTACTTAGTTGGGAGAATCTCAGCGATTAAGGATATTATGATTTTAACTTTCTGGCTACGCACGCTCTATGGTAAGAGCGCCGATTTTTGGCATACCTTTTTGTATTGGAAAGGTTGTCTTCTAGATCAAGCTAAGAGTGATTAACGTGATCGGCCATCCGCCGGGTGCTGGAGGTGTATTCCCCTGTTGTTGGAAACTATACACATACCTTATGTTTCTAGAATAGCGTAGGTTAATCAGACCCCTCCGTTTCAAGAAAATATCTCACCTAGCTCGTCGTGGCTGGAACGCATGGAGCCTTGAGGCCGGAAGAGGTATTCTCGTTTTGCATCATGCCATTCAGATATTGGAGCAAGATCAAGGATAAGATCGTCGCAACACACGCAGCTGTGTGGGGCATCAGAGCCTAGATGATACGTTCTAGCCGCTCCAGGAATTTGGGTCGACATTGTGAGACTCACGGCAAAGTTGGAGCGGAGGATTGCATAGCCTAAGACCGGGATCGGCTTCTTCGCAGTCAGATCACTTGCGGGATGATGCCGTCAAAAGGACCCGCGGTTCCAGTAAGCAAGTTGATGTTGCGAATGATTAGGTTGCCTGGACTTCTGACGGCTTGTAGGGCGGGTCAGGCTTTGTCGAGATGGCGTCTGTACAGAGGATCAATCGCTTGCACCAGACGCTCACCTCTGCTAAGTGAGTCCCCGACGGCATCTCTGTCTGAGGTCGGTTGGACGTCTGATTCATTCTAAATGAACTTCGAGCCTCCAGTTGGTACTCGGGTACTCCCACATCAACTTCTACTTCACTCTTCTAAACCATGCTCCTTGAATCACCCAACTCCGAAGCCATATCAACTCCCCGCATCGATCACCACGCTTTGCTCACCATCACTAAACTCTTGGACTCCCGATGAATTGCAATTGCCCACCATCCCAAAGCAGCACCACCACCGTAGTCGCCTACCGCAGCACTACTCTCTACCCCGTCGAGATGAGTACCACAAACCGTCCAGAGTCGTCCAAAGACCCCCCCTCACCACCCCATCTCCCCTAAACACCACACACCAACCCACAGTCCCAAGCGCCAGAACTGCGGACCTGGAGGTTTCCAGGCCCCGAAGCCCAGCTACGGCTATATAGCGTACGTAGCGCGGCTGTAGTGTACATAATGTACCGCGCCATCAACCAAGATCGATCGGGACGGATCTCAACTCGACCAAGGCTTCAGTCGAATCGAGACCTGGCCAGCTACTTAGTCAGAAACTGTGGGATGGAGGGCTTGAAATGTCAAGCCACTCCAAGCTCGTATGTGGTGCACACCACCACCAGCCTAACTACGCACGCATGCCGTCACGATCACCGCCGCCAGCGTCCCTCATCTCGATCCACTCCTCCATGGGAAAATGGTCATGGGAATTAGACAGAATCGCGTCGCGATGGCTTGTGGTGTGGTTTCGTAGTCCAATCACGATAGCAGGGTGAGATCTCTCTTATTTCAGCTATGCGCTTTTTGCTTTGATTGGTGTTGTACTACATATTATTTCTATTTCAAACCGGCGTCGCTTTTCCTCTCTCGTGTCTCTGGGGGTATCGCTCCGTTACTAGTGGTACACCTGTACTGTAAACAGCTCCAAATCGTCCCAACTTATTGCTTCATGAAAACATCCTGCCATGAAAGGCGGCCCTCAAAAAAATTGACAATTGGAGGAATTATTGCGTAGTAATAGTCGCAGTGCGTAATGAAAAGGTGTGCATGTGGTGTACAAAGGCTAGAAAACGAAAAAGCGTGCAGACGTAGTACAAGTCATCAAAGATGTGTGCAATTTTTCCCGATATTTTTTCGTCACTGCTCTTTTACGTGGAATACAGGTGTTTTACAGCAGGGTGTGGACAATAAGAAGTGGTTCGACCTGAGGCCATCACATATTTTCCCAGAAGCAATTTATAGGCAAGAAATTTACAATAACTCTTGTAGATGGAGGAATATGACAGTATTAAAAAAGATATCTCATGACAAAAAGAAAAGAAATTATAGAGCCTAAGAAAAAACCACGAGCTATAGACCCGTTTTGCGAACCCTTTCTATTCGTAAGATCTTGCTCAATCGTACCCTTCGTACTCTTTCATTTGGTCGTTTCCAAGTCTTCGTGAATAATATTCGGCCCACCCCGCTGAAACGCTAGAACAGAAATTCCACAATGAGAGGAAAGAAAAAATAATCCCGAACTTGCGGACGGGTATGGACGGCGCTCCTGAAAACTCCATAAGGACAGCGGGCACTCGCGGACGCCAGTTTCAAAGCTGTTCGGCCAGCGAAAGCGATGTGAATGCAGAGACGCAAAGACAAGGATAGGGAACTCGATCGTGCCCGAGACCAACGAGAATTTTGGAACGCCGGGATGCGAAAATTTGTTGAAAGATCCAGCGCTCGGCGCGGTCGGCGTTCCCGACGGGTCTCGGCGGGAACCGTTTTGCGACATGCTTGGCACGCGACACTTCCGCGGGTGTGTAATCGGAACGACGTGCGGCCCAGATCCAGATCGCTGTCGCAATAGTAGTCGCACAGTCTGACAGGTACCATCTAGAAGCGCCCACAAGAGGCTCAGTCATGGTTGCCGCCGCGCCGGCGATGCTTGCCGGGGAAGTCGACCTCTGGATGCACGACGCGCATGTGCCGCGTCAGCGCATCGTTGCGGCTGAACGTCTTCTCCTCCACGCAGAGTGCGCAACGGACCTTTTGCTTGCGGATGTTGTGGATGGTGTCCTCGTGGCGCGTGAGGTCGTACGGCCGCGAGAAAATGGTGTTGCACGGCTTGCCGGTGGTGGGGTTGATGCGCTCGCACTTGTGTGGCCCCGCTTGCGAGTTCCGCTCCAGGAGCGCCGCTGATGTCATGCCACTGCCGACTGCCGATGTTGTCGACGTCGTCACGACCGGGTTCTGGCGATGCCCTTCGCGCTTGTGCTTCTGAAGTTTCTGCGGAGTTTCGAAGCGAAGCGTGCAGCCATGGTAGGTGCATGTGTACGTGCCACTGTCGGCAGCAGAAGACGTCGGTTTTGGGAAGTGATCGCTGGCGGTGCTGCCCGTTTCGGGCCCGGCCTCACTGGCACTCGACTCCATCGACGTGAGATGCGCCGGGAACTCCGGGGTCTCGGACGGAGCAGCCATGTTGGTTGCCGGTCGGTATTGTTGAGAGTGGAAGGGCAGCCCGTGCATGTTGCCAGCAATGGCCGGTGGCACGTAGGTGAAGTTCGTTTGCGGCGGTGCTGGTCCTGAGCTCGTAAAGTTATGTGGCGAGAAGCGTGGCGCGGCCCAGTTCTGTCGGCGGTAGCTGTCCTCTGACGTGTTGTACTGTGGTTGGGCAGCCATGCTTGGATATTGGTCGGCGGCGTGGTACTGGTTGTCGTAGTCGTTGGCACCGCTGTCTGGGAATAGAGGCACCTTGGAGTCCTCGTCTTCGTGGAAGTCGAGCAGCGCGTCTTTTGGTGATATTGTCGTCGGCTGAGCGTCGGGGATGTTCTTGTTCATACTCCTCTTAAGCGCATGCGCATCGGCTTCAGCTTTTGCCACCTCGCGTTGGTGCGCAGCAGTGCCGACCCTCGTGTGAGGAGAGCTGAAACTGCTGCTCGGTGCAGCGTAAGGTGACCCGTGACGGAAGGGTGAGACGCCTCTTGATGCTGACGATGCTGGCGATTGTGACCGTGCGTTCTGTGCGGCCTGGAGTCTTTCGTTGACGACGTTGCGATATGGCGACAGCAACGACGGGTTCGCGTTGGTCTGCAGTGCCGACTGTTGCATCTGAGCGGTGAGCGGCGGGTTGTATATCTCGCTCATGCTCATGTCGGATAGCTGGTCGAACTTGGGGACGTTGTGTCTCATATCTGAATCATCATCGAAGAGTAAGTAATCGTCAAACCAGGACTCGACTTTGCCGGGAATAGTCATACCAGTGGGGGGGACCTTGAACTTGTCCTCGAAATCTTCGCCATGCGCGGTGTGAGGAGTCGCGGGCGAGTCCTGTCCATAGCTTGACACCGAATGCCTGCCTGAATGCCCGAACCCTGGAACTTCGTCGTCTGGGTTATGTTGATCCATGAGTGCCTGCTTCATCGACATGTGGGCGCCCATTGTGGAGTCCATGCTTGGGCCTTGAGAGTAACTGCCAAAGTTCGTGTTAAGGAAGTGGTCTTGTGTTGGAGTGTGCGAAGGAGTTGGGAGATGGTTCGAGAACCGACTCGATTCGTCAGCGCCGAAGGCTGAGTCAATCTTTTGGTTTGACGAAGCTGAAGGCGAATTCTCGGAGTTGGCGACGTACGGGTAGCTGGTCGCGTGGCCTGCGGTGTGGTACTGCGATCCGTTTGATCCTATCGACGAGGACGACGTTGCGCGTTGGTGCTGGCGGTGCGCTCTTTGTGCTGGAGTCTGGAGAGAGTGTGTCGTATCGATCTGCCCATTGCTTTCGTACGAGTTCCAGTTCTGGAGCGACTGGACGTTGTTGGAGGGCAGCATGGACTGCGAGTACGCCGGCAGCTGCGGAACAGGTGTCGACTGCTGGATCCTGATCGCAGGGTTGGCGAAATCGAAAGTACCCGTCATGTACTGGTTGGAATCGGCGTTGGGTGACGACTCGATGGTGTCTTCCGTCTGGAACGGTTGCAGCGACTCGAGGTAACTGTGGAGGAGAGACTCGTCGATGGTGTGCGACGGTGCGGTGTTGTCGTAGTATAGCGATGCCTGCGAAGGGGGTGGAGACGGGAGGGAGTTGGCGGTAGTATATGGCTGGTGAATGTGTTGACGTCGAGGATGTAGGGCTAGCATTGTGGAGACGGAAGAGGAAGTCAGGGCGGGTGGCGAAAGACTTATATGGGGGGTAGCGAATGACTCGGGTGGGGTTGCGGGATACGTAAGGAAGAAAAATCAGGATGAGGTGATGGTGTGAATGGTCGGTGGAAGGCCGTGGAATCCGAGCTTAGCCGTGCCGGAGATACGAGTGCAGCGGCGCGATAGTCTGAGCCGGCCCGAGTGATGAGGAATTGTTCAGCGAGTGTGTGCGTGTTTTTCGGGGCGCGTGGGTAATGGAGCGGCGGACAAAGCACTGTGAAAGAAAGCGTCAAATGCTTATGTAGGAATTCGCAGTTGCGTCATGAGAGCCGGGGTTGCGCTTCTAGCCGATCTTCGCTCTTCTAGAAAGCCTCCTCATGCAGCTAGCGACACCTGCAGGAGGGGCTGTGCACAAGCCCTGAGCCGATTCCTCTCCCTTGTGCAGCTCTCGCGGTCGGCTGCGATCCGACGCTTTGGGTTATGCCTCGCCGGTACAAGATTTGCGACCACGAAAATAGGTGCCGCGAAACCACCACTGCGCTCCGCTTCGCGACTCCCGGTCTTGGCGCATTCGGCTCCTATCCAGCCGGCCTACTCTCCAACCGGACGACACGATCGCCTCGGTTGGAGATGGATGATGAGGCCACTTTGCTCCCACTGGAGCCCAGCCACAGGTCAGCTGCCCGCTGTGGCGCGTGACATGGAGCCGCTGCTCGCTTCTCGCTTCGCCGAGGAATAGCAGATCGATCCTCTCTCCACTCAGCTGGGACGGTGTGGGACGCGTACTCATGCATTCAATAGGGGAGCCATCGTGGGCGACTCTCCGCAGCTGAGAACGGCAAGTCGGGATGCATCGCGGATATCGGCTAATCGCTATCAGAAGCCTCAGATACACCACCACGCCGCAGAAACACTGGCTGCGATGTTCGACCAGTGTCCTTCTCTCTCCAAGCCATCTCCATGGCGGTGAGCTGCATCCCACGTCGCGGGCTGCCTGAGAATGCCAGGCTCACGCGAGTCGGACAGCCGTACGAGCCGTATCGCTCTCTCAATCCACCAAGTCCATCCGCGACCAGTCGCACATCTATCACCACCGATAGCACGGAGCGTCCGCCGTCACCGCCGTGCTGTAACGGCCAGCATCGCAGGAGGTGGAAAACAGCGCATGCTGGAGCCTATGTTGCAGCCGCACTGTCAAACAAACGTGGCACGCGGGAATTAAGCTCGTGGAGCACGCCCTCGACAGGCTAAAGCGATCGAGTTCGGCAGGAACACCCCTACGAATCTATGAGATCGGCGGCTGGCTTACGGGAACGAGCGAAGAGTGTCGCCCGGGGCCGGGGGAGGCTGTGTGAAAAACGCACAGCGATGCTTTGGGCACCCATAGGGCTACCGATCATCTTTGAACTGCTGTTCCGGGCCAAGCCCCGCTTTCCCTGCATTTCGATGGCACCTGAAGAGTTTTCTGGCCCGGTCTCGGCACTTCCAAGTGCGACGCTGCGAGCCTCCAGTCACATCGGCACCAGCCACACTTGCTATGGCCATGAGCCACAGGAGCCACGAGTGTGCCGCGCTCGAGCCAGACGCCTGCCCCGGAGCAGGCTCTTCCGTCGCAATCGGGATCGGAGTGCTCCGACCGTCTCTCCCGAGGCCTCCTCTCGCGCCTCCTGTCTGCTTCGTTGGCGATGCAGATGCCAAGGACAAGACTCTCGATGACGTCGCATTCGTGGAAGAACCGAATACCACCCCGGGGTATCGCCAACGGTGGTTTTTCTATTTTTGCTTATATTGGCTATCGGCACATCGGTTCCCTGTTTTCTTTGGCAGTCGTTATCGAAAACCTGTGGAGGTGGCGACTCCGCCTACAATGTTGGGCCATGATCACCGTAATGGGTGTCAGGGGGTGGAGGACTTCCAAGTTCCGCTCGCCATCCGCTCGCCAACGGGCACCATCGCCTAGCAAAACGTAGCGCGCCCGTCACTGCCAGCTGGATGGGGCAAATTCCGCAAATCACTGCAACACCATCAAATCAGCATCGCTGGTTCGCGGATCATCAGGGCGGCCGTCATCACTGGCGCGGCCAGGAACCGAGCAGCCATACTTCTCTCGTTCTATTTTCATTCATACCCTGCTTTATGGCTAGATAAACTCGCATGAGTCCGCCGGCTATTGAGAGTGGCGTGGCAAACATCCTATCTACCACTCCAGATTCCCGAGTCGCGATAGAGTATTGGATGCGGAGTACTAGCACCTACTTCTATCTCTAAAAATAGAAAAAGGGGGAATCTACAGGTTCACGAGTTCCATGCTGGATCGGATTTCGTATCTCCTATGCGGCGGATTAGTTACGCTCGTAAAGCGAGACATCGGCCGAACGAAGCACTCGTATAGCTGACAAACTCAGCGGCAGCTACTGTATGCCGAAGTCGGGCGGTCTTAGCTCGGCCACGAACGTGCCCGATTATTATACAACCCGCGGTTTGCTTCACGCCGTTTTCCCATTTGGGAAAGTAAACTAGATGCCGACTGCTCCGCAGTATTCAGAGGTTCAACCAAACTAACTTGACATTGAGAATGACAACATGATCAAGAATCATGGTGCTGCGACATTATCAGCTGAGATAATATCTCGGTAGGGAGCGCATGGATCTGTCTGTTCAGCCGCGTGAGGCTGATTACTCGTGCATACAGCATCAGAATTCCATACTGATGCATAGGTCCAGATTGCATTATCAAACGCTGAGGCAGCGTCCCATGGTACAATTCCATTTAGGCACGTGACACTGCAGCATATTGACTGTAAGCCACGACGATTTTGAAATACATATTTCAATTCTTTTGCGCAATTCTAAATTGGTATTTCAATATAGCGGTGAGTGCGAATTTCAGCATTTGGTGGTGAGTTCGTCGCTTTCTTCATCGTTGACAATTCTTGGTCAGTTAGGATGTCAGCGACATCGCTTAATGCCTGAAAAAGACACTCAGCTACTTGTACTTGGCTCTCAGGTTTCTTTATCAGCCTAGAGAGGACAAGAGATCGGTTTTCACTCGCTTCGAAGCCGTCACCAAAATCTTACATTTTCCGATTGGCTGGCTCTATTAGACTCACTCAGCAGCTTTATTATTTCTGTTCTTTCATTTCATCTCTTCGGCCGTAAGAGTTATTGAACGCATGATTTTTCACATTTCCCGATTGGCTAGCTCTCTTAGTCTCACTTTTCAGCTCTATTCTTTCTACTATACTTTCATTTCATACTCTCTTCGGCCGTAAATTAGATTGCATGTCTGGATGATCTAATTTTGATCGTTAAAAATCATCAAAAAATGATAGTTTTTTCTCTAAGATGTGGTAAAGTCCCTCTGGGTAGATTCGAAACACCGCTCCCTGTGCACCATTAGAGGGACAGGGCTCTTGGAGTGCCTGCACAATCTACGTTCTTCATCTGAAATTAGTCCTAGGCACACATTCTTATCGAGCACAGTGGAGACGTAGGGCTCTCACTGGGCGCGCCAACTTTCATCTGTCCTTCCATTGAAGGCTCCCATCTCACGTTGAATAGAAGAGAACTCCGTGAGTAATGATCCATACATCAGCGAGTGCTTGGTGTGTTTAACGTCAGTACAACGTTTCGTCATAGATACCCGTACACCTTTCTATGGCTGCTCATGGTGCCTCGTGGTAATTTCAGAGTTCCCGACTAGACAGAACGACTGGCCTTTTGAAAACCGAAAATCCTGAAAGATCTCCCCAGACAGCAATGTTAGAGTGTACACATATTCGGCGTGTAACTCCTCGTCCGAAATTTCTTTTAATTGGTTGAATTGACGGAACCGTTGGCTGGATCTTTGGCTTCAATCATTCTACAAGACATCTAGCGATGCTCTGCACACCTCTGATGATGATGATGATGATGATGATGATGATGGATTTGTGGTATCATGGAGTCCATAGTTCTGCGAAATATCAGAGGATGGGGCTCGGAGCCCCCGTTGATGAATAGATAAATTGGATAGTGTGCTGTAAGAAAAGTTGACGAAGTAGGCGAGAGAAACCCTTCCACAGAACCAAGAGATTGGTCGGCCTAATCCATAATAGCTCTACTGTGGCTGATTTTATTCTCTTCTAGAGGAGTTCTCGTCACTAATTCGGTAGTCGCACTAATATATCGTTCTATGCGGGACGAACAGATCGCTAGGCAAACACATATGCCAGTAGCCCTATTCGTCACGCGGGGCATTGAAAAGGTGGCACACTAATTCTAGAATAAGCTGTCTCGTGTGTACACCTACCTACCACTGTATAGGTTGCTTCAATATATTTTTAGGGATCTAAAGAAGATAGATGCTCTTCGCCTTAGGCTATGTGGAAATTTGTTGAAGCACTCCATGCAGTGGCACAGATGTACACGCGGGCAGAGTACTTGATGAGTGTGCCACATTTTTCGTGTGTAGCGTGTTCGTGAAGTGAATTGTCGTCTTCGTACTTCTATATCAGGGTAAGTTTCGTTCGCTAGTTTCACAACTCTTGTCTGCTTCTTCATCATTTGAAGGAGGTCGTGATCGTGGAGGTCCTGGCGAAGGCGGACTTGGACTTTGAGTACCGCTCGAGCTCCAATCATGATCATCCGGCGCTATCTATACCACTAGGCTATGCATGCACGGTCTGGCGGCACAGAAGTGTGGAAGCATACTCGATAGTTCTGTGCTAACTTTCGTCATATTATCCCATCTTTAAAGATTTATCTAAGGGTGACCCAGTTGACCATCGGACCGATTAAAGTTACTCGAAGTTCAGCCTGAGCATTGCTGTAGCAGCATTACATCCAGATGCTCGCGTATCTTGAAAACCCTAGGTATTGTGTACAACCACAGACCGTGGTCCTATCGATATAGTACACCAGCGGACGATTTCTGGGCCGAATTTGTCGAGACTCTCTCGGATTTGAGTCATTGGCTTTTCGGCCTCCGTCGGCGTGGTGCCGAACTCACCTTCTAGCTCTGATATCTTGCTTCGATCTGAAAGCTGGCATGCCCTGCGACAAGAGAACTATCAATCACTCTCAAACACTTCAGCCGTGTGGGATTTCCTCTTCAAAATTCAACGGTTTGAATCCCCATGGGTTCAGCCGGCGGGGTGTGGCGGGTTGATAAGAAAACTTCCCATAAATATGTCCCGCAACAGCCGTGCGTGGTACTCCGGAGTCGTATGGGAGGGTAAACATCGGCATCGTGGGTTCGGTGGACCGATGGTGGAGCATCTCGCATGGCGACGTTGCAAGATTGACAGAAGTCCACTTTCGAAGCTCCCGAACCATGCCCGAGAGCCAATTGGGTGGCTGCGCTCTTCAGGTCCCAAGAAAATCTGGCGCATTGGCCTTGTCTTGGAGCCGCTAACATAGGTGCATCCGACATCATTGCGATGACGTGGGTCAAAAAAGTTTGGATCCGGTCATGGCGAACTGAGGTACCCCGAGGTCTCGTGCGCGAAGGTGCTGGGCGCAAGGACAAGTGTAAATCTGTCTCTTAAATTGACCCTGGCTCCCCACACCGTCACTTTCAGTGAAATCTTCTTCCCCAACCTCTTTACTCCACACGCTCAATTCCAGAGGACACCACGATGGGGTTCCTAGACCGCTTCAAGGGCGACCAAACGCCCTCGCCTGCACACTCGCGCAACGCAGATGTGGAAAAAGAAAAGAAGCCAATCGTAGCGAAGATGGGGATTGGGCAGCGATTCAGGCCGCATATCATCTTCATGGCTGTGCTCGTTTCAATGGGCGGCTTCATATTTGGTTACGATACCGGTGGGTGGTGAATGCCGAGCTTGCTTGAGGACCAAAACTAAGATCTCTCAGGACAAATCTCCGGCTTCTTGGAGATGCCAGACTTCCTCGAGAAATTTCACGACACGACAAAGGACGGAAAGCCAGCTTTCAGTAACTCGCGCAGCGGTACTATTGTCGGCTTGGTATGTCAGCCTCCACGTTTTTGGAGCCTGTTCTAACAAATCGTAGCTGTCAATCGGCACTCTCATAGGCGCACTGATTGCTGCTCCAGTTTCGGACAAGTTTGGCCGGAAATGGTCCATCGTTTTCTGGAACATGATCTTCTGCATTGGCGTCATTGTTCAGATCTCGACTGTCAACAAGTGGTACCAGATAGTTATCGGTCGATGGGTTGCCGGACTGGGAGTAGGTGGTTTGTCAGTGCTTACTCCGATGTATCAAAGCGAGACGGCACCTAGATACGTTCGTGGAGCTCTTGTCAGCTGCTATCAGGTATGTTATTGAGCCAATGATATAGACACCGAACTAACCTCGTCGCAGTTGTTCATCACCTTGGGTATCTTCACCGCAAATTGCATCAACTTTGGAACAGAAAAAGATCAAAGTGCCCGCGCGTGGCGCCTTCCCATAGGCATCGGATTCATCTGGCCTACAATCATGATAATTGGCATGTTCTTCATGCAAGAAAGCCCGAGATGGGATTACCGCCAAGGAAACCATGAGAGCGCGCGTGCAACAGTAGCGCGTAGTTACGGCTTTCCAATAGACCACCCAGATGTAAATCGGGAGATTCGCGAGATCAAGGAGAAGTTAGATGCCGAGAGTGGCGCAGACCATCCCTGGTACGAGATCTTCACAGGCCCCAGGATGCTCTACCGCACTTTGCTGGGATGTGTTCTACAGATGTTACAGCAGCTGACTGGTGCAAATTGTAAGTACTTTTACGTATGCCGCCCTTTGGTAAAGTCTAACCTCTCCAGTCTTCTTCTATTACGGGACTAGCATATTTGCCTCGATCGGACTCTCGAACAGCTACGTTACTGCTATCATCTTGTCAGGCGTCAATTTTGGAACCACGTTCCCCGGTCTGTATATCGTCGAAAAATACGGTCGTCGACCCTCTTTGATCGTAGGCGGGCTCTGGATGTTTATGTGCTTCATGGTATTTGCCTCTCTCGGTCACTTCGCTCTCAACCAAAACACGCCTGAGGACACACCAGATATTGGGTATGTTATGATCGTGTTTGCTTGTCTGTTCATCGCTGGCTTCGCCATGACCTGGGGACCAATCATTTGGGCGCTCGTTGGAGAGATCTACCCCTCGAGATATCGTGCGAAGTGCATGGCCCTCGCTACCGCTTCGAACTGGATCTGGAACTTCCTCATCAGCTGTAAGTCGTCCTATCCATCCTCCGTATTGCTTTGGTTCATCAAATATAGTCTTCACTCCGTACATTACGGGCGCCATCGATTTCCGTTACGGGTACATTTTTGCAGCGTGCTGCTTCACAGGAGCCGCGGTCGTCTATTTCTTCGTTTGTGAGTCTCAAAGCCGCACCCTGGAGGAAATTGACACGATGTATGTGCTCGGCGTAAACCCTATCAAGAGCAAGTACTGGCAACCTCCGGAAGGAGAGGAACTTCCGACCACCGATAACCTCTACCTCACCAAAGGAGGGAGAGGTATCAAGAAGCGGAAGGAAGCTGGCGTACCACCGTCGGACGAGAGGCAGGAGAGCGTAGGAGTATCGACAGGAGGGGTCTTTGAAGCTTCCGGTGCGAGGCAGTAGAGCTGGTTCAAAATTCTGCCGCGGTTCAAATGCCCTTGCTTTCGCCTCGTTTAGCTTGCAGAGTACGTTTTAGAGAAACGAAATACTTTCTAATGTGCATATGAACTAGGAACCTGTTGTGTTCTTTCCAGTATGACTTGATTGAGATGACGCGAACGAGTGTATACTCTGAGTGACCAGTGCCGCCTATAAGCGGCAAAAATTCGATTTGATGAAAAAGAAAAGGTTGAAACATCGTCCGCAGTTTGCTTAGCAGTCCTAATATTCCCCTGATAACTTAAATTACCTGAGGAAGACATGAGGAAGACAAAGGAAATGACTGGGCTATTCCTAACGTTCGACTAAGGCTATCTTGGTGGGACGGTATCATATCCCTACTAACAATCGACCTACGCCTAATTCGCCACTAGGCATGCGGAACAAACAGTAGTATAGGGCATTTGTAAGATGACTGTGGTACGACTAAACATTTATCGTATCTCTGTGGTCTGGCTTCTGGCTATCAAAAGACGTGTCAGCTTCTCGAAGCAGAACATGTTCTATCAAAGCCACAGCGCGTAGCCGCACGTGTACATCTTCAGGATCACAGGGAGACCGCATAGCACCTGAGGCCAATGGAAGTTTCAGCTTCGAAGGAGACGACGAGTGCGATTAGTATTGATATCTAAACACATGCGAGTCGTGGTGTTTGTTCGGCTATGATTTACCGGAGGCGTACTACCCGCCTGCCGAGTGGGCGGCGTCCGGGGGAAACATCTCATTCCTCCGCATCCTGACCATTTGCCGGGGTGTCTGCTATGTTGTTTTGTGCATACAATGGCCAAGGGTGCAAACAAAGCGTACACGACCTGGATATCAGGAATAGAACTTGGACGACGGGTATTTCTATGCATATGAGAACATAATGCCTACATTCTTTTACGGTCTTCGAGACAATTTAGGACAACAAGCACGACAAAGCCGGCGGCGTCATCCTTGAAGAAGAATAGCGCAGCCATAGTGGCGAGGCACTGTAGCCGGCCCATGAATTTCCCCAGACCTGGTCAACCTCGGCTTTCATGCGTTCTCCACGTTTTCTGGTCTAGGGGCAACACTGAAGTCCCGAACAGAACCTCGCATACTGCTTCTATATCATCTTACACTGTCGCCCACTTTGAATCCATTCTCATCGTGATTAACATCTTGACTATCTCCTGAGTTGCTCTCCATCTTGCTACTATCTTCTCCATACTCCCCCACCCCTCCTCACACATCACAATACCGCAAAGATGGTGAAGCAAACAGCGCCAGTATACGTTCTCGGAGTGGGGATGACCAAGTTCATCAAGCCCCGAGGGAAGGTCGACTACCCAGAGTTGGGATTCGAGGCTGGTGTAAAGGCCATGTTGGACGCGCACATCAACTACGACGACGTTGACCAAGGTGTCGCATGCTTTTGCTATGGCGACAGCACATCCGGCCAGCGGGTGTTCTACCAGTTCGGCATGACTGGTATTCCTATCTACAATGTTAACAACAACTGCTCCACTGGTTCAACCGGTCTTTACATGGGAAAGAACATGATTGCACACGGTGCCGCAGACTGCGTGCTCGTCGTTGGATTCGAGAAGATGTTCCCGGGGAGCTTGCAGACTTTCTTCCAGGACCGAGCAAACCCAACGGGCACCAGCAACCTGATCATGAAGGAGACAAGAGGCGTGACAAAGGCACCCGGAGCTGCCCAGCTGTTCGGCAATGCGGGTAGGGAGCACATGGAGAAGTGAGTAGAGCTCCTATTTAAATCGGTAATGGTACTGACATCACCTAGGTACGGCTCTACCCTTGAAGACTTCGCTGAGATTGCCCGCATCAACCACGAGCACTCGAAGAGGAATCCATACTCGCAGTTCCAGGACGAATACACCCTCGACCAGATCTTGAAGTCAAACATGATCCACGAGCCACTCACCAAGCTGCAATGCTGTCCCACGTCAGACGGCAGTGCCGCCGCTGTGCTAGTTTCCCAGGAGTTCCTCGACGCCCGCCCGGAGCTGAAGGACCAGGCTATTCTCATCGCTGGCCAGTGCATGGCCACCGATACCCCTGACCTCTTCAACCGTAGCGCAATCGAACTGATTGGTTACTCGATGTCTGAACTGGCGGCCAAGACTGCCCTGGCTCAAGCTAAGACCTCTCCCGATGAGATCAAGGTCTGCGAACTACACGACTGTTTCTCATCCAACGAGATGGTTACCATCGAGGCACTAGGCCTCACGCCCAAGGGCAAGGCCCACGAGCTCATCCGTAAGGGAGGCATCACATACGGCCCCAATAACAAGGTGGTCATCAACCCATCTGGTGGCCTGATCAGCAAGGGACATCCTCTAGGAGCAACTGGTTTGGCACAATGCGCGGAATTGGTCTGGCACATGCGAGGTTGGGCCAACAACCGAAGCATCAAGGGCACCAAGGCTGCTCTCCAACACAACCTGGGGTTGGGTGGTGCCGTCGTGGTTACCGTTTACAAGCGCGCGGATGGTAGCGAAGCTACGGATGTCTCTGATGCAGACATTGCTAAGAAGACTGGTCTTGGATACAACCCCGCTGTTGTGGCGAAAGGATTCACTCACGAGCAGGTCAACGCAGTCCGGTCGAAGAAGGCGAGGAGCGAGTGGGCGCTGCAGGATACCGAGACAAAGGTCGAGTCGAGGTTTTGAGTAGCTGAGGAGCTGGCATATTGGGCGTTCGGGGCAATGAGATTGATGTGAAGCTGTACTTAGTATTATTCTTACGTCCGCCGGATGCAATTGGCAAAATTTTATGTATTGCTTCTTTGGAAATGTAATCTTGAAAAATGCAATAGACAAACTTATAACCTGCAACTTACCTCAGCTCTTGTGTGATTGCTTTAGAATTGACCATTGCTAGATAGAAATCCGATTGGCTAATATCTGCTTGTTTTGAGAGAGTAGAATTCACCGTCGATGCCGAGCCGATCGCCTTCGCTCCGATGGCGGTGATGACGCTAGTTCCGAAAAATATCGGGACTCGACTTGTTGAGTTTCTCACCAACGGAACAGCGCCTTCCTTGCGTTTGACTGATACCCCTTCATGGAATAGGGCTTCCAGAGAGAATCACCATGCAATGACAATGTCTGGCATGAACCTTTTCTCTTCAGTGCTGCGCAGGAACGCCCCCTTCACATGTCGTGCCTGTCTCCGAAAGCAAGCATCGCCTATACCTCAACGATCTAGCTTTGCCACGAAAGCCAGTCCAACACTACCGCCACGTACGAAACGAAGGAGAAGGATACTTCTTGCGTCTAGTGGAGCTGGTGTAGTTGCGACTGCGGTAGCCGTTAGTGACGATGCAAAGCACGCGGCAATCGGGGCACAGAGGACGGGAAGGGTCGTTTCGACTCTGTTCGTTAACATCAATGAGTACGTCTAGCGCATAGTGTTTGAGGAATTTGGCTGACAATGTTCTGTGCTGAAGCTACCGGACGACTCTAAAATACGATCACGATAACGAGAGCGATTATAATGCCCTCCTCAAAGCATGTCACAAACGATGCGCCGAACGAACGCTGGTTACTTTGGAGAAGAATGGATCCATATTCATCAAGTTGGGGCAGCATCTCAGCAGTCTGAACTATCTACTCCCCAGCGAGTGGTGCGATACGTTCATCCCTCTACAGGACAAATGCCCGATATCGTCAATCGAGTCGATACGGGAGATGGTTCTCAAGGATACCGACCATGAGCTCTCGGACTTCTTCTCCGAATTTGAGGAGACGCCTATAGGAGCAGCATCGCTGGCGCAAGTACACAGGGCGACAATTAGGAAAACTGGGCAGAGGGTGGCGGTGAAGGTGCAGCACCCGACGCTGGACGAATGGTCACATCTGGACCTTGTTCTGACGAGATTCACGTTCTCTACTTTGAAGAGATTCTTTCCGGAATACGACCTGACATGGTTATCCGAGGAGTTAGAGGTCTCCTTGCCGCAAGAACTGGATTTTCACCAAGAGGGCGAGAATGCCATTCGCGCTAAGAACTACTTCGAGGAAATCCGGAACACGCCAGTCGTAATCCCCGAAGTCCTGTGGGCGAAACGCCGCATCCTGGTGATGGAGTATGTCAGTGGTCACAGGCTTGATGATCTAGAGTATCTGGATTCTCGCAAGATCGATCGGGACGAAGTATCTGCGGCTCTCGCTCGAATCTTCAATGAGATGATATTTGGGACAAATGCCCCTCTGCATTGCGACCCTCATGGCGGTAATATCGCCATTAGGCACAACCCGTCTCGTTCAGGGAGAGACAATTTCGACGTTATCCTCTATGATCATGGGTTGTATCGGGACATCCCCATTTCCTTACGGCGGGCGTATGCGAAGCTCTGGCTCGCAGTGCTGGACGCCGACGAGCCTCGAATGCGGAAATATGCCTACGAGGTGGCTGGAATTGGTGACGAGCACTTTGCTCTGTTTGCCAGTGCGATCACGGGACGAGACTACAGCATTGTGAAAGAAAACATAGCGAAGCCACGCAGTATGCAGGAGAAGGAGAACATATCAGAGGCTTTGGGAGAGGGTATGCTGGCGCAATTGGTTCAATTGTTGGGGCAGGTTCCGAGGGTCATTCTACTGATCCTTAAGACTAATGATCTAAGTAAGTTGCTTCACAGTGTCTCTATAAAACGATCCCAACTGACTTGCTACGTTATAGCCCGTTCGCTGGACGAGAACCTTCACACCCGTCAGGGCCCAGCCCGGACATTCTTGATTCTAGCTCGCTATGCGTCGCGCACAGTATATGAAGAACAGCTAGAGCTTCTTACAGGGAGCATCTTCTGGCCGCCTACCTTTGTCGCCTTCCTACGAGCATGGTCTGCACATATGAGAGTTGAATTGAAGCTCACGGTCTACGAGCGCTGGCTCGCCGTGAGAGCTCTGCTGGGCATGGGCCCGGTGGTGTGATGTTGCTTATGGACATATTTGACGAGAGTCGTTTGCGCGATTTGACGGACTTGATAATGCATTTCTGTAGCGGCTGGTAGATTATTGATGTATAGATATGATTGGAGCGTCCTGAGCAATTGCATTGTCAGCGAGTGGCGGTGCAGTTCTCGAGCATGGAACAGTCGGCATGTCACTAGATTGCGAGGCTGGGAATGATTGTGGTCAACGGATCCGTCTTGCCGCGTCTGGCTAGGGCATAGCTGTCTTCCAGGGCCTCGTCATGAGTTTGCGTACACTCAGCTGGCACTGCTCATGATGGTTGAATGCATTTTAGGAGTCCGTAGGCACTATGCTATTTTAGTGGTATGCGGCGCCGTCCGAGGCCCAGCAAGCTTCCGGACTGTCCAAAACAACAAGATATCTGTCTTGATTAAGCATTTGAAAGTATCTTGAAGTGCCCTTGACCGTGGCAAGAACGTGGACACAGCCCTATGACAAGGTAATGCAATTGTAGGCAAAGCGAGTGAATGTTGCGAGCTATCGCACCAGCCTCAAAGTGAGGGTATTTTGACATCATGGCCGGGGTGCGGCGGAGCTGAAGAAAGACAACAAGATACCTGCCACTTGCACACCTGCCCTCGCGTTCGGAGTCTCCTTGTGCGCTTGCAGTGCTTCTGCTGCCCGTCTGCCCGCAGCGGCCGTGCATGAATTGGAGCAGTTCTGTTGCGAGCAGACGCGGGGCACTTCTTCTGGGTGCTTGGTCGTCGTCGCATTCGTCTGCAGCGGCCGCCGCTTGGCCCCAGCCTCTACACAGCCTCCATCTTCGGTCGCCCTCTCCTACCTAGACACTCGCCAGTCGCTCGCCGCGGGTGCGTCTGCAACCAACCTTGCCATATCGCTGTTACGCACGACTTCTGACCTTCACACTTGCATAGGAGACCTGGTCTCCAAGGCTTTGATAGCCTTCAGCTTTCTTCCACCGTCAGCACTTGACTCCACCACCATCACCATGGACGGAGCCGGCCAGCCCAACCTGAGGGTCACTAGTACGTCTGCCAGACATGTCTCCTCTGTGAGATGCGAATGGCGATGCTAACAGAGCACAGTTATTGCTGCTGATGGCCTCTACAAGCGGGATGTCTTCCGTACGTACTCTCTAGGCAACGTCGCATGATCCCCGCTCACATCGGACATAGGATTTCCGGACCCATTCGCTGTTGCAACGGTGAATGGCGAGCAGACACGCACCACCAGTGTAATCAAGAAAACGCTGAATCCCTACTGGAACGAGAGCTTCGATATGTACGCTATTGCCGGTCCGCGCTTCGCCCCACTATACATGATACTGATAGCTATACCAGGAGAGTCACCGAGGAAAGCGTTCTGGCGGTACAGATCTTTGACCAGAAGAAGTTCAAGAAAAAGGACCAGGGTTTCCTTGGCGTCATCAACGTCCGCATAGGAAGCGTGATTGACTTGGACGCCGGTGGTGACGGTAGGGGACGACACCCGCTTCGGCAAGGCTCTGCTAACGAAGATAGAAATGCTCACACGCGACCTCAAGAAGTCGAACGATAACATGGTCGTCCACGGGAAGCTTATTCTTAACCTATCCACTAACCTAGCTACACCCATCAACCCTCCCACACAGGGTCCTCCTACAGGTCGACCTTCAGTGTCTACGCATTCGTCAGTGAACGGACTACCTGCACAAGGAATGGCCGCACCTGTTCCGCAGCAGTCTGCGCCTTCTCTGCACCCCGATACGTATCCAGGAAACCGTAACCCAATTCCCACGCAGCCTACTCCGCAAAGGTTAAGCCAGCCTACACCTGTTGCTCCTCCAAACTCCTTGCCTCCCCCGCACTCGACGAATGGAACACAACCGAGGACCGGGCCCGGATTCAGTGCGTTTGAAGATGCTCAAGGCCGTCTGCCTCCAGGATGGGAACGTAGGGAGGATCATCTGGGCCGCACGTACTATGTTGATCACAACACCAGGCAGACTACATGGATTCGGCCCGGCGCTGGGTTCAATGAGGCAGATCAGAGGACAGCGCTAGCCGCTCAAACCCAGGTGGAGCGTACTCGACATCAGGCCCGAATGTTGCCGGAGGACAGGACAGGCGCAAACTCGCCAACTTTGTCCGACCGACAGCCGTCTCCTCCGGGGGGCACCGCCAATGCTGTCTCTATGATGGCGACGGGCGCTACAACTGCGGGCACTGGTGAACTACCGTCTGGATGGGAGCAGCGCCATACTCCTGAGGGACGTGCATATTTCGTGGATCACAACACGCGGACAACTACCTGGGTGGATCCCCGGCGCCAGCAATACATTCGGATGTACGGAGGCCAAAACGCAAACAACAGTACTATCCAGCAGCAGCCTGTCTCACAGCTTGGACCCCTACCTAGTGGATGGGAAATGCGGCTTACGAACACTGCTCGAGTCTACTTTGTGGATCACAATACCAAGACGACCACTTGGGATGATCCCAGATTGCCGTCGTCACTGGATCAAAACGTGCCACAGTACAAGCGTGATTTCAGGCGGAAGTTGATTTACTTCCGTTCGCAACCCGCGCTTCGAATTGTGTCTGGACAGTGCCACGTTAAGGTTCGGAGAACTCACATTTTCGAAGATTCGTACCATGAGATCATGCGGCAGAGCGCTGCTGATCTCAAGAAGCGACTAATGATCAAATTTGACGGTGAAGACGGCTTGGATTATGGCGGTCTTTCTCGGTTTGTGTCCCTGATTCGATTCACTAGAAGTGGGATAAAGCTAACAATTACACAGAGAATTCTTCTTCCTCCTGTCTCACGAAATGTTTAATCCCTTCTACTGCCTTTTCGAATACTCTGCGCACGACAACTACACTCTCCAGATCAATCCTCATTCCGGCATCAACCCTGAGCATTTGAATTACTTCAAGTTTATTGGCAGAGTGGTTGGTTTGGCAATTTTCCACCGACGATTCTTAGATGCTTTCTTTATCGGAGCTTTCTACAAGATGATTCTCCGCAAAAAGGTGGCGCTTCAGGATATGGAGGGCGTTGATGCGGACTTCCATCGCAATCTCGAGTGGATGTTGTAAGTGCTAACTTAATCCTTTCTAAAGATCCCGATTAACATTGTCTTTAGGAATAATGATATCACTGATGCTCTAGAGCTGACGTTCTCAACTGAGGACGAACGATTTGGCGAGACTGTCAGCATTGAATTGAAGCCTGGTGGAGAGGAAATCGAGGTCACCAATGAGAATAAGCGAGAATACGTCGAGTAAGTGACGCCGAAGTAATCGGAAATCCAAAAGCTAACAATTGTCCAGCCTCATTACTGAATGGCGTATTGAAAAGCGTGTTGAGGAGCAATTTTCAGCTTTCGTCTCAGGCTTCCATGAGCTTATTCCCGCAGACCTCGTCAACGTCTTTGATGAGCGCGAGTTAGAGTTGCTCATCGGGGGTATCGCTGACATTGATGTCGATGACTGGAAGAAGCACACTGACTACCGTGGCTACACCGAGAACGACGAAGTTATCGCTAACTTCTGGAAGGTCAGTACTAGACTGCTTTTCTCGATATAATTAGATGCTGACTTCTACACAGTGCATTCGGAGCTGGGACGCAGAACAGAAGTCCCGCTTGTTGCAGTTCGCAACCGGTACCTCGCGTATTCCCGTCAACGGCTTTAAGGATCTGCAAGGAAGTGACGGCCCGAGGAGGTTTACGATCGAGAAAGCCGGAGAGCCTAATCAATTACCGAAGTCCCATACATGGTTAGTACACATTGGGAAATTATCGACGGGCATGGCTAATTTGAGGACTAGTTTCAATCGTCTCGATCTTCCACCATACAAGTCGTTTGATGCTCTAAACGGAAAGCTGACAATTGCTGTTGAAGAGACGGTCGGGTTCGGACAAGAGTAGAGAGAATGTGTGCGTGTGTGAGCGGTTGGTCCCCAATTGATATCTTTACTGCTCCTGTTTTTTGGAGAATGGTACATATCCAGCCTCAATCTCCCGTGTATAAAAGTGCGGACGAGGTTTGGGGACGGCAGGCTGGGATTTTGCGTCAAATGGCTTCATTACATTTGATATGTTCTTCTTGTGTGGTTGTCACGACCTCGACGACAAGAGGCGTTGCTGAATATGCAGGCAGCCGAAATCGTCGCGTGGATGAAACGAGGCGTTTAGGATTATTTCAACGTTTTGCGGTGTAACGGGAGCGAGTGGAGCCGTAGGTGCCACGTTAAATGCAGACAAGGACTTGTAATGGTCGTTGCTTGTGTCACAGTGCGCTGTTCTCCCCTTGACTGTGACCTCGCGATAGAGGGATGGCCTATGCGGTGACGGGAGACAGCGTCTCCCTTTTCACAACCACGGGCCGAGCTGCATCTCATATCCCACCGCCAAGACGCCCCATCTCTCGCCGAATGGCTGCCGCATCGGAAGCTGAAGCTCATCTCGTCTCCATGCTCCATGAACCCTGCACACTGGAACCCTAATCCAGCGATCACACTCTCTGCGCCAATCACGCCGGACGCTGCACCGAGAGGCGCAAGACTATTGCGGCTGAAATACGCGAGCAAGGGAGCCCTTTCGATGCTCAGACCCCCATGTCTCTCTTTGGGAAAACCGCGGATGCTCCCAGCGCGCTGGCTTCAGATGGCAGCAAGTCATGAGAGACATCGAGTGTCTTCTAGCTGCTATCTTCCCTGCGCGGTGGTTGAGAGATGCTACAAATACGCGTCGACGCATATCACATCACTGACCGCCCCTTTTTGGGCTGGGGATTGGATACGGACTTGCATAACTGGCATGCCAACCGGCTGCCGTGGCTCTCTCCCCATCATGCGATTCAGCCTTTAGTGCTCCTGGGCGCCCGCTCGCACGGCTCAGGAGGCGTGCCCCAGACGGAGCGAGATTGAAGCTTAAAATTCCGAGGGACCCCTTCCCGGAGGAAGGTCCTTAGCTTCTGCTTCGTGAACTCTCTTGTCCCCGTTGTCTTCGTCTACTCGTTGCCAAGTTGCATTCTTCTCATTCCATAACCTCTGACCCATCACTCGCTTTGAGGTATTCTTAATAAACAAATAAACTTTGCTTTCCATCCCACTATACACTCGCTCGTTTTCTATTAAAGCTCGCTCTGCTTGCATTCCTCCTATACTGTACGCATATCAACGACGAGATCCTAACCCTTCATCACCGTCAACATGCGCTTCATCGCAACCCTCGCCGTCCTTGCGTCCGCTGGCTTCGCGGCCGCTCAAACGCAATCCTCCCTCGTCATCCCCAAGCCGACGTCTGGAACCTGCGCTGCGCAGAAGTAAGTTCCTTAACATCCCGCTGCCAGCCCTCAAATAGCAGGTTTACTAACACTGGCTCAAGCATCGTCGACGCCTGCGTCTCAAGCATCCAGCCCCAGATCACAGCCTGCAGCGGCACCGACTGGATCTGCCTCTGCCAGCAGTACACCAACCTGCTGACGTGCTACAACAACTGCCCCGGCTCGTCCGAGGGCCAGACGGTGCAGAACCAGGTTACGTCGTACTGTACTGCTGCGGCTCCGTACGTAATCCCCTGTTCTTTGGCATACTCTTACAACTGCATTTGGTGTTGTGTACTGATGTGGCTAATTGCAGGTATATTTCCGCGAGTCTCTCCGCCGCCGCTACCATGCCCCATTGGTCCTTCAGCGCGACTGCTGCTGCTACTGAGAAATCGGTGACTACCGGAACTGCGTCGAAGGCGTCGGGTACGGCTGCTGCAGCGTCGGCGACGTCGACGGGGGTAGCGGGGTTTGTTGGGGCGCCAATTGGAGGCGTGCTGGCTGTTGTGCTTGGGCTTGCGGGGTTGTTGTAGTTGGGTTGATCGGTGGGAGATGAAAAGAAGGAGTAAGAGGATAAAGGAGAACGGGGATGATTTTATACTTAATTCTTAATGCGGATTGGGTGGCATTGGGGACGGGGAGGTTGACGTTGATATGTGGAGATGGTAGTGACTTTTGGTTATGTAGTTTTTTGTTACCATGCTGATCCAGTGCTTCGTGAGTTCTCTTTGCACTAAAAGGAGTTCTTTGACTTGATAACAGTGATGCAGATATTCTGAGTATTGTCTTGACGAAATGGAAGTAGCAGTAGAACATCGTAGGAGAATGCTGTGCATATAAAAGAACAGAAATCGTAAGTGCGTACACTTACCTGTCCTTGTTTGCAGTCCCTCGATACGTTCTTAGACATCTGTGACGAATTGTATGTACATCACCTATTCCAAGGTTCCATTATTGGCTACAGTCCAGTTCTTTATACCTAGTAGAAACGTGGACTGTACAAACACTGTCGTACTGTGGCTAGCTTAGTCGCCCCAAGATTAGCTGAAACTCATAGACAGCTATGATAGTCAACTGAAGTATATCCCGTCTTCTGGAATCAATGCTCGAGAGGCTGAAGGTTTAGAACTTAGCCGGTGCCCAGGCACGAAAAAAGTGGCACACTCACCAAGTACTCTGCCTGTGTGTACACCCGTTTACTACTGCATGAAGCGCTTCAACAAGTTTCCACATAGCCCAAGGTAAAGAGCTTCTATCTTCTTTAGATTTCTGAAAATACATTGAAGCAACCTAAGCAGTGGCAGACAGGTGTACACACGAGACAGCTTGTTCTAGAGTTAGTGTGCCACCTTTTCCGTGCCCCGCGTGCCAGGCTGTCGGGCAAGCAAGCATGGAACCGAGCAGCCCCCTGGTTTGATCGAGACCTCGTGACTGGTGGTCGTCCTTTCACCCCGCGATCCTTCATTCAGAGACAGTTTGTCCGGGGTTATGTGGATTCTGGGTGGTGACGTGCGGGCAGTTTGTCTCCGCACTTTCACCACCTTCTGCCCAATGACGCCGGTTGAACAGCAAGCTGCCCAGTGCCAACCCACTGAGCATCGCTCCGCGCGATGCCCACGCCGCTCACCGTGTACGGGTCCACGGATCTTGCGCAACGCCAAGCGGAAAACTCTGGGGAACTAGTCGTCCCCAAGAGCTTTTGCCGGGCCGATGACTGACAGCTGAGTCCCGCAGTCAGCGTAGAGATCGACTTCTCCAGCTGCCACCGTGCCATTGCCGCGGGATGCAACCTCCTGTTCTCTTTTGCTTTTCTCGTGGCTGCCCGTCGTCATCGTCTGCAACTCCTCTGTTTGTCTCCTGCCATCGCAGCGGCCATGCTGGGCATCCTCGTATCACCCTCAATACATCCAACAAACGCCAGTGCTATCTACCATAAGTCTTAGAACATGGTCCGAGGCACATCTGCAACGCTTTCAACATGGCGAATAAAACAAGCGGGGACCGCGATTTCGCTTCAAGAGGCCCTGTCGTGCTGGGCGTCACGACTGCCACACTCGTGTGCGCTACCGTCTTCGTCGTGCTACGATTGATCTCCAGGTTCGGAATTGTGCAAAGAGTTGGCTGGGATGACCACTTTATCATTCTCGCTTGGGTAGGTTAAGAAAGGATTCGAATTGGGTGTTGAGGAACTGACTGTAGCATCGTGCAGCTCCTCGCGTTCGGCACTTCTTTCTCCATTTGCTACGGGACGTCTGTCGGCCTTGGGCGACACGAGGTCGATGTCCCGGCAGACTGGGATTCTGCTTTGAAAAAGTCGGAATATATATTTTCGGTTCTTTATGTCGGTACCCGTATTCCTTGTGGTTGAAACGTGCACTGAGACATGCAGAACCCGGCCTTGATGGCCACCAAGACGTCGATCCTGATCTTCTACCTGACGCTATCCAAAACCCAGAAGATCTTCCGTCGGGCCACTATTGCAACCCTCGCTGTAGTCAATATCGGCGGATTAGCGTTGACACTTCTCAATGTTGTTCAATGTCGACCCGTCGGTGCGGCCTTTGACGAAACAATTCCAGAGACTGCAACATGCACAGATATCATTACGATCTACCTTTCTTCGGCACCATTGAACATCATCACGGATCTGGCAATCTTGTTCCTTCCAATGCCAATACTGACCAGCATGCGTCTGCCAAAGAAACAGAAGATCATACTCGTCGTTACCTTCGGGTTCGGTATCTTTGTCGCCGTTGTTGATGTAGTTCGAATTGCATACCTTCAATCCGCAGCTCGCACGCATCTACGGAGTGTTGAGGACAAAAGCAAGCCATCAGGAAATGCCTCACGGAATTCGGACACGAATGATTTCAGCTATTACGCTTCCTACTCACTGATGTTTTCGGCAATCGAGGTAAACGTAGGAATCATGTGTGCCTGCGTGCCAGCCATGAAGCCCTTAGTGTCTCGCTTTATGCCTCATCTGTTGCGGGACACTAGCCAAACCGAGAAGACGGTGCTCACGACTGGAAGTGGATTGAACCATCCTGACCTTGCAAATGGGAACCTGCAGCCACCCTCTCAGGATTTGCCAACAAGGCCAACACTTGTTGCCGCCCCCGGAGCTGCCAACCCAGAAGCCGCACTAGGAACGGCTCTAGGAGGAAATGCCGATGGGGCAATGGGTATGATGGATTTCTTGACCACGCCAGACATGATCGAGCTACCGTGCGAAAGGGCGAATACGTATGCTACGGCTGCGACCGCCGGAAGTGCTCCACCCTTCTTCGACTTCGTCAATTTCAATAAAAAGAAGAGCATTGTAGATATGACAACGAAGGAATGCATCTATCCGGTGATGATGGTCACCGTCTTGTTCTTCGTCTGGGGATTCGCATATGGACTACTGGACACCCTCAATGCTCAATTCCAGACGGTTGCTCATATGTCATCCGCACAGTTTATCGGACTGCACAGCGCATACTACGGGGGCTATTTCCTAGGACCGCTGACTTTTGGCCGACTCGTCTTCCAGTACTGGGGCTTCAAAGCTTGCTATACCGTTGGACTAGTAATCTACGCTTGTGGTACTTTGGTCTTCTGGCCCTCTGCCGTTCTTACCTCCTTTCCGGCTTTTTTCATTTCAAACTTCATTGTTGGCCTCGGCCTGTCCACGCTGGAGATCTCAGCGAACCCGTTCATCACGCTTTGTGGGCCACCGGAATGGGCAGAGGTACGACTCAATCTCTCTCAAGGCTTCCAGGCGATTGGGACCGTCGTGTCTCCGATACTCGCGAAGAAAGTTCTCTTCAAAGCCTCGGCCGACTCTCTAATCGACGTTCAATGGACTTATCTAGGCCTCTCATTGTTTAACTTTGCTCTAGCAATCGTATATTTCTACATTCCCCTGCCAGAAGCCACTGATGACGAGCTTGAGGCAGCAGCTCAGCGCATCAATACTCCAAATACGGAGAAACTTTTCAATGTAAAAGTGATATGGATCACTCTTGGTCTTGGAGTATTCTCTCAGTTATGCTACGTCGGTGGTCAAGAGAGTATTTCTACGACATTTGCAGCATATGTAGCCCGAATCTACCCAGGCCTCAGCTCGGTCAATCACCAAGCCATCGGACATACGGCCTTCGCCCTTTCGCGCTTCCTAACTGCCGGTGCCTCTTTATGGATTAAGCCACGCTATCAGCTCCTCTTTTTCTACGTCGGCGCTATTGTGTTCGCGGCAGCATCTATGAATGGACATGGCACTACGCCTGCCGCGCTCGTCATTATGCTCTTCTTCTTCGAAGGACCGATATTCTCCCTCATCTTCGCGCAATCGATCCATGGACTGGGAAAGAACGCCAAATTGGCCAGCGTGCTACTCACCTCGGCAATAGGCGGTGGAGCAGTGTTTCCTCCCATTGCGTACGGTGCGATGAAGGCAAAAAACGTGCAGTATGCGTATTGCGTGGTCATGGCGGCCTTTGCTGCTGGCACTTTGTTCCCGATTTGGCTGAACCTATCGCCTCTCGCAAAAGCGATAGTGGATCCTAAGAAGTATGAAGATCATTAGAATGTTGGGGATGTGGGAATTGAAGTAGATGGAAAGAGAAAAAGGGGCCTCTCTTCACTTAGTAACGGTCTTGAGAAGAGGTGGCGAAAGGACGGTGCCAGAGATGAACTTCCTCGGGTTGAGTACAAGGAGAGGAGGTAATCGCCGCCTGTCTTAAGTGTATGAAGTACACCTAGATTTCTTTTTTCTTGTATCTGGTAATGCAGAACTGTGTTCTGTTCCATTATTTTCTACTAGAAAGGGCGCATAGAATCACTTGAAGGTGACCTAGCACCATGGGCTATCAAGCCTTCTCTACTTGGAAGCGGTGCGGGAGGCTTTTTGTCCACAACTACATGAGACGCGACCATGACGCCCTGGAGATTTGCGCCTCAGTTTTGTATATATCATCGATACCCTGTAGTTAAACTCTGAGTACATACAAATTTTACATTAGAAAATGAGTCTGGTATTGGTGCCTTACATCCAGAATCCATTTCCGATTTGGAAAATAAAATAAGTCTACTCGCAACGTCGTTATGAGCATTACTATCCGCCGCTTGAATTAAGTGCAGGGAATCAAACGTCGAAGCTCACAAAAAAATGGAGTTTGTCATCACTCTCTATGCTAATAAGTCTTGGCACTGAGGTCATCTAATCACCATATTCGATGCGGCGAATTTCGGGAGTCTTCACCACAATCACAACCTCCAATCTCAACTACCTCCCACCTAACCGCTACAATGTTCGCACGGCCAGCATTCTCCTCCGTACGCCCTTCATCCGCATATCTTCTTCTTCTCTCGATTCCCAATCTAACATCTCAACCCTTAGGTCCTCCGGACAGCAACCCGCACCACACCTCTCATCCGCCCACTCCCTGCGCCCCGCTTCCTCACGCCCTTCCAAGCGCGCCTCCTCTCCTCCGAAACCCGCACCGCGATCGACAAGGCCGTCAGCTCGGCGCCTGTCGTGCTGTTCATGAAGGGCACGCCTGAGACGCCGCAGTGCGGGTTCTCGCGCGCGAGTATCCAGATTCTGGGCATGCAGGGGGTGGATCCGGAGAAATTTACGGCGTTCAATGTGCTCGAGGATGAGGAGTTGAGGGCTGGTGAGTTAAAATTTCTCTACGTCTGCGATTGGGCGGGCTGCGTTGGGGTGTACTGGATGAGAGTGGAGGCGGCGTTTAGATACTCGGTCAGAAATGGGTGGATGCTAATGCGTGGTATATTGTAGGGATTAAGGAGTACTCCGAGTGGCCGACGATACCGCAGCTTTACGTGGACAAGGAGTTTGTGGGCGGCTGCGATATTTTGATGTCGATGCATCAGGATGGGTCGCTGGCGAAGATGTTGGAGGAGAAGGGCGTGCTGGTTGAGCCTGGAGACGAGGAGCCGACGCCGAAGGAGTAGGCGTGTGTTGTTAGTGAGAGTTGAGCGGGTATCATGAGAAGCGGGCGAAGAGGAGCAGTCTCCGTTTGACTTCCTGGGGCTGTAAGACTATTCTTGTATAAAATTCTTATGGACGACATGATTGGTCTTGGAGCTCGCTTTCTGCTGGGAAAGTAGTCGGTAAGGTGACCGTTGTGCTAAGTCCTTGTCTAGAGCAGACTGTTGCGGGAGTTTAAGTCATATCAGAAAGCATTTCATGGAGTTATAAAAGGATTTGAGAGACTTTTATACGCTCTGAGGCCTTTCAGATGTCTGAGTCTAGCATCTACAGAAGATGCTGTACAGATCCCAAAGAGAACACATGCCGCTTAAGCAGAGGGTAAAAGTTAACGGGGCCGGGGAAAGCAGTGTCCAGTCAATCCACTTTCTTGTAGCCTTCACACTGCATCATCACAGATATGTGTACGCTTTTCTGGTACTGTTTGAACTGCTTCGATACTATTCCAAGGCTCTTAACGGCGCATACCTCAGCTACTCTCCCCTGGGTGTACGGACCAAAGTACTTAGGCATACCAGCCTTCAAGAACAGCGACTCCATTAGTCAATACAATGAAGTGTTCATTCTCTTCATTTCAGCTTCATCGTCCTTTTCGTTGGCCTTACCTTCTCTCACTCGCTGTTGACGTGCCGTCCGCTTCGGCGTTAACGGCCTCAACTCCTATTCCAACGTCAACTCAACTCTTCCCATCCCGTCTCCACCACATGCAGAATGGCAAACCTCCGCCGAGCTCCAGCAGCCCTCCCTCGCACCGAGCCAAAGACTCACGCCGCCTATCCCAAGAAACAAAAGCAAGTCGTCTCCACCACCGCAATGTTCAAGCGTCCTCTCCGCCCGCGCCAGAACGCCATCTCCTCCGCCCCAACCCGCACCCCAAAGCCCATCCGCATCATCAAATCAGCGCAAAACCCCCCCGGCCCCTCAATCCTAAAGAAAGCACGAATAGTAGGCGAGAGCGTGGCGGCGAAGCATCCAATCTCAGTCGCGTTCAATGGTACATCTCCCCCTCACCTCTCTCTTCCCATGATGAAGCCCATCTGATCTGCAATCATAGAAACAACAACAACCTACCTCGACACCACCACCGCCTCCCTCACACGCGCCTTGAACGAAACCCACGCCGCCCTCCTCGCCGAACTCGCAGCCGCCGTTTCGACCGGGCCCACCAAACCTCCCCTCAGCAGGAAAACCAATGGAGCTTCGACGCGATACCCAGACACAACGGCCAGTGCTAGCTCCCCCCAACCCCTCGCAACCCGCTACGCCGCCGACATCGCCGCCCTCACGGCCCCGCTTGGCGCCATCACCCTGACTTCTACGCAGTGGACACGCGACATGACGCTGCACGAGCGGCTGACACGCTTCCACGAGACGCTGCAGGCAGAGGCGCAGGTGGTGCGTGAGCTGCAGGCGGAGTACGAGGAGGTGCTGGAGGAGCTGTACTGGGTGCTTCGCGCTGCGGTAGGAGAGGAGGAGGCGGGGAGGGTGCTGGAAGCGAGTGGGGTGAGGTTGGGAAGCGGGGGGGAGGCGCGGGGAGGGGTTGCGGAGTCGAAGCTTGAGGCGCTGGAGCCTGCGCCGCGGGTGGAGGATAACGAGGTTGAGGGGATGGAGAGGGAGATTAGGGAGGTGAGGGAGGTTGCGTTGACGGCGTTTCGGGATGAGGAGAGTGAGAGGAGGGGGAAGGAGAAGGAGCAGAATGAGAAGATTGCGGAGTCGATGAAGCGGTTGCAGGGGTATTGAGAGGACTGGAGGAGGCCGATTGGGGTGGTATGGTTTGCTATGTCGGGGGTCTTGTATTGTAGGAAGCCTTGTCAGCTAACCACACGTGAGTTATTCCTGCTTGGGGGGGTTCATATGTCTAGCATTTTCGTGCGAGCTAAGGCAGTCTGTCACTGAGAACATGTGTTGAGAAGCATGTATACAAAGGCTTCTGATTCAAAACGTTCGAGCTATGTTACAAGAAAGCAAACCATTAGACTTCGAGAGGGGCTTGCTAATCTGCAACACGCCTGGACTGTGAAAGATCTATCTATAACAGTGTGCTTCCAGTACGCTGTTCCTCTGCAACGACAGCGAGGGAAGTTCTCATGAGACCTCATCTAAGTCTAGGATATCAAACTTCTAGGATATCTCTCGCTTGCTGAGCAAGATTTTGCTCACATTCTAGCACGGTCAACCATCGCTACACATGCACAGGAGCTCATCCACTTTACGAAGACGCCGCCTCGTCAAAGGAGCTCTTAAACGTCCACCTCGCGTCCTCGCCCTGGGTGAACGGCACACCGAGCTCGAAAAGCCTCAGCACCACATCCGAGAAGTCCTTGAAGAAGGCGTCGTTGTCCCTGGCGTACTTGTCGACATACTGCTTGAAGCTCTTGTCCTTAACCAGAGCCAAGTCAGTCGGTAGCATCATGAGTGTCTTGGTCGAGACATCCTCAAACTGCTTGGGGCCGTTCCACTTCTTGTTCTGCCACTTCTCCTCTACTAGCAGCTTGAAGTAGTCATTCGTGAGGGTGGTCGGGGAGAAAGTCCAGGGTCCATCGTAGCCAGAGCGATCGGTGTGGCAGCGGCCGAGGGCGTGGGCGCCGGACAAGGCGACGATTTCTTGGTCGTTGAAACCCATGCGGCCGAAGATGGCGCGGAGGTGCTTTTGCTCTTTTGAGGCGTCGGGCAGGCGGCCGTCAGGCGTGCAGAAAGACACATCGCGGTCGGAGCGGCCAGGGCGGTAGGGGATATGAGGGCCCTGCATTTCTTGGATGGCGGTGACCCCGGCGAGGATCCAGAGGTCGGAATAGCTAATCCAGGGGTATTGCTCTGGCCGGGCATTAGCACGCCATTGGCGCATATATGCGAGTTAAGATGATAAGACGTACCTTTGACCGGCTCGAGGAAATCACGGGCAGCCTTGAGGCCAGCATTGGCTCCGTGGTCACCCTCCGGAGCAAACCTCATGGTCGCACCGTTCGAGCCTCCAGTACCAGTCTCCTTGTCATACCTGAGTATCGTCAGTCTTAGACCTGTTTCAAGCTACGAACAGTGTGTCGGTACTCACGTTCCGCTACAATGCCATGCCAATCTCACCAGCACGGGGCCATAGCTGCCATCGTCGTAGTCGTCCTTCTCCTCCAAAAGTTTCGCAATAGTCTTGTAGACCTTCTGGTAGTCCTCGAACTTGGGCTCAAAGGGGCCCTTGGTCTTCTCCTCGGCTTTGGCAAACAGGTCCGGGTTCTGGGTGTAGTAGTAGTAACCCCCGCCACCAAGAGCCGCCAGCCCAATGCCCCATATCAGTCCACCACTGCCGCCAGATTTGGGGGCGCCGCTGTCAGCATAGCCGCGACGTGACTGCTGGAAGGCCTGGCGAGGGACGGCGAGGCGCGAGTTGCGAGTGACGGTGGTCTTGAAGGTCGCGAGGGAGCTGCGCAGGGCGCTGCGGGTGAGGGATCGCGCTGCGGTGGCCATTGCGGAAGCTATCTGAGCTCGATGAAGAGGGAATGGGAGCTAGCAAGGGCGTCAAAAGAGGGGAATGGCGGTGCTGGAGTATCAGACGCAGCGAGAGCAGGAGTTGGAAGAAGGAGAAGAAGGCTCGGAGGCGTGGTTCCAACTGGAAAGATTCGACAACATTCGGCGACGGGTAGCTGATAACACTCCCGAGGAGACCAGGAGGCAAGCCGGTGGACCCCGATGGCAGCCAATGGCGCGCCCGCCCGGCAGCACTTGCGTCTGGAACGCTTTTGCTTCATAATCGAGCATCGCGTCACTTGGGAGGCCCGTTGCGCGTTGTCAGCGAAGGTTTACTGTGGTGGCGGTCAAAGATTTGACGCATTTCAGGGTCTTTTTGAGGCTCAAGCAAGCAGGGTCTGGAAGGCTGCCGGCTCGACGTCTGCCACGGCCACATGGAGAAGAGGGGGAGGGGAACTTAATCTGGAGGGCCAATCAACCGTCTTGCATTTCTCTCTCTCTCAGCCATTTAGGCCATAGCTATTCTAATGCACGTGATGCTAACTACTACACCTCATGCTGAATTTGCGTAGTAAGCTAAAGGCATTCAGGCAGTGCCATTACACCGGCAAAGCGCCTGGTTTTTGCCGTGCTGGAAATGTGAATGATCTTGAAGCTTGAATTCGTATTTACTAAGCCCGTTATATTGCAGCCGTCAATGATTTAAAGAGCTTCAATTGGGTGAGAACAACCCTCTAAGAACTCATCTGGCCGACGAGGTCGTGAACGTTACATCCTACTCTAAATTGAAATAGTAGACTGGCGGACTTCGGACGGCGCCAACACGCATCCAAAGCGCCTGGTTTCATCCAGGAAGCAGTTTATATTCTACAAAATGCTCAGAAGCAGCCGCTGATAGGTACTATAAGGGCTTCAACACCGTATTCACGGCAGCAACATCAAGATACATGCCTCACGATGTGATGAGGAATATTTCATATTCAAATTACAGAGGTACATTGTGGTGCACATATACTAGAGAGGAGACAGCGTCATTGATTCTATGAGTAAGAAGCACTTCGTGATTGGTTTAACTGAGAGGCATCACCATATGAACACCTAATCATCCCCCTATAGGGTAGTCAGTACTGAGAATACGGACTAACTCCAGGTACTCACTACATGCAGGTCACCCGCCCAGTCGCCGAGATTGCTTCTAATGCATGATTTACAAAGACTTCCAAGTCTATTCTATTTTCTCTCCCAGTCCAAACATCTTGATCGAATTACGCCACGCGCTGTGGTGATTGTTAGCAGGGGTGAACATCCTATGCAGCCAGATTTGCACTCACGCTTCGCAAACCTCCTCTACGGAGATATCTTTTATTTTCGCAATCGCATAAGCGACATGCGGTATCGTCGCCGGTTCATTTCGTCCCTTGATCATGACGCCCTGAGTCCATTTCTCTTTCTTGACTGCTTTTGGCAAAGGAGGCGCGTCCACCAGGAATTTCGCAGATGCATGGCTAGGACGCATCTCACACTAAACCCTAATTAGTCGAGCGTTTTTGCACTGCAGTACGTGAACACTCACCCAAGGCCCATCTGTCTCGATCTGCAAATGCTCAAGTGGAATCTGCCTTACAACCTCAATGTTTTCCTCGGTTTTCATACTGCACCCATTGACTCCAACATCCAAGCCCAGATCCACCATCCGCTTCATCTCCTCAACGGTTCCGGTGAAGCTGTGCACGAGCCCCTTCTTCGGCAGTTGGGGAAGTTTCACAGCGAGTAGTCTCTCGAAATCTTCGCTAGCAGCTCGAGAATGCAGGAACAGGGGGAGCTGGATCTCAACTGCAAGGTCAAGTTGAGCCTCGAAGTACTTGACCTGTTGATCCTTAGGGGTTAGGAATAATCGGTCGTAGTCCAGTCCGATTTCCCCGAAGGCAACTGTGCGGCCAGCTGCCTTAGAGGTTCGAGCAAGGTCGCCAATGGCGGTGAGCAAGGCTGCGGGGCCGTCGCGGTATGATTCAAAGTGCTTTGCGGAGCATGGGTGGACACCGACTGTGGCGTAGCAGAGTCCGGCTGCATAGATAGTTAGATATCCCTGAAACTTGATTGAATGGTTGGACACGAACGATGTTGCTTGGCGAGTTCGACAGCATGTTTCGATTCTTTCAAATCTGACCCGGTTACCATCAACTTCTCGCAGCCAGCGTCCAAAGCCCGCTGAAGAACGTCAGCGAAATCGTCTTGGTGGCTTTGCTTGCCATGGTATTTGCCGCGGAAGACGGGGTCACCGAGGTTGATTCCGATCTGACATAGGGCACTTTAGAAGACTTGAAATATGGGAAAGGTGGAGAGGCAAACAAACATCGACATATTTCAGCTTCTGAGAGCTATTTCTTTCGCTAGCCTGGGCGGGAGCTGATGCTGAGGCAGCTGCATTTTGAGACATTCTGAAAGTTGAAAACGGGGGATTGATAGATTTGGAAGGGATTTGCGGTTCTCGAGAGGTGTAAGCGCTCATTCACTACGGTCTCACTTCTAACATTGCGTACCACAGGAAACGTTGACTTCGAAGCAAGGAGATGCAAATGCTTGAGTTGAAAGAGATCGATGAGTGCGAGAGGCACGCAGCGTCGCACTATGGCCTATTTGTAGATACCTAGAGCTCATAAGCACGTACAGTCATGTCGAACTGAGCTTCTTGATGGTGTTTGTCGTTTCTCGTGACGCATCGTATGCGACCTGGAAGTTTTGGCGACTTGGACCGAGCTTCTCAGCCCTTCCCGCAGTCACGTGAACATATGACTTGAACATGCTCGGAACCTTTGCAGCCCTTCGCAACCCTTTTGTTTTGTAGTGAGTGATTCTTCTATGTAGCTCACGATGACTCTCTATATTCCCTGAGTGCAAATATGGCGATCTATATATATTCCAAGATAATGTTATCATTGTCTTATATCCGGAGCGGCCGACCCGCATATTCTTCTGCATCTCAATCACCTTGACCTTGCCTACAGTAGACAGGTAGGAATGTAGGTTAACTCGTTAGCGGCTAGGCAACCTGCAGAGTTGGACCCATAGGCAAGGGCTGGATCCTTATCTTGATGCGGTCTCGTGGGCGATCACGATCGACGTCAGTTCTCGAGTTCGTTGAAGGGCAACTGTAGGTTCTGGGAAATCGCTATCGTGCGGGGCTCCGAGAGTACGGGTCGTCTGGGGTAAAACAGTATCTGGGAATTCCAATTATCATGCAGTAGTGCGCTGCATTCGGACATTTGGATACAATTGCACAGAATCGGAACTTGATGGTTTATTATTCTTTCATGAAATACCCACAAAGGTTCTAAACGTTGAGCATTCATCAGGCTGATTTTAGCCTTTCTCAAAAGAAACCCGGCGAGCAAAATACTTACAAGGGGGTCGCCTGAGGGGCCACCCGCCCTCCCTGCAACTTTTGGTGGCATTATAGTAGTATCCATACTCTGTTCGTAGATGATTACTATAACGCCACCAAAAGTTGCAGGGAGGGCGGGTGGCCCGCTCAGGCGACCCCCTTGTAGCCGCGCGTATGGTCGAAGATCGCTGAATGACTAGCCGACTAGAGGCTGAAACAGCACACGGGTGGACCACTCACGCGCATGTAAGATCTTGAGTATAGAGGGGTCTTACGCCCTTTCCCGTTCTAGGGAGTTTCACGAACTGCGTCGTTTCTATTGTGGATAATTACTTGACTCAGCCACACGACACGAACGGCCCTTCGGGATTATAACGTACGAGCAAAAGCCCGAAGGATTCGTGTAGTGTGGCTAATAGATAGATGGTGTATAATGATATATCGGGACGTTGTTAGTAGGATGACGTTAGGTCTGTGACGATATACTCCCAGTCGAAGGCCTTGACGGTCTAATTTCGGACGATTATTTGAGCATTTGCTCTTTTCAGCTTGCTAGATCGCGAGATGTCATCTAATGGAAAGAGGTGGTCGAGCTTGATAAAAGATGATCATTGAGTATACTGGTGCTTTATGAATATCCATCGCCCTCTATTCCTTTCTGGGTTCTATGTTGCGATTTTACACTACTAAGAGCGCTAGTAGGATACGACAATGAGTCGATATGAACAAAGCTTCCGGATCGGGGAAAATCTGAGTTGATTCTCGCAAGGCGCCCCGCAATCGTGTGCTAGTGATGGGTTCGGTTGCTCCTACATGCGAACTGAAGGCTGACGTCAGCAGTTACCTGATGAAACCGCCCAGATGGGACCCCGACTTCCGGAGAGGACATGACTGCGAGGTCAATTAGCCTGGCTCGGAGAAGCATTCGATAAACGAACTCGAATCCAAGATCCATCCAGGCCTTTTGACGCGGTAAGACTAGAGACTGTCAGGCCAGCGTCGAGACTGGTATCGCGCTAATCGCAAACTTTACTCTATACTTTGCCTTGCAGTCCTACAAGCTCTCCTTCGACGGGCCTCGGCGTGGTGGCATGCTGGTTGATCCTGGAGGTCGTCGTATGCCGGTAGCAGCAGATGATTGTGGTTTCACCTCGTCGATTCGGCTCTTCGACAGGCTGATGGCGGGTAAGATCCACTCGCTACAACTGCATTGCATGCCTTGCCACGCGTACTTGCCCACGTTGGTGTGGCATTTGGGGCATTCAAGGCGTCCATCTACCTTGCCTTGTTCCAGTTCTGGACGCATCCATGAGAGTGGATCTAGGAAGTAATGTGCACATGAGCGAGCTTTGGACGGGTCCGAGTTTGAGGATGCAGACGCATGCTGGGTGAGGTATTGAGATGTCGCCAGTGTTCGCCTAGATATAGTAAGAATGACCTGTGATTTGATGTGGAATGCATCGTGGCTGGGAATGTAGTCCTACCTGCACTTGCGACAGCGTAGCTCATAGTCGACGGAGTCTTGAGAAGCATGCTCATCTTCAAACCTGATCTTCTCAGCATCAGGGGCTTGTCCACACGCCCGGGACAGCTCAACCTCTCGTTGAAATACCCAACGTTGGTATGCTGGTGACTCCTCAACATTTTGAGGGGTGCTCATGCTCCCGTAGAGCTCCAATTGGCTCATGAATCCCGAATTCGGCTCACAAATAGGGCGTGCTTTCCGTAGGTGGGATAAAGCTTCTTCGGCGGAAATATTGTGTTGTTGCATCAGGTAGGCGATGACACACGTTGCAGACCGGGATTTGCCCATGGCACTAGAAAGGAAATGAATGTTGGCATCTTGAAAATAGTGGCAAACGACTCTGCAGTGGCAAACGAGCGGTGTGAACGAGGATTTCAAGCATGTGAAAACCAAGAAGTTAGACGAAAGGATGTCCAGCTTGAGCACAGAAATATGCAAGCAAAACAAAACGGCGAGCAGGGAAACAAGACAAGACGCAGGAAAGGGGCTTGCATGCATAGTGCGGGATGACACAATGACAGCTTGTTGCTTCTAAGTTGAGGATGGCGATATTGCCAAGAAGAGAAGTCCGGGGTGGCGATCAATAGTTGGACATGCGGCGCTCAGCTGCACCAGGGTGCGGACTTACCAGTGCACAAGGACGCCGCCACCGGCGTCAAGGCCCTCCTTGATGAATTGGTTGGTGGCCGGGAAGTGCTCCAGCAGGTTCTCATCCTCGACGTCGTCCACCTCGACGACCATGTGCTTGAACGGCACGAAGAGCCGCTGATCGAGCGGCAATCGCAGCACCGATAGGACGTGAGTAACGCCGGCTTCTTCCAGTGCATCCCGGCGGCGGAGGGTGAACAGCCTATAGGGATCGTGGACGCGTCAGTGATGGGTTTGTGAGGCTTGTGTGGAGGGCGGGCATGATGGCCCAGTGAAGGTTAGTCACGCACCCGCCAATGTAGAGCTTTGAATCGCCGGGGACTCTGTCGAGCAGGGCCATCGCAGTCGGAGATTGCAGTATTGCGCACTCTAGATGGTGAGACTCCGGCGGGCGACCTACGATGATGGACAGACGTCGACTGGTGAATCAGCGTTTTTCGCTGGCTAACATTGGCCGAGGCCCTTTTTGTGGGCGTCCAAGCCGTAATCTCTGGACCGCGGATGAGACGCCCGCTTTGGCGCTCACAGGCGAATTTCCACACCGCAACGTCTGCCCTGGCCTCCCGCGCCGGCAATTGTACAGTAGCGTGGAGACGGCAGAGGCACCGAAACAGTGAGAAATGCCTGGCGGGAGCGTGCGGTTCGGCGCCCGGTGCGGTGCCTCTGCGGCACGCAGCCGACCAGGAAGCCGATCAGGCCGTGATAGGGCTGAGGATCTGAGCGCGCCACAGACGGCTCAGGGCGCCAGCTCCCGTGCACCGAAGCACTCTGATGTCGGGATCTCCTTGCTTGTTTTCAGCTTGCGGTGTCCGCTTTTCTGTCTCAGTTGTCATGACGAGAGCCGCTGGCCGCGCTCACGTTCGCAATGCGAAGTGGGCGAACGTCACGCCCGCAGCCGTGTCACATTCAACAAGAGGGCTGCATCGCGGTTGGTGAGTGTGGCCGTCAATCTATCTCACCGTTGCATCCCTGGCCAACCTGGTCGGCCGGCGTCACTTGCGGCACGTCTGGGGAACCTGTGACCCCATGCCCGAAAGAGGAGAACGAGATCGCAGCAAAGCCGGCTTCTCCCGCTGGCGTAGGGCTTTGTGCGTTGATCCTATGTCTATCCTACTTTGTTTTATCGAACTGTTAAGAGATGGTCAGCATCGTGGCCAGAGCCTGAATGCAGAGCAGGGCTGTCGCTAGGACGAGTAGCACGAAGCACCGGCTGGGGCACCGCCACCGCTGTTCGCCCGCGGACAGCGCCAACAACGTCTGAGACGATCCAGCGGCGTCGATCCAGCGATCAGCGTGCGAGGGGAGGGGGCGCTGGAGGTGGTGTTGCACAAGAACGGCGTTGTGGTCGGCGTCGAGGCTGGCAACTGGAGCGAAGGCATCGAATCCCACGGTCCACGAGCCGACGCTTTTGATATCGGCCGCCAGTAACGCCTGTAAGGCTGAAGAAGTCGCTAGAGCCTTGGGGGACCCTGAGTCGTTGGCGCTAGCAATCGTCAGGCCGTCCTCGCATGCACCTCAGCGAGCTTGGTGCATCAGTCCTCACCGCGTTGTCCCTCAGCTTTGCAGCAGCTTCTGCTGGCCACGGCCCGTCTCGTGCACTGCGTCGCCGTCTTCACGAAGCCGTCGTTGCATGCCGTTGCCACCCAGAAGCTGTGCCGCCCGAGACGTCTCGCCGGCGCTCCACTGTCGTCGCTGTCGTCGACCCACAAGCCTGTCGCCGTGTCCCCACACAGCGTTGGAGCGCGCGCGCGCGCACCTGGGCAGTCCGTGGGCTTGGCCGTGCTCGCAGACGGGCTGCAGCAGCGGATGAGCGGGCGCGCTGGAGCCCCGAGATGAGGCCAGGCTGACAGTACTGAGGTCCCACGCTGCCGGGAACGCTCGCCGTCATCTTGAAACAGCCCTCTGGCGGGTGGCCGGGGCCCTGCGCGGATGAAGTGCTGGATGCATCCTCTGCTGGAGATGCTGCTGCTGCCGGGAGGTGGCCGTTGACTCGACAGCATTCGCTGGCCCTGCACGTCTTCTGGAAAGCTCGAGGAGAGGCCTGCATACCAAGGCCCCTCCCCTGCCGCCCTCCAGCGCGTTCGGTGCGCAGAGAGGGCCAATCCGCGCCGTTCAGCGGCTGGCAGACCCCCAGGCGATGGGCACGGAGCAGCCTTTGGCGGAAAGGCGAGCTTATGGCGGTCCCCTCGTATGAATATGTACCCGTTGGACGCAGCACCGCTCTCTTGAACGCATCGGACGCCCCTCTCGCCGCCCTTGTCTTGTGCTGTCTGTTGCTGTCTTGTTGCCTATGCGCCTCGCCTTGTCTCCGTGACGGCGGCTGTCTCTCCCCTGTCTCTGCTCTGAGCCTCTCACCTCGCAGACCCGGACCCGCACTGCTCGCGGCCAGCAGCAGCATCGCAGCCCTCTCTCCGTCCCCGGGCTCCTTCGAATGGCCGGCGTCTTTCCCATGCGCCGTGGCCACTGCAGTGAACGCACAGCGAGCGCGCTACCCGCGCACTCCAGACTCCTCGAGGCCTTCTGTCCTAGGCGTAGCTCGTCATAGCTCCGCGGCGTGGCTGTGCGGCCCAGCCGGCACTGTCCAGCCTCGTAGGGCTGAGGCCGAACTCCAAAAGTCCGCTAATCTCCCGCCCTCCAGTCCCCGGTATCACGAACCCAACGCCTCCAGCCCGCCTCGCCTCGCCGTCCACACCACCCTCCGCTGCCCTCATCCCTGAGGCTCGCCCACCCGCATCCCGCTGCCCGACCCACCTGGCGGCTCGCGGCCTCTTTGCGTGCTGCTTCGGGCCCCCCGTGGCTGCGTGGCTGCGTTTGCCGTCCCTTAAGCGCTGAAGCGTCGAATCGCCGTGGATTAGTATTGCCACATTGGGCCCGCTCACAAACTTCAGCTGGTGGCAACCATAAAAGCCCCTGTTGCTCGCAGCCATGTCGCACGCGACGTCGACGCCGTCTATCCGCGTATATGACTCGGCACCGCACCACAATCGGTACTCGCTACCGCGCCGCTCTTCCTACGCCGCCCCAGGAGTCCCCATGGCCATACCAAATGCTCGTGAGAGCCCGCCGCCGCCCTTACCTCCTCCACGTTACATTGGCGAGCTCGCCGAGGGCCAAGACCCGGGCTGGCAGTGGGGCAATACCCACAGTCCCAACGGCGCAGGCTTCGGGAGATCGTCCGCCTCGGTGAAGCCTGGGTCGAGTCTGCTGGGCGGTGGAGGCGGCATTGGTCGGGTGCAGCATCACAGGGCGGATGGCGACCGCTATGCACACGGCCATGCCCGGCGCGAGAGTGCGTCGTCGCGGTCCTTTGACGTGGACATGAACACCGACGGCTCGGATCGCAGTGACGAGGACCGCGGTCCAGCACGCCCAGCGTTGGGAAACCACCGGTATGCGTTCCCTGCCTCTCCGTGGGCTTCCAGGAGTCGCCACTGGCACGCGCACGAGGCGTGGCTCTCCGCCTCGTAGTACTCCAGACTGCAACATGAACGCTAACATGTCCATGACCCGCAGATTCACCAGCGAAAGCCAGCTTGGCAAGCAGACTCTCCAGAACTCGTCCCACGCATACGACAAACAACTCCTGTCCAAGATCGGCGGCCCAAATACTCCTACAAGAACATCCAACGCTGGCCTGTTCTCCTCTAGCGCGCAAGAAAACTCAACGGTCCCCCACAATACTCTGAACAAACTCAACGGGCAATTGAAGCCCCTCTCGGTGCCCGACCGGCTGTACTCGTCGCTCGAATCACCCATATCCCGGTGGACGCCGTCAGGAGGAGTGTCGCCTGGGCATTCGGGATTCCGCAGTCCAGGATTCGACCCCAGCTACGATAGTGCCCATCCACGGCGGTACTGCAGTCTGTCGACTCCCTCGACCGTGGAAGAGAGCGTATCAGCCCATCCCAGGCACCAGAGCTTCGACGTCAGTGTTTTCTCAGAGCAGGAATTTGGCATGGAAGACAGCGGTCTGCGCGACCTGAACATCAACGACCGCAGCCCTGCAGGGTCCGACGAGTACCCCGGCTCCAAGACAGGCATCAAGCGGCGGGCGTCATCACCGCCCTCAGAAGCGGCGCGGGATGACCGGCCAGTCGCGGGAGGTGGTAACGATCTGTACCACCGGCGGTCTGCTCAGATGCTGGTCAACCGCAACTCACCCGTGTCGCGCTTCCACGCGAACCAAGGGTCACTCTCGTCGACGTCGTCGCTCAGCCAGCGCACGGGGTCGTTTGCGTCGTCGTATGGGCTGTCGGTAGCATCGAGCGCGACGAGTTATAATGGTGGCGAGCAACGTCTGTCGCCAGGAGCCCTCTCGCCCTCGGTAGAATCAGAGTTTGGCGCCGTCTCGCCGTTTACGGCTAGCAGGTCGCTCAACCCCAGTCCCCGGGCATCTCTGTCTCGACCGCAACACCAGCGAGGTCCGTCCGACCACGAGTCGCACCACCGCACCATGTCGGACGCCAGCCTCTCGCACTCGCGCCAGAATAGCGGCGTCCAGCGCATCGGGGGCCTCTTCATCTGCGAGTGCTGCCCCAAGAAGCCCAAAAAGTTCGACAGCGCGGAGGAGCTGCAGTAAGCCCTTCATTAGACCCGTCATCCCTTGGCTGTGTTGCTGACATGTCCAGAACCCACGAGCTTGAAAAGCAGTACACTTGCGCGTACTGCTCAAACCGCTTCAAGAACAAGAACGAGGCCGAGCGGCACCAAAATTCGCTGCATCTACGGCGCCATTCGTGGTCCTGCGCTGCGCTGTCCAGCGTCGAGGGCGCATTTCACCCCTCTTCGGCACGCCCAGCCCTGGCCGACGTGTGCGGGTACTGCGGCGACGAGTTCCCCAATCCTGCCGACTGGCCAGCCCGGTCCGACCACTTGAATCACGTGCACAAGTTCGGCGAGTGCAACCAAGCAAAGAAGTTCTTCCGCGCCGATCATTTCCGGCAGCACCTGAAACACAGCCATGCCGGGACCAGCGGGAAGTGGACCAACATGTTGGAGAACGCGTGCATGAAGGACGAACCCCCACCCAAGGAGAGGGTGTCATCCGTAGGCTCCCTCAGCGGCTCATCTGCCGGGGGGCTGTTGGCATTGGCTCCGAAGCCGGGCGTAATCGACGAGGTCCACGACGAGTCATGAGATGGGGGTTATCGCGAATTCATTGATTGAGCGAGCATTCATTCATCAAAGCATTTGATCTAAGCACTTTGTTTCATCTCCAAAACCTTGACATTTTCACCATAGGTTGGATTTGGCCTTTTTTTTTTTTTTTTGGAGCCGGCGGTCTTGTTCCTTCTTCCAGGCTTCTTCTCGGTGGGTCCATTCACCGGAGGCCTAGGCCTCTCTTGTTCTGCATGCCTCGATTCGAGCCAAAAAAAAATTCGTCAATTTCAAATCACCCCTGCCTTGGCTGGCTCTCGACCGCCGGCAGCGCATTGCTTTTTTCTCCGTACAGCACTACATATATCTCTCATCATGACGTTCACGACGGCGTACACTTGTTTTATTCTTGGCGAGGGTGAACGGGATTGTTTTGGCTTTGTCTCGGAGCACGTTCCAGCACTGGGCTTTATGGCTGTTTTGGTTGGATTGTTGCATCTCTGGTGTCATGTTTGCGGGGGAGGTGGTCTCTTCACAGACCGTGCTTGTTTTCGTTCTACAGATGCTACACTCAGCTCTTGATGTGCTTGTCTCAGCAAAGCACGCACATACATCATACACACATCTCTACCACCGCCGAAGTGCGCTACCAATTTACGTCTCGTATCACGTAATCTAAAATGGATGGCTGTCAAAGGCCTTGTTCCTCTTCTATTCCGCGAAGCACCACTAATTGCGTCCTCTTGGCTCTTCAATACGAGAAACCGACAGTGGTTTACTGATACTGGTGCCTTATTCAGCACGCTAGTGCTCTCAATACGGGTGCCGCTCCGAGACATTTGCGGCACGTTCTGTTGCGCAAATCGCCAAACCGGTGAGCATCCCAGGCATCGTTAATGTCGCCATGCCGAGCTCAACCCCAAAACAGGAAGACAGACGATCGCTCCAGCCAACCAGTGAGCAAATCCACAGCCTCGCCATCATCGCCTACCCCCCCTCACCTGCATACTGGCCAGCAATCAATAAGCCATAAAAAGGACCTACCTTTATCCAGGACCAGTAGTTCTACGAAGCTGTATCACATCACGAACCCCAATGTCTCACACGTGCCGCTCAAACCGTGCACCGCCCGCCAAACCCTCGCGAGCGCAGTAATCCACATTAGGCACGTTTTACTCACTTTGACTCCCGCCGATGGGGTGCTGACATGTTGCGCCAGGCCTAAACGCGCGCCTCGTCCGCTGGATGCTAGCGCTTATGTCTCACAATTCCCTGGAAGACTTGCCCCGCGAGCACAACGCCAACGCAACGTAACGGCGGCGGGAAGGGAGGGAGGGGTTGGTACGGTAAGAGGATAATTACCGGCCATTTCGGGGTTCTTCTATTGCTCAATGCTGGTTCCGCACAGGCCCCAATGCAAGGAGCGAGGTTCGGGCAACACTGAGCGGAGGGACGGGACATGCACGTGTGTGTGTGGACAGGTTATGCGATGCGACGGTCGCATCATAGACCGACAGTTCTTTTTACAGCACAATGCAGAACGTAGAATCGGAGCCTGTGTAGGGCTGGGCGCCTTGGGCCCGTATACGCAACACTATCAATCCCCACTCCAAGCTAAAGGCCTAGCCTTCTTCAAAAGCCAACAAGAAGATTCAATGCGGCAAGAATAGCGATGGGCTGCCTAGATCTGAGGCGAGGGCCTTGCTTGGGTAAGTAAAATTGGATACGATGGATCTCAGATCGCCGGATCTCGGCCCCGTGGTGTCAGGTGATATCTGGTCCAGGTTGTGGGCTGACAGCTTTGTGATACTCTACTCACAACAACTGACATCCCATGTTCATATTGGATTAGTGGGGTCGCGGTGCAGGAGTCGTGTGGTGGTGGTCGCACAAGAAAGCAGAATCGCGTGCTGCTGGCCTGAAAGTCATTCGAGGGAACTGCGCTCGGTGCTCTGGATGGTGATCGTCATGCCGTACGTTCTCGTCCGAAGAGCACAACCTACGGAAGCTGTTGGTTCAGCCTTGCAGAGGTAAGGGTGCTTTTACATATGACGCTATGGTACGCTTGTTGACCTGTGGTTCCTCCCGCGTCTACGCGAAGTAGTGGGTGGCCTCACGGAAAACCCAGGATTCGAGCTGCCTTCACCAGCAATTATGACCAGGCCCCAGGGATGTCAACGTCGCACACGCTAGACCGACATCGGAGAATTATCCTCCCCTCCACCCCAATCCCTACATCCCAACCCCTCCGCCGCCAAGCTACAATACAAGGTGCGGGAATGCAGTGGAATGCAGGACGCTCGTTCGAGCATTTCCCTCCAGGATTCGACATGTAAAATTGAAAAGATCGATTGGATGACGGCGAGGCCGAGTGGGGGGGCATGCTTGGCAGACGTGGGGGAGGGGTGAGGGATTGATGCTTGTTGTTCCTTTGACAGGGAAGGGGATGAGACATAGCTTCGCCTTTTCCCTGGTAGGGCACGATTTTGGAAAATGCTTGCGAGCGGATGACGAAGGTGAAGTCATCATAACGGGCGAATCCCAAGGTATAAAACTGCTGTGATATGATGATCAGGGGAATCCCGAACAACGTGTGTGACGCAAAAACAGCCCTCGATTTCAAGGATGTGGGGTAAGCATGCCAGCATCTCGGATTTGAATGTCACCGAAACTCAGGGGTTTGCGGTTCGGCGTCCACGGATGCTTTGGCGTCTCGTAGGGAGGCACCTCTGATCGATCGATGCTGGGCGCACATCCGACGATGCCCGAAAACGCTTGCTCTCCGGTACATTAACAGGCTGTGCGATTCGGCAAGCTGCTCCCTAGTACGTACACTATAATGTCAGTTTCGGCGTCGTCGTCACTACTCGGGCCCCGTCGGGTTCTTTTGAATAATCTGTCGATTAGCCCGTACGTAGTACGAGCCTACGAGCTCAAACGAAATGCAGGCTCAAACAAAACAGAAATCACACCAAAAACCGGATCCTAGTCCCTACTAAAAGCACACAACCCTACTAAATAATTACTCTTTTTAAGATAAAATACTCTAAGTTTATATAGGTTCTACTGTATCTTAAAAGGGCTACATAAATAGAATGGTATTTCTATTATTGTTACTATTTTTAGTATACTTTTTTTTCTAGATATCTAAAATTACTAGTTAATACAGGAATAATTTATGTAATATATATTCCTTCTAAAAACGGCACTCTAGGTATACTTACTAACTTTAAGAGAAGAAAATTTAAATATCTATTAGTGTACGTGTAGTTATGGAGCGCTAGAAATAGGCGGTTGGGTGTTATCGTTGAGCCTGTATTTCGTTTGAGCTTGTAGGCCTGTACTACGTACGGGCTAACTGACAGATTATTCTGAAAGAACCCGACGGGGCCCGAGTAGGGCCGCCAAGCTTGAGACTCGATTCCCACCGCTTAGTCGGAGTATTCTCCGTGATTGTCAGAAAGGGTCCACGCTATTACAAGGGGGTAACATGAGCGGGCCAGCAGCGCTCCCTGCTAGCGCTTATTGCCACCTCCATTTGCCACGTAATAACCTGTGCTTATTCAGTA